TGGGTTTGGGGTTGTTGTGGGAAATGCATATTTCAAAATAACTTAATAAATGGGACCTTTAACAGTGATGGAGAACCCGTCGCTCTGCAGATATTGTTAGACTCTGACTCTTGTCAGCACCAGCCGGCATTGCCAACAGTCAGAGAGGATGGGAGTCGTCATTCGCCAACATTTGGAAGGCTACAGTTCCTTTACGTCTGGACTAGACAATCCATTTGGTTCCTTCAAGCCTTACAATTTTATTATCAGGGTGGGACCCAATGAAAGCGTGATTCACAAGATAAAGGAAGAAATTTTTTAAGGCTACTAGTCACAAATTTGGGGTGCAGGGGTGCCACCAGTTACGAAGCATCAGCAGACAGAGGCACAGATAGGCAGCTACTAATATCATGTTTGGTTGATTTCTGATTCCTCTGTGAAAATGGCGACAGTCTTCACCACAGTGAATTCCTTGTGGCAGCGAGCAATTGTTCAGCTTTCCTCAAGCTAATAACCAGATACTGGCTCTGGAAGGATTGTGACTCAGATGCCACATTTTAGGAAGAATTTGCTGAGCCTAAGGCTGTGTACTCAGTGGCAGTTTAAAGTGGATTCAATGCACCAGCTGATTGCGTGCTTTTCACTTTGTCAACATGACATCATCCTCCTCCTCCAAGTAGCAACCTGTACTTCCTCTTCATTTTGTTTGGATTTTCTCGATCTGTGGATAATGTAGTAAAGGGGAGGGGGGAATCCAGCATAAAATCACACATTACCCAACTGTGGACATACTGACGGGTGTTGTGTGGGCAGGTGTTTTTACTTTAAAAAAATGTGTGTTGTGATGTTTCCCTGGGTGCTGTCTGTCACTGTGCCACACACCCTATTTCCCTTGGTGAGGTGCCCCTCCATAGGCTGCTGGGAGGGTAGGGTACAGTGCAAAGATGATTTTTTGTTTTTCTAACTCACTTTGTTGTTGTTATTGTTACCACCATCAATTTAATTTGTATACTACCCTTCATCTGAAGACCACAGGGTGGCTCACAACCTAAAAGTACAAAATGAGAACACAAAATACATAACAAAAACAACCTAGTAACAATCCACCCACAAACACATATAAAAGGCCGTAGAATGCTAATCAGCCCAAGTCTTGGTTGAAGAAGAACGTTATCACCTAGTGCCTAAAGATGTACAGTGGTACCTTGGGTTAAGAACTTAATTCGTTCCGGAGCTCTGTTCTTAACCTGAAACTGTCCTTAACTTGAGGTACCACTTTAGCTAATGGGGCTTCCCGCTGCCGCCGCACCATTTCTATTCTCATCCTGAAGCAAAGTTCTTAACCCAAGGTACTATTTCTGGGTTAGCGGAGTCTGTAACCTGAAGCATATGTAACCTGAACTGTATGTAACCCTAGGTACCACTGTATAATGAAGGCACCAGACAAACCTCTCTGGCAAGAGCATTTCACAAACAGGAAGCCACTGCAGAAAAGGCCCGTTCTCATGTTGCTACCCTCCAGACCTCTCCTGGAGTAAGCACATGAAGAAGGGCCTCAGAGGATGATCACATGGTCCGCATTGGTTCATATGGGGAAAGGTAGTCCTTGACTGTTCCCTACCATCAAAGTCCTCTTGTTTTGTTAGTTCTGCCCTTTTACAGCTATAAAGACAGCTCATCTTGCATTGATTTCTATGTGCCGAAATGTCTCTTCAGGCCACCAACAGTTTTATGAAAGTCTGGTATATGGAAAAACTTGTATCTGAAAAATAATTTTTTAAAAAGGCTACACATACAGATCAGCAACTACCTGTGTGCATTCCACAATAGACCTCAGGTTTCTGGGAGGGTGGCATATACTAACTGTGAGGGAAGGGGGCAACAATACAAGCATCGCCCATTAGTGTAGATTGGGAAACATTGAGATAAGAGTTCAACTGAAAGTTTTCATGTGGACGAACATGCACAAAAGAGCACATGGGAAACTGGATCTGTGCCCACCCACAAATGCCTCTCGGAGTACTTGTCTGTCATTTCTTCTTAACTTTCCACACTTAGCTTGTACCTTATCCCCCTCATCGAAACTCCCTTTTTCTTTCATCCCTCCTCCCAGCTCCTCAGAAATTCTCTTTTTCCTTTTATAACAGCTTCCCTCCCTTATCTCCTTCCTCTCTATTCCTAGTTTATTACTATTACTTTTTAAAAGAAATATTAACCTTTTATCTCCCTTTCTGATTTATTTCAATGCCCCACTAGCTCTTTTCCCTCAGAGGAAGAAAGGGAGGCCTTGGCAGCAGATTGGGAAGGAAGGGAGGAAGAATGGTGCGTGGGGGGTTTTGTGAATGGTGTGTTATAAATTCTGTCCTTTATCCGATTAAAAACAATTTGTCATGTCGGTATGAGATTTGGCACGAAGAATCTAATTGAGACGGGGTATAATTCAGCCAACTTCCTCTCACTGTGTCTCGAACTTTTAGTTCCGACGATGGGTTTGGTATGTGCACCCTGGTGCGTGTCGAGACAGAAATTCGCCTGATGCATTTGTCGCAAGTTTTGGGATGCTGTACCTCACCTGAGCATTCACCACATGTTGCTATGGTGAGGGAACACAATATATTTTACAGCAGAATGCAAACCAAGTGTTTCAGAAATCAGCACCTGTAGAATTAAAGGTTTCCTCCTAAATAAAGACATTAGCGGTGGAGGTATTCTGACTTAGCTCTCCATTTCAGGAACAATCTGCTGATCCAGAGGTTCCGAGCAGACGAGGTCATTTATTTTATATTTTCCATCCTCCACTCATCTCTCTCAACCTTTTCCCCCACAATTCCTGTACCCGCTTTCCTTTGTTTTCATAATTAACTTGTATCTCATCCCCGCTCCCCAAACTGCTACTTTCACTCCAGTTTACTTTTTGAAAAAATGTCTTTTACAGTGGTACCTCAGGTTAAGTACTTAATTTGTTCTGGAGGTCCGTACTTAACCTGAAACTGTTCTTAACCTGAAGCACCACTTTAGCTAAGGGGGCCTTCTGCTGCTGCCGCGCCGCTGGAGCCCAATTTCTGTTCTTATCCTGAAGCAAAGTTCTTAACCTGAAGCACTATTTCTGGGTTAGCGGAGTGTGTAACCTGAAGCTTATGTAACCTGAAGCGTATGTAAACCGAGGTACCACTGTATCTCTCCAGTTTCAGACCCTCAAGGTGCCCTGATTTTCCAGGGACAGTCCTGGATGTACAGAAGCCGTTTCGGTTTCTGGTTTGATCCCGGAATGTCCTACTTTTTCTTAAGGTAAAGGTAAAGGGACTCCATTAGCTCCAGTCGTGGCCGACTCTGGGGTTGCGGCACTCATCTCGCTTTACTGGCTGAGGGAGCTGGCGTACAGCTTCCGGGTCATGTGGCCAGCATGACTAAGCCGCTTCTGGCGAACCAGAGCAGCGCATGGAAACGCTGTTTACCTTCCCGCCGGAGCGGTACCTATTTATCTACTTGCACTTTTGATGTGCTTTCAAACTGCTAGGTTGGCAGGAGCAGGGACCGAGCAACGGGAGCTCACCCCGTTGTGGGGATTCAAACTGCCGACCTTCTGATTGGCAAGTCCTAGGCTCTGTGGTTTAACCCACAGCGCCACTCGCGTCCTTTTTCTTAGGACTTTTTCTTAGGACGTCCCTATTTTCATCAGAGAAATGTTGGCGAGTGGAATAGGATGTCTCTGAGGCTTTTTTTTCAGTTGGAACTCACCGCAACTCAGTTCTAGCACCTCTCAGGTGAGTGCCATTGTCACTTCTAGACCAGGGGTCAGCAACCTTTTTCAGCCGTGGGCTGGTCCACCATCCCTCAGACCATGTGGTGGGCTGGACTATATTTTGAAGAAAAAAATGAACGAATTCCTATGCCCCACAAATAACCCAGAGATACATTTTAAATAAAAGGACACATTCTACTCATGTAAAAACACGCTGATTCCCAGACCGTCCGCGGGCCGGATTGAGAAGGTAATTGGGCCACATCCAGCCCATGGGCCTTAGGTTGCCTACTCCTGCTCTAGGAGAATGAGGGAGGTGTTCCTGGTGAGTTCCAGCACCGCTTTTTCTAGAAAAATAGCACTGGATATCCCTATTTTCACCAGAAAAATGTTGGAGGGCATGCAATTTCCTTCCGTGTATCTTCAGGTACTGTTCTACCTCTTCTGGCCCTCCCCAAGTCTCAACTCACCATGCAGGAAATTACCAGTGATGAATTCAGATCCAGCCAAAAGGCTACAACACATCCAGGTGGTTCTATTCAACCCCTTCCCCGACTCTACTTCACCTTCTCTCAAAATATTGTAGGTTTGTAGAAAACATGCATAGAGGGATACCCTTACAAATCCCCGTTGATAAATATTGGCCACAAAAAAATGCCTTTTTAATTAGAACTACAAATACATTACATAACTGGATGCTGACCTTGACTTAAAACAACTTGTTTCCCAAAAGGAACAAAACAGATGGATAAATGTTTTGCCAAAACCCACCCCAGCGAAGTATATGGCAGAAAAATGCACATCACCTGTCAGCTTCATGAAGTCACTTGTCAAATGTTTAACTTGTTCAAAATAAGCCATTTCTTATTTCTTATCCTTTCTACCTCAAACTTGGCATGGACCATCATCAAACTTACCTATCTTACACAGCCAAGTTTCAAATCAAGTTAGATGAGTCATTTTCTAACTAGGAGCCTAGAACTTCCCTCCCCTCCCCGTCTCTCATTAAAATGGTGGAGTGGGATTAAGCCAAACTATAATTTTCACAATTAAATTTTCTCCTTCAAATATACACCAAACCGCTCAGCTACACTTTTTATAAGTACTTGATTTCAAAATGCTTTTAATAAATCAAATCTGCTGCCCAATTGCCATTTTTAATTAATTTTAGAAGTGGCATTTTCTTGGAGGGGTTGCAGAGCTTAGAATCTTAGAATTGTAGATTTGGAAGGGGCCACGAGGGTCATTTAGTCAAACCCTCTACAATGTCAGAATCTTTTGCCTGACGTGGGGCTCAAACCCACAACCTTGAGATTAATAGTCTCATGTTCAGCCGACTGATTATGCACATGTAGCAGGAGTGTAGGTTTGTGGAGCATTTCTCAACCATGTTTGTCATATGTTAAGGGGGTGGTGATTTAAAACCACAAAATTCCCAGTAAGTTTTTTTTTCTTTTTCTAATTTCGTTTTTCTTACAACAGTTCAATTTGTCCCCTCCTCTCCATCTATTAGCATTTACACTCCCCTCCTTCGTGCATAACCAGGCAGACACGTTTTTGTATGATGAAAAGGTCAAGTTAGAATAGAATAATCTATACATCCAAAGATAGCACAAGTACTTACCATAAATTGATGATATTACTGATATTAAAGGGTACACAATGGGGAAGAGGAAGGAAAAAAGAGTTCCATCTTTCACTCAGCTTGGTGTGTCTGCCACGTTATGAAGCATCAGGTGTTACTGAACAAACAGTTTCAAAAATCTGTTCCAGAGTTTACAGAATTTATCTCCCTTTTGTAGTCTGCTGTTTCTTGCATCTAGCAGGCAGGATAGCGACATCTGAACAGCTCCTTATCAGAAAAAAGCGTTTTGTATGTAAATTGTTAGGTTGCTTCTAGGCAGGAGGTTATTGTGGAGTTGTGGTACTGCTCATAATCTGCAGGGTTTTTGTTGTTTTTTTTTTAAAAACCATCATTTATTATTAATAATATTTAATTAATTAATTTCTATCCTTCCCTTTCTCCTGACAGACAGACCAACACATCAAGAATAAACCACCACTATTATTATTACAGTGGTACCTCAGGTTAAGTACTTAATTCGTTCCGAAGGTCCGTACTTAACCTGAAACTGTACTTAACCTGAAGACCACTTTAGCTAATGTGGCCTTCTGCTGCTGCCGCGCCGCCAGACCACAATTTCTGTTCTCATTCTGAAGCAAAATACTTAACCTGAAGCATTATTTCTGGGTTAGCAGAGTCTGTAACCTGAAGCGTATGTAACCTGAGGTACCACTGTATTATTATTATTATTATTATTATTATTATTATTATTATTACCACTACTCTAAACACAGTTAAAACCTTTCTCTCATCCAGGAATATCTTGGCTGTCAGGAACAGTGTCTTTCAGCCATCAAATGCCTGGGTCAATAGGAATGTTTCAAAATCCTGAAAGTCAACAATGAGGGAGTCAGATGCCCCTCATTAGGGAGGGCATTCCACAAACAAGGAACTGCCACTGAAAAGGCTCTGTAATGGGTCAAGGCGTAACAGGCATTGGCACAGTGTTGTTACTGGCCCATATTTTTCCTTCATTTAATCTAGATTTACCTGTTATGTAGAAAACTCATAAGTAAAAGTTACGCCATTATACATCCCGTGGTGTGGAAAGTTTGATGGCATATCATTATTTTGAGAGTGGGTTGTTTGTCACATAGTGGTGCTTCAGTGTGCAGCCTCTATCACCATACCCCTAGCCAGTGTGGTGTAGTGGTTAAGAGCGGTAGATTCATAATCTGGGGAACCGGGTTCGTGTCTCCGCTCCTCCACATGCAGCTGCTGGGTGACCTTGGGCCAGTCACACTTCTCTGAAGTCTCTCAGCCCCACTCTCCTCACAGAGTGTTTGTTGTGGGGGAGGAAGGGAAAGGAGAATGTTAGCCGCTTTGAGACTCCTTCGGGTAGTGATAAAGCGGGATATCAAATCCAAACTACTCTTCCTCTTCTTCTTCTTCTTCTTCTTCTTCTTCTTCTTCTTCTTCTTCTTCTTCTTCCCTACTTCCATTTGCTCCTTGCCTAAGCACAACCTTGTCATTTTGCTTCTGTCAGCCCAGACCAAAGATTCTTTGCCATTTCCAGCAAATGTCGCATGCTTGAAGGCATGTCCGAATTTCAACAAACCAGTTTGGAAGAGCTATTTTCTCAAGAACTCCACACACCACAAGTGAGGGATTACCTCAAAGACTGTAATTGCAGTACATATGCAGGGCCTTTAAAAGAAAATTTATTATATGAAGGTTGTGCACAAGACCTCTGTATCAGAATTCAGTACAGTGGTACCTCTGTTTTCGAATGTCTCCACTGACAAAAGTTTTGTTTTTTGAATGCCATAAACCCAGAAGTAAATGCTTAGGTTTTCAAACACGCCTTGGATGTCAAACATGCCACGCGGCTTCTGTATTGAGTTTTCTGTATTGAGGCTTCTGCATTGAGTTTTCGGTTTTTGAACGTTTCAAAAACCGAGGTACCACTGTATTCCAATGTGGCTGCATGTTTTTGGGTGGGGGGAAATGTGTGGTTGGTTGTGCAGTTGAAGGGGCTTACTGGGTATTTTATATATACAGCGCTATTTTGCTAGAAAAAGAGGTGCCAGAACTCACCATGAACGCCTCCCTCTTTCTCTTAGAATGGTAATGGCATTCATCTGAGAGGTGCTGGAACTGATCTCCGGCAGGGGGGAAAAGCCCTGTATATATTCTGTATGTATAGCCATCCAGCCCAAATGAAACAGTGTATAGGTAAATATTTCGCCTGTGCAAGACCTCGGTATAATTACAAAAACAAAATTAAATGTATATTGCTGTTCCCACCTCAAAAGCTCAGCCCTCCATCTTGCCTACTGAGAAACACACTAACTTCGGTCTGGTAACATTTGCTCTTCTTCCAGTGATTTTCTTGTCTGTTCATTTAAAGGTGTGCACACCCATGCCCAAAATGGGGGGGGGGGGGGAAGGGTAGTGGAGTGGCTGAGGGGAAGAGACAAAACAACACAGAGCAGAAATATTCCCCAAGCTTTGCCCACAGGTTTGGGCAGCAAACAAACTGAACAGCAGTGAATATCCATGTGGCCTGTGTGGAAGCGCTGGTGTCAATGGTCACACACATCTGACTGGCTTGTTTGCGACACACAAAGCTCCCAGCTGGAAGCACCCTAAGTTCCGCAGTGCAAAAGGACTCTGTGTTGTTGGTCACTGTTGTTTCCTGCTCTTTTATTATCCTGTTAAAGTTCAACTAAAAAATGTTTATATCATCCAAAAAGAAAGAAGAAGCGTCATTTTCTCTTCGGTGTGTGGGGATGTCAGAAGAGCTCTGCTAGATCAGACCAGAGGTTCCATCTAGTTCAGCATCCCTGTTTCCCGCCATGCCTCTGAGAAACCTACAAGCAGGACATAGGACACAACGCCTCTCCTGCTGCTCTACCCTAGCAGCTGGCAGTCAGTAGCAAAAGTCGTCCGAACCTGGAAGTAGCATGTAGCCATCATGACTAACAGGAGCTACCGAGAGCTTTTCTGAATGAACAATCCTTTTAAGGCAATACCTGCCACTTGTACTGTTTTAACTGATCCGAGGGCTTTTCAGCAACTAACTGACCAAACTTTGCAGCCTTAGAATTAACCCCTCAGAGGTGCCCACTCCTGATGGTTGCAGCACGAGTCTTTGTTCCGTGTGTGCCTTCTAACTAGAATAAGTCCAGCCCAGAAATGCAACATAAAGCCAGCTCGAAAGATGAATAACTTGGCTGGGTCTCTACGCAGGAAGGGGTTGAATAAGCCAACTATTATGGAAGTCCCTCCAGATTTGGGGGGTGTTGCAGGTCTCACAGCATGTCATTGATGCAACAAAAGTGCATTAATGCTGGATTTATACTGGACTGTCCACACACATTCCTCTTTGTCAGTTTTATGTTTCTACCCCAGTGTTATTACTTTATTGTTGTCTGGAGGGGCATTCTTGCCCTTTGGAGGTTTGAGGTTTTTAAAAATCAATTGTATATTTTTAAATGAAACAAACAAACAAACAAACAAACAAACAAGTGGGACCAACATACCCTAGCCTTGAACATATGGGGTATAAAAAGTTGCAGGATTTCAACAGGAAGTTACGGTACCGGACATGCACTGATGGGAAAGGGAGCATTTTGGCCGCCCTGAAACCTTTGCAAGCACAAACGGTATTGAAAGAGGGATGACACAGAACTGCCTCAATACCACTGTGAGCACAAATAATAAAGAATCCGCAATACAAAGGACGTCAGAAGCGGCCCACAGTCAGAAACCCATAATGTTCCAATTATGCAACACAGTCAATAACGATGCATTAAAAAAAAAAAGCATTGTTTCCACTAATGAATTTGGGATATCCCCATGCTTCAGATTATTATGCTAATGCTCTTCTAGGTTGCATCAACAGAAGCATAGCATTCCGACTGAGGGAAGTAATTGTCTTGCTCTATTCTATCTTGGTCAGACTGCACTTGGGAGTATTGTGTCCAATTCTGGGCACCAGAATTTAAGATGGATATTGACAAGCTGGAAGGTGTGCAGAGGAGGGCGACCCAGATGATTAAGTGTATGGAAACAAAGTCCTATGAGGAACAGTTGAGGGAATTGGGTATGCTTAGCCTGGTAAAAAGAAGACTGAGAGGAGATATGATAGCCACCTTCAAATATCTAAAGGGCTGTCACATGGAAGATGGAGCAAGCTTGTTTTCTTCTACTGTAGAGGGTAGGACCCGAACCAATGGCTTCAAGTTACAAGAAAGGAGATTCCGACTAAACATCAGGAAGAACTTTCTGACAATAGGAGCTGTTTGACAGTGGAACAGACTACCATTCAAAGGTGGTGGACTCTCTTTCCTTGAAGGTTTTTAAACAGAAGTTGGATGGCCATTTGTCATGTATGATCTAGTTGAAATCCCTACGTTGAGGAGGGTTGGACTTTTTTCAGCCATGCATTTACTTGGTGTCAGGGACTGGACTGAGGAGAAATGGTGGGGACTGCCCCCCCTCGTCCTGAACCTTCCCGAGGAGGACGGTATAGATTTAGAACAGTGGTTTGCAGAAGGTTATAGTTCAGAGGGGAGAAGCTGGGAAATATTGGGAGAGCAGCAGGAAGCAACAGCAGCAGCAGCAGAGGAGAGACAGCTGACAGACTCAGGCTCTCTAGAAAGCATTCCTGACCCCCCTCCCAGGACCTGGCGTGCATCGAGAGTAGTAGAACAGAAAGCTCAGAGGCAGAAAGCACAGATCAACCAGCGCAGGGATGACGCAGAACAGGAGAGACAGAGGGGGTGGGACTTTACTTGGAGCAATGCCATTATCGGAGAGGCAGCATCATCCGTCTCTCTCTGTGAATATTGCATAAAATACCATGGTAAGAACTTTTTGGTTTCCCATTTCTCGCTGGCAGTCATGAGGGAGGGGGGGGGGTTGGATTCCCCAAAGCCTGACACTTGGGCATAACTCCCATTGATCTCAGTTAGGGTTGCTTCCTGGTAGGCAACAGAATGAATGATATGGGTGATAATAATAATAGTAATAATAATAATAATAAATCCCTTCCTGTAGCACCTTAGAGACCAACTAAGTTTGTTATTGGTATGAAAGCTCATACCAATAACAAACTGAGTTGGTCTCTAAGGTGCTACTGTAAGGAATTTTTTTATTTTGTTTCGACTACGGCAAACCAACATGGCTACCTACCTGTAATAATAAATCCATCCTCCTCCTTAATCCTCTTGAATTCTGCTTCCAGAATAATGGTGTCTAAATGGGCTTTATTATGTTCCAGAACCCATTATGAATGCTATGGTTCAATCTTAGAACAAATGAAAAAAGACTAAAAGCAGCCAAACTGTGTTTCCTTGACTTCCCCACTGAATAACTAGCACCGGTCCTAAATTTGATGGAAGAAGAAACCTATAGAGCTGCCTTCTACTAACTGGGCATATATTTACATTACCGCTTACTCTGCAGCCAGGGCGTTCTCACTGCTATTTTTTTTTTAAAAAAAACCATTTTTATTAAAGGTTTTATGATGCTACAAAACAAACTAAAACGGGGGAAAGTAAATCTTTCATCTCTTTCACCATGACGTTAGCCACAATCCATATTGATCCTGTAGTTTCTGGACAAATACTGCTGTTGCTTTGACTTTCCTTTCTCAAACCAGCTTCAATCCAATTTGAAAGCTGGATGTGGAGCAAGTGGTAATGTGAACATTTGAGATCGCTGCTGTGCATTAACAGGTGAGAGTGCACATGCGCAGACTGACAGCTTCCTGAATAGGAGTTTCGGGGGAGGGGATGGTGCAGGGCAGTCATGTGCCTCGAGTGCAGACATCCTTGCCTCCTTTCTGAAGTAAGCAACACGGTGCAAATGTAGCTTGAAACACAGTGTGGGTATGGGGGCGGGGGCGGGGGATGACCTTGCTGCGTGTGAACATATCTGACTGATCAGACTGTTTGTTCCTCTAGCCCCGTAATGTCTTGTCTCCTCCACTCTTGACTGGTAGTGGCTCTCAGGCAAAGAGAAATGTCTTCCCCCGTTACCTGCAATTTGATTATTTTGATGGGGGATGTAAGGGATTAAAACTTGCACCTGTGCTCCAGTGGAGAGTGGTCCTTTTAGGTCAGTGATGGCCAAACTTAGCCCTCCAGCTGTTTTGGGACTACAATTCCCATCATCCCTGACCACTGGTCCTGTCAGCTAGGGATGATGGGAGTTGTAGTCCAAAACCAGCTGGGGGGCCAAGTTTGGCCATCACTGTTTTAGGTGAATGGAGCATGGCCATTTTCACCAACCTCTTAACTAGCCACCACCTCCCATACCTTATTACTTACAATTGGGTGGCCCTAGCTGTCAACACCCTCCTCCTTAGGGAACCTCCATACTTGGCTTAATGTGGATTGTGAAGCCACACTTTCTCCTCCTTAAATCCGAAGACTCCCTTCGAAACCAATGTAGCTATTTCAAGCATAGGGAATCTCCGGATTTAGGGAGGATAAAGTGTGGGGCAGCAGTAGTTGGAGGGGATCACCACATGGATGAGAGAGAACTGAAGGAGGTACCAAGGGGGTTGACAATCTACATTAAGCCAAGGAATGGGCAGGGCCTTGGACCTGGGTGAGTCCACTGAACTCAGCAGCGAGGATGATAGGGACAAAACAAGTTGGCTCCACTCCCTGTCATTGGTCTTGGGCCTCCCTATCTCCCGTCCTACCAGTCGCAATGGGCACCAAACACCACAGATGTGTTCTACTGCAGAGACATGGTTTCTCAATTAAAGAGTAGGATAGCTGTTAGTTGTGTAGTGGCATAAAATAAGAATAATAATAAAGTCCCAGTCTTTTCTTATTTATTGTGTCTATCCTGAATTTCTTCCATGACATTCAAGGCAGCATAGAGGACAGCCACGTGGTTTAGCTTCAGCAAGATGACCCAAAAAACCATAATGTGCCTTTCAGACCACACCCTGGGGCTCTTTCCCAAGAACGGGAGTACCAACTTTCCCTACCCTCCAACAGGTATGTCAAAATCAGCGTCCAGCCCGAGCAATGATTGATGGGAACGCTTCATCGGTTGGGTTCCAGTCTGTTGCACAGACCGTAAAACTTTCGAGGGAAAACACTGAAAGCTTCAACACCTTGGCACCTTTGATTATTTATTTATAACCCCGGCAGCAACTCTCCGAGCATTCCTTTTGGAGTTATGCCCCGCGGAACTCAAGAGGGAATCACTTTCTCATCAAGCCCACGCAGAACCCGGCTTTACAAGCCTGTGGAAAAAGCTCGAGCAGAGATGCTGCGAGAAGCCGGCGGCTTGCCCGCTTGGCAAGGGCCGGCGCGTCTTTCCGCGCAGCGCAGGGCAACGCTGTCGGGGCGCGCGGGCCGGCGAGAACTTGGCGCCGGGAGGAGTTGGGCGCGCTCTCTCCAAGAACCCACCTCCGGCCGCGCAAGATCCGCCGCGCAGGGTCCGCCGCCGCCGCGCGCCCTGGCGCACTCGCCCTCGGCCTGCAGGGTGCAGGCGTTAGCCAAGGCGGCGGCGGCGGCTGTGGGGAGGAGGAGGAGAGGAGGAGGAGGAGGAGGAGCCAGGCCGGCCTCCTTCCCTTCGGCTCTCGAGTCCATTTCCCCAGCTCGAGTGACACAAACACGCCAGGCGAGCGCCGCCGCTGCCCAAGCCAGGATCTTACAAACCCCTCTCCGCCGCCGCCGTCCCTGCCGCCGCCTTCGCCTTCCCCGCTCCGGGCCCGTCTTCTCGCAGGCGCGCCGAGCAGCCGAGCCGATCCCCTCCCCGGGGGCTGCACCGAAAGAAGCGCGCGGGGAAACCCCAGCTTGCAAGCAAGGCGAGGGGAAGGGGAGGGGGGCACGACGCCAGCTTCCTGCTTGCAAAGAAGGGGGGCGGGGGGAGAGAGAGAAGAAGAAGACGAAGAAGAAGACGAGGAGAAGCGGCGGCGGCAGCAGCAGCAGCAACCCGAGGTAGGTTACAGGGGGCCGAGAGAGGAGGAGAAGGGGATGGCGCGTTTCCGAGGATCCTCTTTGGGGAGGGGTGGTGGTGGTTTCCTTCCTTCCTTCGCGTTCCTGAACCCCAATATGTCTTCCGTTCCCGGCCCCCCACCCTCTCCCAGCTGTCTCCACCCTGCGCTCCCCGTCCCATCGCAGCTGTTCCTGTCACTGCCAACGTTGCAAATCTAAAGGAGATCGGGCAGGGGTGGTGGGAAAAAGGTGGAACAGCCCCCCCCACTTTCCATATAGGGATTTTTTTTTGGTCTCTGGAATCTTGTGGAGCGCAATGTTTTCTCGTCTCTCTTCCACCACCCCCCTTCTCGTTTAATCTCATCACTTACTCTTCTCCACCCCGCATCTTCTCTCCTCCCCCATCGGGTTTGGCACTATATATATATATATATATATATATATATATGCGTGCCATATATGTGTGTGCATGTGTGGCACGCACAGACACATATATATACTGTCTTTTCCCCAGCAATGGAGAGGAGAGTGCTTTTAAGGAGAGAGGGAAGAAAAAGGGACACACACACACTTCCTTTAACATTTTTTTGCTCGTTTGTTTACTACCCTCATCAAGAGCTTTGTGCCAACTTGGGGTTTGCAGTAATTTTTCCCATGCAGAAATAAGAGGTTGGAATTGGAGTGATTCCCCGCGAAAGCGAAAATCTCTATAATGTACCCCAGTAATCAAGATTATGTGTTCTGCAACTTAACTAGGAGATAAAGCAGCTATTTGGGTTGGATTGATATATATATCTTTCTTTTTTTTCTTGTGTGAATCCAGTACCTGGCACTATTGGTGCCTCGGATTCTAATCCCGAGTAGGTTTATGTTTTTCTTATTTCATTTTACTTGTTATATTTAACTCTTTTTTAAAAAATGGTTTGCAAAGGCCACAGCTAGGAAAGTAGTTTTGACATTCACTTTGGGGTGGAGGAGTTTGGAGAGGGGATGGCGTTTTATTTTCTATTGGCGTTTAAAGGGGGGCAAATATGGGTAAATATTTTCTTAAAAAATAAGGACGTTTGGCATGTGGCTGGCCGATCACAAGTCTGGGGGGGCTGTAGGGGGGACTGCGTAGTGTTTGTTTCACATTGGCAGCAGGGCCCATTTTCTGGTTGAGCTGGATTTAACTTTGCATGTTGCAGTCCTTCTTGCCCCCCTCCCCCCAAAAAATATGGGAGGGGAAGGGTCGGAGGGGTGAGTGATGAGTTCCCCCTCTTGGCTTGATCAGAGAGAGGGGGGAAGAAGGGGGTTACTTTGGGTTGAAAGGGACCCATGCAGCAGGGAGCCTGTCCTTGAAGGAAGGGGGGTCCTGAGGGTCGACGCTGATCCTCAGTTCTGTGGTCGTGGTGACAGCTGTCCATGATGGGACATGACTGGGGGGGCGGGTTTAATCCTTGCTGCTAATGCATCCTGGTTCTTAAAAATCAAAAGCCTTGAGATGTGTGTCTGCAAAAGCTTCTCACCCCCAGCTCTCTGTGACATATTTTATTTAAATGTGAAAATGGAGACAGCGGTGGTGGCAGTGTGTGCTGGGTGCAGGATAGCTCCGATATGCTGCTGTGGCCTGGAATTGTGCCCCTGTTTTTATGTCCATGGCAGCCCAGACAGCATGCAAGTTTTTGCACGCATCTGGCCCGAGGGGGGAACTGCAAACGCTGCCTCCGCCACTGCTGCTGTGCAAGGAGGTGCTGCTGTGCTCTGCCCCTCCCTCTTCTCAGACTTGGACTTGCTGTTTGTATATGTATATATATTTAATTGCAGCAAAAGCTCCCCACTTCCACACATTTTGCTTGCTGGTGCCTGTTAAGGTGGGGTGCAGGATGCAAAGGAAGGGGGAGGAAGAGGGGCCTGCCCTTTGACACTAGGCTGTCCCTAGAAGGCTGTCCCTTACTGTGGGTCAACAAGAGGTGACAGGGTCAAGCCAGGCACCTTTCAGCCCCTTTCCCCTGAAAATGTGGGGCACAGGGGGTTTTTTGGGTGGGGGAGAGGAGGGGGCAGGTGTGCTGAATGCAAAAGGTGGCTTGGTTAGGTGGAGAGTTCAGTCTGCCTCTCAGGTCGGACCTTGTTTCTTTCTGCGTGGGTCCAGTGCTCTCTGTCTGGATGTGTGCATGTGCGACCCACTCCACTCCCTCTGGACCTGTGTCCCTCTCTTCTTTCACTAGCCTTTGGCTCCCACTCTGACCCCCATGTAGGGATCTCCCTATGCCCGCCTTTAGCTGCCTTGCCCTGCCATATCACCATGCAATATTAATTGTCACATTACCTCCCTTTGGAGAGCGAGATGACTTTTGCTCTGTGTATGGGGAGCGGGGAGGGTGGTATCAAAGTCACCTTTTACTGCGGGGGGTGGGGAGGCGCAACTGTGCCTTTTCTTTCTTTAAAGAAAGAAATTATATAGCTAGTAGGTTTTGAAGGAAGTTACAAGTGTTAGTTGCATGTTGGTAGTGGGTAAAAGGGCAAAGGTCGTGACCTGGAGAGCAACTTCAGCCTTGCCCATCCTAAAGGAGCTTATGCGGCCTGTAAGCAATGGAGGGGTGAGCGCAGGCCAGGCAATGTGACTTGTCCAAAGTCGGAGGTCAAAGCTGGGAATCCAACCCATAAATCCTTTATTTTCCTGCGAGAGCAGAGTTTTGTCAACATCGCAAGGAGCTTAGGGCAGACTTGGGGCGTTTTCCTCCGTCAGTACACTGAAAGTCCTTCACTGTCGTCGTCCCGTCCTGTGTCTCCCCCCTCCCTGCATTCCCTACCCTTATAAAACGTTACAGTAAATATTTTAAAATTTGAAATGTCCCTCTTTGCCTTTGTATATCACAATGGCACCATTTGTGCATTTAAAAGACTGAAGAGGAAGTTGTAAGGGTCTTTTGGTAACACATGTGAAAACACCCCTGCTGGATTTGAAGTGTGTGTGTGTGTGTGTGTGTGTGTGTGTGTGTGTTACACATGTCCCCCTACACACACACACACACACACACACACACACACACACACGGAGGACCTGTAAATTCCCTTATTCCCAGGCAACTGGGGCTTGGCAAAAGCATCAGAATGTATTGTCCCTGCTGTTGGCTAAGGAAAGGAGAGAGAGGACACTGCTTTTCAAGTATCCTTTCAGTTTTTCAAGAGAGAGAGAGAGAGAGAGAGAGAGAGAGAGAGAGAAAGGTGCTGTGCTGTCCAGCTTTGGAAGCCCTTCCGTCCCAGTTCCAGAGGCGTGGAAGAAGCAAACTGTGATTACTCTACAGTGGTAGGAAATACACTTTGTGTGTGCTCAGATATGCTGTCCTTTGCATCAGATAACAGGTTCCTGGCTCTGGTGACTTGTATTTGTAGATGGAACATTTTTGGTTGGTACTGGAATGTAAGTAAGGGGCGCTTGTCCTGAAGGTGGGGCTGTGTGTGTGTGTGAGAGAGAGAGAGAATATATCTGATAGGGCGAATGGGTGCTCTGCTCTGCTATGGCTGTGCCCAGGCAATGTTTCGTAGGAGCCCAGAGGTGCCACTGTGGGGAATAATCTGCAGTGGGCAGCTCAAGGGCAGCATTCTGGTTGCAAGCCTGAACTGCCTGTACGATATGTGGGTGATTGTGCTTTTGTCGGAAGCTTCCTGACAACAACCAAACAGGTTTCCCTACCTGTAAACATTATTAGCTATGTAAATAATTATTAGCAGACGGGTGCCCACACTCGCGTGGTACGCCTCGGACTTGGTGGCAGCACCGTTAGCCAATGCTGTGTGCCGTGGCTTCCGGCTGGTGAATGCTACAATGCTGGTTTGACCTTTGGTTGGGATGACTCTGGGGGATACCCTTCCCCTGGGACCACTGCTGATTCTCCATTCCGTATTGACAAGTTGCTGCTGCCATTGCAGAGAACAGAGCAGACTGCAGGGTGATATGCTGGGTTTGCTTACCCACTCGAGCATTTGCTTCTAGGGTTAATCTTCCATCGTTCATTTCCCTTCTTGCTCAGAGACATCCCAGGCCAGTCTGTTTACCGTCACAGATTACTGGATTATTTTTCATTGTAAACATTTCTTTACGTTAACGTGATTGCATGCACCCCCCCCCTAAACCCAACACTTGCATATATTGGAGGTGCTTATGTGTATCTTTTAGAGGTGTGCACTGGTGTCTGGTCTGCGCATTGTACGGGTTTGCTGCGCAAGGGTGTGTATGGACTCGGTTGTGCAGTGTGCCCAAGCTTCTTGCTTGCTGTATATGCAGGAAGTATAATATTTGCACGTGCCTTGTAGGAATACAGTACCTATATACATTTGCTCACAAGTGTGCAATTATACATACAGTTAGCACTCAGCTTGCATGACCACCCAAGCAGTTGTGGGGGATATACCTATGAGGAGGCTTGGCCAATAGATAATACCTTGCTTGGAGCCATTTGGTGAATTTCATGGTCGGGTAAGGGTGTTGCATCTGTCCCTGGTGCATTTGACACAGTAGTCTTTCCATTGCACCACACTGGTTCTTGTGTAGCAACAGCAGCAAAGGCTGACCTTTTACACAGTATGGCTGTCTGAGTTTCACTGCTGCAGTGGAGGAGGCCCTGGAAGTGCTCAGCCAGCGTTAGTGGCACTATGCTCTGGTGCCAGAAACCAAGGACACATGGTCTCTTAGCAGGAAACCCAGGCATGGCAGACTCTGCTCAAAGATTAGAGATCTTGGGTCCCAGGAACGGGCAGAACACTGCCAGAGAAATAGCCACTCTTTGCAAACTTTCAACAAAGTTAAATGCCCACTAATAAAACAATTTCCAACAGTGTTTTGCTGTGCCTAGAAACATGTTATTGGGAGCTGGAAAAGCTGTGCCTTAAAAAAAAAAGTCCATATGCACATTGGTTTTCCGAGCTGCGGACTAAAAAGCTGACATTTCCAAGGGCATTCAGAAAACGCCAGAGTGCAGAAACTGTGAGTTGTGTGTTTTCGTAACCACGGTGTGTAGCGGCTGTGTTTGGTAGGGGAGGTTGATGCCAAGAAGGTTATAAAATAAGAGGTGCTGGAGCTCAGACCTAGGTGGGAACCATCTATTTAATCCCAGAAGTTGTGACGATTCAGTAATGAGGGAAACACTCTGCACATGCCCATAGGCATTCTTTCCCCTACTATGTTCCAGGCGAATGTTGGTATTCAAATCTAGAGGTTTTGTGCTACAGCAGCGAGATCTGAGGGTTTGTTTCTTTCTCACTGCCACTGGTGTTGGTGGTGGAGTGCGTTGTTATAATAATACGCTGAAAGATGTAATGCTCTGTCTAAATTGTAAGTGCGACGTGCGTATTTATCTCGGTAATCCTTACAACAAACTTGTCAAGAAGACCGGTGGTGGTATTAGGCTGAGACACAGTGGCATGCTTAGGACAATCTAGCGAGCAGTTTGTGACAGAAGCGAGATCCTCCGATAACGTGACAACAGCTTATTAATGCCCTCTCTGCCAAAAGTTTCCCTTGGGGAATCAGAACTCCCTGGTTAGATGCTGCAATTTCTCCTTTTGGCCCATATTTGCACCGTCACTTTTCCTCTGCTTCTGGCAGGTAGCAGCAGCTGAACGCTGCACGCCCATAAGCCACCCCTTTGGTGAAAAGCAGCTCTCGGTCCCTGCAAGGCGTCAGGGAAGGGCAAACCCTGCTGGAAGGAAGCCACACGAGAAGCTGGTCTGGGGAGAACTTGTTGATCAGACACGAGCCAAGCAGACTCGCCCCTCCCCTGTTGCTGTGGCCTAGCACGTCTTCAGGCAGTTTGCCGTCAAGTTACAGTACAGTATAGGCCACCCTGGCCGGGTCTTCTGAGGCACGCAGGTCTGCCGCCGCTTGGCCAGGCCGCTGCTTTTTCTCTTTCCAAATTCCCTCTTGCGTCCCGAAGGAAGATGTGGAAGTGGAGCAGAGTTCACCACGCCTGGCAGGAGCAGGTGGAGTTGCTGTGTGAGGGTGGCGGTGGGTGGAGGGTATGTCAGCTGAAACCCACGTGGAGAGTCTCTTCCCCTGACAGTTTTGATATAAATGGTTGATTCAAAGGGGCGGGGTGGGGAAGATGGGGAGAAAACAGGCCCAGCTCCACTGGGCAGAAATGCTGTTTCTGAGGCCACTACAGAGGCCTCCTCTGATTGAGGCCTTAAAGATTCCCTCAAATATCTCCCTAGGAAAGGGGCAAAAATGGCATAGCCATGAAAAAAGTAGAAAAGGAGCCGGGGTGGGGTGGGTAGTGAAGTTTTGGCTGAATATTGTCACTGTTACCTGTATTCCATCATTTATCCTTCCTCTTGGTTTTAATGTATCTCCGTGGAGTTTCGTTGTCTGCTTGTTTGGTTCCAAGTTGCTATTGGATGCCTTGGGCAAGACAAAGCAGCTAAAAAGGTAAAAAGGTAAAGGACCCCTGACGATTAAGTCCAGTCAAAGGCGGCTATGGGGTTGCGGTGCTCATCTCGCTTTCAGGCCGAGGGAGCCGGTGTTTGTCCACAGACAGCTTTCTGGGTCATGTGGCCAGCAGGACTAAACAGCTTCTGGCACAACGGAACACCGTGACGGAAGCCAGAGCACACGGAAACACTATTTACCTTCCCGCTGCAGCAGTACCTGTGTATCTACTTGCACTGGCGTGCTTTCAAACTGCTAGGTTGGCAGCAGCTGGGACAGAGCAATGAGAGCTCCCCCCGTTGCAGGGATTTGAACCGTCGAGCTTCCGATCGGCAAGCCCAAGGGGTTCAGTGGTTTAGACCACAGCGCCACCCGCAAATTTAATTAATTAATAATAATGATCATTTGTTCACCTTTGAGGACTTTGCCTCCCATCAGCTATGGGAGTTCTCTCAGGCTCTTGTCTGTTTCTCCATTTTTAGACTACAGCCAGGGATAGTTTTGCGGACATACAAATTGGTCCTGAGGGGCTTTGACCTGGGCACTGGTGTTGTAGCTGTTTCTAAATGTACTGGGAAATCTGAACAGGTGGGAGATTTGATAGGTGAGTGGTTGTTGCATTGGAATTTTATTTTTGTTGAGTTTTATTATTGCCATAAAAAAATTGTTCTTTGAATTGCATATTGAAAAGAGGAAAACTGCACACTGAACATCTCCCCTTGCATCGGCATTTCTGTTAATGCTCAGCCTTTGGCCTTGAAGATACGGCTTTGTCCAAGTCAGGTTACCTGGAATTTAGAGAGGGGACAGTTGCCTTCTTTCTGTCCTTGGCCGTTCAGTTGACTTGTTTGAATCTGCATGGAGCTTCCTCCCAGGCCACTGCCACAAATGCCTCTTCTGTAGTGCCTCTGCTCTCTTTTTGCACATGGGGATTTCAGCCTTGTGGATTAATGAGCAGATGCAGTGGTGGTGGCGAAAAATTATCATGATTAGAGTACATTGCAATTTTTTAGAACAGCAACAACAAACACTTCTCATTTTTCCAGTAATGGCGCTGTGTTTAAAATGAAATGAAGATGGTAAGGTATGGAAAGCTAACATATGCTTCAGTGTTAGTATGGGGATACTGCTAGGAGTTTGAAAAATATTCAGACGCAGTTATCAGAATGCTGTCGAAAGCATTAAGGGGCAGTACTTAATTGTTGGAAACAGAGGTGACCAGGCTTGGACCTGCATTGGGAGCCTGCCGGCTGCCTTAGATTTAAGACTGCTTCCTTAATTCCAGATGCGATGGAATTTGCTCAATAAAGAGGGGAAATTAGTCTGTGCATGCTCAGAGGTTCATTATCCTGTATATCAGGGATGGGCAACTGTGGTCCTTCAGATGTTACTGAAGTCCAGCTGAAAGATTAAAACAAAATCCTTAGAAACAGCCCATAAGGAGAAGGAACTCTAAACAGCCCACTGTGAACTGAGCATGCTCCGTGGCTGTGGAATACAGTCCTTTTGCTGATGGTGAGGAGTGGAAGCCTTGATCTGTGGCAGAGAGATGTGCAGTAGAATGAAATGGAGTACTGTATCCTGAGATGTGCAATGGGAGTACTATATCCTGAAAGAGTGGTTGTGACCCTGAAGAGGAGCACTCCACACTGCAATGCTTTGTTGAAGATTACAGTGGTGCCTCGCAAGACAAAATTAATTCGTTCCGCGAGTTTTGTCGTCTTGCGATTTTTTTCGTCTTGCGAAGCACGGTGTCGGGAAAGTTTTGGAAAAGCTTCAAAAATCACCAAAGTCTTTAAAAACCTCAAAAAAAGGCTACCACATCGCGTTCTATGAGTTGCTCCTCGAAGTCAAGTCGCAACTGTATTAAAGGTGTTAAGAAAAAGGAAACAAACTTGCAAGACGTTTCCGTCTTGCGAAGCAAGCCCATAGGGAAAATCGTCTTGCGAAGCAGCTCAAAAAACAAAAAACCCTTTCGTCTAGCGAGTTTTTTATCTTGCGAGGCATTCGTCTTGCGAGGTACCACTGTACATTTAGAACAGAACATTGTTTTGTTATCTTTGTCTTTTAATGAATGAGGCGGGACCGTCAAGAGGTGGCCAACGGAGAAGGAGACTTCAAGGCCAACGAAACCTGAACATTTATTTCTTGTTTCTATTTACATTTCCCTCGTCTCATGGTTTCTATCGAGGCACATTTATTGTAAGCTGCAAAAGGAGCCATAGTTGACTTTCTATGCTAAATGCATGTTGGGGAAGGGGTATAGCATGTTGCATGGTTTCTCTCTCTTGCCCATCCTAATATTTTGCGTCTGCGCTGGTCTCTAGCCTAGTCTCTAGTTGGTACGATAAAGCCTTATGGGTCCCCACCCAGAACAATTCACCTAAGCACCTAGTTTTGATTTTTTTTAAACACTTTTTAAATAACTTGGGGGGAAGGCGGGAAGAGACTGTGCTAAGACACCTTTGAAATTCCAATGTTTCTGCACAGTTTCTTAAAGTAGAAGATGCTGCCTAGGAACCCTTGAGGTCTGTGATGGAAGAAAAGTGATAAATATATAAGAAAAAATGAAATAGTGCTATAATAGTGCTGATGCAAAAGGAAACACACACACACACACACAGTTAAAATCAGTGTTCAGATTTTCTAAAATGCTTGTCAGAGTAGGTGCTATTCTGAATATATTTTAATAATTTTAAATATATATATAAAAGGTGCAAATTAAAAGATTGTTTTGAAAGGGGGACTGAACTGGCACTGGCGGGCAAACGAAGTGTGTGCCAGTGAAGTTGTGCCAGATTCTAAAGGTGTGTCAATAGATGCACCCACTGGATAGGTTGCTGCACTGGTCAAAGCCACAGCTGAAAGAGCAACACCAAGCTGGGACTGCCCTACTATTGCAACTTTTTTTTATTTTTATTGAGGGTGGCAGCGGGGGGAGGACAGATTTTGTGAAGTTACAAATAAGACAGAAGAACCTTACAGGGTTGGGGAAAGCAAACTGATATGATATCATGCCGGTGCCCTGTAAAAAGTGAGTGGACAAAGGATAGCTGTCCCACAGTAGATTCCTAACACTCTTTTATTCCTATTTTACAGAGAAGGGGCTGGGAGACGGTGAGCTGTCCTAGGCTACAGCACTATGAAGGCATTGCTAAACAAGGCCCTAGACTTTTATACAAGGCCTTTCAGATATGAATCCAGTTCTCTGTTCGGTTATATGGCTTTGATGGACAGTTAAAGTGGTTCACACTTGTCAGCGATCTCTGCCTGAACACCAGCTCTCTGTGCTTTATTGTGGAGGCTGTATATGCAGCTGCCGCAACGTGAGATATCTCAAAAAAGGTGCTGCCACAATCCGTGTTAATCGCAATATGCCTCCGGTGCATCTCCCATATAGTCATACCTTGGAAGTAGGACAGAATCCGTTCCGGAATTCTGTTTGACTTCTAAAACGTTCGAAAACCGAATCACGACTTCTGCTTGGCTGCAGAAAGCTCCTGCAGCCAATCAGAAGCCGCGGAAGCCCCGTCGGATGTTTGGGTTCCCAAATAATGTTTGCAAACCGGAACAATGACTTCTGGGTTTGCGGCGTTTGGGAGCCAAAACGTCTGAGTTCCAGGGCGTTTGATAACCAAGGTACGACTGTATAGAGACCCCAGTTCACACGAACTGCATTTCCAGGCGAATTCAGCCTGGGGCAGAGTTGCACTTCCTATTTATATCTCCACCAGAGAACGAGCGCAAGGGAGGAACTCTGCAGAAGTGGTATGTTACTTCACAAGGGCATAGCCCTGGTAGGCTGCCTACAAATCTCTTAAACAAACAAACAAGTAAATAATACGAAGCGGCCTTTAATCTTTTCCCAAACTGCAATGCTACAGGTTTGCAACCCCCAATAACTGGGCTCTAAGCCATTCTTGTTCTAACCTTGTGGGCATTTAGAAAAACACCAGAATGTGGGCTCCCAGATCCTTTCCTAAAGCTTATTAACCTGTTAAACCCAGTTTGGCTTTCCACATCTATTGGGTCGGGAAGCAAAAAATTGTGGATTCTTGGCTCCTGTGCACCAAGAAATATGCTGCGGGGTGCAAATGAGTTGTATCCAACTTAAGTTGTGTTCGATGAGTAGACCTTTCAGAATTAATGAACCTAATTTTGTTATGTTAATGAACTTCAGCGGGTCTACTCTGAGTAGGGCTAGTATTGGATACAACAAGGCTAAGGCTTTTTGAAATATTTATTGTTCCGCTTGGTACATTAAAAACACAGATGTCTGGGCATTTTTAAATGAAGACTAAAACTTGGGGCTGTGAGGTGATTCAGGGAGCCAGGATAACAGAGCAGAGCGACTTGGCGGTTTGAGCATATTACACGGCTCCAGGCCCAACTGCAATGGCTGTCAACCGGTTTCCGGGCCCAATTCAAAGTGCTGTTGTTGTTGTTGTTTTGACCTATAAAGCCTTAAATGGCTCAGGACTGCAATACCTCAAGGACCACCTCTCCCCATATAAACTGACCTGGTCTCTGTGATCATCATCTGAGACCCTTCTTCGTGTGCCTCATCCAGGAGAGGTCAGGAAAGTGGCAACAGGAGAACAGGCCTTTTCTGCAGCAGCTCCCATTTGTGGAATGCTCTCCCCAGGGAGGACTGACTGGTACCTTCATTATACATATTTAGGTGCCAGGCGAAAACATTCCTCTTCAACCAGTTCTTTGGCTGATTAATATCCCACAACCTTTTCAATGTGTTTGTGGGAGAGCAGTTGTTTTGTTTTGTTTTGTTTTGTTGAAACTATTTATTTTGTGTTCTTATCCTGTATTTTAACTTGTGAACTGCCCTGAGATCTTTGGATGAAGGGCGATATATAAATTTAATTAATAAATTAGCAATAAAGACAGGTTGCATGCAAACACATTTATTGAAGGGTGCCTTATTCCACCAGGCTTTTGAGATCTGACGGCTTTTAATGAAAGGGCTGGTGCCATGCTGTTTTTATTTGTATGTTTTTAATAGTTCTCACCTTTATATTTGTATTAATGTTCAATTGTTCTTTCACGATATTTCCCCCCCCCCCCTATGCTTTTAATTGTTCTTATTTTATCCGTAAGCCGCCAAGGGTCCCTGTCAGGGGAAAAGGCAGCTTATAAAAAAAGTATGTTATAATAATAATAATAGCACTAGTAAATGTACGGCTTTTAAGAAACAAAAGAACAACAGTTTTGAGAGGCTGCAGTTTTGAGCAATGAGGAAGCAGAGGCGGTGCTCCCTATCTGCTCTCCCTGCTCCACCCTGCACAACTGAAGGTGATTTTGAGTGGGAAAACAGCCGGTGGGGAAAGGATTAAGTGCCCCCCTCCCTCTGCTTTTCTGCTCTCAATTCCCTAAGTGGAATAACCCCTAAGTGGGAAAGGGAGGTTGGATCAGCCTGTAAGAGACAGATTAAGGGTGAAGACAGGAGGAGCTTGTCTGCGATTGTGTCATGAAAGTAGAATGTACAGCTGCTGACAGAAAATCTACTGGCTTGTCATGAATGTGGCAAGCTTATATTGTAGGCTCCTCATGGCAGGGACCTGCCTGTGTGTCTTTTGTTTTGCCTGTGGTATTATGCAATAGGCTACATACACAGGTAGCCCTGTATTGAAACACATTCCTGTGTTTATCTTTCAAAAGTCACGCTTCTAGTCCCCTTGAAAAAAACAGAAAGCCTGCCTGCAGTTTCCACGTCTCGGCAACAAATCTAGCCTCCCTGGGAAATGCTAGGTATCAGGAGTCTCAGTCAGTACAATCTTTAAATCCTTTGCTGTTCTCGCAGCCGTCCAATCAGCTTCTGACTCTCTCATTCCTCTGTGACCTGTTCCCCCTCCTTACTCTGCTAACTAGGCAGGCTGTGTTGGCAGTTGGATCCAGCGGCTAGAATTAAAGCTGCATTTGAAGGATGGCGTAGCTTTGTTTCCATATGCTCATCTGTTAGTGATAGTTGGAGGGGTTTCCTGAGTGGACCGCAGTCCTCTTGTCTTCTGACGGTCTTGCATATCCGCTCTTCTGCGCTTTCATGTCAGGACTGGGATCAAGCTTCGTGACAGGAAAAGGCCATAGCTCAGCAGTAAAGCAGAACGCCCCACGTTCAATCCCTGACATCTAAAGTTCGGACTTAGAATGTCTCCTGTCTGAAACTCTAGATAGACAGTACTGAGCTAGATGGACCGATTGGTCTCACATGGAAGATGGAGTATGTTTGTTTTTTCCTGCTCCGGAGGGTAGGATCTGAAGGAGCGCCTCCACCCCCATCATCCAGCCTGGACACTGAGATCCAGCTCTGATGGTTTCTGGTGGTTCCCTCCTTGCGAGAGGTGAGGTTACAGGGAACCAGGCAGAGGGCCTTTTTGGTATTTGCACCCACTCTGTGGAACATCCTCTGAGCAGATGTCAAACAGATAAACAACTATGTGATTTTTAAAAGACATCTGGAGGGAAGTTTTTAGTGTGTGATGTTATGTTGTGCTTTGGGTCTCTCTTTTTTTGTTGGGAGTCACTCAGAGTGGCTGGGGCAACCCAGTCAGATTATTATTATTATTAATTGAATTTATATATCGCCCTATACCTGGAGGTCTCAGGGCGGCTCACAGAATAAAATCGAAATATAAAACCACAAAATACATAATCAAAATAAAAAACAAAAACCCAATAACCCCCCAAAAAACCCCACATTTTAAAAAGGCATAGAATATCAATCAAATCAACCAATAGCCTGGTTAAAAAGGAACGTTTTTGCTTGGTGCCTAAAGGTGTATAATGAAGGCGCCAGGCAAACTTCCCTGGGGAGAGCATTCCACAGATGGGGTGCCACTGCAGAGAAGGCCCCGTTCTCGTGTTGTCACCCTCCAGACCTCTCAAGGAGGAGGCACACAAAGAAGGGCCTCAGAAGATTATCTCAGGGTCTGGGTAGGTTCATATGGAAAGAGGCAGTCTGTGAGGTATTGCGGTCCTGAGCCGTTTAAGGTTTTCTAGGTCAAAACCAGCACTTTGAATTGGGCCCGCAAACTAATTGGTAGCCAGTGCAGTCGGACCAGGATTGGTGTAATATGCTCAAACCATCTTGCTCCAGTGAGCATCCTGGCCGCTGAATTCTGCATTAGCTGAAGTTTCTGAACCATCTTCAAAGGCTGCCTACGTATAACACATTGCAGTAATCTAACCTTGAGGTTACCAGAGCATGGACAACAGTAGTTAGGCTATCCCTGTCCAGATAGGGGTGTAGCTGGGCCACCAGCTGAAGCTGATGGAAGGCACTCCGGGCCACTGAGACCACCTGAGCAAAGGATCCAGTAGTATCCCCAAACTACAAACCTGCTCCTTCAGAGGAAGTGTAACCCCATCAAGAGCAAGCGATCGCCCATCCATCCAGTCTAGCAATCTACCCACTAACAGTGCCTTGGTCCTGTCTGGATTGAGTTTCAGTTTGTTGGTTCTCATCCAGTCCATTACTGAGGCAAGACACTGGCCCAGCAGTTCCACTTCCTTACCTGCAGATATAAAGGATAAATAGAGCTGAGTTTCATCAGCATACTGCTGACAACGTACTCCAAACCTCCAAATAACCCCACCCAGCAGTTTCATGTAGATGTTAAACAACACAGGAGATAGGATTGAGCCCTGCGGAACCCCACATTGAAGGTTCCACGGGGCTGAAAAGCATTCCCCAAGCAACACCCTCTGGGAACAACCATCCAAGTAGGGCTGAAACCACCACAAAGCAGTGCCACCCACCCATAGTTTGGGCAGTTGCTACCATTGTTGATGGTATCGAAAGCCGCTGAGAGGTCAAGAAGAATTAACAGGGACATGTTCCCCTTGTCTCTCTCTCGACAGAGGTTATCATACAGGGCCACCCCATCAGTTTCTGGGCCTAAACCCTGATCGAAATGGATCCAGAAAACCAGTTTCTTCCAAAAGTGCCTGGATCTGGTCTCCGACCACTCACTCCAGAACCTTGCTCAGGAAAGGGAGATTAGCAACTGGCCTGTGGTTAGTTAGGTTTTCCGAATCCTGGGAAGGTTTCTTAAGGAGTGGTTTTACCACTGCCTCTTTCAAAGAGACAGGGACCACCCCATCTCGTAAAGAGGCATTGATCACCTCCCTGGCCCAGCCAGCTGTTCCCTCTCTGCTGGTTTTTAGCAAGATGGACAGCATGTAATAAATTACTACTACTACAATCAGGACTTTTTCAGCTGGAACTTAGCAGAGTTCTGGCACCTCTCGGGTGGGCACCATTACCATTCTAAGAGTAAGAGGGTGGTGTTCATGGTGAGATCCTGCATCTCTTTTACTAGAAAATTAGCCCTGATTACTATTATTATGAACCAAGAAAGGAGATTCCTACTAAACATCAGGAAGAACTTTCTGATGGTAGGAGCTGTTTGACAGTGGAAAGGTCTCCTTTGGGAGGTCTCTCCGTCCTTGGAGGTTTTTAAGCAGAGGTTGGATGGTTATCCATCATGGATACTTTAGTTGAGATTCCTGCATTGCAGGGGGTTGGACCACGGGGTCCCTTCAAATTCTACCGTTCTATAAGTCTAAGGCAGGGGCAGGGGTCAGCAACCTTTTCCAGCTGTGGGCTGGAGGCAAGAGTCTGCACTACTTCTCACTACAAGGAGTCACTTAGACTGAGTAACCAGCCTGGACGGAAATAATTTAGAAGGCCAGGTGTGTCTCCGTTGGCTTGTGGGATCATATGGCAATGCTGAGTGTAGTACAGTGGTACCTTGGTTCTCAAACACCTTGGTTCTCAAACACCGAAAACCTGCCAGACCTTAAACTTTATTATGAATCAGCAGCTTTTTGCTGGTTGAAAGAATGGCTACTTCTTGAAAACACTGACATTTTGGATTTGGAAGGTTTTAATAATGTATTTGGATGGCATGCATATTTATGGTATGATAAGGTCAAAGCACACAAAGCATTTAAAAACCACATTGTCAGGAAAGCGCTGTTTAATGTTTGGATAAGATATAAGGATTTATTAGAAAACAAAACCCCAAGATGGCTGTCACCAATGGAAGCGAAAGCCTTGAAAAAGGTCAATATGGAGGTCAAATGGCCGAAATATTGGGAAATTTTGGAACAAGACGGAGATAGACTGAAATTGCAGAGTTTTGAAAAATTAAAAAACAAAGTGCGAGACTGGCTTCATTATTATCAAATAATGGAGGTATTTAAATTAGACAGGAAAATTGGCTTCCAGGTGGAAAAGTCGAAATTAGAAACAGAATTGTTAGAACCCAATACTAAGAATCTGTCAAGAATGTATAACTTGCTGCTGAAATGGAATACTCAAGATGAAACGGTAAAATCGGCTATGATTAAATGGGCACAGGACGTAGGACACAACATTATGTTTGCTGACTGGGAACAGTTATGGACCACTGGTATGAAATTTACGGCATGTAATGCCTTAAGAGAGAATATTATGAAAATGATATACAGGTGGTACATAACCCCAGTCAAGCTTGCGAAAATTTATCACTTGCCCGATAACAAATGTTGGAAATGTAAAGAAACTGAAGGTACATTTTTCACCTTTGGTGGACGTGCCCAAAGATTAAGGTTTTCTGGGAAATGATATATAATGAATTAAAAAGGTATTTAAGTATACCTTTCCCAAGAAACCAGAGGCCTTTCTCCTGGGCATAGTGGGCCAAATGGTGTTACAAAAGGATAGAACTTTCTTTATGTATGCAACAACAGCAGCAAGAATACTTATCGCAAAGTATTGGAAGACACAAGAACTTCCCACGCTGGAGGAATGGCAGATGAAACTTATGGACTACATGGAACTGGCGGAAATGACTGGCAGAATCCGTGACCAGGGAGAAGAGTCGATGGAGGAAGACTGGAAGAAATTCAAAGACTATCTTCAGAAACACTGCAAAATTAAGGAATGTTAGAGTGATGTTGGACTGAAAATAAGTGGTTTCCAGTTGTACAGGTTAAAGATAAGGATAGATTAAGATTAAAGACTAAGATTAAAGATGCTTAAAGAAATGGAAATTTGATAATAAAAGGGGAAAATTTGAAGCTATATGACATTAAGAGTAAGGATTAGGTTTAAAAAAGTGAAGTTATATATTTTAATATTTTATTAAATTAAAGATTGGGATTAAAAAAAGTGGAAAAGAAACTGCTGGATAAATAATGTGGATTGGAATACAAAAGAGGGAGGTATGAGGAAGTCCAGAAAATAAGTAATTTAAAATTGGAAATGGAAAAGAGAGTTTGTTTTTAATTGTTATGTTTTGTGTTTTTATTGTTATTGTTCTTTGTGTGTGTTGTTTTTCTTTTTTCTTTGTTTAAAACTTTAATAAAAATTATTAAAAAAAAAAAAGACAAATGCCAAAAAAAAAAAAAAAAAACGAAAACCTGGAAGTAAGTGTTCTGGTTTTCGAACCTTTTTCGGAAGCTGAACGTCCAATGCGGTTGTCAGCTATTGTTTCCGGGGCGCCTGCACCAATCTGAAGCCGTGCCTTGGTTTTCGAACATTTTGGAAGTGAAATGGACATCCGGAACGGATTAAGTTCGAGAACCAAGGTACCACTGTATTGCAGTTTAGATGACACCCTTGACCCACAGAGGCTGAGGGACCTGGATGAGGTGGTGCAGATGGCATGGTACTGGTGGCTGGTGGTCCCTCTTCAAGGCTCCATCTTATTCTTTATTCTGTAGGCCTTAATTAATGCCCCCTAATCTGCTCAGCCCAACCTTGTCACAGGTGTATGAGCTTGGGTCAAGATCTGAGCCAAACCCAAGGTTAGTTCTGCTGCTGTGGTGGTCCGTAGATTCTGGAATGGCTTGTAGAACTTCCTGCGCTGTTTCACTTCATCCAATAAAGAGGTATGGTACAGCTCTGATCTGAGGGCAGATGGGATCTCTTGGTGCCTTATTGGCTCTTCCATCCTTCCGAGCCTCTCGTTTTTTTTCTGACTAATGGTAGGGGCCCTTCTGAAGCTCAGCTTTTGCAGAGAGGACTCCAAACTCCTTTACCAACCCCTGCTGTGATGTCGTTGGCCCTCAGTAGGCAAGAAGGGCATTATCTCAATGACATGAAAAGGTTCACTTGCTGAATTATGCAGATCAAGCGGCTGTTAAAGGCGCCTGCAGTTATCTGTTCCCCCACCTTCACTGATAATCCTAATTGCAGAGTCACGGGGGATTCCCTGCTGACAAAATCTGAGGCCTAAGTAGTGGCTCCTGGAATTCAGTTAGTATATATATTTTAATAGATTTCAACATGGTTCTGATATCCCCCAAAGGGCCTAATTAATAAGAGTGTTGCCTATGGGATCCTTGCCTCCATATATTTCTCTCTCTCTCTGATGTAGGATCTAATTCCCTCTCCTCCTCTCCCCCCCCCCCATTTGAATTTCCCTTGCCAGTTGTCGGAAAGCATTAAGCGATGGGCTGCCACTGCCTCTGTGCCAAATGAAAACTGAATCCTTCTTTCGTAGCTGCCTGCCGGGGTGGCAGAGAAAGGGGGAGGGAGTGAATGGGTGGGTGGGAGGAGAAGAGCTGACCCTTTTTCTTAGATGTCTTCCCCTCCCCACTCTCCTCCTCTTTGGAAGCCTGTGTGTGTGTGTGTGTGTGTGTGTGTGTGTGTGGAAACAGTAGCTAGCTGTGTCGCTGAGAAATCACTGTGAGCTAAATGACCTTCTCTCTGTGACACAAGGGGGGTTGATAGTTGTATTCCTTTATGGGCAGCAGGTTTGGGAATGAGAGGGCAATGCTGAATATCTGAAATGAGATGGGGCCAGACTTCCCCGGACGGCCCTGGCAATCTCCTTTCCTACATTTTCTCTATTTTGTTACTTAAGCAACGTGGCGATTTTTACTGGGTTTTACCGGTCGCCTTTTCTGGGTGCTCAAGGCGACATGCTGTGGCGTTACAATAAAATCGCCCAAACCTGAAGCAACAGTAAAAATAATGGCTAATGAGAAGCTGAAGCTAGGTCCCCCCCCCTTTGAAAAATTGGGTCTTTAAAAAAATAAAATAAAAACACTGAGAAGGCGTTTAAAAACAGGACAGATAGTGTAATGGTTGAGGTAGTCAGGCCAAAATTAGATGTTACGTTACTCATGTTGTTAGCTCTTGTGCGATTGTTTTTTTTAAAAAAAATAATTTGCAGGGGGATGAGGTAGATCAGGACTGTGGCATGGGGGGAAAGGGGTGGTGGTGGTTATCCCTGTGCCCCTTCTGCTGTTCTAGTTGGAATTGGGGTCCTAACTGGAATCGGGGCTTTCCTTCCCCATTGCAAAGAGAAGGGCCTCTTGATCCCAATTGAGGCTATGACAAGACCAAAGGCTTAAAGGCCCCTTCCTCTCACCCCATGCCTCACAGCCTCTTGGACTGGGGAGAACTGAGTTTACACCCTTGTACGGCTAAGAGTGGATCCATAAGTCACAAAGGGTGGCCCAGCAAGATCAAAGCAAGCCGCTGGTTTTAATGGACAGCTCCACAGTAGAAAAGCAGTACTCAGAACTTCTAGTCAGCCATGGCCAAACTTGGCCCGCAAGCTGTTTTGGGAATACAACTCACATCATCCCTAGCTAACAGGACCAGTGGTCAGGGATGATGGGAATTGTAGTCCCAAAACAGCTGGAGGGCCAAGTTTGAACATGCCTGCTAGCTGAAAGGTCCAAGGAACCGGGGGGGGGGGGGGGAGAGAGGAAATTGTGCCTGAGGACTCTGGAAAGCATCCAGTCAGAATCAACTTTATTCGTCTAGATGGAGCAATGATCTAACAGGACTTCACATGTCTAAAACGTGGAATATGGACAGCATTGAAAGCTTACGAACAAGTTGAGATGTAACAGAATTGGCCTGCATCCTTTTCAGTGGTGTTTATAAAGTGAGCAACATATAGCAGCTTACTTTTGATATTTTAATCACATATATTGTGTTTAGCTTTTGCTATTGTTCTCTTATCAGACCTGTTTCTCCTCCCCTCTACTTCTTCTTAAAAAACAAAAAAAACAACCTACCAAAACATGATAGTTGTGGTTTCTTGCTGGGCCGCAAGCAGTCACCATTTCAAAGCAAAAGTTATAGCACAGCCTTCCCAAACCTGGTGGCTTCCAGATGTTGTTAGACTCTTTAACCCCTTTCAACTCCAGCCAGCATAGCCCAATGGTCAGGGATGGTGGTGTTTTTTAAGAGCCCAGCAACATCTGGGAAAGTCATGGGTTCCTCAGTCCAAGACTAGAGACTGGGACTGAGAGATCCATATTAAAGCTGTGAAGGCTTCTGGGTAGCCCTTGACAAATCACGCCTCAGTTTTCCCCTTCTAAAACGGGATTATTACTTGGAAGGTAAATGAGCACTAAAAAAAAGTGCTAAATTAGCACATGCAAAAAGGGGTCTGAGCTGCAAGACAGGCTTTCCTGTTCAAATCCCATCTTAACCACTTAGTTACTAGGTTGGTGGCCTTAATTAAGCCCTGGTCTCTCAGCCTCATTCCACTATTTGCATATATGTGTATAATGCTGCCTTTCTTAAGGAGCGTTGAGGATTGCTGAGATAATGCGTGTGAAGTGCTTTGAAACACTCGCGTGACATTCATATATTGCTCTTTATCACTAATAATGTTAATTATAGTCTGTATGTGGTGGTGGTGGGGCGGGTCTGGGTTTTGCATTAAGAGGGGCTTATTAGGTGGGAAGCCGGTTGCCTAGGCTTGGGCCTAGCTTTCTCAGAGAGCAAGACGGTGAAGTGGCAAACCTTTTCACCACCCCCATTGCCTGTTCCGCTTCAAACTGCGGATGGGGGCAGGAGGATAGATCAATAAATGTGCCCCTCCAGAACCCGTTACAAACCCCCTTCACCCGCCTGAGAGGGAGTGGAGATGAGGTTGTGGACAAGAGATAAGAGGAAGAAGGCCTCCGTTGCCATTGTGTAATGCCAAGGGGCCCTTTCGCACCACACACGCTGACCGTGTGCATCTGTCACGGTGCTTCTCGGAAGGCCAGGAGGCCCCCCAAGTCGTTGGGCGGAAGTTCCCTATCTAGCTGCATCGACCGCCAGTGCTTCCTCTTGAGAAGGACTTTGCAACATCCCTGTAGGGTGCGGAAACTGAAGCCCCCATTTCTCTCCCACAACAGGGACGAGGAACACAACAAGGCCTGTTTCCAGCCCCGCTGCTCCGTTACCCTTTGGTATTCCCTCATGCTCTAACATCGCCATGTTGCGATGATGGGTGCATTTTTAGAACGAAAACACTAAACAGGCTACATGGCAATGGGAATGGGGCCTCATCTATTCAGTGGCATTCCAGGCTCTTTCCTTACGTTTCCAGCTTTCCCTTTTAAATAAATAAATACATTTTCCATTTTGTAGGTTTCAGGAGAAATGTGCGGATGCTATTCTACCAAACTGTTTAGTAAGGAAGAGCCCTGCTCCCAGATTCTAGTCTCCCTGCCTGTGAGTACAAAAAACACTTGGGGAGATTTCAACAGCCTTTTTTAAAAATTAAAATTAAAATTGCCCTCACTGGGCGCTGAGCCTAGAGGGTACCGCAGGAGGCATCACAACAATGACTTAGAATGGAAGGTGGGGTAGGGGGCGCTGAATTTTGGCATCTCACAAGGCGCCTCTGAAGTTTTTGAAAGTTCTCCACTGGGGCTGCGTTTGGCCCCCGAGCTGACAAAGGTACCCCACCCTTGCCATGCAGGTCTGTTTCAGAAGTCGAAGAAGAAAAAGGACACCTTTCCCACTCTCCAGAACTGTATCTTCTCTAGTCCCTGGCTGCATAAGATGTTCCAGTTCCAGGCTGGAAGCTCTCTAGCTTGGGCCACTTTGAGGGCACCCTGAGCAGAGGGCTCTCTGGTGACCCAACCCCCCGTTAGTGGGCCCTGACAAGCCTTCCTGGACAGTGCTGGTGTTTGTGTGCGTTCTGTTGAAATTTACCACAATGTCCAGAGCGACCCTACATTGTAGGAACTGTAGGAAACTATACGGCAGCAGCTAAACCAAATCCATGAGCTGCTTCTCGCAGCAGCAGGCCAGAAAGAAATTAAGCTTTGCCTAGGGCTTGATTTGAGCCAAATTTATCTAGTTTCAGAAATGGCTAGTCCACCTGTGTGTCTCTTGTTACAAGTAGGGCGTGAAGCTGCTGGATATCTTCTCCAATTTTTCCCTCCCTTTAGAATCGTGTGGCATTTAGAGATACACTGCCCCTGCACATGGAGGCTCCATTTTCACAATCCCTAACAGTAGCCATTGATTTAGCTTCCATAAAAATTTGCTTGCCTAATCTTTTTTCCTTTCTTTTTTTAAAGCACCAGTGCTTCTTTCAAAGGTTCTTCTTTTGTCCCCGCCCCCCGTCTTTCTAAAATATTTTTTAAATCTCAGAGTCATTTAAACCTTGACTAATTATGTTAAGGCTGATTCCAGGGGACCTTTGACCCGCTCCCAGAATGGTTGCCATAGGTTCTGTTGCCCCCACCCCCGCCCAAGTTTTTGCTGCGCATGTAACTTGCATTGCCCAATGACATTGATTGTTTGCTTCAAAATCCGAGCCTTTCCCATGGCGTTTTTAAACAAGAAAATCAACCTTGAGATTGCTCAAGGGAGCTCCCTTTTGCCTCCGCTTCCCACTCAACAACAGAGAGCTGTCACAGAATCAAAAGTACGGAAGGGGGAGAAAAAGGGTGAGGTTGGGGGAGAAACGTCTGGCTGCTACTTTCGCAGAAAAGCTATTTTTCCTGTTTTTCTGGGTGGGTTGGGACTTTGCATGCAGAGACAGAAAAAGTGAGAAATGTAGATTTTTCTCCGCTGAACTTGATGCAGCGCTACACTTTGCAATTGCTGCAAGGACGCAAGGGTGTTACACCCATGTTCCTGCAGCCAACAAGTGAAGTGTGTGATTCAACGCCCATGTAAACATATGACTGGAAACCCTGGTCCAGGCAACTATGCAGGGGTCTAAAGAGGCGTATATGTGCAGGTATATCGTTCACACTTCGCATGTTGTGGACAAGGTTGATGCCTGCAGCTGTTCCTTTGGCTGCTGTGGGGCTGATCACCAAATCCTACTTGCGCCCACATTTGAATCCGCCACCAGGGAGGTGAGCACTGGTGCTATTTTAATTTTCCAAGATTGCCCCAAATGTAGTGTGACTGTGGATATTCTGCAAACTTTAAATGGGTGTTGTTTGGAATACTGCTGCCCCAACAGAGAAGGGAGTCCCACCAGATATCACTTTGCCCCGGATGTTCCCAGGCCAGCCCTGCATACAGGCAGCAGCAGTGTTACAACAAGGTCGCTTGCACCAGTTGCACAGCTACCCAGAAATATTTGTGGCACAGTGTGTGTGTGTGTGTGTGTGTGTGTGTGAGAGAGAGAGAGAGAGAGAGAGAGAGAGAGAGAGAGAACAGGTGTGTGGGTTGTGCACCTTGGTTCCAATGGGCAGAGGCGACAAAATAACTAAAATCTTTCGTTGGACTGAGTGAGTTTGTTATTGGAACCATAGCATTGGAAGGGACATCTAGTCCAACCCAATATTTTGCCCAACGTGGGGCTTGAACCCACAACCCTGAGATTACGAGTCTCATGATCTACTGACCGAGCCACACACTCTTGTGTGCGGACTTTGGAATTCCGTAAAAATTAGCAGCAGCCAGATTTGAAAAGGAGCAGAACCTTGGTTACATGAATGTGCCTGGAGAAAAAAAAGGAAAGGTTTTTGTTTTTTTTAATGTACGAAAGCATTCTTTTTTTGGGCGTCCACCTAACAAGCAACACAGCCTGGATAAATTCCACATTTCGCCTAATCCAGCATAGTTTGTGGGCATTTTGGAAATCTCAACCTCGTTGTGAAAACTGCCTTCTACATGAAGAGACCGAAAGCTCGCTCTCCGAACCCAAAGGATCGATTCCTTCTCCCAGCCTGCCTTGACTCATGCTAGCCCAGAGAGAGAGAGAGAGAGCGCGCCCTATGCCGTCAGTTCATGACCTCCAGATATAGGTCAGCTGTTTTCCGGATCAATCGTCGGGCCCGCCTGTCACAGGCCCAAGCGGAGGGAGTTCCTCTCTTCGCTTGATGTTCTTGGAATCGGAGGGACGCGCTGGCAAGCCACGTGACCTGGCCCTTTTGTGTTTTTTTGCTTTATATTGCGGTCTCTCTCTCTTCACCTCTTGCAAGGAGACGTGTCTGTTTCACAATAGCTTGTCCTGTCGCCATGCCGATGGGAGTGTGCATTGCAGGGCGAGGCATTCTTGGACATACATCTGGCGTGACCTCCCCTGGCGCCTCGGTGTTCTTGGGCTCTGCTTTGAGAGACCTGACATGATACTGTTGGGTAACCCCGGGCCGTGGATTTGTTGTGGGGACAGGCACTGCAAGTGACTCAGTGTCTCTCCCACTCCAGGGACCACACTCCGTTTCCTTTGCTTATGTCATCCTTGTGGCATCCTCCGTCCGAACCAGAGCTGCTGGCAGTCTCAGCAGCTGCTGTCCCTAAATGCTTTGGATTCCAGTTGGGTTTGCTAATGGAGGGGCTCAAGATAGATCCTCTTTGGGGGAGCATGTGCCCAGGGAACAAGTACGTATTTATTTGCACGTTCGTTTGCACACCCGTTTTCGCACAGGTATTTATTCTGTATGTCCCTTTGCCTTATCCTTGGTTTTGGATCTCTTGAACGTGCTGGCGGCATGCAGGGTTTGCCCTGGTCGTGACATTCACTCAGAGGCAGTCAAGATTCCCGTACAGATGTGTGCAGGCAACTCCCGGCCTTTTTGCTAGCTCACTCTTGCTTGCTGGACTCTGGAACCTAAAATCTGGGTGTTCATTTTGTGTGGGGTGAAACCTGTAGTCTGAATAGTTTTGGAGAGATATTGGAAGATACGATGGTGAGAAATGAAAGGTTTGGGATTAAGCATACAAAACGTCCAAAATCAATGTTTTCAGCCAACCTCTCCCCCCCACAAAAATAGACGCAAGTTGCAGTTGCTGCAATAAATTGCCCAAATGTTTACAATCTGCATAGATGTGATGGTCCAGATCTCCACCTTGGCTCCCCAGATGCTCTTGAACCACAACTCCCATCATTCCTGACCACTGCCCATGCCGGCTAGGAATGATGGGAGTTGTAGTCCAACAACATCTAGGCACCCAAGGTTGAGAAAGGCTGGTCCAGAATCCAGATATATATGGCTGCCTGATTCATTTTACCTGGGGGGTTCATGGAAGAGAGCATTCTGTCCTCAGAGGTGGTGAGCCTTCTGTTCACCCACAAACCATAGATCTATGCATTTGCTGGAACATTTACTCAAACCCAGGCAGACATCTGTTTGTGTCTTCAGCTAGAAAGGCACTTAGGTGGGCAGAGAGTGATGGCACAGGCTCTCCTACAAAAGGAGGCTGAATTTATTTTCCCCTTGTCTCTCTGCACACATTTTAAAATGCCCAGATTAAACCTGCACAGAGCAGGTGCACATTTGACTTTTGTTATATTGATTGCCATCCATGCAAACCTGTTGGGCCTTGCATCAAGGTATATCACCTGTTGACATGTCCAGCTGCTACTAGGCATACACATTTGTCTGTATAATGTGTGTATGTGTATATATAGATGTATGCATGCATGCGCGCGCGCGCACGCGCACACACACACACACACACACACACACATATTAAGTGTTTATTTGTTTATTGTTATATTTATATCCCACCCCTCTTCCAAGTAGCTCAAGGTGGTGTGCATGATTTTCCCCTTCCCCATTTTATCCTCGCAACATGGAAACTAGAAATTCAAAATTGTTTTGCCATGACTGCTGTGGCCTAAGGAACCCTCGGAACTGTAGTTCGATCAAAGGTGTTTATAACTGTCTGCTGGAGGTCCCTGGCAGCTTTGTGGAACTATCAGACCCAGAGTTATTTTCATATTTAATTGTAAATATTTTAAAGCTGGTTTTCTAGTCTTGGTAGTAATAGCGGAATGAGTTCCAAACAGTGCGATGAGGCACACCATTGCACCATAAGAGAACTGAAAGCTCCCACCTGCTCACAGATTAGGCTGCCTCTTGTCTCTCTGTGTGATTGATTGCTCTGGCCTTGATTCCTTACCATCAGTCTCTGCTGTGAGTGGATATTTCTGCCACACCTGTACACTGAGGGAGCTTGAATTATTCAGATGCTCCAAAAGCAAATGCAGCAGCCTCTGAGGAGGCTACCCGTTGTTTCTCTGAATGAGTATCTATGCTGGGTTTACCTCCTTCCATGTAGAAGCGATGTCCAGGTCAGTGCCAGAAACACACAATGTGGTCTCCTATGGGGGTAAGTAATGCTTACTCTTTCCATACTCTAAAAACAATAATATGGGATTTCCATATTCTGATGCCCAGAGATATAGCATGTTTGTTTGGTGCACAGTGTAATCCTATGCATGTCTACTTTGAAATAAGTCCTGTTTTGTTCAGTGGCTCTTGCTCACTAATTGGCTGTTTTCATGATTTCAGCCTCATATTTCATGTGCATAATTAGAAATATGTCATGCTAATTTCATGTGTCGTATAAAATATCTGAAAAGTTGTTCTGGTAGCCAAAAGTAGTTTGTCTGAAATAATTTGATTTAAGGGGGAAGGGGGCAGGATCTATAAATGGCATTTATTGCACATTAAGTTTTATACTCAAAACAAGTGCAAAGCTTTAACCTAGAAATTATTTTTATTGGGATATTTGTAAATATTTTAAGACATGTTAGTTCAGTAGCATACACTTCCCTAATGTTATTTAGATTTTAAGAAAAAGGAGGAAGGCACTGAAAACTGTTTCAACATATGTTGAATAGCTGTGTGCATGAATATGTGTCCTTGGAAGAATCACCGGGGAAAAACGTTAATTGCAGATTTTAAAAAATTGAGTAGTACAGTATTATGTCCTTTCCACTTTCAATTTTACTTTTATTGTGTTAGTTCATTATGTTACTATGAGGAAAATACATTTCTAAAAAAGAGAGTGGGAATCCGTGGAAAAATTTAGTACTGGATTTTTTCCTGGGGAAGAGATTAATACCGCACACCACTGTTTAAAAGCAAACTTCTTTCAGATGTGTGAGTAGAGTGGACAACTCACAGAATTTTAGGAAGCAATTCTTGCAGAAAAATACCTGGAAGTGAGTAGAGTTGGGTCTTTTTCCCAGCCCTAGTTGAAGATGGAGCCTGGAACCTTACTCATGCACAGCAGATGTGCTACCACTGAACTATGGCTTTATAGGGCTGCCCGCCACTCGTATGATTTAGTTGATTATAGGCACATTTGCACATTACTAAAGACTTCATTGTCCCTTTTGAAGCATATTGAAAGAAGTGGGTGTGCAGTTGTTAAAGTGTGTTTTGGACTTCCCAGGTTGAAATCCTTGCTCAGCTACAAAGCTCTCCAAGTGACATTGAGTACGTCTGCTCAGGTTTCCTTAGAAATCGGGGGTAAAATGTGATAAACGCTACTGCGCATTAATTAGAAGGAAAAGTTGCCTTCTAATATTTTGCTTTTTCATTCCCTGCTCGAGTACACCAGGAACAAAATAGGTTTTTTTTATAAATCTAACAAGGGTGCCCTTCCATCTTGGTCTTGGTGTATGTGGACATGCTGGCTGGGGCAGAAACATGCCTGCTATCGTGGCTCCACTTCTAGAAGGAGCCACGCATGTTGCCAGCACATAACTGCCCGTGTTAGCAAACGTGTTGTTGCCATGCGCTTTCGGCATGCGCTAAGACTTGGCCACTGTGGCACATTCCTTGATAACATCTAGATCAGATTACCGTAACATCGCTTTGCGTGAGGTGCCTTTGAAGAATTTTTTGGGAAACTTCAGCCGGTCCAGTAGAAGATGACGGCTGGATTGCTAACTGGAGTTGGCTGCAGAGAGCGTATATCGCATGTGCTTAAAGTGGTACGCTTAGCTTGCAGTGAAGTGAGCTTCCAGGAGCAAATTCAGCCTGCTGGTTTTAACCTTTAAAGTCCTCAGCTATAGGGCAGCCGGGGTACATTCAGGAATGCTTTGTTTGTGTGGAATCCCAAGGCGATGGTGTTAAAGAACCTTATTAGGAACTCTGATTTGGAAAAATCAGTCATTTGTGTTCACATTTTGTTAACTGCATTTTAAATCCCACCTGTCCTCCAAGTTGCTCAAGGCAACAAATGCATTTCTCCCCTGGTGTCCTCACAACAGCCCTGTGAGGTGGGTTATGCTGAGACTGGCTGAAGATCACCCAGTGAGCTTCATGGCTGAGTTGGGTTTGAACCCTTGTCTCCCAGGTCCTAGTCCAACACTCTGACCACAGTCCCACCCTTGCTCTCTTGTCATGGCAGACAAGCTTCCTGGAAAGACATACTGTATTTTTATCACCATCTTCCCCTGCAACCCCCAGATGCAGGAGAGTGTCAGAGAGGTTCTAAAAGTGCTGGGCTTAAAAGTGGATCTGCCTGATGGGAAATAGTTATAAATCCTGCTCAAAAGTCTAAAGGTCCTGCCTTTATATGAGAGGCCACAGGGAGCTGGGTCACCTTAATGCGGGGGCTTATCCTTGTGGAATTTGCATCCCAAGGAGAGGGTGATATTAAGAGGGTGGTGGAAAACACCCTGTGGTCTTCATAGTTCTTATCTGATTTATTTATTTTTTTAAGAAGGTGGGTGCTCTTGCGGTTTAAATCTTCTCTTTTTTCCTGCGCATTGTTGTATTTATAGTCAGTACTGTGTGTTAGCTTTTGCCATCTTGAGGGCCTGTTTTTTGGACTGCAAGGTAGGGTGAAAACTTTTTTAAAAGAGAGAGAGCAAATGCGTGCAAATGTTCCCGTCCACCGACACATCTGCAAGATCATGCAAACACTTACGCCTAGCCTTCCCCCCCAATCCTGTCACTCATCCTCCCTCTTGCCAGATGTTGCTGATTTTTGTTTGTTTGTTTGTTTTTTTGTTAATCAGCTTGCGTTGTCCCTACCCTCTGCAAAGTGTTCTCTGGATTAAACCTAAGCAGGGCTGAATCCTCACGCAGGTCACTTAACGCCATTCCCTGTAACTCCATTCCCCCCCCTTCTTCTGTCTGTCTGCTTGCCAGATGGGTGCTGGTTGGCAGCCTTGATCATGCTGCAGTCTGGGGGTGGGATTGGGAAGAGAAGTAGTGGTTCCCCAGTTGAGTAAAGAAGCTTACAGAACCACTCCAGTTGGAAGGGATCTCATCAGATCCCTTTGCCCTAAGCCCCACACACACCCTGAACCATCTCCAGCAGATAGCAGCCCTGGCTTGGAAAACCACCTATGGAAAGAGGTGCTTCTTGCTATTTGTGGGGATGTATAATCTGTGGCCCTCCAGATGTTGCGGAACTCCCATCACTCCAGACAGCGTGGTCAGTGGCTGGGGATGTTGTGGTCCTGCAACATCTGGAGGGCCACTCGTTCCCCACCTCTGACCTGCCTCCTCAAGACTGCTTGTCCTAGGGCTGGACTTCTCTGAAAGGTGGAATGTTCTTCCCTAATGCCCAACCCATATCTACCTCTCTGTAATTAATTATTCCTACAGCAACATCAGTGCGCACAGTGCTTTTCAGAGAGTGCAAGTCAACTGAACCTTGCCCCCAAGGAGCTTACAATTTAAAATATGACACAGGAGAAATGAAAGAGGGGGAGGATGTACGAGAAGTTCAGGTACCTAGGACTAGTTGCAGAAGGATATAGAAGCTTTGGGGTTCTGCCAAGGCCTTCATAAGAGAAGTGGTTTTTGAGGGCCAGTGCTTCGTGGCTTTGCATGCAGGAGCTCCCAGATGTGATCCCTGGCATCTCCAGGTAGTTCTGGGAATTGTCCCTTGCCCCCGGAGAGGTCTGTTCAAGGTAAGGAGAGGCCATAGAGGAGCCCAAGGAGGCAGTTCTATGCATGAGCAAGGGGACAATGACAAGCATAAGGAGACCTTCAGATGACTGAGGATGGTGGAGCTGGAGGTGCAATGGTCATGGACAGAGACACATCAGGATATAAGAATGGGGAGATATTGGTGCGGGGGAGGCCGTTGAAGACTTTGAAGTTGGGGCCAAGAATCTTGTGCTGGATCTGGGCGAGGGATCATAATTCAGTGACATTGTGTGGTTTGCATGCAGCACCTGGTCCAATTTATTTTAATTTTTTTGCATCAGTTGATTCATGAAACACACCTGGAAAGCTCCTGCCAATGAGTGTAAATTGTACAGTGGTACCTCTGGTTACGAACTTAATTTGTTCTGGAGGTCCGTTCTTAACCTGAAACCGTTCTTAACCTGAGGTACCACTTTAGCTAATGGGGCCTCCTGCTGCCGCTGTGCCGCCGGCGCGTGATTTCTGTTCTCATCCTGAGGTGAAGTTCTTAACCCGAGGTACTACTTCTGGGTTAGCGGAGTCTGTAACCCAAAGTGTTTGTAACCCAAGGTACCACTGTACTGGGTTGGACGGACACTCTGCTATCATGTAAAGCAACTTCCTGTGTTCCCATGGGAGCAGACAGGAAGCCTGTGTAGGGATGTGAGGAGGGGCATCATGTTATCAGAGCAACGAGAGAGATGAATGATTTGGGCATCAGAGTGATGGATCGAGAGACGTGCCTGGTCCAAAGTGATACAGTAGAAGGAGGAGAGGAGATAGCAGCAGTTACTCCAGGTGAGACATTAGCAGGCCATGGAAGAACGTTTTTTTCCTGAGGTTTTTTTTTTTTTAAAAAAATTAAACACTTGGCTTCTTACTGAAAACTGCAACTAGTCTTTTTTTTTCCTGGTGTGCTTTTAAAATATTTCAATGCCATCATCTGTATCCCCCTCTCCTTGGCCCTTTATGCCATGAATATATCTGGTTCCTTTAGCCTGCCCTGGTGGGTTTGGCACCTGAGACCCTTTTCCATATTAATATACAGTGGTGTGGACTTTTCCCTAGGAAGGCTTGTGCTGCAGTCAGTGAGTGGGGTTTTTGCACACAAGGTTTAAATTGGTTTGGGCTTACGTTGTGGTGCAACGAGAGTGGACAATCTGATTCCTTTTGCAACATCTGTCATTTTTTCTGTTTCGTTTGTCGCCGTCTCGTGTGCAAATGGCCTTAGTCTTGAGGATGCCACACGAGTTGCAGCTGCTCTTCTGGAGTTTGTCTTCTCTCTTCTGAGTCTCCCCTCCCCTTAGTTTGTCAGCTTTGTTTTTGGAACGGAGTGGGCAGTCTAAAAAGCCGCCTGGGGAATTAAGGCCCCTTCTGCACTATACATATAAAGTGGTATCATACTACTTTAAACAATGATGGCTTCCCCCAAAGCATCCTGGGAACTCCGGTTTGTCAAAGGTGCTCCCATTCCCCTCATAGAGCTATAATTCTCAGAGTGGTTTCACAGTCAATCCCTCTTCCATGGAAACTCTGGGAACTGTAGCTTTGTGAGAGGAATGGAAGCACCCTTAAGAAACTGCAGCTCCCAGGTATTTTTGAAGGGAGCCATGATTGTTTAAAGTGGCATGAGACATCTTTAAATGTATATCTTACATATATGTCATGCAGATTGGAAAAATTTCTCATTTTTGCATATCAGTGTTTTGTTTTTGTGGGTCGTGGGAAGGGCACTGAAACTATGGAAATCTTTTAAACATTATACCTCTCCGGCATCTTGCCATTTCTGTAGGTACAGTGGTACCTTGGTTCTTGAACTTAATCCATACCTGGAGTCCGTTTGACTCCTGAAACCATTCAAAAACCAAGGCGTGACTTCCGATTGACTGCAGGAGCTTCCTGCACTGAAGCAGAAGCCACGTCGGATGTTCGGCTTCCGAAAAACGTTCACAGACCGGAACACTTACTTCTGGGTTTGAGGCGTTCAGGAGCCAATTTGTTCAACAACTAAGCCTTTTGAGAACCAAGGTATCACTGTATTGTCCAGGGGAACTGTATCCATCCACACTTCCTTTTGTGCTGAGCTTCCTAAGCACAGGTGCGGGATTTCCAAGTCCATGTCCGAGCGATTCTTTTTTCCTTCCGCCACTGTCCCAGGGGAAATCTGCACTTTACCACTGAATCGGAACCAACCGCAATCCACGAAAAACCTGGTTGCAGTTTGCTCCGATCCAGTGATAAAATGCTGGTTTTCCTGGGAAAAGTGATGGAATCATAATTTTTTAAAAACCCACTCAGACATGGACCTGGAAATCCTTTTGTGCTGCACGTATAGACACAGCTCCTGGAAGTGTGGACAAGGCCTAAGTTCTCAGAATAGACCCATTGAATTTAACCAAAATTAAATTAGTCATGTCCTGATTTCAGCACTCTAAGCATGACTAAGGTTGGATGCAAACCTGGTGTGTTTTAAAAACCTATATTTGCAAAAAGGGGGATACACACAGTTGAAATATTCAGAGTGTTAGCCCTGATGGCCTGTGTTGCAGCAAAAGCAACAAAGAATCTTGTAGCATCTTAAAGACTATAACACAATTATTACGGCATAAGCTTTTGTAAAATAAAGCCCACTTCATCAGATACACAAAGTGTCCTTCTCAGTTGCAAGCTATATTTCCATATGAGTGGGAGGGTTTGTAAGTAGTTAGGTCAGAGGGAAATGAAACGCAAAAAGCACAACCAATTAGAACTTGAATGCATGAAAAAGAAAGCACAGTGACCCTTCAGAACAGCAGTGATAGGTAATAACATAATCAACTTAGAAATTAATATCTTTTGTCTCTATTCAGAACCAAATGAATGGAATTTAATTCTTTGATTAAGTGTAAGCATTGGGACTTCGCTTTCAAGTTCCATTGTTCAAGGACTACCATCTTTAAGATGGTGGCCTGGTAGCTTGAAATGTCTCCTGCCAAGTTTCTGTTTATAGCAGAGGTTTTCAATCTTTTTGGATCCATGGATCCGTTGACCAGCTACATTCTTTCTTTGGCACCCCTGTGTGGCTCAGAAGCCCAGTTACGTCACCCCTTGCCTACAGAACTGGTAGCCTCTCACCCTTTTTTGAACACCCTCCCTTGTGGAGTGTCCCCTTAGCCTCCTCTCCTCTCCTCTCCTCTCTCCTCTGGGCAGCCACTGCTGCCACCCCTGGTCTCTGAATTGCACCCCCTTGCCCCAAAGAGAGGTACCTCCTCACACTGCCTCACAGGAGCCTGGGAAACAACCCTTGGCCGGCCCCAGAGACACCATTCACCTGGGGAGCTTGTAGCCAGGGCTGCTGCAACAAACAGCTGTCCAAACCTTTGGGAGGCAGAGACGCAAAAGGGCATCAGAGGCGGGAGGGCAGAAAAGAAAGAGGGACAGAGACCAGTGTTACCCATGCCACCCCGATCATCATTCAAGGCACCCCAGGGTGCCACGGAAAACCACTGGTTTATAGTATTGCCATTTCTGTTGTCAGATTTGCGTCCATTGATTCTTTTTCACAAGGACTGGCCCATTTGTTCTGGCTAATAATAATAATAATAATAATAATAATTTATTTATACCCCACCCTCCCTGGCCAGGGCTAGGCTCAGGGCAGCTAACACCAAATATGAATTACAAACAAACAAACAATTAAAATACGGCTTAAAATACAGCTTAAAATACATCTTAAAATGCAGTCTCATTCCAGTAGTAGCCTATAAATCAAGACCATAAAGGGAGGAAACATCAGATATTCACCCGAGCCAGCTATCCATGCTGGTCCTACATGGGCCAGCAAAAAAGCAAAGGGAAAATTTATATACCAAATCCCATATAAGGGGTCAGAGTGAGTCTAAGCTGAAGGCCAGTCGGAACAGCTCCGTCTTGTAGGCCCTACAGAAAGATGTCAAATCAAATGCAGAAGGGCATTTCTGGCTGATGATAGCATGTATCCCATTGGAAGATGAACTACTGAAAATTCAGTTTCTTGAGAAGCTTGATTCTGTGAACTGCAGGCTGGTGATAGAGTTAGCTTCTGAGTCTTGGAAGCCTCCTGTCAACAATCGCAGCATTGTAGTGATGAGTTGTGTTTGGTTTCTTACCTGCTTGGAGAACTCTTAAATCAGCCTTCTTCAACCTGGAGCCCTCCAGATGTCTGGGACTATTAAGTCCCATTAGCCCCAGACAGCACAGCTGTTGTAGTGCAAAAACATCTGGAAGGCACCACGTAGGAGAAGGCTGCCCTAAATCTTTCCATGGAGTGCTTCTGGCTGACTAGTCGTCCTGTACCTTGTACCTGTTCCTTTGGCTCTCCGTTTGGTCTGCTTATTGCTAATTGCTGAAGTGAGCGAGCTTCCTCTAAAGCATCTTACCTGCCTGATCCACTTTAGGCCACTAAGCTGACAGGTTGTGGAAATGGCTGGTGCAGGAAGTGGCCATTGTGTTAAGCTTCACAACGCGGCCTTTGGCATGGTGGTTTGTGATGGTTTCATGTCACTTCTCCATTTGGGCCGCAGAATGTTAAGCCTAAGAGTTTCCTGTGTGTTCATTGCACATCTTTCGACTTTTTTTAAAAAAACAACAACAAAAAAACCCCTGAAAGCTTCTAGCCCTCGTGGTGAAACAAAACCTTTGAATGAAAGCCTGGCTTTGATTATTTTTGATGCATGGGATTAGATAAACGGTATCCTGACCAAGGCTTTTGGAAATTGCTCGTATTCTTCTGGACTTCCACAGAAATCTTATGCATGTTTACTTGGAAGTAAGACCCACTGTATTTAGTGGAGCTTAGTCCTCGGTAATATGTCAATAGGATTTGAGACTTAATTGGCTTATGATTTATTTATTTATTTGGGTGGATATTCATGCTGATATGCAAGAGCCATTATTTTAAATGTGCATTTTGTAAAGGGGAGTTGACTTTTTTTTTAATTAAAAGAATCTAGTTTTGAGATGGAGGGAATTTGATTGTGAACAGCAGGTTGTGCATAGGGATTTGTGTGTGTGTGTGTGTGTGTGTGAGAGAGAGAGAGAGAGAGAGAGAAAGAAATTGACTAGTGCAGAAGATCAAGGGCTGCCTCTCTCCATATGAACCGACCTGGACCCTGCAATCACCATCTGAGACCCTTCTTTGTGTGCCTCTTGCAGGAGAGGTCCGAAGAGCGGCAACATGAAAGCAGGCCTTTTCTGTGGTGGCTCGCCACTTGAAGAATCCTTTCCCCAGGGAGACTTGCCTGGTGCCTTTGTTACATGTCTTTAGGCACCAGGCAAAAACATTCCTCTTCTTCCAGGCCTTTGGCTAATTAAACCATCTTTGGCCTTTTAAACTGTGTGTGAGAGAGGTGTATGTATGTGTCATTTTTGTTTGTTATTATAATATGTATTTTTGTGTTTTTTATATGTGATCTTCGGATAGAAATTTAATCAATAATAACTGTAATAGTAATCTTCAAGCCAGATCCCAGAAAGAACTAATGGCATATCACATCGTTGACAGCCTTAAACATAGTGAAAGACTGTGCAATGCCTTACAACATGATGTGGGAGTTGAGGTGTAAGCGTTAACAAATCCTATTCATTTTAGGGAATGAGTGACTTATAAATAAATTCTGCTTTTGCACCTCATCTGGTTTCAAATATTCTGCCGGGCATTGACGATGCACACTCAAAAGTTTGCTTGCCCAACCTTGAGGTCTAGAAACTTACTTTCTCATAGAGGAGCCTGAGATTCTCTGCAAACCGGAAGAGGAGATACTAACTGGTGGTGTATAGAAATCATTTCGCTTTCCTTCCCCCACATGCTGTGGCAGGGGGAAGGAACCCATTTGCTTATTATCCCGTTAGTCTCGGTCCTCCCCACTTATCTCATTGCTGCCAGTAAATTTCAGCTGCAACCTTATAACCAACCCCAACCTCCTCCCTTGCACTGCTGTTTATAATCTCCGAGATTTATTATAGGCACATGGATTCTTCTTATTGCAGCATGCAAACACCCCCACGCATCTATCCCAAGTTGCTTCTTTGCTCCCTTGTGTGTGTCTCTCTGTGTGTGTTATGCCACACTACAATATCGCAGCAGGGTTCCCCTGCTACACACACACACACACACACACCCTCCTTCGGCCACCACTTTGTTTCCAGGTGCAGCTTGGCTCCCTCTCAGCCCTGGACTTCGGCCGTGGCTTGTTTTGCAGCTGCAGAAGTCCTGAGTCAGCAGGAAAAATCCTTGCTGGGTGCAGGGATGGTGGGAACTGGGAGCCAGCCAGGCGGTTGCATGTTAAGAGGGTTGTTTAAACGGCTGGAAAAGGGGAGCCAGTTTATCTCCTGCAGTGACAAATTTTCTGTTTCGTTCGGGGCTTAATTTGAACTTGGAGCCTGGCCAAGGCTAACAGCCCTGGAACCTACTTGCAAAGGGTGGTGCAGAGATGTGCTTCCCTTCTCCCTAAGAAGAAGAAGAAGGAAAAAGGGAGCCTCTGAACATGGGCAGAGCACTTTCCCTTCTCTGCCAAGGAGCCAGAATAACATCTCGTGAATCTTGGGTTAAGAAGAAGGCCAGCTTTCTTGGCAGAGGTGAGGATGATGTGCAGGCAGAACTGAGACCTAGAGAATCTGGAGCCTGAGAAACGAAGCACAGTTTTGTCTACGTGCCAGAACGACTCCTGACAGAACCGTTCTCGCTGATTCTTCCTTCCTGTGCTCCAGTGACGGTGGCCTAGCCCCATAACCCTTTAGCAGCCGGTGGTTGCTGCGGTCTGATGAAGATGTGCTATCCAGTAATTTTCCACGCAGGTGCAATATTTATTATATTAGGGTTCTTTCCCTCCCTGGCACGCCCCTCTTCCGATGCTATCAATCATGGTATCTAGACTGTGCTGCTGGAGTAACATGAGGAGGAGCTGTAGTATCTCTCTGTGTTTGAGGGAGGACCATAACTCTGTTGCAGAGGATCTGCTCCTCCTGCTCCTTGATCTAGGAATGTCCATTGTCTAAAACCTTCAGGAGCTGCTACTGGTCAGTGTGGGCGATGCTGAGCTAGATGGACCAGTGACCTGACTCTGTGCAAGGTAGCTTCCTATGTTCCTATGAGGCATGGTGCTACAGTGCCTCTGACCTTTCTGGAGGGCTGGATCTGAAAGGTGATGTTGCACCTCATGGCTGTTGGGGTGGCTGCCTCAGGGTTCCAGCCTTCCCCTCATGCGTTCTGAAACATCTATGTGAAATCTCTAGAGCAAGTCATCCAGAGGTTTGAGATGAGCTGTCACCACCAGCGTGCAGAGAACACTCAACTCCTTTCCATTTGCTAATCCAAAGGAGGTAGGGTTGGGGTGGGATGGTAGGGCAAATATCTTGAAACTTAATCTAGATAAGATGGAAGTACCGTTGGTTGGGAAGACCACTAATGCAAACCGAGGTTTGCAACCAGTTTTCGATAGGGTTGCACTGACCCTGAAGGAATCGGCTATTTGGTTTTACTCTTGAGTAAAAGCGAAATTAAAGAACCTAATTGAGGGCTCATCCAAGTTTCCACTTGTCCCGAGCAGATCCACTAAAGGTTATCTTGCAAATGCTAGAGGTGTTCAGTAAGTGGTCTTGGTCATCACCTAATTTTTACAGAAGAGACACTATGAGCCTCCTGCCCCACCATCTTGCAAAACAAACCACCAGGAAGGCCCGTTGCCACGTGCACCAGTCATCCAGCATGCTTCCTTTTGCCTCCAGGTTCACAGTCAGTGTTATAAATTAGCCAGGCGCCAGGTGCGTTTTTTGCGACTGGGCGCGGATCCACATGTGACCACCTGGGAGATCTTTGGATGCCCGGTTGGCAACTAGGGAAAGCAGAATGTCACTTAGAGAAGGATCTGACATATTTTCCTTGAAACTTGAAATTCTTTTTATTCTGGATTGTTTCATTTGAAGTTTTAATGTGTTGCAAACTGCTTTGAGATTTGTTCTTTAAAATATAAAGCGGTATAGGAATGAAGTGAATAAAAATAATACTAATAACGAACTTCATTGGAAAAGAAATGCGCCTAGACATTCCATTGTGGCGACCGTAACCTACGTTAAAGGCGCCTTTTAGCGATTAGATTATACTGTATATTTGAATTTCTAACATAGTTGGCAACTGCTTGGGGTGTGTGTGTGCAGGAGGTAACTCAGTGGTAAACCATTTGCTTTGCATGCAGAAGGTCCTTGGTTCATTTCCCCCCAGCACCCCTAGGTAGGGCTTGGAAAAATTCCCTGCCTACAATGCTAGAGAGCCACTGTTAGTCAGAGCACACAATACTGAGCTAGATAGACCCAGTAGTCTGACTCAGTATAAAACAGCTTCCTCTGTTCCCATGCTTTTAAGGTTGCAGTATTTGACCCTGGAGTACCCCAGTTGATATTCCCTACTCGATAACTTGCATGCTGCTGTGCGGATGAAGTATAGAATTGGAGTGTGTGTGTGTGTGTGTGTAATCTCTGAAATTATGTATTTTGACCACACAGCATTTTAATGGCTTCGATTCTAGCGATAGCCGGTGTTTGTGTGCTGTGCGGGGGAATCTTGGAAGTCACGCTGACCTTCAGATCCGCAAGAGCGTTGGCCATCATTCCAGACACTAAATCTGCAGGCGTCAGTTATATGACATGCTCTGTGAACTGGATTATATACGAGTGTTTGTACATATATTTATATTGTGTGTGTGTGTGTGTTTTATCTGTTTGTCTTTTTTCTCCAGTTTGAAACCCTCTGGTTATTTGGCACAGTAGGAATTCTGTGTGCTTTTATAGGAAATGATTTGCATCTCTTGTGTTTTGGCCCGCTTTTGATGTTATTGAAATTAGTTGCTGTATTAAATCTCTTTTTTAAAAAAACAATGACAACGAAAACTAAAATGACAGTCCTAGACAGCACTTACTCACAAGTAAGCAGGGGAAGTAGCAATTGATGCGGATGATTGGGCCTAGCTGTCTGGGAGGCAGACTTTCACAAAGGGCATAAAGAATCCATTTATAAAGAAAGCCATTCACACAATTGCTAATTGTATGAGTGGCAACTGTCTAAAAGTAAATCGTAGGTGTAAATTGGTACCGTGACATGGGGGCCATGTTGTCTTTTTTTTAATAAAAAAACCTTTGTCCCCACTGCAGTCATAATTTGGACTGAGGTTTCCATGCCCAATATTTACATTGGAGATTTTAGTTGGAGTGAATGGGAAAACAAAAAATTAAAAGCAATCACACCCCTTACCATGCAACTATTTTATCAGTGTTGGTAATAAATAACGCACCATTTCTGATTAGCACTTTCAAGTGTGCAAAGTGCTTCTTGCCTACATTATGCAGTTGCAATCTTTACCTATAAGGTAGGTTAGTGGCATTGTCTCCTATATTGCAGGCGGCAGTGGACTGAGTCTGAAAGAGAGAGAGCGTGTGGTAAGATTTGAACCCAAGGGCTTGTTGCTCAGTCTCTTAGCTTCTCCGCTAAACCACTTTACACCACTATGACACTACCTTCCCCCAAAGCATTCTGGGAGCTGTAGTTCGTTAAAGGTGCTGGCAGTTGTTAGGAAGCCCCTGTTCCCCTCATGGAACTACAGTTCCCAAAGTGGCTTTACAATCAGTACCTCTTCCCAGGGAATTCTGGGAATGGCTGTGCCACAGGACCACACAGTTGTTGAGCTGAAAATTAGCAATAGCAAACATTTGGCTTGAAAAGGTTTTTTGTGAAGGTGAAAGGTATGCTGATGAGCTCAGTGGTGTATTTTGTTTCTTTCCTAGAGCTGTGCTGAAATTTTCACCTTCATTTCCCTCCCCCCGCCAACCACTCTCCCATCAGTTAGCGAGAGAAGAAATTGTATTTGAAAATTATCAAAAGGAAGGGGGAAATGTTTTGGTGAAATTCCACTGTGGAGGGCTTTTGGTGTTCTTAATTTACCTTTGAAGATGCCCTTTTATTTCATTCTGCAAATCATCTCTCCAGTGGCCTGGACCCTGCAGCCCAGGGGCAAGACACCATGAGTTAATTCTTCCCGTGAGCTGAAAGTGTGGGCAGCCAGGGAATCTGCAATGTGCTGGATAAATGTTTATCGGAAAGAAAGAAAGAAAACCCCTCATGCATCACACTTGGCCACCTCTGAGTTCAAAACCCTTCAGCCAACGCAGTTCTTAAATGCCCTCCGAATGAGGCAGAAAAACAGAAACCTCTTTCCAAAGGGAAGACAACTTTTGAGACATTGGAGGATGGATTTTGGCACAGAACCAGCTTTTTTCACCTCCATATTCACAGTGCTGACGCTTCTCCCACCAGCGATGGCAGTTTTTCTCGAGACAACAGAGAGCTGCCGTGTATTTCCAGCAGAAATTCCCTCAGAAATGCTCAACGCCATGATGTAACATGGCTCTGAGGGAGCTTGTGGGTAAACGAAAAAAACATGATGGTAGCCCAAACAGTGTCACGTGGTGCCAAAATGGCCAACTCTGGCTTTAATTCCCCAAACTGGAGGGAAAACCAGAGGTTTGTTTTGATGCTGAATGGTCAAGGGCACTGAGGGCCACTGCCTCCCAGCCCCAAAGCGGCCAGACCCAGAGGCAGAGATCTTCCCCATAACTGACATGCTCCTAAGCAGAGGGCACCTGTGGAGATAATGGATGCCCGCTTCCTAGCTCCAAGGTGAAGAGGAAGGCTTTGACACCCTCACTGAACGGCCATGGGTGATTTGCCTTCTTGGGGAGGATGGTAGGCAGCTGGCCCAGGGGTATCTGTCAGGCCGCACAATGACCACCTCATCCAGTTTCCAGAATATTCCGAGTCTGCTCCTAAAATGGCTCCCCTTCCATCGTACACAGGGTTCAGACCTTGGATTGAATTTGGGGCAGAATGAGACCCCATCCCTAATTTGAAGGCCAGGCTTCTTGTTTCTACTGCCACATGGAGTTCAACCCACATTGCTCCACGTCGTGGCTGCTGTGTGTGAAGCGAGACGGCTGCAGTGGGTTTGGGGTGACATTAAGGGTGATGGGATGGGAGCCAGGACAGATGGTGTCCTGTGGGGCAGAAACAGAACGGTCTGCTGTGCAAGCTCAGCTGCAGTGAGCTCTTGCCCAGCTCTGCCTCCCCTTTCAGTGAGGCTCCTGCAAGAGAAACCTGCAAGTGGATTTTCCCCGATGTTGATTGGGTATGTGCATCATTTGGATTTCCCACCTCCAAACCAAATTGCATACTGTAGTTACGCTTCCCCAACCCCCACCGCCTCAATGAGGATTTCTATTGTCAAGTTGTTTATTTTCAGAAAATGCAACTTCCAAATTTCACAGGAGCTTTGCATTCCATGAGAATTTTAATCATCACAAGGGTGGGTTTTTTTTTGGGGGGGGGGCTTGTTTGTTTTAAAAAAGCGACTTTCAATTTACACACCTAAATTTCAGAGGAGCTTTGCCTGTCCCTGCTCATCTGGATAAGCAAATATTTCGAGCATTGTTTTGGCATGTTTTTTTTTTGGGGGGGGGGGGGAATCCCATTTGTGTGGAACGCAGGGGTGTTGGGAAGAGCCCTAATGTGCAAAGGAACATGGAAGGGGGACAAGTCAGGTACTGTTTAACTCCTTCCTTCCTGCATCTGAGCTCTCTTGCAAGGCTTGCTTTCTCTCTCTCTCTCTCTCTCTCTCTCTCTCTCTCTCTCTCTCTGTGTGTGTGTGTTTGCGCAACTGCGTGCCTGCACTGTGCACAGAAGAGGGTGTGTGGGCCCTGGCTCAAGTTTACGTGGGAGCCACGGTGGCCTCCTGCAACAGATGCTCTGTGGTGGATTGCGCTGCACTGACTGCCCTTTTCTCCTCTCCAACCCCCTCCCTGCTTTTCCAAGCACTTAGGCTTAATTAAACATCTTCCGAATTGGCTGGACAAGGAACTGCCTGGACCTGGCTGCATGCCACCCCTTGCAGGGTGGAGAGGCTTTAGATGGGGACACTGGCAAAGGGCTTGGATTTGTCACAGTCAAGCAACAGCACCCCCTCCCCATCTTCAGTGGAAAGGTTTCCCCCCCTCCCCCTCCGCCTTCTCCTTTGGGTTTCTTTTGGACATACAAGCTCTTTAATCTCTACCTACTCATGCACTTCCCCCAATTCTCTCCTAATATGCATTCAGCCTCAACCAAGATAGTCCAGGCAAGAAATCGCTGTAGGTGTTAATGCCTAGAATCTAAGGATATCTCCTCAACCACCGTGCATTCTGCTCAGCTCTGGTTGTTTAAATGGGTTGGCTCTGTTAAAACCGGCAACTAGAAATATATTTTTCTGACCCCAGTTGAGTTGCTGTCCAGTTCTCCTCTTGCTTCTCCTCCTCCTCTCCTAAGCACCTTTTGGCTCCCTGATAAGGTGGAAGAAGGACTACACCATTCCTATTAAATCGGGGAAAGTCTCATAAAAAAGGAAAGGGCACACTCAGATTGATGACACTGAACCTTCGTTTGTGGGGAACGTCCAGCCTGCAATGGCTCCATCTTCGTTAGATGGAAGGAGGAGTCAGTGCGGGATGCAGAGCTAAACTGTATACATTCAGCAGCATTGGGTGATGCAACTGGTACGATGCTGTACCATTTCCAGCTGCAAAGGGCGGTGGGGGTGGGGGTGTTGCATGTTTGAATAACCTCCCATTTAAAAGACAGAGAGATTCCCTGTGCATAGAAAATAGCCTGTCAGAACTGCGCTCGCGCTCTCTCTCTCTCTCTCTCTCTCTCTCTCTCTCTCTCTGTGTGTGTGTGTGTTTAATGTTGGAGGCTTTTAAATGTCCAATTTCCCAGCCTGAGATGGTGTACTCCAGCAAAAGCTGCATCCTGAAGGAAGCAAACTTGATAACCTGCAAGAGGTGCTTCTCCTGCTGGCATTCCACCGCCGTCTCCCCACCTCCCCCCAAAAAGACTGTTCATATACTCAGGGTGGTTGCACACTACAATGTTTCCAGCTTTTAATGCACTCAGAGTGAAAATAGATGAAGCGTTGAATGTGGAGGTCTGTCCTGTGCGCTGCTGTTCACTGTATAAATGAAGGTGGTTCCTAACTCCCATCCATTAATCTCAGGGTCGAGCCCCATGTTGGGCAAAAGATTCCTGCATTGCAGGGGGTTGGACCAACTCTATAATTCTATGAAGTGCATAAATAAGCTGGATAAGGACCTGAAGTCTCTCCCCATCCCAAATACACACACCAAAAAAGAGGCTTTGTGTCACTCTGTATTAAATACATTTCCCCCACAAACTAACTTCAACTTCAGGCTCCTTAATGGTGAGATCCTGTGCGTCCAGTGCATTTGTTTGGTCTCACTTCCTGGTGCATGCACATAGGACCTTATTCTTTTGCACCAGCAGTAGAGAACTTCTCTACACTTCTTTTTGCCCAGGTGGAAGCCTTGCACGAAGTGGCTGTACAGGAGTGGAACTTTGGGAAATGAAAGGATGTGTATGACCTGGGGATGGGGCTTGAGACGTGTGCATTCGCCTGTTTTGGGTCTCTGTGTGTACAAGACGCCCTGCCCCCATCAGCTCCTCGCAGGCTGGCCAATTGGTGGTTAATTACCCCTTATTGTTAGCATGGGCTTAGCTAAACCCTGCTAATTCCTTCTAATTTGTCCTTGTTGATCAGGTGATGCAGGTGGTAATGAGATGGGCAGAGAGTCTCCATCTGTCTATGCCCTGGTGTGGGTGGGTTGGGGTTTTTTGCTGCTGCCTCCCCCCCCCCAAGCAGTTTCCTCCACCTATGCATTCTGCTTTATTTGTTGAGTGGGGTGGGGGTTGTTCTCTCAGGAGCAGAGCACTCTAGGCAAGTAGCATTAGAGGGCAGAATCTAAAAACTTGGTGACTCAGCGCCCCCCTCCTTCAAAACAACTCCCCTTGCCAATTCTCCCCCATCCTCTAAGGAGCAGCCAGTGGAGCCCCTGCCATCCAGGCTTGCAACTCTACCTGTTCTCATTCAAATCTCTTTAGCCACATCCCTGCCTCCTTAGGATAAATATTAGAAGAGGCCTGGATTCAAATCCAGCCTTCAGCCAGGAGCTTTCCAGGTGACCTTGGGGCAACTCTGTAAAGTAGAAATAAGAAGCTTTGCCTATTTTGCAAGGGGACATTCTGAGAATGCATGCATGCAGCTGAATAGACCATATCAGGTTTGTCCCCCAGTGTGTGTGTGTGTGTTTTTCATTCCCTTGCCTTAAATCCGTGGATGCAGTTGATACTCTGTGCAACTGCGGTGGAGAATGACCATCTTAAATTTTAAATTAGTGCCCTTTAATTGGTGTAGCTGTTCAGTTTTAAGATGTGTTTGGGCACATCTTCTGATTTTTGGGGATGCCCATTGTTGGCTGTCTGACTGTCTTTCCTCCAGTTTTCTCCCCCCCCCACTTGGAATAGGCAGTAGCTGGGGGGCAGGGGGCAACCCCCCAAATCAAGTAAATCAATAAAAATACCTGACTGAGGTTCTGGCCTCCCTCCTCAGCATAAATCCTGACTACACCCATGGGCAGTGGTTGCGTGAATATAGCATCCCAAGTGTATGTTCTCTCAGAAGGAAAGATGAGACCATGAGGCCCCCTCCTTCAGCCTAGCTAAGGCCAAGTGCCATTTGACTCTTCCCCTACCCAAACTGTCCATTTGACATAGCTGCAGCAGAGGGAAAGATGGAACAACAAGTGTTGTTGTGTCAGTGAAGCTAGCACCATTTGGTTCCTTCCATCCCGGAACTGCTTTCATTCTGTTAAAGTTTTTTTAAAAAATAAATTAAAAAACCCTTTGAATCAACTAAAAAAGCTGCTCTTATTGGTGACAGCCTTGAACATCACTTGACGGAAGGTTGGGTCACAGGTTTAATTTAATAACTAACGAGTTAAAGTATAGCTCCGTTGTAGGTATTTCTGTTAGATCAGGGTCATTCTGTATGATGGATGTGTTTGTGTACTTTAATGAACTGAACAGAGTGAAAGATTATGAGTCATTGTGCAGGGAGAAGAGAGTGTGTAGATTTAGTACAGTCGTACCTTGGAAGTCGAACACAATCCGTTCCGGAAGTCGGTTCAACTTCCAGATTGATTGGAAACCAAAGCGCAGCTTCCGATTGGCTGCAGGAAGCTCCTGCAGCCAATCAGAAGCCGCGGAAGCCCCATTGGATGTTCGGCTTCCAAAGAAAAGGTTCGAAAACCGGAGCACTCACTTTGATCAGGAGCCAATTTGTTTGGGAACCAAGGCGTTTGAGATCCAAGGTACGACTGTATAGGGCAGGCTTCCTCAAACTCAGCCCTCCAGATGTTTTTGGCCTACAACTCCCATGATCCCTAGCTAGCAGGACCAGTGGTCAGGGATGATGGGAATTGTAGTCTCAAAAAACGTCTGGAGGGCAAAGTTTGAGGAAGCCTGGTATAGTGCTTTGCTTATTTTTTAAGTTTTTTTAAAAATATTGCTTTATAAATTATAAAAATGCCTTATTGATTTGTCAGTCTTATGACTTAGGCTGTAATTGTGATGTTTCGCTTATGTACATATATATAATGTACATATATAAAATACTGCTATGTTGCCATCAGTGGAACTGCCAGCCTTGACTGTTGAGATGGTGTCACTGAGGGCACAAAAAAAGTTCTGTGACTTGTGAGTTGCTGGGTGACGTGTGTCATCATTGCAGAGGCGAGGAAGGTCAGAAAGCAATTTAAAGTTCTCTTGTGGAAGCACCTTAGTTTGCTAACACCTTTTGTCTATAAAACACATGTAAACCAATTTGAAGCTGGTTCTACTCTCTCAGACTGCTTCAGAGATCCCTGGGAACAGCAGTTTGCGGAAGGCGCCGGAACATCTGCGTTGCATGTTCCTTGTGCTCTTGGAGCTGCCATTTCCAAGGTTCTGATAATTGTGACAGACCTAATTCAAACAAACAGTGGATGGGAGATGGGGAAATAGTCACCTCTGTGTATTTGAATGTGTCGACACTGAGGCAAACTTTTAGCCACCCCTCTGACATACTAGATTTTTGTGTGCAGGGATTTATTTTACCGGGGCGGGAGATTCTCTAAGCCGTGGTCTGAAGTGGCACAGTCTAGCATGAGTTGTATGATGTGCCCGATGTGTAGAGTTATGATATTTTCCGGTGGGGAGCAGTTAAATATGCAAGCCCCCTGTTGTCTTTAACTACATGGTCGAGGTACAGATTTACCATCCGCTGTGCTGCCTGCCTAGATTCACCTTTTAAAAGGACTGCAACTAGTTTAAGGTTTTAACGTAGAGACATCCCAAAAAGTCCTGTTAAATTTGTTGCTGTTAACATGCCTGAAAAATGTTGTCCTAGGCACCCAAATAAAAATGTTTAGGTGCTGCCCTGACTAAGAATGGGAAAGCTTTTGTTTTGTTTTCTAAGTTCTGTGTCACACCCTCGTCACGTGCTTTCGCTTGGCGGGAATGTATAATTGAACTGGGATAAAAACTCTTGCTTGCCTTAATGTTGTATGCGTGTGTAGAAAGCTCCGGCTTTTGCATGGTATAACCTACTGTACAAAAAACAACACTACCAGATTTGGATAGCTCGGTTGGTTAGAGCATGGTGCTGATAATGCCAAGGTTGCAGGTTTGATCCGTGTATGGGGCAGCTGCATATTCATGCATTGCAGGGGTTGGACTAGATGATCCCCCTTCCAACTCTACAATTCTGTGAAAAGCAAGAATGTGGAACTTGTGGACCTCCAGATGCTATTGGACTACAACTCCCATCCGCCCTGAGCCAGCAAAGCCAATGGATTGGGATGATGGGAATTGTAGTTCAGCAACATCTAGAGGTCAGTGAGCTCCCATCCCTGGTACACATGGAAGACTAAATCCACTGCCCATGTTTGCCTGTGGCCAGCACTGCCACTAGCATGCGGCCCTTGGAAAGTTGCCAATGAGGGAATGTGGCCCTTGGGTTGAAACAACTTCCTCATTTCAGACTGCCTACATTCCTCTTACGTATGGTCTAACTTAGGTACATTGCTGTCAGGCTAGTAAAAAAGTTCCATGGGCTTGTAATTTTTTTCAGATTCGTTTGCAAGGCTGTATTAGAGGAGAAGAGGGTTGTTGAGGGTTTTTTGTAGTTAAAGACCTGGGACTTCAGCTTTACAGAGACGAATAAGGTCTTGTGGGTTTGCGGAGTGTGGGGAGGCTTGGTGTCAGGACATTTGGATTCCGCCTGCACTTCTGCATAAGGTGGGTCTTGTGTGTCGTTTTGGAACAGGCCGGGAGCCAAGACTCTGGGGTTCCCTTCCCAGCTTCAAATGCTGGAAGCAAATGGGGCCTAGCTGCTTGCTGCAGTTCCGACAATGCTGCATTCTTTTGGGGGAAATGGCTTGCTTGATGCTGGACAGATGCAAAATTGCCCCTGCCTGCCCTGCTTGATCCGCCACGCTTGTCAGCCTTAGCCATGTACGTGCGTCTTCTTGAAATGCGACCACAACCATGCGGAAGCTGCTCTTGTGTGGCAAGCAGATCTGTGCAGAGCTGGTTTAGACGCATTCTTCGGCGATCTCCGCTGGTACACAACCTGCAAACGGCAAGCAATGAGGATTCACACCAGCGTGATGCAAAAATTCCTGTGGCTCACTTGAAGCATTTGTTGCGTGTAAGGAAAGCGAGGGTCTCTCTCATTAATGGGTGCTAGAGCTTGTAGGCTTGGCCACAAACTGAACAGAGAAACCTGTGCCTTAGGCAAATAGGAGAAAGAGCCCCATGCTGATAGCATGAGAGTTATTGTGGCTCCCACTACCCTCTTTGCAAATGGTGGCTTTCAGTTTGATAACTGGAGCTGCGTACACACCGTACCTTTTAAAGCAGGCTGCCAAAGAACCCTGGGAACTGTAGTTTTGCTTGCTGGTTTCCCAGAGCCATCTGGTTGGCCGTTGCGAGAACAGGGTTTTGGACTAGATGGGCCATTGGCCTCTGATCCAGCAGGCTCTTATGTTCTTAAGTCTAGGACTTCTATCTCTGTGAGAAGTTCTTCCACCCACACAGCTGCAATAAGAGTGCTGGGGTGCTGGTTGAGAAAAGGGGCTCTCTTTTTTTAACCCACCCCTTTCCCCTTCATTTGACCCATTCATTTCCTCTATATCACATTGAGCAAGAGTTCCAGTTTGTGGGATTACGGCTCAGCCCAAAAGCTGTCAAGAGGAGCCCTGGTTCGTGGGCCTGACCTGAGCCCAAAACAGGGAGGTTACGACCCTGAGTGCTCCGTGCCTCTCGTGTCTCAGAGAAGGGAGTGGGGGAAGGAATAGAGGACCCTGTGTCCAAGCCATATGCTGCAAAGAATCTCTCTCCACCCTCCCACCCCCCTTGTGCCCCTGTGAAGGACATGGATTCTGTGTACGTCCTTGGCACGCTGCCAGTCTCTATACTTGGCAGTGGCTGGTGTGCGCCAATCCCATATGGAATAAACACTCGTCTCTGCTCTCCCACATATTTACACTTCATGGTATAGGTTCCACAGCTTGGAGGGGGGCGGGAGGGGAGAGGGTTGGGACACTGCGCAGGAATGGCTAGGGAGGGTGAAAGCAAAGGAAAATCCAGTTAGGAGGCAAAGTCTTGGGAGCTGGTAACTGGGGAGAGACGCTTGAGAGCTGGTAGGGTATATAATGGTTAGAGTGTTGGACTGTGACCTCGGAGACCAGGGTTCGAATCCCCACTCAGCCGTGAAGCTCATTGGATGACCTTGGGCCAGTCACCATCTCTTACCCTAACCTTCCTCACGGGGTTGGTGTGAGGATGAACTTGGACGTCTGGCAACCCTTAAAGTGAGCTGGGGAACAGGAAATGCCAGGTTCAAAACTCTCACTTGCTGCAATTTCATCCGGAAGGCCTTAGGGAAGCCACCTCTCTCCCTGCCTCACCCTTCATTTGCAGTGTGTAGGTTATAATAATGGCCTATATTACAGCCAAATAATGTATGTGGAGTGCTTTGAACACTCTTTATAAAAGTGCTGTGCAGATGCTGAACTTTGCCACTTTCCTCTTTTTGGGAACCTTCTTGCTTATTTGGTCAGGGATTTGATATTCCGAGCCTCTTTCTCTTATTACCTGATTTAACGGGCAAGGGATGACCTCCTGAATCCTAGGCCACATTCACAACACACATTTAAAGCGCTGTGATATACCTACTACCTTAAAACAACCATGGCTTCCACCCCTCCCAAGAATTCTGGGAGTTGTAGTTCCTTAAGGGTGCTGAGAGTCATTAGGAGCCTCCAATTCCCCTCACAGGATAGATGGCTAAACCACTCTGAAAACTGTAGCTCTGTCTGCGAACGACACTGCTTTAAAAGTGGTATCGGAGTGCTTTGAATGTATGTTTTGAAGGTGGCCCTGGTATACTCTCCGTCTAGCTTGATCCTTCTCGGAGCTGGGAATACTTCTGTTGCACTGTTTCCCCAGACTCCATCCTTGCAGTGCTTTAACCAGTTGCTCCCACAGCTATGTCCCAGAAACAGAAAACATCAGCCAAGCATTCCCTGTGCCTCCCTAACTCATATCCATTTCCCGCACTGGGATCGAGGAATCCTTGCTCTAACTTGCATACTTTCAAAAAACCTGTGGGAAGAGAAAAGAAGTTTGCCTTTCAACATGCCTGGTTCTCCTCCCTGGGGAGCCCATGGCACCTGCGTGGTTTTTGTGGTTAAAGTGTTGGACTAGGACCAGGACTTCTTCGGGAGGGAAGGTGAATTAAATAAATAAATAAATAGGACCTGTGTTCGAATCTCCACTCAGCAATAGAGCTCCCTGGGTGACCCAGGGGCAGTGCCTGTCTCTTGGCCTAACCTTCCCTAAGAAAGGGAAATGTCCTTTGCTATTAAGTCTCCTCTTGGCCCTGTCCTGACCAATAGTCTCCGCTCCCTTGTAAGAGCTGCAGAGCGAACCCAGGAATCTTAGTGGTCTCGGTTGTTGTCCTGCACACATGCCCTCCCCCCCCCCAAAAAAAACTTTTCTCTATTCCTGGAACTAGAGTCTAGCCGTTCTGTGACTGAGACCACACACTCCCTTCCCTGCCCTGTTATAACCAGTTGCTTCCACTCCTTTCCAAGTGCTGGGAACAGTAATACTTTAGCCCTTTTATAGCGTTGAAAACACGTCCTGTATATTATATCCGTAATCGTCACACTGACCCTTTAAGGTAGGTCCATGTTTATTATCTCCATGCTGCAGATGGGGTACTGAGGCTGGCAGAATAATAGGAGGTTGCTTAAGGCTACCAAGGTGAGTTCCTGACTGAGGAGAGATTTGAACCAGGAACTTCTCAGCTAGGTTGGCTGGGGGGAGGGCAGAGCCCCCAAAATCCAGGATTTTAGAGGTGTCCCCTCTTACCCTCTACAGTGGTACCTTGGGTTACGTACGCTTCAGGTTACATACACTTCAGGTTACACACTCCTCTAAGCCAGAAATAGTGCTTCAGGTTAAGAACTTGGCTTCAGGATAAGAACAGAAATTGGGCTCCGGCGGTGCGGCGGCAGCAGCAGGCCCCATTAGCTAAAGTGGTGCTTCAGGTTAAGAGCAGTTTCAGGTTAAGAACGGACCTCTGGAACGAATTAAGTACTTAACCCGAGGTACCACTGTATATAGCTCTTCATTACCAGAACTAGAAAGCAGGGACCCATATGTTTCTCCTCCTGTACCCCCACCTGCAATGGGGTACAGAACCCAGATGTCCTAGATCACATCCTTCCTGCTGCCTGCACCCCATTTGTCAAAGCACCTGGGAAATATCTCTGTCCATAGAGCATGAGATTCTTAATCTCAGGGTTGTGGGTTCGAGTCCCACGTTGGGCAAAAGAGCCCAGCATTGCAGGGGGTTGGACTAGGATGGCCCTCGTGGTCCCTTCCATCTCTACAACTCTATGATTCTGAGGGTTAGAAACAGATCTTTGGAGTCGTGGCCTGTCTGCTGTTCTGCAAGGGCCCAAGGATGCAGCGCTGTGAGAGTTAACTCTCTCTCTCTTTCCCCCACCCCTTCTCCCCCATATCTGTCTAGGGCTGGGTCATGCCAGAAACTGACTAAGCCGGATTGTGCAACCATTTTTCTCCCCCACCCCCAGCTGCCTGGGGCTGTCTGCTGCTGCAGCAGCAGGCAAACTGCTTAGGGGCTGGGGGCTGAGTGGTGGGGTGGGGGCCTTGCAAAGGGGAGAGGTGTGCCCAGGGTGGGGCAGCCAGGTGGCCAAGGGGGAGAACAAAGAAGGGAGGGGGCCTTTCCTCCCTATTTACCCAGCCTTCAGTGTTTGCTCCGGATGGGTGGGAGAAATGGAGTGTGGAGAAAGGGGAGTGGAATTGATCAAGCCTGAGTTTTTCTCTCTCTCTCTCTTTCTGCAATTCTGGGAAGGGAATGGGAGGGTGGCTAGTGGGTTAAAAGAAGGCTGTGGGAGAGCTGTCGCTCCCAGCCCTGGGAGAAAGCAGACGCGAGATAACTTGGAAGCCTAACACTTCCTTTTAATTTGGCATTGGTTGGCATTGCAGAGCAAGTGAGGTGGCCTCTGCCCCAAGGAACTTGCAGTGTACTCTAGATAGATACAGACAAGGCCATCAGCAGGGAAATGAACACAGAAGGAAATCCATATTTTCACTGCAGAAAAAGCTGGATTCTGCCACTTCTATAAAATATATGGGATGCACGCGAATTATCTCACCGTGCATAATTTTATATTCTGCACAGTTTGCTGTTTGGCATAGGTGTTCTGTTAATCCCACCCCTTTAACCATGTGTACTGTAGCTTTATTCAGCAGCACATTTGACTTCTGGGATTTCGGCAGGCATTTACCTACATAATTTCAGACCTAGATCGTCACAACCCCATAAGGGTTAGAAACTTTAAGAAGAGAAGGAAAGTTGTGTTTGCTCTGCAAAACCTCAGTGTACACAGAGTCCTGGGGATGAGCAGTTGGTTTGCAAGAGGCAGGTCTACCTTGTGTCCTACTATACAGTCCTCTGTTCGAAGGATTGTCTGATTTGAAGATGAAGAACCCTAAGAAGCAAGAGCAAGTGGGGGCATCAAGAGTTAGTTAACATGTGGGGTGCCCCCAGACTGGCATTTTATTGCAGGTGTATTCTGCAACACGTTGTGTGACACAATAATATAGTGCATTCGTGGTGGATTTATTCTGCTTAATCAGTTGTTTTGTGGCGCTTCCTCAGTGTTACCACACAATTGCTGTCTTGCCGAGATTTTGTGCAACAAAAGCGAGGCGAAACAACAACAACCCAGAACGTCTGTGATACAAAAAGTTTCAGGATTTCAGCAAGAAGTTACAGGATATGTATGCACTGATTGGAAGTGAACCAGCATGACCACCCCAGAATTTTTGCAAGTGCAAAGAGAATCGAAAGCGGAATCCCATATGACTGCCCTGACAGCATCATGAGCACAAATGGCCATCAATGCACAATAAAAAGACATTTGGAGGGGGTCCCAGACAGCAGACTGAGCAGGCACAAAGGTCGCCTGCTCACAATCTTGCCCGTTATAGGCAAATGCTTTTCCTTAACCCAATTTAAATCATAGCAATCATTTCTAAATTTGAAACTGTACTTATAATTCAGCAAACGCAAATACTATTCAAGCCTCTGCCCACCTTTTGTGGGCGATGCAGCCTCTCTTTCCCAGCAGTGCACAAGTAACCACCCTAGGGGAGGGTACAGGTAGTTATAGGGAGGTATAGGCAAAAGAAGGGCGTTTTTTTGCTGAAGGCTCAGATCTGCATGCTCTTCAGCTGTCCTGTCTATCCTTGCGATCAGGCGGAATGACAAAGAATTCTGTGGCGCCCTGAAGAATAAGTAAACGTGCTGGGGTCTTACTTGCTGGACGTATTTGCACGAAGCATAAGTTCAAGGTAGCCAAATCTGGAGTGGTTAAGAGGGGACTTCATTTCAACGTGTGCTTAATCTTTCGGTAGTGATTGCATATGAGAAGAACTATGAGGGCATGCAGTATGTGCGTGCGCGAACACTTTTGAGTGTGGTTTTTGTTTGTTTGCATTTGTTTAAATTTTATCCTTATGGCAACCCTGTTGGATAGATTACGCTACGGCATTTCCAAACTGCATGCCGCAGGAGAGACTGAAATGTATAAATAAGTTAAGCCACCATGTTGGATTGCATCCACCGCCCTATGCAGCATTGATTTCCCTCTCCCCCCCTCCCCCCCCTCGGTACTTTCCCTGCCAATATGTGATGTCATCTCCAGAGGAGTATGCACCAGAGTTCCCAGGTGGAACTCTGTCCTTTGCAGTGTGATGAGCATGGGGAAATTGTAGAAGCGCCTTCATCACCCTGAAGGCACATCCCTGTCCCCAGAGCACTGACTAGGTGAAGAGGAAGGTGGGGTGCCATGCATTATAATTATTGACCGGGCTATCCAGCAATCTCTGCTTTTTTTCACAGGAACTGGGGGGGGGGGGAGAATTAAAGGTGCAGCATTCAGTGTGTAAAACTGAAGTTTGCTACCATGTTTTAATCTAGAAGCAAGAACTACTGCAGCCCTAAGCATTAAAAATTAGGGAAGCACTGAACTAGAGATTAATGGGACGATTTGAACCCCAAACTCCTTGGGCATTGATCCACACAAGTTCTTTTCCTAAGCAGACATTCAGGTGCAAGGGCGGTATTGGCGAGGCAGAATTGGCCGTCAATGGTGGATCGGTGTTTTCCTGAGAGAATATCTAAGCAGCTGAGATCATGGAAACTTAACTGGTGACCTGAAAATCTTTTGTTTCTTTGCACAGTGAAAAGCTTGCACAACCAGGGTGTTTGCACAATAGCTGGGGCGAGGGGGTGCTGGCAAAGAACGCCTGTAGACTCCCTAAGAGCAATTGCACTAGGGCTGGTCTTGGGTGAAGCCTGCCTTTGTTCCAGTCTGTAAAAAGAGGGCGAACCTTGCAATGCTTACTGGGGGGCAAGGAAGCTAGTTCTCTGGAGGAAATTCAGCTTTCCACAGGCACAGTGCCCCACCGGTGCTTTCGGGCAACCAGGCAGGTGCAGTGTGATTTTCGGCATACCTTTAAAATCCCAGCAGTGTCCATGGCCTTCATCAGCTTCTTGTGTGAAGAAATGTATCTGAAAACGAGCTGTTTGGTGATGGGTGGATTCTAATTCTAAATTTATTTACTGTACTGATTTATTGTATTTCTATCCCTCTTTCCTCCCAGATTTGGGACTCGAGGCCGATTACAGCATTTTAAAAAGCACCTTTTTAGAATGCAAAGTAATAACAAACAAGTTAAAGACAGAACCAGCATCAAATTACTGATTTACCTGGCAGCGGCTCAGTCGTCTGCATTGCCTGCAAGTGCAACCACTCTCAAACAGGAAGGTCTTAGCCTGCCAGCGGGAAGATAGCAAGGAGGGAGCCAAGTCTAACCTCTCATGGGAGGGAATCGCACGATCTGGGAGCAGTCACAGAAAAGGCTCTCTCTCATGCCATCATTAACTGTGCCTCTAATGTTGATTGCACTGAGAAGGTACTCACTACAAAGAGTGAGCATTCTCACCAAGGGAAAGGGGCATAGCTCAGAGTCAGAGCATGCAGAGGGCCTCGGGGTCCATCAGTGAGACCTCCAGCTTGGGTTTGGAAAGACTCTTTGTCCGATACCCTGGAGAGCTGCTGCTCCCGCCACCAGACCAAGGATGGGGAAGAAGCTGTTGCTCTTCATATGTTTGTTTGGGCCACAGTTCCCCATCATCCCAGACCACTGGGTGTGTTGGCCGGGGCTGGAGGGCCATAGGTTCCCCATCCCTGGTATAGACAGTGTTGAGCTTAGAAGACTCAAGTGGCCTGACTCATAGCTTCCTGTGTTGCTTCTCCCCCGGAAGACATGTTTCAATGCTTCATTTTATCAGTTTACTCTACTCCAAACTTTTCTTTTACATGCGCGAAAGCATTATCTTCAGATTTACCGAACTGTTTATTTTAGGAAGCAACAGTATAAATATCTTCTTCCCTTCCTCCATTTAGGAACAATTAAGCTGGGGGTTTTGGGGTTGTTTTTTTTTAAAGAGGGCTGCTAATTTAGCACTCTGTTCGCAAACCATGCAGATTTTGCAGGTTCAATCCCTCTTATCTCTAGGTAAGGCTGGGAATATCCCCAGTCTGAAACCCTGGAAAGCCACTGCCAGTCTGTGTAGACAATACTGCACTAGGTGAACTAATGGGTCTACTCAGTGTAAGGAAGCTTCCTGTGTTCCTTTATCCCCCAGTTAAGAGGCTCTTGGGCAGCTGAACAGTGAAGGGTCTCTACTGTGCACTCTGGAAAGCAGCTGCCTGTCAGAGTAGACCGTATTGGGCTATGGGAACCAATGATTTGACTTGGTGTAAACCAGCATTTTCTATTTTCTATCTGAGATGCAGATCTCACAGAGAAAGATCTGGGAACTCTTTCTTTTTCCTGAGGAGGCAGTGCCTTTCGTCCTGGATTCCTAGGAACGGTAGGGTTCCTCCGGAGTTTATCAAGGGTTCCTCGCTGAGGAGATCAGTTGACAGTAGCTCAGCTGCCCAGAAGACTTCTTGTCAACCCTTTTGCTGATTGACCCCCAGCAATGTGCAGCTGTTGGGGGTGGTGTTCTAGGGATCACTCTCAGTATGCGCAAAGTGATGTCATCACACAGCCCAAGTGCCATAGCTGTGGGTGGGGTCATCGTTTCAGATTTTTGGAAGGTAGGGAGAAAATATTCCAGTTGGGGTGGAAGGCAAGATTCACAGTGTAGCTCAAAACCTTGATGGGGGGGGGTAATAGGAAGGAAGTCAAGTTTTGAAATGTTAGAATGCCTATAAAATTACACTATCAAATGTATAAACCTGAAAAATATAAATCAATCAATCTTTGGGATTCTTGTTTTTTGTTCAGCACTCTTGTGTAGAGAGGGTTTGTTGTGGGGGAGAGGGAAAGAGAGCAACCTTGAACCTTGCTGTAAGTCACATCACCTTAGAAAAGCAATCCCCAAGCACATCCACTATTCCGCACACCTAGTTTGCTTTCTTGCAAAGAGAGAGACAGAAATTCCCCCTCCCTTCTCAGCTGTGCCTTTTCCACTTTAGCTTGCCAGTAGTAGGTTCTCCATCAGCCCTGACAGACTATGACCACATTCACAACACATAGCTAAGGCACTATGATGCCATTTTAAACAGTCATGGCTTCTCCCCCCCCAAAAAAACAACAACTCAGGGGTCTGTAGTTTGGTATGAGTACTGAGAGTTGTTAGGAGACCCCTGTTCTCCACTCAAGAGCTACAGTTTGCAGCGTGGTTTAACCATCAATCCCTTTGCCCAAAGAACTCTGGGAATTGTAGCTGTGTGAGGGGAATAGGGGTCTTCTCCTAACAACCCTCTGCATCCCTAATGAACTCCAGATCCCAGAATTCTCTGGGGGAAGCCATAATGGCTTTAAAGAGGTAACCGTGTTTTAAATGTGTGGTGTGAACAGGGACTGAGATGTAAAAATGAGGGAAGGAAGTTACTCCTTCAATTTGATGTGGTTTATGGGATGGGGAAATGAGTACAACGTCTCACTAATCCTCTTTTTAATTTTATTATAGCACATTCCTACCCTGCCTTTTCCTTCAAGGAGCTCAAGGCAGAACACATGAATCTCTTACCCATCTCCCATTTTACAACAGCCCTGGGAGGTAGGCTAGGTTGGGATCACCCAGAAAATTTGAATCTGGATTTCTTCGTCCTAGTCCAACACCCTAAGCCTGAGGTGGTTAAAGTGCTGACCTTCTGAGATTCTTAGATGACAATACCCATCAGCCCAGCCTAGGGCCAGCAGTCAGGAATGATAGGAACTGGAGTGCAACAGCATCTGCAGGACATTGCGCATAATCTTAAGATTTGCTGGCCAGCCTACAGCTGCACTGGAGAAGCCAGAATTTGCGTCTTATTTGCAAATGAGAGTGCAGAGGATTTTGTACCTCTTGCAGAGGCTCTTGATTTTTTTACAGGTGAAAGAATTTCTTCCCAGCTGCCAACACGGATTCAGAGGTATATGCACTGGGGTTCCTCAGCCAATTAGTACAAATATGGGTTTGTATAGCTGTGAATGAGAGCAGGTGTACTGTTGTGTTTAAGTGTGTGATGTGCAGAGTCCTTGATTTAAATCTCAGCCCAGCTTTAAATTCACTAGGTGACTTTAGGTAAGCTGCTTTTTCTCTCTGTCGGCCTCAGTTCTCTATCAGCAACATGTAGATAACAATACAGCCCTACCTTTCCGGGTTGTTGTAAGGCTTACAACAAGTTATTGGCTCAGTTCTGATGCGGTTCTAAACCGTAAAGGTAAAGGTACTCCTGACTGTTAGGTCCAGTCACGGACGACTCTGGGGTTGAGTGCTCATGTCGCTCTATTGGCCAAGGGAGCCGGCGTTTGTCTGCAGACAGCTTCTAGGTCATGTGGCCAGCATGACTAAGCTGCTTCTGGTGAACCAGAGCAGCTCATGGAAACGCTGTTTACTTTCCCGCCAGAGCAGTACCTATTTATCTACTTGCACTTGATGTGCTTTCGAATTGCTAGGTGGGCAGGAGCAGGGACCGAGCAATGGGAGCTCACCCCGTCATGGGATTCGAACCTCCGACCTTCTGATTGGCAAGCCCTAGGCTCTGTGGTTTAGTTTAGCACTATTACAAGATCGGACCAAAACAAGCTATGGGTTTGCACACCCCTCCCCTGTGTGGCTTCAAGGAAGAAGTTGGAAGTCACCATTTTGATTACATCCAACAAGGATAAATTGTTTAGTTTACACCATAGTTGGTGAACAAGGCAGGATTACAAACCATGTTTCAATCCTTGCTTGTTTCAATAAACCATAGTTTAAGCTAACCGTTTTTTCCATTGTTTTAGATAAAAACAAACTAGGGTTGATTTAAAAATGGAAAGCAATTTCTTCCATTCATCACATGGCTGCAAGGAGGGTGCGTGCAAGCCTGATGTTCATTCCAATCCCATTCTGCTAAACCAAAGATGGGGAATCTGTGGCCCTCCAGATGTTGCTGGATTCCAGTTCCCATTAACCCCAGCCAGCATGGATGATAGGAATTGTAGTTCAGTTACATCTGTTCCCCATTCCTGTCCTAAATAATGGTTTAGCTTTATGGTCTGAAGCAGACTAATGTATGTGGACCGCTTGGAACAGTTTAAATGTGCTGTATGAATCTCGTTGTCGTCATTATACAGTTCTGCTCTTGCAAAAAATAATTTCTGATTTATGGAGTAATTTGACAGTTTTTGTGTTATGTCTTGCCCACTTTTTTTTTTTAATTGACATCTTAGGTCGAACTTTTCAAAATTGCTTTGTGGAAATGCAAACTGTAGAGTATGTTATGTTGCACTACTAAAATACTTTGAGAAAGGAAAAAGGGGTTTTGGACCAAGCAGGCAAGGCTATTTATTATTATTTCATAACAATTATACAATGCCTGTTATTATATTACATTTCTATTGATGCTCTGTAAAATGTGTTCTTAAGTGCTGTGCACTGCCCTGGGATCTTTTGATAAAGGGTGGCATGTAAATTGAATTAGCAACAACAGCAATAAATAATAAAGCTAAAGTGGTTTACAAAAAGATACAACAATAAAATCAAGAAAAATTCACAACCCCACTTCAAAACATACAAAAGTTAGAAATAACAAAACATTAAAATTACCTCAACTTTCTAAGCATCTGGGTTGAAGCTGAAGTGCCCTTCAGTGATTTGAAACCTAATTTGTCAGGAAAGCCTCCTCCTTACCCAACCCAACCCAACCCAACCCAACCCCCTTCATTTCATGATGATATTGCACCTGGGTTTCAAAATGTGTGCATTTCCTCTGGAATTTGGCCTTTTCCACCACTCCAGATTCCACCTTCATATTCACACGAGCCCTTACCACAGATTTTGCTGCCAAAATGCGGTTTTTGAAATCCGAAACTGGTTTTACAAAAATGCTTGCGCATTTACACACATACAAATATGTTCCCTTCTGGAGAGACCTCCCCCCCCCTCTCTTTTACACACACAGACACACACACGCCCCTTTAAGGTCAGCATAAGATCATGTGTAGTGAGAGTCCTATTTAAGGAGAACCTATTCTTGGATTGAAACTCTCCTCCCCCCTCTATTCCTGACGAACAGCTAAAGCTTCAGCTTGTCTCGCCCACTCCCCACTTATCCCTGCGACCCCCCCCCCTTCCTCTCTTTTTTAGCGGCTCTATGCTGTACTTGCTGCTTTATAAATCCATCAAAGGAATTTCCCCCCTCAGCCAAGAAAAATGTGACCTACTTTCCGCCTCTCTAGTCTCTGTCAAAGGCGCAGGCAAACAGCATGGGCAGACAAGCCTCCGTGGTGGGGAGTCATTCTTGCCCCTCAACCTTCGCTCTCAAGCGTGTATTTGCTGTCCTGGGGTGTCCTTTTAGAGCCCCACTGCCTTGTTTCTCTGAGGAAGAGCGTTGTGGCTGTTGGACATTGCCAAAGCTGGCATCAGATTGCACCACACTGTGAAGGTTTTTGTGCTGTTTTCTTTTTGCAAGGAATTCTCCCCCACCCCCCAATAAAAAGGAAGGAGAGTGGACTGCAGTGGGAATAGTGGGGCAGTTTACAGGTACCTACAGCAGGGGTGGGTCAACATTTGGCTCTCCCGATGTTGCTGGACTCTCAGCTCTCATCAGCCGCAGCCAGCATGGTCAGCGGTCATGGATGATGGGAGTTGTAGTCCAACTCCACCCTGACATATAGGAACACTTTCCCCTGTTTGTCCCAGGGGCAAAATCTCACCCTGTGCATTTCAAGGCTCCCATTTGCCCTGCTGCTTTTCTCTGGGGAAACCTGCGGAGCAAGCAGCACTCGGGAAAGTTGTGCGGCACATTTAATACCTCATGGAGCCATGCCTAGAAAACACGGGGCAAGTGGAAAACCGCTTTCTGGACACGGGACAAGCAGAAGTAGGGACGAGCCCTCAGAGATCATTCTGGCACCTGGATAATAGGACACATGTCTTTTGAGACAGAAAATTGTGAATCCACGTTGTGATTCACTGTTATTTTTATTTTTTTTAATGTACTCTTCTGTCATTGCTGCTTCCTTTCCATTTTAAATCTCTCTATCTGCACAATGTCATTGTGGCACAGGTCTTTAAGGGAGCCATTTTACAGATGAGATCAACTGAGGCTGATGGGGAACTGGCTTTCATGGGGCTACCCGAGGAATTAATGGCTTGTGAGGGATTTGAGCCCAAGTTGCCTCATGGTGCTTGCCCATGAGGACTGAGTATAGATAAATGACTTGCCCATTAATCTGCCCTCCCCAAAAAACCCATATATGACTTACCACTTTAAACTCTCAGACTTGTAGAAAGCCTCTCAGTTTGCCACCTGTGACAAATAAGAACCGCTTCCAGGCTGGAACACTATACACTTGTTCTTTTTTTGCAAATTTTTGTTTATGAGTAGGATTTTGTGGCAAGTGGGTTAGTAAAAATGTTGTAAGCCATTTGCAAAAACCTTCTTGGTTTCCAGAGACAGGGTGGTTAAAAACTGATAGGACAGGTGCCCCTTTCAGTGCTTCGCAAAATAATCCTAAGCATGTCTCTTCCAAAGAAAGTACCGTTGAATCTTGTGGGACTTACTCCTGTGCAAGTGGGTAAAGGATTGTATGCTGAGGGTGGCTTTTTCCAATCCATAGTACCATGTATGAGCACAGAAAACAGGGCAGGGTCATTTTCCAGGTCAATTAATATAGAGTGCAAATGTTGAGAAGCAGTGTTTGATTTCTTTATAAAGAGTGAGGAGGAGAGAGAGAGGAGATTGAGGGGTGAGGGGTTTTGTGGTTTTTTTTTGGTGGGGGAGTTTGCCAGAAAATCTCATCCTTCGCCCTGCCTGACCTGCAGCCTGCTAATTCCTGGGTTGTGTATGTGCTTGGCTGTGGATTCCTGCTGGTGTGAACCAAAGGTGCTCCACAGTATATTGAGAGTAGGGTTGCCATATTGCAAAAAGTAAAAGCCAAAACACCCCGAAAATTGTGTTAGGCAGACCCCCAAAAATCCAGTCATATGGCAGCCCTAACAGAGAGGCACTGTTGCTTTTGTCTCTTCATGTGTATCAGGGATGAATCCTGTTGTGGAAAGCAGTCTCTGGGGTGTAGGGAGTCCTCCTGGTTCAAGTTAAGCTCTGATCCACTAAACTACAGCTAAGTGAAGAGACAAAACCAGGATTAAATTTTTAATGATTAAATACTGGGCCTCAAACTTGTTGGGGTACCATACCTGATGACTACCGCTACTACAGTATTATTTCTACTACTAGTAATTAGTGTATTAATTTTGGGGATGTGGTGAGTGATTTAGCATTCATTCATTCTGTGTGTGTGTGTGTGTGTGTGTGTGTGTGTATATATATATTAAGCCATCCAGTGAATTCATGGCGGCATACAGATGCTGGATTACGGTATATTATATTTAGATTATCTTATACTGCTAATATGTGTATTGCTCTGCAACATAAGCCCAAAAAGAATCCCTGGCCTCAAGGAGCTTAGACTCAAGTTTCAGAGAGTGAGGAGAAGAGGCAGTTTCTGATCTGGAAGACATTCTCTCTTCTCCCAGATGCATGGAGGTAGACTGGATTATTTGGTGGCTAGGCCTGAAGTTCTTGCTCAGAGGAGTTGTTGCTTGCTATAACAGTTCTGTTACAGGTTCCTAGACTGAGTCCTGACACTGAAAACTCGTGGTAAGTGCCTGACTTTGCAGAGGCGCTGTGTACAGCCAGCCTCTAGTTCCCTGTGCCCAGCTGTAGGCTTGAAGCGACCTGTGGGAGACTCGACTTCCTCCTTTCCGTTGTTGCAGAGGGATGTGGAAACTGCAACAGCCTCTTTTTGTTGGTTTGTGTGGAGCAGGGAAGCTGTTGAAGGGGGTGGATGTTGAAAGGAATCTGCGGTTGCATGTTTTATATTCCTGAGGAAGGAAGTTATCACGAGGTAACTCGGTTTCTTCAAGGGCAATTCTCCTGACTCTGCCGAGGAAATTAGATGGGCACTGTGCCACCTTCCTCCACGAGAGTGCGGCTGGAGTTCTGCATGCCCAGGTAGGCCCAGAGACCTCCCCCTTCGCCCAGGAATGGGGAACCTGCAGCCTTCCAGATATTGATGGGACTCTAATGCCCACCATCCCTGGCAATTGAGGGGATGCGGGTGGTGCTGTGGTCTAAACCACTGAGCCTCTTGGGCTTGCCGATCAGAAGGTTGACGGTTGACGGTTCGAATCCCCGCGACAGGGTGAGCTCCTGCTGCTCCATCCCAGGTCCTGCCTACCTAGCTGTTCAAAAGCACGCCAGTGCAAGTAGATAAATAGGTGCCCCTGTGGTGGGAAGGTAAACGGCGTTTCTGTGTGCTCTGGTTTCCATCAAGGTGTTCCGTTGCGCCAGAAGCGGTTTAGTCATGCTGGCCACATGACCCAGAAAGCTGTCTGTGAACAAACGCTGGCTCCCACGGTCTGAAAAGCAAGATGAGTGCTGCACCCCATAATCGCCTTTGACTGGATTTAACCATCCAGGGATCCTTTACCTTACCTTTTACCCTGGCAATTGGCCATTTTGAGTGGGGCTGACGTCAGCTGGAGCCCAACATCTGTATAGGTCTGTATAGGTCTCCACCCTGGCATTATTCACACCCTCTGATGTTCTGATAAAATGTTGGTGACCCAGATGTGTCCTTCTCTGGCATCGGCTGCAGAAAGTTTGTTTTCTCTCTGTGTGAGGTTCCAAGAACTCATTAGCTAATGGAGCAAATGAGCCCTTTAGTGTTGCTGCTTTTCCAGTTGCTCGTGTGTGTAAAAACCACAAAAAAATGTACCGTACGTTTCTTTTGTGGTGCTGGAAAGGTTCCTTGTTGGGCCTGAAAGCATCTTCATCCCCCAAGGGGATAGAAGTGGCAGTTTGTATGTTAGGGATAAAAACCAGGGATCGTTATTACCTAAGCAGGGTGTGACTTGACTCGCTTGCTTGAGACACCTGGAACTATTTTTTTCTGCAGGTCTCTTTCCTGCAGGGTGTGAGTGCTCTAAGCTTCTAGTACACTATGGCCTGGTTTGGGTGAGCTTATCTTTGGCTGGACAGCAAGTGGAGCAACGTGTCTTTCAGCCTATGTTGTGAGACTCGGGAGTGTCTGGTTCAAATAAGCCCTAACCATGGAATCACTGGTTGGCCTTTGGGCAGGCTGCTGTTCTCTCAGCCTTAACTCCCAGCAGCCATGGCCATCTGCCCAGTGGGGATAAGGAGTGCTCTAACTTTTGATAAAATTGTGATAAGGAATTATGAAAACATTGATGAGAGATGAGAGGCAGGACTGAGATTTGGAAATGCTTCGGAATTCAGACTGTGGGAAGTCGCAAAATTAATATTATAATTTGGAAGACAATTTGATTTTTTTTATTTTAGTTTTTTATTTTTATTGGATTGTGATTTGATATGTTAATTGGATGTTTTTTATTGGAAAATTAATAAATACTCTAACAAAAGAAAAAGAAAAAGGAGTGCTCTAACTTTTAGGGCTGTTTTAATAGTTACACATCGATGGCACGAGAGGCAGCAATTAATAGATAGGAGTCAGAAGGCCCATGAGCCTGGCTGAGGCTTGTTTGTCTTTGTTATTTTTACTAGATTTATGTACCACTTGATTGTAATAAAACCTCAAAGTGGTTTACAAAGAGAATAAAACAAAAAGATGATCAGTTTAAAGCCTGTTAAAAATAATAATTTAAAACATTCAACACATAATTAGCATCAACAATAAGCTTTTTAAAAAAACAGATTAAAAACTCATGTCAACATTCTACATGTTTGGATAGTGTCAGGGAACTGCCATCGGACGGAAGGGAGGTGAAAGGGCTCACACAGGTTGGGAGAGACGCAGCAGCTGAAGAGGGAACCAGCAGGGAGGTGAAAGGGCTCACACAGGTTGGGAGAGACGCAGCAGCTGAAGAGGGAACCAGCAGGGAGGTGAAAGGGCTCACACAGGTTGGGAGAGACGCAGCAGCTGAAGAGGGAACCAGCAGGGGAGAGGAGCTGAGCTGGAGGGATGGCTCAGAGACACTTCCAGCGAAAACAGTGGGGAGGTTTCAGGACCTCCTGTAAGAACACCCACTCCTCGCCGGAAACTGTCACGCAGAGATTCCAGAAGACGTGTTTCCGTTAAGGAGCTTTTATGTTGGAAGCGATTACGAAGCAACCACTGTCGGAATCTGCTAGTGACTAGAGTAGCCATGTCTGAGGGGCTCCGTCACAGACAGAGGTTTGTGGACTTGAACAAACTCTGAGGGGATACGGTTTTACGCACAAGCAGCTCATCATCCCATCACAGCATTCCGACAGTCTTTGAAAGCAGCTTGTGCAGGAGAAGGCATCATGAGCAACCCAGCCGGAACCGGAGAAGCAGGAGCTGGAGCGGGTCCAAGCCTGGAAGAAAGGTACCGGGTGTTGGAGGTCCAGCTAGCGATGCAGACGGCGAGGCTTGAGGAGAGGAGGGCTCAGGATGCAGACAAAAGGGAAAGCCACCCAGCTCGCCAGAAAGGTACCAGGATTGGTGCAGAAGTTTGGGGGGGAGCCCAAAAACTATCATGGCTTTCGGACAGAAATGCAATATGCCCTCAATCTGCAGTTTGATGAATTCCCTGACGAGGAATCACGAGTGGCTTTCGTGATTGAGCATCTTGAAAAGGGGGCGAGAGACTGGGTTAGACCCCTGATGGCAGCGAATAGTGACGTCTTAAAGGACACGATGAAGTTCTTTCGCGCCATGGATCTGATGTTTTCCAGCGATATTGAAAGACAGTTAATGGGTTGCAAACAGGGGAGCCGATCTGTCCGTGAGTACTGGACTGAGTTCACCATGCTTGTTCACAGATTGGGGTGGGACTTATCGGCGGAACCCATTCAAATGCTCTTTGAAGAAGGGCTTTCTTCGGCTGTGAAAGACGAACTTTCCCGGGCGCCCAGGGCGGAGTCTATGGACCAGCTGACCAAATCAGCGCTGGCCATAGGAGCGCGCCAGGAGGCGAGAGCATTGGAGAGGCGGGAAGGGAAAGGGGAACGTTGGAAGGAGTTCCGCATTCCAGACATTCCAGAGCCAACTTTCCCACCGGCAGAGCCGATGGAAATCGGAACAGCGCGCGCGCAGTTTCAAAGCCCAGTGAGGGGGCAAAGAAGGAGGGAAAAGGCGCCCGGAAATGCTATCTCTGCCAACAGCCAGGTCACTTTGCCAGAGTCTGCCCCCAGAGGAAAGAATGGCAAGGGATGGTAGGAGCTGTGGATGGAAGAGAGGAAGAAATACCGGAGCAAGTAAAGCCAACGCCTGGCTGCCACTGTCAGGGCACAGCAGCCAGGCCAAAGAGCAGTGAGAGTGCCCACGCCAGAACCTCCTAAACCCGCCCTAGTGATAGAAGTGACGCTAGAGCTGCCAAACGGACACCCTCTAAAGATAAAGGCGCTGTTGGACTCAGGCAGCTCCTGCAATTTCATGAGCAAAGAGTTTGCAGCTGAACACCAGATACAGACAATCCCTTTAAGCAGCCCCCTGCAGGTGACCACGATCGATGGCAGGGAGCTGTTGGGTGGAGAAGTCAGCTTGCAGACCGTCCCAATGATAATGAAGGTAGCAAGGCACACCGAACTGATAGCTTTTAATGTGGCCACCTTGGGAGGAGCTCCCATTATATTGGGGATGAGCTGGCTAGCGTTACATGATCCGCTGGTGGGCTGGCATCAGAGAGTGGTTTCTTTTGGTTCAGCACATTGCTTAGAACACTGCAAAGAGGGAAAGGGTTTGGCAGGGGTCCAAGCCACCCTAGCAGGGACTGAAGTAACAGAGAACGTGAAGGTACCACGACAATATGCAGATCTCCGTGACGTCTTCAGCGAAAGGGAAGCTGACCAACTACCCCGCATAGACCCTTTGACTGTCAAATCAACTTACTCCCTGGAGCACAGCTCCCTGTAGGCAAGCTGTACGCCATGTCAGACAGAGAGATGCAGGAGTTAAGAGAGTTCATTGACAAGAACCTGAAGAGAGGGTTCATCAGAGAGTCCAGGGCGGTGGGGGCAGCCCAGTGTTTTTGTGGATAAGAAAAACACGAACAAGCCGAGGCTGGTGTGTGACTTCAGGGCCTTAAATGCAGTGTCAGAACCAGTAGCCTTCCCTATGCCCAGGATTGACGACATTTTGACAAGGGTGCGGAAGGGAAAGATTTTCACAAAGCTGGACCTAAGGGGGGCGTACAACCTGGTACGAATAAGGAAGGGGGATGAATGGAAAACCACTATGTTCACCCCTTTAGGGGCATTTGAATATTTGGTTATGCCCTTCGGCCTACAAGCAGGCTCCGCAACATTTCAATCGTTTATGAACCACGTCCTGGGGCCTTTGCTTTACAAGAATTGTGTGGCCTTTTAGACGACGTGTTGGTGTATTCTGAGAATGAGGAGCAGCATGTGAGAGACGTCAGAGAAGTGTTGAGCAGGCTGCAAGCCAACCAGCTGTGGGTGAAACTGGAGAAGTGTCAGTTTCATACCAAGGAGGTGGAATTCCTGGGGTATCGCCTGTCAGACAAGGGATTGGCCATGGATCCCGGCAAGGTCCAGGCGGTGCTGGAATGGAAAACACCCAAAACAAAGAAGGATGTGCAGAGGTTCCTAGGATTTGGGAACTTCTATCGTAAGTTCATCCGAAACTTTGCCCACCTGACGGCGCCCATTACGGACTGTCTCAGCAGTAAGAAGAAGTTCGTGTGGACTGAGGAGGCGGAGCGAGCATTTGAGGAACTAAAAGGGCCTTCGCCTCGGAACAACAACTCCTGCATGTGGATTTACAAAAACCGATGAGAGTGGAAACTGACGCATCAGACAGAGCGATTGGGGCGGTGCTTCTGCAGCCAGGGAAGAAGGGGTCAGAGTGGAGACCGTGTGCCTTTTTTCGCGAAAGCTGAACAAATCCGAGAGGAACTACACGGTGTATGACCGAGAACTACTAGCCATTCATGAGGCGTTCCGGAGATGGAGGCACCTGCTAATTGGCGCACAACATAAGGTGCAAGTGTGCACTGACCACAAGAACCTAGAGTATTGGAGGACGGCACGAGTGCTCAACCAACGGCAAGTGAGATGGGCCCAGGAGTTCTCCAAATTTAACTTTGAGATTAGTTACGTGCCAGGCCCAGAGAACATTAGGGCGGACGCTCTCTCACGCAAACCTGAATATTTGGAGGGGAGGGGCACCCGAAGAGAGACATGTCATTCCAGAGGACCGCTGGGTGTGTGGGCGGCATTGGTGGGACAAAGAGAACTGGTAGAGGAAACAGAGAATGATGAATACGCCCAGAATAAGCTCAGAGGTCTTAGGGGTGAGGGAGAGGAACCAGGGGGTTTCGAGGAAAGAAATGGAGCTTTGTATTACAAAGGGGCACTGTATATCCCTGAAGGAGAGTTAAGGGGAAGGGTACTCAAGCAGTTGCACGACAGCCCTACGGCGGGGCATTTTGGACAACACAAAACCATGTGGTTGGTCACCAGGGAATTTTGGTGGCCCAAGGTGAGGGAAGATGTACGTGAGTATGTAAGAGGGTGCGAGCAATGCCAGCGAGCCAAAGGGGAAAGGCGGGCGCCGGCGGGGCTATTAGAACCCTTACCAACCCCAGAACGACCTTGGGAGGCAGTGTCGATAGATTTTATGACTGATCTGCCGAAGTCCAAAGGGAAAACAGCCATCATGGTGGTGGTAGACCTACTAACAAAGATGTGCCACTTTGTAGCTTGCTCGCATGCAGTCACGGCGGAAGAGACAGCGAAGTTATTTGTAGAAAACATTTTTAGGTTGCACGGGGTGCCATTGAGGGTGGTCTCAGACCGAGGAAAACAATTTACTTCCAGGTTCTGGAGGAAGCTCATGAGCTTACTGCAGGTGGAGGTCAATTTTTCGACTGCCCGGCACCCCGAAACCAACGGGCAGGCGGAAAGAGCAACCGGTGTCCTCCAGCAATACCTGAGGTGTTATGTCAATGACAGAGAGAATGACTGGGTAGAAAAGTTGGCGCTGGCGGAATTTGCCTACAACAATGCCGAGAATGTGTCCACAGGGATGAGCCCCTTCTTGGCTAATTATGGGTGTCATCCCAGGGCTTTCCCAGGGGGAGATGGGGAGAGATGGAGCGTCCCGGCAGCCGAGCATTTTGTGGAAGAAATGGAAGCAATCCATCGTCAGCTCCAACTCAACTTAGAAAGGGCGAAGGAAGAATACAAGAGGCAGGCAGACAAGAACCGAAGGGAAGGTGAAACCATAAGGGTAGGAGATAGGGTGTGGCTGTCAACCCAAGGGTTGCCGTTCAAAGGAGGTTGTAAGAAATTAAGACCCAGGAGGTTGGGTCCCTTTGAGGTCATTCAACAGGTCAACCCAGTGGCTTTCAGGCTCCGGTTACCCAACCACATGAAACTGCACCCAGTATTTCACAGGTCGTTACTGTCACCGTACGAAGGGGGACGAGAAGGGCTGGCCACTCGGGGACCGGTCGTAGAAGAAAGAGAATGCAGCAGCCATGTGGCAGAAATCCTCGACGCTAGGTGGAAGGGGGATCAGGTGGAGTATTTGGTAGCGTGGGAAGGAGAACCGGAGTCAGAAAACACTTGGGTAATGGCTGAAGATATCAATGACGAGGTATTGATAGAAACGTTCCATCAAAGGTTCCCAAGGAAACCTCAGCCTGTGGAGAGGTTCCGGAGGGAATACTTTGGGACCACTGATGAAGGGGAGGAGTTGGAAGGATTCCCGGACTCGGAAGGGGAAGGGGAGATGGACTCTGAGGAGGAGGTGTACTTCGAGACCAGGAACCGCAACAGGTTGAGAGAAGTGTTCGAGACATCGGAAGATGAAGGAAGTTCATTCCGGGTTTTGCCTCCTCACCGCCCGTAGAGGAGGGGGCGAGAGGGGGTGAAGGGGGCCCTGGAGGGGAGGTGGATGTCAGGGAACTGCCATCGGACGGAAGGGAGGTGAAAGGGCTCACACAGGTTGGGAGAGACGCAGCAGCTGAAGAGGGAACCAGCAGGGAGGTGAAAGGGCTCACACAGGTTGGGAGAGACGCAGCAGCTGAAGAGGGAACCAGCAGGGAGGTGAAAGGGCTCACACAGGTTGGGAGAGACGCAGCAGCTGAAGAGGGAACCAGCAGGGGAGAGGAGCTGAGCTGGAGGGATGGCTCAGAGACACTTCCAGCGAAAACAGTGGGGAGGTTTCAGGACCTCCTGTAAGAACACCCACTCCTCGCCGGAAACTGTCACGCAGAGATTCCAGAAGACGTGTTTCCGTTAAGGAGCTTTTATGTTGGAAGCGATTACGAAAGCAACCACTGTCGGAATCTGCTAGTGACTAGAGTAGCCATGTCTGAGGGGCTCCGTCACAGACAGAGGTTTGTGGACTTGAACAAACTCTGAGGGGATACGATTTTACGCACAAGCAGCTCATCATCCCATCACAGATAGGTTTGCCTAAATAAACATTTGTTTTAGCAAGTGCCAAAAAGAGAATAGTGAAGGCATCTGCCTGATGCCCATAGGCAGGGAGTTCCAAAGTTCTCAAAGATCAGTTTCTTACAAATGTGGAACAAGTATTACATGACACTTGTAACAGTGCTAATTCTGCAGATCGAAGCAGTCAGTTGGGCCTGTATGGGTAAGGCAATCTCGCAGGTAAACTGCTCCCTAGCTATTGTCTTCCTGCCTGCCTCTTGAGATCCGTAGACCAGAGTCAAAGCTCACACCAAGGAACTGGGAATCCGCAGTACAAAGTGACATTATTCTTGCTGTCTGGCAAAATAATAATAATAATAATAATAATAATAATAGGCTACCACTGGGCTCACTGAGGTAACGTATATGCAACCCGGCAAAAGGAATGCAATGCCATTTCAATTAGTTAGTTGTCACATTTCATGTTAGATAAGCAGGTTTGGCTAGGCGGCTTTGATTTTTATGGGGCAGTGTTCACTTTACATGGCAGACATATGTGCTGCTAGTCGATTACATTTTCTCTGCTTATTATTTGAAAGGGAGAATGACATCCCTAATTGCACTGGAGCAAATATTGTTTTGTTGTTGTTTTTAAGAAGAGTGCTGCAAAACCTGTTGGAAGAACTGCCGGTTTCCAAAAGCAATGTTGATTTATTTTTGTATATATATTTTTGCTACAACCACGAGGACAAGAAACATACTCTTTAAAAAGCACAAATGCCCTGCAGTGTATCGAGAGTATGGGCTCATTGCAAAGCCAAAACTGCTGCATTTACCCCTGTGCTAAATGGAAATTGCGTGTAGTAGATTGACAGTCATATGACCCAACCGCAAGAGGCCCGATCACACCCTTCTCCCCCTCTTAGTTTATGAATGCCAAACTAGGCCTGAGATGAGCTATAGAGCTGCCATACGTCCAGATTTTCTCAGACATTACTGGGATTTCAAAGGCGGAATTGACATCTGGGGGCAATTTTGGAAAGGCAGCACTTTGTCCTGGATCTTAGGCAAGTCAGTTGAAAAATCACGGGGGGGTTTTGGACAATTTTGGGGTGTCCTGGTTTTTACTTTTTGAAATATGGCAATCCTAGATGAGCAGATCTTGAAATCACGTAGAAAATAGAGACAGGAGATATTTGGCTTAAGGGGCAGAAGTGCAGACCCTCTCCCCAAGCACTTTCCTCCCAGCTTGGGAATAGGTTCTGGAAGTGGGCTTAACTGAGAGAAAAAACACTTTGAGGAAGGGGGCGGGGAGAATGTAAGTCATGGGTCTTAAATCAGAACAGTTCCACAGTGTCCACATCTGTGTGATTGTGGCAGACCATGGCTTAAACCCCTGAGATCAGCTGCCATTGTGGTGGTGGGGGGGAGAGTTTCACTGTAGGTGCCCACACAATCTGTTGCAGCTACCCCCAATCTGATGCCTTCCAGTTGTTGTTGTTTTTTTGGGGGGGCTACAGCTCCCATCTAGACAGCATCTTTAAAAACCTAGGCAGCATATTAAAAAGCCGAGACATCACATTGCCGACAAAGGTCCGTATAGTTAAAGCTATGGTTTTCCCAGTAGTGATGTATGGAAATGAGAGCTGGACCATAAAGAAGGTTGATTGCCAAAGAATTGATGCTTTTGAATTATGGTGCTGGAGGAGACTCTTGAGAGTCCCATGGACTGCAAGAAGATCAAACCTATCCATTCTTAAGGAAGCCAGCCCTGAGTGCTCACTGGAAGATCCTGAAGCTGAGGCTCCAGTACTTTGGCCACCTCATAAGAAGAGAAGACTCCCTGGAAAAGACCCTGATGTTGGGAAAGATGGAGGGCACAAGGAGAAGGGGACGACAGAGGACGAGATGGTTGGACAGTGTTCCCAAAGCTACCAGCACGAGTTTGACTAAACTGCGGGAGGCAGTGGAAGACAGGAGTGCCTGGCGTGCTCTGGTCCATGGGGTCACGAAGAGTCGGACACGACTAAACGACTAAACAACAACAAGAACAGCTCCCATCAGCAGCACTGGCTGCAGCTGATGGGAGTTGTAGTCCGAAACATCTGGGGATCTCCAGGTTGGGGACGGCTGGTCTGCCCCACACCACCACACTTTCTTCCTCCCTACCCGCAACTTGGCAAGAAGCTCAGTCGTCCTGTAGCTGAGCCAGAAAACCCCGTCTCCTGATGTTTCAGCTGTCCCTGGCAGAATCCTAGACATCTTATTCCTAGCTTGGCCCATCACTGCCTTCACTTCCTAGTTTTTATGCTCTGCCGCAAGTGTTGCAAGAAGTCTAGAAACCATGTTTATTTCATGTTCAGCAGCCACAGTGAGATTTGGAAAGAGGCTGGGAGGAGGCAGGAAGCAGGAGTGTCTTCGGCTCCTTTCTCCTCCTTGGTCGCAAATGTCCCGTTGCCTCCCAAAAGCTCTTTGCTTCCCAAACGTTAATCTGCAAAGACAAAAACCCCAAAATCTAGCAGCCGTTTGGGATCGGTCTGGAAAACAGTCGCCGTTTGCAAACTTGAGTCAGTTTGTCAGTCACTTTTGCAACCTGCTTTCGAAAGCAACAATAGTATATTTGTTTCCAAATGGTCATTGCCTTGACCCAGCCTGTGGGGAGCATAGGGAGAATTTGGACTTAGAATCAAACCAAAATAAATAAAACCACAGCAGCTTTATTGGCATCAAAAAATGTCGTGAGAGCAGCAAATGTTGGCAATTGTTAGAATCAGTGGTGGGTAGTTCTGGAGCACAGTATCTTAGTCCTTCAGTATTTGGAGCAGGAGGAAACAGCAGCTGAGTATCCTTCTCAAAGGTAGTTGTCATCCACCTCCCCACAGTTACTAGAAGGGAACGCTGTGGACTCTCCCAGCTTTCTTAGGGAACAACGAACAGGAACAACACTAGCTTAGATCACAGGAAAGTCTCTCTGCCGGCCCTGAGTTTAACCTTGCAGGCAATCAGAATACATTCCCAAGCTTACCTGTGTATCTGAGCTTTCAAGTTGTACTTTACAAAACTGGTAACATTAATTGTCGGCCTCATTTGATGATATGCTGGTGTATATCGGAATGTTTTCACAAGGACCCCTGAGAAGAGGTTGCAATATGTGTCTGCGTGCAGATGTTCCTTGCACGATTTTTGTCACTGAGGGCCCAACCTTCCTCATTAATTAGGATAGGCATAGGCAAACTGCGGCCCTCCAGATGTTTGGGACTATAATTCCCATCATCCCTAGCTAACAGGACCAGTGGTCAGGGAATTGTAGTCCCAAACATCTGGAGGGCCGGAGTTTGCCTATGCCTGAATTAGGACGAAAGGGCATTGCAACAGCCCCTCCCAAATGCAGGTCTTTGACCCTTGCCTATAGAAGCGTGTGCGGAGGTTTCTTAGATCGGGATGTGGACTGGACCTGGCATAGCATAGTGGCTAAGAGACTGAGCTAGAAGCTCGTGGCTTGACCCTCGTTCCTGCTATGAAGTCACTGTGTGTGGCTGCGACTCGCTCAGCATCTCTCCCCCCCCCCCTGGCCACCTCTACAAAATGGAGATGATATAACACTAGCCTGACTGACTGAATTGTTGCAAGGGTTAAAGCATTACAGGCAACGACCGTTTTATGTGGGGCGTGCGTTCCGAGGCACCGCACGTTTAGGATAAATTGCGTATATTGGGAACACCATTGAAAAAGCTTGCAGGCACCTGAGTCTAAACCTCTGGAAACCCTTGGGAAAAGCCAGCAGCACTTTCCAGATTAGCAGGAATGATGGCAGTGCCTCTCGGTCTTCCTCATAACTGGAGGATGATGTGGAAACAAGAAGAAGGGAGGGTAGACCAGTACCCTGAAGTGCACTGAGCACCTGCCTGCCCTGCAGATTGCTAGGCACCGTTTTTGTGCCCTTTATGCCCTTTCGGTGCTCCCTTCGGGCCGTTTTCACCCTTTTTCTATTCAATTCTGGGTTTGTGGCGAAGCGTGCGTGGTCGTGCACATATTGAACGTGTGTAAAATGTTAAGTGAAATACTTTTAACATTTGAAAGCACTTTGGCGAGTTGTTATTAAACCTGCTGCCCGCCTTTGGTGACTCCAGTTGTTAAGAATTAAGCTTGTTCCAGTCTGCATGGCTCCAGCCCCTTAGCCCCTATGTAGCCCCTTTCCTGTTCTGTTCCTTGGCCATTCTAAGGGTGTTCCACTGGTGGGTGTCGGCCGGAGGCACAGTGGGCAGGGCAAAAGGTGTGATACCTTGTCCAGTGGTCTGGGGTGAGTAAAAGGTAGACTCATAGAATGGAATCATAGAATTGTAGAGTTGGAAAGGACCACAAGGGTCATCTAGTCCAATCCCCTGCAATGCAGGAATCTTTTTGTCCAGCATGGTAGATTGGGATCTACTGGTAGATCTTGGGGTGATGTGAAGTAGATTGTGGAAAAGGCACCTAACCCTCGCAGTGGTTTAGCAACACCAATAGAGAAAGGCCCGACCCTCGCCTCTAAATTCAATGGCTGGAACAAAGCAAAACAAAATCAGAAGTGGATTTGTGTGTGCGGAAGGCCTGCAAGATTAATTCTAAAATAAATTCTTGGAATGAACATGTATGTGCTCAGTGTTGGGAGATGGGGGGAAACTTGGTTCCATTCTACTTTGCAGTTGTAGGAATGATAAATGGACAGAGGCATAGCTCTCCTTTGCAATTTTTGCTTTTTCTTTCCCCCCCTTTTTAATTTGTTTATTCAAAATTAAAACAAAACATAGAGGAAACAGCATGCGAAACTCTGTGTATTCCGAGGAATGTGCACTGAAATGGTGACACTTTGCGGGCAGGGGAGGCATTTAGAAAACAAATTTGTGCATTGATGTGCAAATGTGTTGAATATTGGGGAAAATGAGAATCTGAAGGAGACCAAAAATGGCAGATTCATCCATCCCTACCTGAGAGGCACCCTGCCCCCTGTAAATCTAAGTGTATAGAAGCCCCTCCCCATTCCATCATTTTTTATTTAGCTCTGTTTGGTGGATGCCATGGTTAGAGTAAAGAAAACGGACCATGTAGATCTGACAAGCCTGAGGTCTCTCCTTCAGGAGGCTACATTCCAGCCATGCAAAAAACAATAAGAAGTTTCTATCCACTCAAACATGCACACACCTCCTTCCTCTGTCCAGGCAAGCAAGAGAGATTGGTTCTCAAGGACACATTCCAGAGAAGCAAACACTCTTGAGAAGGCTGTGAAGTTGGCCTGGGAAGAGGCCTGAGGTTCAGAATACGCTCCTTCTGGCCCTGAGGTTCGGCTGCCCTAGAACGTTCAGAACTAGCTCTTACACAGAAATAATTTGTTTTTGTTTTTTTCCTTTTCATTGCAAGCCACCACAACTTTAAAATACTAGTAATCAGACAGGCTTAGAGATTATTCATTATTGCTACTATTTTTATTGTTGCTATTACTTTTTAAGGCGGGAATAGTGAAGCATTTCACTACTGAGCGATAAACGATGGAAGCGAATTTACCTTTTTGTTGATAAAGGCCAACAGCAACGCACACTTTATGGCTCTGCGAATGAGTGAAAACAGTCCCGAGGGCCATTACATAACAGTTCTGCTTCTTGCACCCCAGGATTCTGCCGTGCTGGGGGTGGGGTAGGGGTTCAAAGTACCATTCCCCCTGCAGGCTCCCTGCTCACCCAGCAGATTCGCTGCCTTCAGGGGTTTAAGGCCAGCAGCGTAGTTTCTCTCTCCTGGAACTTGGCTGCTTCCCACCCCCTGGTGCTTCCCCATCTATGAGCATCCTGCCCCATGTCCTCGGGTAACCCTGGGTCCCAGCCTTGCTCTTAGCAGCCCATTGCAGGAGGGTCTAATCCCCCAATGGGGGGAGGTCACTTGAGGACACAGCCGGGGCCTCCCTGCCTTTCTTTTCTCCTTTCTCCTTCCCCATTCTTTCCCCCTTCTGGGGAGGCCGGCGGGGACCTCTCAGCCGCTGTTGTTTCCATGCTGCCTTTGATGTTACAGCGCTGGCAACTTGCCAGAGAGAAGCTGCAGGTTTCCTTACAAGAGTGCTGCGCATGCAGACTGGCGGGGTTTTGCGCGGGGGGGGGGGGTGGCCTGGCTAGAGGCGGTGGTGGCAGCAGCGGCGGCGGCCAGAGACAAGGGGAAACGAAATATGTGCAAGGAAGAAGTGAGCCATATGCAGGGAATAGGAGGGGCATCACCGCTTCTTAACCTCTTTTTAACCTCTGCGTGGAGTAAAGGAGGCAAGATTCCAGGCAGTGGAAGATAACACATGTGTGGCTTGGGAAAACTGAGGCAGCATTTCTGCCCCCCACCCCCCGTTTATGTTTTCGCCACTTCCTCGCTTCGATCACCTCTCTGTCCATCTCCCCTTTTGTGACACAGTTTCTGCCATCCCTCCAATGCCCACCCTTACCTCCTTTTATCACGTTTCTGTCCCTCTCGAGGAAGGAAGTCAGCGTGCTACAATGGAACCTCGCTTGCCGAACGTAAACCGTTTTGGAAGACTGTTCGACGACCGAAAACGTTAAGACAACTAAGGCGCAATTGCCCATTGGCAAAATCCATTGAAAAAAATGGAGAAATGCGCCTCACAGCTTCGAAAACGGAAGCATTCACTTGTCAGCGTTCGGGTTCCAAATTGTTTGGCTTTCAAAGCGTTCGACAACTGAGGTTCCACTGTAATTGCTATGCAGTGGTACCTCAGGTTACATATGCTTCAGGTAACATACGCTTCAGGTTACAGACTCCGCTAACACAGAAATAGTACCTCAGGTTAAGAACTTTGCTTCAGGATGAGAACAGAAATTGTGCTCCGGCGGTGCGGTGGCAGCGGGAGGCCCCATTAGCTAAAGTGGTGCTTCAGGTTAAGAACATTTTCTGGTTAAGAACGGACCTCCGGAACGAATTAAGTACTTAACCCGAGGTACCACTGTATTGAGGTGTTTGAGGGCACGGCTATTCCTGGCTGCCTTGGAACCCCAGGGCTGGGGCTGGCGGCTGGTTCCAAGTGCCCCATGTTGCTTCAGATTCGCTCTGCACACGCTCAGAGGCGTTATTTCACTCCCAGTGCTGAAAGCAGGCTCCGGAGTCAAACACTGGAACTGCCAGGTTTTGAGCCGAGAAGATTAGCTCCAAGAAGGGTGAGGTTTTTCTGGTTGGAGCACCAGACACCCACCCCCCCAATCCGCTCCCCACTGCCGCTCCCTTGAACTGAGGCACCTTCCCAGAGTGGGTGGGGAAGGCAGAGAAAATGTCCATGTTTGCCTGACTTTTGTTTAAATATATACCGAGTGGTGGTGTTCCTCACCCTGCACTTTTTTGAAAAGGGGAGAAAAGAAAAGGAGAAAATGTCTGGAGATGCAAACCGGTTGGGGCCACTTGAAACCAGTTTGGCAGCTCTCCTTCCCACCCCCCACCCCAGTCCTCCCAGCCCAGTTCCCTCTAGCCTTAGAGGGTGTGGGTGTGTTTTCGAACTGCCAATCTATAAATGCGGAACAGGAGCTGTAGCACAACCTGGTGTTGGAGGTTCTGCTGCTGTTGGTAGACGTAGGCCTAAATATTTTCCTCCCCTGTAGCATGCAAGCAGACGGGCTGCTTCTGGAATTGGTTGCTAGATGAGGCAGTGACTCTTACTGTAGGTCCCCCCCCCTTTTCTCTCCCACCTTCCTTCAACGTGTCATACACTGTTCTTCTGTTTTATCTTCACAACAACCCTGTGAGGTAGAGTATGCTGAGAAACCGTGGCTGGCCCAACAACGTCACTCAGAAAGCTTCGTGGCTATGTGGAGATCTGAACCTGGATCTCCCCAGGCCAACCGCATGCTGTCTAGCCCAGGAACAGGGAACTCATGGCTCTCCAGATGTTCCTGGACTACAGCTCCCATCTTTCCTCACCCATTGACCATTCTGGCTGGGCCTGGTGGGAGTTGGAGACCGTCAGCATATTGAAGGCTGCAGGTTCTCCATCCTTGCCGTCATCGCTACATCGCACTGGTGGTTGTTCATTTGACCCTCTGTGCTTCAAGGCAGGTTACCTCTGAATACCAGATACTGAGGATAGAAAACAAGGGACATCTGCTATGTCCATCATGAGCTTCGCAAGAACTGTGTGGGCGCAGTCCCAGATTGACGTTCCAATCAGTTCACATGGCTGAGCTAGAAGGCCTGTATTCAGATTCCGGCTCGGTCCTAGAGTCCTTGCCATGGCAGCCTTGAGCGGATCTTTGCGTCTCAGCATCAGAGAAGAATAAGCTGGTGTGATTTCCTCCTCCAACCCCACAACCACCAATAATAACGTTACAAGAATTAGAGAAACCTTCCTGTTAAGCCACCAGCCTCCATGGTAAAAGGCTGCCCTGGTTTGCCACTTACCACTCCCTCTGGGCTTACGGTATATGTCACAAATGGAGAGCAGGTATACTTAGAAAGTTAGTCAATGGGGAAGCAGCTCTGGGCTCAAGCAAGTGAGCCAAGCTGCATGCTAGGGCTAAGGAAGCATCTCACCGTTTCAGCTTGGTGAATATTCGTAGAGCAACATACGAGGACGATCCGTTGTATCCTGTCTTTTAGCAAAAGAAATCTGACAAGTCTTCCAGTGCGAAAAATTCCCCGCTTTCTCCCACTGTTTCCTTCTCTAACTTCGTCTAATAATAATAATAATAATAATAATAATAATCCATAGCATTTATATTGTGCTTTAGGGCATCTGTGTACGTTATCTCAGTAACCCTTACAGCAACACTTTAAGGTGGGTTGCTGCTGCTGCTGCTGCTGCTGTTGTGGTTGTTCCTAAACTGCAGAACATTGTCTGATGATGAGAAATAGTGGCTTGCTTTGTGACAACATCTGAGTTCATAGCAGAGGCAAAATTTGAATCGGAGACTTCCTGGTTCACAGCTTGCACTCTTTATCAGCCACAAGGGATGTAAGAAGGCAGCAATTGGTAACAACCAGCGCTGTTTTCCATTCTGCTGCACTTCAGTTTCTGCCAAGAGCTATGTTATTTGTCTCGCTGTCTGCTATTTAACGTAACTTATATAACTGACACAACTATTTACATAACTTCTACAACTTACCGTATTTTTCGCACCATAGGACGCACCGGACAATAGGACGCACTTTGTTTTAGAGGGGGGAGAACAAGAAATTTTTTCCCCCTCTCTGCCCAGTGCCCCTTCAGTGAAGCAGCAGGAGGCGCTGCACAGAGAGGGGGAGAACTTTCCCCCTCTTGTTTTCCCGCTCTAAAACAAGGTGCCGTTTAAGGTGCGTTCAGGCGGCTACCTTGGAAGCCTGGAGAGCGAGAGGGTCGGTGTGCACTGACCCTCTCGCTCTCCAGGCTTCAGGTTCCTTCGACCTGCTCTTTGGGGCTGGCGGGGGGAAGCCCACCACCAGCCCCAAAGAGCAGGTCAGGGAGCAGCGGAAAGGCGCAGCGGAGAGGCTCCTGCCATAGCCGCGCGTCACCTCTCCAGCTGGGAGAGGGTCGCGGGGCTATGGCTTCTTGTGCCCCACGCGCGCTCTCCCGGCTGCGGAGGTGACGCGCGGCTATAGAGGCTCCTGCCATAGCTGCGTGTCACCTCTCCAGCTGGGAGAGGGTCGCGGGGCTATGGCTTCTTTAGCCCCGCGCGCGCTCTCCCGGCTGCAGAGGTGACGCGGGGCTGTAGAGGTTCCTGCCATAGCCGCGCGTCACCTCTCCAGCCGGGAGAGGGTCGCGGGGCTATGGCATCTTCGCTCCATAGGACGCACACACATTTCCCCTTCATTTTTGAAGGGGAAAAAGTGCGTCCTATAGAGCGAAAAATACGGTATATTTATTTCAGTGTAAAGGACACATCAAAACAATGTAGAAAAAAGTGCCATTGATTACGTATCATTTGCAGACTTAAAAACAAACAACAATGCGAACAAATTGTGATAGCGCTCGCTTGACTGATTTCCATTCCTGACCACAGGCGAACACACGAAAGTTCCGCTTTCTTTTCCATTTTTGTTGCAATTTTCTGACACCCCCAGCAGCTACTCTACAATTAACTCTAAAGAGTAGCATACAAGAAATGTGATGCACAGACTCAAGTACCACAACCAGCAATTCTCTGTCTTCAGTCTTCAAAAAGGATTGTAGGGCCAATTCTGGGGTGATGTCTATTACTTGCTTAGTTATTTTACATATTTCTTGTATGGCTGTTGTCCAGAATAGTTGGATTTTGGGACACTCCCACCACATGTGGAGGTATGTGCCTGTGGAGGTGCACCCTCTCCAGCAGACAACAATGCCCATTTACACCACAAAGAACTCATAACCCACCTGCTCTCAGCAGCCAGAAACACCATAACCAGACACTGGAGAGACCTGTCAGGAGTAAGCATGGACCAATGGTACCAAATAGTATGGGAAACAGCCCTACTAGAAAAATTAACTAATAAACTGAAACTGACACGGGGGACAAACAGAAGAAGACGCCTTCACCCCGGTATGGCTCCCATTTATCACATACACAGCCCAACAGGACAATGACAATAATCCACCAACAGCATACAAATCAATATGGCTAACCTGATCCAAAACACCCACCCACCTCACTCACACACGAAAACAAAGATCACCACAGCCAATCACAAGCAAACAATCACACCCTAGGCCAACCCCAACCTCTCTCACCACCAAAGGAACACAAGTGAACAACACAAGCAACGCTGACACCAAACTCTACATACATTAAACATAATAGAAACACTGCCACCCGACCCCACCCCATCCACCTTCCCTCCCTCCGCCCCCCTTACTTTTTTTCTTTTTTTTCTTCTCCCCCTAATGCCTCAACAAATGAAACGGATTTGTAAAAATGTTACATGGGAAAAAAAAAATACGAGGCACTACACTTCTGTAAAACAAGAAAATCCTTAATAAAATATTCAAAAAGGATTGTATTTCTAGCCTTCATGGAAAACTCCAGCTCCAGTTCCAATGATGCAGAGGTGACATGGAGGACAGCTGATCTCTATTATTACTTTTTATTGGGGTGGGGGGGAGAATCCATTAGTGGTCAAATGTTAATGAGGAAAAAGGCACTCTGCATATGCTCAAAGGCAGTGTCTGAAAAGCTTTGGTGCCTGTTTCTTCCCCATGGCTGCTACTTCAAGCCCTATAATGTAGCAGTGCTCAAAACTTTTCCTTCTTCCGTTTGTCCTTCCCAGTACAGTGGTACCCCGGGTTTAGAACTTAATTCGTTCCGGAGGTCCGTTCTTAACCTGAAACTGTTCTTAACCTGAAGCACCACTTTAGCTAATGGGCCTCCAGCTGCCGCCACACCGCTGCGGTGCGATTTCTGTTCTCATCCTGAAGCAAAATTCTTAACCCGAGGTACTATTTCTGGGTTAGCGGAGTCTGTAACCTGAAGCGTCTGTAACCCGAGGTACCACTGTACTTGAGTCTTTACCAGATTATTCTGCAGTGGAGGTGCAGAAAAAACAACAACCCCCAATTAATCCTGCATGGCTTGGAGCGAAATAATGAGGAACTTTGGGTGGGTGGTGGGTTAGAATTTCCACAACCCATACACTAAAGTAGGATCGTGGTCGGGATCTTTTTATTATTGTTATTACTGCATTGTGTTCCGAAGTTGAAAGAGATAGGAAGAGCCTGCACATTAAAAAAGTGAATTTAAAAAAAAACAAACAGTTTCTCCCATGTGTTGTTCTTGTTTTTTGTCTCCTCAGCGTTCAACCGCCACGTTTCGCCCCAGAATGCTTGCTGCTCACCGACACTGAAGGAGGCGCAGATGGGGCCTGCCTCCTAACTCCGGTTCACGGCCCCCTCCCCTCCCAAATCCCAAACCCGCATCTGTCGTGGCGACCGCGGAGCGTCGCCTCTGGGGGCGGAGCCCACCTTGGTCTCTCCTTCTTGGTTCTGGATGGAATTGCGGTGAATGGAACAGAAGCCCAGCACGGTGGAGTGCCTGTCGGAGCCAGAGGACACCCGGTAAGGGCACACCCACCCAGCAGGGATCCTAGCGCACTGCAGATTTGGGGGAGTTCTGCTTGCGTATACCCCAACCGCAGCTGGTTGTTTCAGAGGACGCCATTAAAAAACCCCTTCCTTCTCTCCATTTCCGTCAACACAGTAACAGCGAGTTCGCTATTAGAAGAAGCGATAGAGAGTGTGCAGCTCAGAGTGATTTTTGGTGGTGTCCAGTATCTGAATCTTTCGTTTCTGAATCCATACCATGCAAGTAGCAAATGTGGAACTGAGTGTCTGGATGTTGAATTCAGGATCATGTGTTTCCTGTCAGCCTTCCCTTTAAAAAAAGAAAAGAAAAAGCTTGAAATGGAGGAACAATTTTCCACCGCCCCCACCCCCCGGCCGCCATTTTTCATCTCTTACTCTGGGTTGTAACCAATGATAGTCAGAGTAGACCCACTGAAATTAGTGGACAATGACCGACTTGGGTCACTTGTTTTATTTATGGCATTTATTTTTTTACTGGATTTGTATGCCACCTTTTCCTACAAGCTGCCCAAGGTGGCATACATGATTCTCTCACTCCTCTTTTAAACCCTGCAACAACCCTGTGAGGCTGGTTAGGTTGAGAGGCGGTGACTGGCCCAAGGTCAGCTTCATGGCTGAGTGGGGATTCGAACCCTTGTCTCTCTGGTCGTAGAGCGACACTCTAGCCACTATGTCACACTGACTCTTTAATTACCGTACTTTTCCGTCTATAAGACGCCGCCGTTTATAAGACTACCCCTATTTTTGGGGTCTCAATTTTAAGAAAATTCGGGGAGATGGCTCAGTTGTTGAGCTTTTTTTTAGGGGGGGGGACTGTCCCATCGCCTGAAGAAGCTGCAAATCACATGCCCAACTGCCAGAGCGTCAGCCAATCAACACGCACAATAGCTGCTGACAGACACGGCAGCAACTAATCAAACGTCCATCCTATGCACTACCCATGTATAAGACAACACCCACTTTTTTTTTAAAAGAAAAAAACATAGTCTTATACACAGAAAAGTACGGTAAATTCATCTCAGTGGGTCTGCTCAGAGCATGACTAGCACTGGACTATGTCTTGGTCCTCCATCTTGGCGGACTGAATGCATTCTCATATTTTTAAGGAGTGGCAACATGATACACTGGATCAAGCAAGGCAGATTTGACCATAAATCTCAGGCTTGCCTATTGTTTGCATCTTTGGGTGGCATGCTGCATTCCATGTTAATTTCCAAGCACTGCAGGGCACACTGATCAGGTAGCTTCTAGCACATCACTAGGAAGCCATAAATTAAAGGCTGATGAACCAAAAGCCGCTACCTGCCAAGGAGTCTGCTCCCTGTCTCCTCTGGGCATTTTGCTCCTCTGTTCTTGCCTCCTTTCAATCAGCCTCCATTAGGGGTGAGTAATTCTGCCCTATGGCTCTATGGTGTATGGTTGGATCATTCAACTTCTTCGACTGTGGAAATGCAGAAGAATTATATTGCTTACTGGGAAGCTGCCCGTTGCATCTCTGCGCGAGTCACCGTTAGAAACTCAGATATATAAGCTAATTGCCAATGGACCTTAAACCTAGGTTATAGTTGCCACAGCGAAATGTCTAGGCTCCTTCTCCCCCCCCAAAGGAATTTATTGCTGGTGCTGTTGTATTTGTTGTTACTTTCATTTCTATGTCGCTTTATATTTTAAAGAAAAAGTCTCAAAGTGGTTTACAACTTGTTTAAAACAGTAAATAAAGCAATCCAGAATAAAACAAATTCAAGCTTCAAGGGCAATACAGTATTTCAGATCCTTCTCTAAGTGACATTTTGCTTTCCCCATATGAATCTACCTACCGTATTTATTTGAAGGCAATGTGCACCTTTTTTGGCCAAATTACGTTGCAAAAATTAGGGTGTGCATTAGATTTGATGCCACATTTACACTCGCCACCAAATACTTTTTCGGTTTTGAGGTTTTGAAAATTGAGGTGCGCATTAGATTCAATGGTGCATTAGATTCGCGTAAATGTGGTACATAATTTATAGAGCTGCCCCATAGCAGAAGTACTCTAGGAAGCCAGTGCAGTGTAGTGGTTAGAGCATGGGTAGGCAAAGTAAGGCCTGGGAGCCGGATCCTGCCCAATCGCCTTCTAAATCCGACCCACGGACGGTCCAGGAATCAGCATGTTTTTACATGAGTAGAATGTGTCCTTTTATTTCAAACGCATCTCTGGGTTATTTGTGGGGCCTGCCTGGTGTTTTTACATGAGTAGAATGTGTGCTTTTATTTAAAATGCATCTCTGGGTTATTTGTGGGGCATAGGAATTCATTCATTTCCCCCCCACCCACCCCAAAAAATATAATCCAGCCCCCCGCAAGGTTTGAGGGACAGTGGACCGGCCCCCAGCTGAAAAAGTTTACTGACCCCTGGGTTAGAGTGTTGGACTTGGACCTGGGAGATCAGGGTTCAAATCCCCACTCAGTCATGAAGCTCACTGGGTGACCCTGGGCCAGTCACTGCCTCTTAACTTCTTAACCTACCTCACAGGGTCGTCATAGGGATTAACTGAGGTGGGGGATGAACCATGTACACCTTGGAGAAAAAGGTGGGATATAAATGCACTGAATAAGCTCTTACTTGCTTAAGAGAGCTGGAAGGCCCAGCCAGATGGAGATTTCAGTTGCCAACCTGGCATCCAGAGATCTCCACGTGGTCGCAATTGGACCTGCGCCAGGCACAAAACGCACCTTTCTATCTCTGTGTACTGGGCTTGCCTCCTTCCAGTCAAGAAGCACCCTTCAAAAGAGTGACTCACACAGAAACGGGGCGAGTGGAGAATTTGTAACTCTTCCATGGTCCTAAAGTGATGTTCATTTTTTTTAAATGTAAAGGTGATCCCAGACTGTCACTCTCCTTGGGTGGGATTCTGCCACATCCTAGCAAACATTGTTTGTGCAGTTGGAGCTGATTGGGGCTATCTTGCAAGAAACCTGTTCCTCCAAAAGACCGGACATTTGGGGATAAGGAAAAAGAGGGGAAATTGCGCTGGAAAGTGTAGGGCAACAAATCACAAGCGGCCTAAGTGAAAGGCATCTTCTTTCCTGAATTTCAAGTATGGTTGAGGTATCAGAAGTTTATCGCTGCAGTTGCATGTTCCTTCGAGTCCTTCCCCCCCCCCCGTTAATATAAATTTGCTTTTCTGAGAAGTAGTTTGGTGTTTTGCATTTAATCTGCTAAGTAAATCAGGAGAAGCATTTCCACGAAGGCTTATTAGGGTAGAGGCGGAGCGGCTTTTGAACCTGCGTTCTCCTTTGATGCATAAGCCAAATAACCTATAGGTTGAATCCCAGGGCTCCATAGCTATGGAGCTAGGGGTGTGCTATGCTGTGGGTGGGTGCCAGCCGCTGGTTGGGGCTGCCTGAGATCCCAGCCACGGGTGAGAATGAGGGTGCAAAAATGTGCAGCGGGCTCCAGAATAATATTGGCACTGTGCATTTATGATGTTGGCAAGGGGATTCGGTTTTCATAGAATCATAGAAGGGGTCACGAGGGTCATCTAGTCCAACCCCCTGCAATGCAGGAATCTCTCTGCCCAACATGGGGTTCAAAACCACAAGTAATACATAGGTGTGAAATGGATCTGTCCCACTAAATAAAAGATAAGAAGGAAATGAAGATCCGAAAGCCCGAGTGAATAAAAAACAGATAATGATGGCTCCAGGAGTGCCATCAGATAGAGCACTCCGTAAACGGGGAGCCACCACTGAGAAGGCCCATTCTCTGGTTGCTGCCCTCCGCACCTCCCTTGAGGAGGGCATGCAGAGAAGTGCCTCAGATGCTGAATGCAGGGTCTTGGTGGTTTCACGTGGGGAGAGGCAGTCCTTGAGGTCTTGTCACCCTGAGCCACATAAGGCTTTATAAGCCCAAACCTGCACTTTGAATTGGGCCCAGAAACTAATTAGTAGCCACCGCCGTCAGGCCAGGATTGGTATTAATGTGTGCTGACTGCCTTGCCCCAGTGAGCAGCCTGGTTGCTGAATTCTGCATAAGCTCCTGCTTCTAAACCGTCTTCAAAGGCATCTCCATGCATAAAGCATTGCAGCAATCTAACCTAGAAGTTACCAGTCAAGTGCCTTTGGGTGCTTGCAAGCGGGGCACAGCGGGGCTGGGCCTTCTGCTGTGGTTTCTCCCCATCTTCTTGCACTCAGAGGTGTATTACTGCTGTATGCACAGGTTCCATTTGGCTACTGTGGCTAATAGCCCATGAAGCTCACAGTGTTGTTGCCTCGGTCAGCTCACTCTCCCCGTTGAGGCTACTGCGCAGGGTTATTGCTTCGAGCTTTGTGTGATGAAAAGTGTCGCAATTTGGAGAGGTGCTGGGTGCCTTCAGACCCCCGTAACCTCTTTCAGGATGCAATAAATCAGAGGGTTGCATTTGGACACGGAAGACCCAAGTTCAGCCACCTTGCGTATCTTTCAGCCTGTCTCTGCCTCATCTACCTTGCAGGGTTGTTGTGGTGACAATGGAAGGGTATAAATGAGATGATATAACAAGAATGCATAATCACCCTGTAATACTTTTAACAAAAAGAAAACAAACGAGCACCCACAGTGGGGTACAGAACCCAGGTGTCCTAGATCTCATCTTTCCTTCCTCTCTGCGCCCTATTTGTCAATAGCTCAGTCAGCAGAGCATGAGACTCTTAATCTCAGGGTTGTGTGTTCGAGCCCCACTTTGGGCAAAAGATCCCTGCATTGCAAGGGGTTTGGGCTAGATGACCCTCGTGATCCCTTACAACTCTACGATTCTGTGATCTACAAAATGAAGTAGTGCAGCTCTGTGTTTATTATGGACTTTGCTGATGATTATCTTGCAAGCGGGTAGACAGATAGCATTTGCATTTTGCACTGTAGGGTTTCAAAGAATTGTTTCGTTTTCTTGGTAATCCTTGCAAAGACCCTGCAAGGTAGGCCAGTATTACTTATCTCTGTTTTAATACAGATTAGGGGAGAGGGCTGAAGAAGAGAGAATGGCTTTTCCTAAGGCCACCTGGTGATTTCAGAGCAGAGGCGAAGCTCGAATCAGACAGTTCCTGGGGAGAGGGCAGACGTGCTTTGCCCTCAGACAACCCCAGGTTCCATCCCTCGCAGACTCCAGTAAAGAGTTTCAAGCAGCAGGTAGATGAGGAAAGAGCTGTACATGAAACACTGATGCCCACTGCCTGCCAGAGTAGACACTACTGGGCTGGATAGATACACACACTTGCCTGGTATAAGGCATCTTCTTCCTACGTTCAGCTCAGTCTGTGAGCCACTGTGCTAGAGTAGCTCTCATAGATTCAAATATAATTAAGCTGCATAATTTAAGACGCAGAGGCATTCCTTGATATAGAACAGAGAGAGAGAATACGCTTGGGAGCTTGATGTCCTACTCAGTCTCCTGCCAGAACAGCTGTGATTTTTATCTCTTTCCACAGTGCTGCTGCTGCCGGTGCTGCTGCGAGAGTCGCAGTCCTAGGAAGGGCTCGCCTCTATGTGTGCCAGGCCGCAAGCCTATCCTGTTTACCCCTTCCATCTGTGGCATACGGAAGGGCCAAGGGGAGAGGGTGGGGGTCAGGATAATGGGCCCATTCTCCGACACTGGCACCGGCTGGGTCCTAATGGGCCCCACAACTCAGCAGGTGCCTTTTTTTGCCAGCGAGACTGTCTGCCCGCCCGTCAGCCAGCTGTGCTGCTGCCTCTGTTTGCCCAGACTTTCCTGGCATGTAGCGCTGGCAGCCAGAACAGCCGTGCACGTTTGGGGTGGGAAACCAAATTATGTAGGAAATAATCTCCCCACCACCACCACCACCACCTTCCACCTGCCCCCATGCCTTGCGAAGCGGCTGCCTTTTTGTCCATGCAGCTGCAATATCCTTCTGCATGTGTGCGAAGTGTTTTTATTGCCTTTGCCCCTCCCCACAAGGTTTCCACCATTCCCTGTTGTACAAATGGGCAGGGGAAATGATGGCTGTGCCACAGGCCAAACAGAGAGTCAGTGGCAGAGTGGAATCCATCCTTAAAACCAGCCTTCTCTGCAGCACCTTTTACAGTGAGTCTGGAGAAAAGTGATGTTGAGGTGGGTGTCTGCACCCCAAATCAGCCCCAAATCTGGACTCTGTGATGCCCTCCAAACATCAGCCTCTAATGGACTAGCTAGGCAGTTCCCATCTCCTTCGTCCCTCTTTTTGATGGGAATGCAGCCTGCTATCCGCTTGCTACCAATCCCAGACTTCAAATATTTGCTGCTTGCCCTGCTGGAGGCTGACACTAGGCCTGCCAGAACTGCAAGGGGAGAAGGGTACATCCAACACACTGCAGTGGCTCAGCAGGTAAACTAAGCCAAGGCAGGAAAATAGGAGGCTGAAAAGGACTTCATTGAAACTATTATTATTATTATTATTATTATTATTATTAATGATTTTTCAGATTTCTTACCCTGCCCTTCACCACACACTCCCAGGGTAAGATGTAATCATTTAAAAAAACACAACATTAAAATAAATTACAGCCAAGAGAATAGGGTGGGCACTAAAATATATTGGGTGTCGAAAGCTAGGGAAATTTGAGATGCTTTCAGTATATGTCAAAATCTACGTAATGAAGGCACCAGGTGAACATCTTTGAGCAAAGCAAATGGCCCAATTCTGCGCTCCCCACCCCTGCAAATAAAGGGTGGAGAAGACGTGAATCTGGGCCTGTTTTGGAAAAACTCAAAAGTCACACCACACAGGGGTGCTTCCTTGCAGATGTTGAGTTTTCCAGTTGTAGCGTTTACATAGGTATGGTATTAGGGGCTAGCAAGGAATGTGCAGGATCCTTGTGGCAAGGAGACCACATCAATGCAGTTCAAGCCCTGGCGCTAGGAAGGCATGCTGGTGAGTGCAAACTCCCACCTCCCCACCTCCCAAGCACACACACACACACACACACACACACACACACTTCCCCTGAAAGCCACAGTGAGCCATCAGCCGAGGGAAGTTACACACCGCAGAAAAGATGGCTGAAGTGTAAAAAAGAGCTTTAGATTTCTCAAGGAAGCAAGCCAAGCCGCAACTGAGGAGAAATATGAAAACCACCCTGGGTCGCAAGTCAGTTTGTTCTGGAGGGAAATCCCTTCCTGATGCCAACTTTCATAATGTCTCAAATTCAAGTAAAACCCTGTTTATGGAATCCTCCACAAGGCAATTTTATTTTTAGGGAAGGGAGTGGAATCATTCCCAGATCACAGTATTATAGATTCCTCTTCCCCTGCTTCCCTGCCCCCCCCCACCCCAAAGCAAAGGGCATTGTAGAGTAGCTAAGAGAGTAAGTTGGGAATTCTCCAGTTTTTAACTCTGCCATAAACTAGCCAGCCCCACCAACGGGAAGCCACTGGCCTTATCAACCTCAGCATCCCTTCTGCAGCAGCACAATGATAACAGCACTGGCCTCCCTTACAGGCTCGTTGTAAGGTCACCGAGCCAAATGCCTGTGCTAGTGCTGCATAAATACGAAGGATTTTGCTTGTTACTATTATTAGCCATTAGCATCATTATTTTGCTGCAGGTAAAGGGCCTTGTAGGTAGCTGCAGAGAGGATTCCTTAACAGGTGTATGCCAGGAAATGCAAACCTCACGAAAGGCATCTGCAGTCCAAACAGTGCTTCAAACAGCTTCTTCATTCCCTTCCCACCCCAGGGTTGGGAAATTTGGCTCCCACCAAGCGCCAGGGGGGAAAACATCACTTCTAGTCCTTTGAGATGCTTCTGCCTTTTTGCCGGCAGTAATCCTGATTTTGTGTTGCAAGATCATCTGCTGCAACACGCTCGCACCTGTACATGCACTTGTATCATTACACAAGCAGCGGTGGTGATGTGTGGAAAGGTGCTGGTGGGGTTTTTTGCGGTTGTTGGTTTTTTTTACGTGCCCCCATGCACACTCTAATGGCCATTTTACGGGAGGGACACTTCTGTGTGTGGAAGTCTAGATGCGGCAGACACGATGCGGTTCTGGGGAAACTCTTCATGTTTGTGACCTATGCAGTGCAGGCTTGGCAGCCTTCCCTCTGCAAGGAGAGAAGTGTCATCCTGCTAGGGCTGTAAAAGCTCCCTTATCTTTTCTCCGCTGTACATACACCCCTTTGGCAAAAAATTAAAATAAATGCTGTTGTTCAGGTGTGATGATCACACCTGGCCACATGGTGGCAGACTTGCTCCATAATGTACCCCAGGCAAACCCATTCAGAGAGCAAAGGGTAAAGGGCATTGGAGGTGGGATGGTAGGCAGGACTTGGGACAGACGTGGTTGCAGCGGCAGCACAGAGCAACCAGCGATTAAGAGGAGAGTTTGAGATTGATATGTAATCACCAGCCCAGCAAGGAAGGGGTTGGCAGGCCAACGGTGTATGGGCATGTGCCATCGAAGTTGTAAATGGCCAAGCACGGTTTCGATCGAAGCCAGTAATCCGCCTCTGGATGTGTAGCTTTAAAGCACAGTGCCCAACTCCAAAGGATTCTGGGCAGTGTAGTTCTTTAAGGGAATTGTAAAGCTGTGCAGGGTAAAACTACAGCACCCAGAATTCTTTGAGGGGAGGGAATGTGCTTTGAATGTGCTCCGAAGGTATAGTGTGTATGCAGCCCTTATCTCTGGACAGTAGGCCTCAGACCAGCCACACAAAAACCAGAGGTTTCAACATTGACACCTCTGCATCCAGTCCAGCAAGAGGCATTATTGCAGGTCAGAGACAGGGGAAAGACCTGAACAAGGGTGTGGAGTTGGGCCAATTGGAGGTGTGTGGCCTGGGAACAGTCCCACAGGCCAGATAGAGAGGCCTGCATTTGACCTGTGTACCTGAGATTATCCACTCCTGCTTTACACAGATGGAAGCACATTCTGTCACCCTCAAAGGATTCTGGGCAATGTAGTTTGCTCAGCGTTTTTGGGAATTGTAACCCTGTGCACTACAGTACCCAGAATTCTCTGAGGGAAGAAAGGCACTTTGAATGTGCTTTCAAGGTATCTTGTGAAGCGGGGTGGAGTGCGTTTTTCCTGCGCCTCTTCTCGTCTCCATGTGTCTTGATAAACCGTGTGTGCAGTATTCGGGGTGTGCTTTGTTCACATAGGACGAACCTCATTGGGCCCCATAAGGATGCCCAGACTCCGATCTCTCCTGGCCCCGGATTGGGAGCTGGGTGTGCCTTGGGGCACGGCCCTTGCCACAGGACATGCCCCCGGCACAACCTTCTGTTCTTGCCATGGGGCCCCAGGGCAGGCAAGTTTGTTCTCACGGCTTTGCTTGCCGCTCCTGTCGTAAGCAAATAGCGAAGCTCCTCCACCTGGGATGGGAAGGAGAATGTGACTGGGCGGCTCTGTGGTTTTGCTTGCCCCACAGAGATGGGCAGGACCTCTGTTCCCTAGTCTCATGTGGGAGGTAGGAACGATTGTGATGGATAAGGTATGGTTTTGTCACCCCGCTCCTTGAGCAACCACTTTTCCGCTCGCTCGCTCACGTGCACGTACACCTCATTTAGAAAGTATGTGCTCACTAGAGCCCAGGTATGTGTGGCTGACCTCTGCCGCCTTTTTCTCATGTTGCTTATGTGGTTGGTCTTTGGATTAGCTGTGCATGCTGCTGCGATTCTTTGGGAGCCGAGACGACTGCAAAAATGTGTCACTGGCTGCAGGAATCAACTTCCTGAAAATCTCCGACCTCGTTGCGAATCAGGTTCCTGGCCCTCATGATTGTGAAGTCTAGGGTGTGGGTCTGAAGGGGTATGGTGTAAGATTGCTAGCCATCACGCTGACAGGGTCATTTCTCTCCCCCTCCTCCCTGTGGGTGGAGCCAATGGACGTCGACCACACTGCCACCTGCTGCAAAGAGTTAGTGCTGCATCCTAGTGTAATCAGCAAATCTCTCACCACCACCCCCCCCAAAAATCTGCATGGCTCTGAGAGTTTAGGAAATCGGGGATTGGATTTGTTCTCTCTTTGTGTGTCTGTTTAAAGATGAAGGGTACTAATGCTTCACCAGGAAATCCCCCTGATCCCTGTTCACACCAAGGCGCTGGCCTATGCTTAAACAAGGGTTACAGGAGCTGAAACCTCCCTGGAATTCCTGGCTTCTAAAATGATCCTGTGCAGGCTGGAACGGCTCTGGTTGTTCCAGGTGATGAGGGAATTGCACTCTGCAGGGTGGCTCCTCCTTTTCTGTTCTGTGCCACAAATGATTAACAGTGGGAAGGTCTGCCGGTAGAAGATATATTGAGGGATAGAACCTTACTTTTGCAAGGGTTGGGGTAGCATGTGTTTACCAGAAATTCCAAAATGTTTTGAAAGTACTCTGTACTTGCCTGTTCATGCCCTGTTGACTGTGAGAGAGAGATTGTCAGCTACAGCGGTTGGAGGAGCAAGGGCCAGGACTCTTGGGTTCTCTATCTAGCTCCATAGAAAACAGGAGGGACAGCTGATTCACTGGTTATACATTCTGTACAGGGGAGGAGGCTTGGCCACGTAGAAAAGAAGTCACTTCCCAACACACATACTTGAGAGGCACGTTCGCCTCGGGTCCACAGCATGGATGTATTGGCTATTTAATTTGCCGTATTTTGCTCAAAATTAATGTGGGTTCATTGGTTAACTTTTTGCCGTCTATCTGCACATGCATACTTTTTTGCTGCATGAATTTATTTACTTAGTGTATTTAAATTTCCTTAAAGGCTTCCCCCAAGGAGTCCTGGGAACTGTAGTCTATCAAGGGTGCTGAGAACTGCTGTTATTATCATTACCATCATTGTATTAAATTTATTACCCTTCCCCCTAAGGCCCCAGGGCAGACAACAGCATTAAAACGCAACATTACAACGGCCAAACGAATAGCCTTCCTAATGTTTACCCTGGATGGGGGGTAAGCTGGAGATAGCTGCCAAGTTTCTCCAACACGCAACGAGGACTCGTGAACGTTACACAACAGTGTTTTAATTGTTCGAGGCAGATTTTGCTGGTTTTATTGTATTGAACCTTTCGAAATGTTGTCCATATGTCAATAAAAGGTTTGAAAACATGACAACGCAATATAAAAAAAGTCTGAAGCAATGTAAGGTGGGCTCCCCAAAATATACAGGGCAGAGAGGAGGTCCTTAAAGTACAGATTCCAGAAATCTTGAAGCGGGCAAAGCCATTACTGTTATAATGGCATTGGAGCACTTTGAAATGTGTGGTGCAGCCGCGTGGCCGCCTCCTTCGGGGTCTGCAGAAGAGGCGTCACCTATGGACTCCTTGCCCTGCCAAGTACCTGGAGCCCAGAGCGAGAACATTTTGATTCCGTCCCCTGCTCCACCTTCTCCCCACCTTCTTGCCCACCCAGGGAATCCCAGGTGCCGAGAGGGGGCACCTCCGTGCCTCCCATGTCTCGCTGCCGGGCACACGCTGTCCTCAGGTGCCGAGCCGGCCTTGCTGGCCTGGAGCCAAGCCTCATCATGCACAGCCCCTGCGGAGGAACAGCAGAGCACAGTCTGGCGCTGGTCCCAGGAACTCCTGGTACAAGCCGTGCCTACAAGCCTTACGTGGACAAGAGGACATCCTGTTGGGGAGCTTTTGCAGTCGCCTGTGGGGTGCGGGGTGGGGGGGGGGGAAGAGAGGAGGAGGTGGACAAGACAAACTGGTAGTACCAGCCTTGCCTACCCAACCCCTCTCACTCCCCCCCCCTTCTGTAGTCACTGTTGACGGTCTTTTTTTAGAAGCCTGCATTGTGTACATGCTGATGTGTTGTGTTTGTTCAAAGGCTGCACGTACGCACCGCCCCGGCTTGTGTTATTGTTGGGTCCTTTCCCCAAACGACACTTAAATCATTTCTCTCCCCCCCCCCCCCCCGTGTTTCCTGTTGGTGTGATTCAAGCATTTAAGCCCTCTGTTGGCTAGGAGGGGGGGGGGCGGGAAAGCCTCCAAAAGGAAATGTGTATCAGAGCAGCTGTTCAAAAGGACTAGTTCTCTCTGCAGCGGCAAGAGCTTTTATCGCTTGGGACTGTAGGTGAGGGCTCATATTGTGAAGCTTTCACCCAAACAAACTAGTGTGTGTGTTTGGAGGGGAGGGTAGATTAAAGCCCTTCTCCCTGAAATCTAGTTCTCTGAGGGAATGGCTTTTGTATGGGTAGGAACTGAGTCCTGTCAGTCTCAGTCTGCTGCCTGAAGCACCCAAGCACAGGGGCAGGACTAAACCACAGGAAGCCTAGCAGAACAAAATGATGGCATTCCTGCCTCACAGTGAAGGGCCTTCTGGCTGCCACTACATCTTTCCCTCTTTTTCTGATGATCAGGGTGTGAGTGCTGTTTGTAGCAAAACAACAGCACCCATGCACAAAAGGGGGTGTGTCAGCAGACTTAGGGGGACATGGAAGCTGCAGTAATAATAATAATATAATAATAATAATATCGTTAGGTAAAAAAGCTGGGGGGAGGGGGGAAACCCAAAACAGCTTAGTGAGGACTGCGCAACGCCCATTGATCATGGAACATTGATTGTCTATTGAGGTGAGATGGATAACTGGGTACAAAGAGGATGGGGTGGAGTTTCATCACAGAGGAGAGCATTGATGGCTGACTGGAATAGCTAACAGGAACATTCCATGCCACAACATTTTGTTGGAGTTCTTCGTACAGTGGTACCTTGGGTTAAGTACCGTATTTTTCGTCCCATAGGACGCACCTAGTTTTTTGGGGGGGAAATAAAGGAAAAAAAATTTCCCTTTATTTCCCCCCCAAAACCAGGTCGGGGAAACCAAACCAGGTCGAGGAACAGCGGGATGGCGGCGCTGCGCCTCCCTGCTGTCCCCTGAGCTTGTGGGGCTGTCTGCCTGGCGCGCGGGGCGCTCTGCTTCAGCGCGGCCTGCCCGCCGGGCGGCAGGCTGCTATCCGCAGTGTGGGGAGCCCTGCAGGGAACTCCTGCAGGGCTCCCCACACTGCAGATGTCTGCCCAGCGCGAGAGGCGCTCTGCTTCAGGGCATGTCTCGCGCCGGGCGGCAGGCTGCTATCCGCAGCGTGGGGAGCCCTGCGGGGAACTCCTGTAGGGCTCCCCATGCTGCGGATGTCTGCTCGGCGCGAGGGGCGCTCTGCTTCAGGGTGCGCACCGACCCCTCTCACTCTCCAAGCTTCAGCGAAAGCCTGCATTCACCCCATAGGACGCACCCAGATTTCGCCTTCATTTTTGGAGGGGAATAGGTGCGTCCTATAGGGCGAAAAATACGGTACTTAATTCGTTCTGGAGGTCCGTTCTTAACCTGAAACTGTTCTTAACCTGAAGCACCACTTTAGCTAATGGGGGCTCCCGCTGCTTCCGCACTGCCGGAGCATGATTTCAGTTCTCATCCTGAAGCAAAGTTCTTAACCTGAAGCACTATTTCTGGGTTAGCGGAGTCTGTAACCTGAAGCGTATGTAACCTGAAGCGTATGTAACCTGAAGCGTATGTAACCCGAGGTACCACTGTATAATAGTTTCCCTGATTCCTCCTCTCCCCTTCCCCTTGCTTTAAAACCAACCTATTTGCAAAAGTCATTTTGAAACTTGCTGTGTTGGGTGGCTCTTGCTCTGAAAAGCGTGGTCAAAATTAAAGGGTTCGGGAACTCAGACTAGGCCAAATTTCATAAAATCGTACACAGACTTTTACGAAAACAAAATTCTACAAGATAGGAAAACACCAAAGAATTACACAGATTAAAATAGCTCAGCAGTTAAGAAAACAACAAACACTAACTTATCCAGCTAATTAACATAAACGCTTACACTTAAATCTCAGTAGGTTGAGCAAAGGAACAAGAAGTTGTCGAGCTCATTATTTCTGAGGTTCTAACCTATTCCCATAAACCAGGCTTAAAGGGGTGATATCACCACACTTGCTTAGGAAAGGAAATATTTTACTGATTTTAAGAAGGCTGCAAGATTGGGCTCAGGTGGGTTTCTTTGGGTAAGAGACCCCACAGCCCTGGCACCTTTTGCCCAAGGAGGCCCATGTAAGCCAATCATTGCAGCCTTTTAAAAATCCGTTCAAAGATTTCCTTTCCTAAGCAATCTTCCAAACGTCTCTTGCCAATAGGGTGGTGCTATTAGTTTCTGTATTTCAGTACTATACATTTGCAAAAATGTGTGTCTTCTTGGCTCCACCTTCTGCATTCCACTCGTGCCGCTACTGCCAATGGGGTATCGGCATGCAAATAAGGCTGCAGTCACTGGCGGCCGATAGGGTGAGCTGCCACTGAGGTCATCCTTTGTTGTTGTTTTTTAATCTAGGCCAAAAAGGACATTTTGTCTTTTGAATTTAATTTGGAAGGAAAAGCTGGGGGCAGGGGGGGGGGGCGGGGAGACACTTTCATGCACACAGATTTCCCCTTCTTCCTTGGTTTGGGAGCAGGTTTACGATTATTTAAAACGAAGGGTGTCCTTTAAACACATTGCAAAGATTTTTAAAAACCTCCTCTTTAAAATCTATATATAAATAATATAGGCTGCTGAGACGTCAGTCCCTACAAAATCGGGGCAGTGGGTGACAGCTGATGGAATACCATACAAGTTTTAATACCCCCCCAAATTATTGCTGTTTATTTACTATTTTTTAAAAGTGCCTCAATGCTAGATGCTCTACGTGTGAATTAGAGCAAATCCTGTTCACAGGATGACATTGGTGTGTGTTTCATTTTTTTTTTTTTTAATGCATGAATCTTGAACTCCTTCCTATTAATCAACCCTCCCACATTTGAGTTGTGATCTCCCGATAGCATTCATTTGCCTTCACTGCCTAATCTGTGTAGCATTTTCCTCTTGAATTGCAGTTTCTTCCCTTTCCCAATCCTCTTGAAATTGGGGGGTGGGGAAGAGTGAGATTATTCAGTTTGCAGTTAATCCTAACGCTGTTTTTGGGGTTAAGCTGGTTTAAAAAAACCAGAAAACCGATCACCACTGTGTGCCTCCATACACCTCGTTGGGAAATTGAGAAGAGCTTCAGCTCATTGGTTGTGTGGCTGATTTGCATGCATAAGGTTCTAGGTTCAATCCTCTGCATCTACAGGAAGGGCTGGCAGGTACCCTGGAGAGCCACTGCTGCTGCCAGTCAGTGTAGACCTTACTGAATTAGATGGACGTAGCGCTGTGGGTTAAACCACAGAGCCTAGGACTTGCCGATCAGAAGGTCGGCGATTCGAATCCCCGTGACGGGGTGAGCTCCCGTTGCTCGGTCCCTGCTCCTGCCAACCTAGCAGTTCGAAAGCACATCAAAGTGCAAGTAGATAAATAGGTACCGCTCCGGCGGGAAGGTGAACGGCGTTTGCGTGCGCTGCTCTGGTTCGCCAGAAGCGGCTTAGTCATGCTGGCCACATGACCCAGAAGCTGTACGCCGGCTCCCTTGGCCAATAAAGTGAGATGAGCACCGCAACCCCAGAGTCAGTCACGACTCGATCTGATGGTCAGGGGTCCCTTTACCTTAGAATCATAGAATTGTGTAGTTTTGGTCGTCCACCCGTGGGTGGTTGGCTAGGAGCTTACTTGGCAATTTCGCTCACTGGCTTTTGCACCGGGAAATATGCATAAATGAAACCAGCCATGCAACATCTGCTGCAGTGTTCAGTCAGGGGCAGGGAGGAGAAATGAAAAGGGAAATGACATCAGATACAAATATAGCCACCCTGCAGCTTCAACTAAGCCTTTTCAGTTCAGAAATCTTGTTGAAAGTACAAACCACACCAGCTTCCTGATTGCCACCAGTCTCTTGTTCCCAAAATCAGTGCGGTGTTGTTGCTTTCAATTATAAAAATTGCAAATGTATAGACTTGGCCGTGAAAAGCGACTAATAAATAACTGGAGCAAAATAATTAAATAAATGTGTCATTCCAAAGGCATGTTTTAAGACTACATATTCCAGTTATTTATAAACTGTTTCCACTTTTACCAGAATCTTAATGGGTTGTAAGAAGGCAGTCAGCTATGTATATAGATAGAGATAGAAGGTCAATTTTTCCACTTCGGCTATGCCCAATACTTACCTCAACTCTTTGGAAATTGGAACGATCATCAGTGATTTCCAATACTTAACTTACTTCAAATAATCTTTTCTGCAAGATTTAATTTTTCAGCAAGAGTCTGGAGTATTTTTCTTGCATAGTTTAAAAGGAGGAGGAGGAGGGAGAAAAATTAGATTCTCAGAAGGTTGGCTTCTGTTCACAAAGCACTTGCTCAACTTTAGAACTCGGTTAGTTTCTTACATTTGGATAGGAGATGTTTTTGAAAAGTTTGGATTGCCTTATATTGCATTATGGGTAACAAGGAGTTTTGGGGTTGGGACCGCTTAGGAGTTAAGTCAGCTTTTCATTAAAAATGAGCATTCTGTGATAACAGTCACCTAGATTTTAATGTGTGTACTCTTGACAAAAGCAAATTGAAGATGCATAATGTCCCTCATTACTCCTTCCCCAAATCTGCTGCTCCTAATGGTGGCTGAATTGGGAGCTTCTGACGGCAGGCATTCCCTGTACAGTGGTACCTCAGGTTACATACGCTTCAGGTTACATACTCTTCAGGTTACAGACTCCACTAACCCAGAAATAGTGCTTCAGGTTAAGAACTTTGCTTCAGGATGAGAACAGAAATCGGGCTCCGGTGGCGTGGCAGCAGCAGGAGGCCCCATTAGCTAAAGTGGTGCTTCAGGTTAAGAACAGTTTCAGGTTAAGAACGGACCTCTGGAACGAATTAAGTACTTAACCCAAGGTACCACTGTACTACTAAGCTCTTTCTTCTTCTCCCTGTTTCCACATAGCATCTACAATTCGGCTGCAAACTGAATTGCCTTCACATCTTTTCCCTCTTACTTTCCTTTCTGGAGGTCAAGGGCAAGGATGCAGTCCCACCCCAAAATCCCGGGAATTGTAGTTTACCCCTCGCAGCTACAACTCCCAGCACCCTTAACAAAATTCCCAGAATTTTTGAGAGGGGAGAGAATGTGCTTTAAATGTATGGTGTGTCCTCAGCCATAGTAGTTATTGTTGGATAACTACTAGAGAGTTCAATTCCCTGTTTTGCTGTGAAGCTCACTAGGTGGGTTAGGTGTTTTTTTGAGCATGACAAACATGGGTTGGCATGGGCTGCAGTGTTAGAAACTGAGATATGAAAGCATGGAGCTAAATGGCACCTTAAACCTAGGTTATGGGCGCAACAATGGAATGTCTAAGCACGCTTTTTTATAGCGAGAATACAAAGCTGAAAATGAATGAACTGCAGCTAAAATACTATGTTCATTTTTCACATGCTCTAGTCCTTCCCACCCCCCTAATATTCATAAGAGGGTCTCTACTCCAGTCTTCACAGAGTACAGTCATACCTTGGTTCTCGAACGCCTTGGTACTCAAATGTTTTGGCTCCCAAACGCCGCAAACCCAGAAGTGAGTGTCCCGGTTTGCGAACCTCTTTCGGAAGCTGAACATCCAACACGGCTTCTGCAGCCTTAGTTGTCGAACGGACTCCCGGAACGGATTAAGTTTGACAACCAAGGTATGACTGTAGCTGGAAGTGGGGAGGCGGAAAAAGGTCCTCCTTTCCTTCAACTCTGCAGTTTTGATCTGAAATCTTAGGTGCAGTAGTGCGCCCAGAGCTCAGAAATTGCTTGCGCTAATGAAATTCTCTATTGCAACATGTGCCTAGAACAATGGGAGTTCCAAACGCTGGTGGGCTGAGTTGCTGGTGGTGGTTTGGCTTCTCTCTTTTGACCTCCTGCTGCAGAGTCATGCCGGCTCTGGGGTGAGCGTGCTCCAAAGGCCGAGGCAAAGGAGAGCATGGGAATCTCAGGTCAAGAAGGGGCTAGCTATGTCTCTACATCTGCATATGTGTGTGCGTATGTGTTTGTGTGCATGGGGAACCTTCTTCCCAACCCGCTTATCACTTCTGCTGCTCTCAGATAACATAAAGTGAGACCACTTGTACTGCTCTCCTCGCCTCCTGGGTTCTTTAAGAGGTGTGGGATGATGGAACTGGAGCTGTATGAAGCAAGAGGGTAAAGTTGTGTGTGGCGCTTGGGAAAGCTTTTTAAGGGAAGTGGGCTGCAGATTCGGGTAAAATGCTATAAGGCTGGCAGGTAAAGAGCCACACAAGGTTGCCCTTCCCCTGATGAATCCACAGTTCTGTTTTGTTTTAAATCTCCTCTCCCCTTCTTTCTTCTCCGCAGGTGGCCGGATGGGAAACGTAAAAGAAAAAGCAGCCAATGTTCGGTGAAAAGCAGTATGTCAGGTAAGCCACCCTTTTCAGGCTGTTTAAATCCTAGCTATTTGTCCGGCTCCCACCAGCACCTCGCTTGCATCCCTGATCGCTCTGCTTAATCAAGAATAATCAAGAACAAAGTGGGCCGCAGCGAGCGGAGACCAGGCCTTCCACAGCCACAGGCTTGCGAAGCCAAATGCCTCCCAAATGACTCGAGCAAGCGAGCCAAGCCACAAAGTTCAGAGCCAGGGAATATGCAGATATGTATTTGAGGCAGTTTGAGCTGACAGATTAGTCTCTTTCTGGCACCCCTGCCTCCAATCAAACTACTATTTAAGCCTTGATGCTACAGCAATCTATGCATCAAGATCCCTCAGAAATATTTCTAGTGGTATGTGACTTTTAGTTCCACACGATGGTTTCTCTCTATAAAGTTGTAGCAAAACCTTCTCTTGATGCCCCAGAAAAAAATACATATTAGAGGGGAAAAGAGAAATGCAGGCGGGAGGGGTGGGGAGCCTTCATTGATGCAAACAAGCGATGCCCCGAGACTCCAGAATATAAATAACAGCATATCCTCCCGAAATTTATCCAACTCTGTCCTTGAACCGATTGAAGTCCTTTTGATGTTTTCCACTGGCCCAGAGAAGGAGGTCATGGGGCAGCTCAGGATATCGGTTCTCAAACGGCAGAGTCTGCAGCCGGAAGATAAACCACTAAAGGGCTGGGGGGTGCAAGAGGTGAGGCCACAATGGGTCATGGGGCAAAGGCGCAGTGATGTGCGGGTTTGTGAATGAGAGTACTCAGCCGGATATTTGCTTCTTAGGATAAAATGCTCCCCATTGGTCTGCCACCCGCTCAAGTCAGCCACCCTCTCCCCACACAGATACACATTCCAAATCAAATCATTTTGATTCCCATCTCCTGTTACAACCTTCAGTTCTTCAAAGCTCTCACTTGAATAATACCTGAGGTTTCTCCCCTAAAATACAGTAGTAGTGGTCGTATTGCTATTATTATTGCTACTGTTGCTATTATAATTATTAATATTATTACTGGTACATTTATGAATCGCTTCCCATGAGGCATTCCGAAGCTGCATACAATATAATTTAAGAGGTTTATTAAGTGGTTACATGAATAAAAACAATTGCACATATAACAAGCATTTCAAATAAATAAAACCTTTTCTCATATTTTGTTTTTTATGTTGTAGTCCCTTGATGAAGGGCGGTATATAAATTTAATAAGAGCAATAACAATTTTATATGTAGAGCACACACACACACACAAAGCAACAATAGCACATGTGTAGAATCAGTTCAAATCCCATGCAGATACCAACTAGGATAAAGATCTCCATTTAGAAGACATGCAGTAGCTCATTTTACAACGAAAGGAGCAAGATGCTTCGAGGGGGGAGGAGAGAGAGAGAGAGAGAGAAATACCAGGTTCAAGATTTTACGTAGCAGGTCCAAGGGGGAAACCCCGAGGAGGGGACTTAGGCAGCTGTGGAAAGGCAGGGGCCTTCAGTCTCCCCAAATGCTTCATAGGGGCAAGACCTACCAAAGAAGAGTTACTGTGCTCGTTAGGCCTGACACATCCTGTGCAGATTCAGCTTTTCTAAAAACTTGCTGTGTGTGATCCGCTGCTGTCATTGTGGAAGTGCCCTAGTTCAGTGCCAGAGCACTGGATGCAGAAGGTTCCCCAGGTTCAGCTTCTGTGATCTCCTGGGAGGACTGGGATTGACTCCTGCCTGAACCCCTGAAAAGCTGCTACCAGTCAGGGTGGACCCAGTGGTTTGGATCCTATGTTCAGCTTCCCCATGTTCCTATTCTGTCCTCTCCCGTCTTGAATAGGTCTGTTCCAATGGAAGCTTCACTGTTTGCAATACGTCCGGCATTACTATTTTCCTTTTGCTGTTTGTGGGTTGGGTGGTTGGTTTTGTGCTGGTCCTCCCGGCCTGGTCTAAAGGGCAAAGACATCCCTTTCCTTAGAAGAGTCATTGGAAGGGGCTGGGTCTATGCCCTCTGTTCCAAGGGAAGGCAATACCTTCTGTGACCCTTGAAGGACACAGGATCTCATGGTAAAATAAAAATATAAATCCTCCTTCTCATATTAAATGCACGATGTAATGTGTGATGTGGGTGGCAGTCACATATGGCATGCAGTGTGTCATTTGCAAGGGCCATGCATACTAGTTTATCTTCTGTGGCACACATTAGATCGTAACATGCCTGTGGGAAGTCCATTAATATGCCACGCTAAAGAGGATTCCCTGCTCGGTGGCTGTGTAAATGGGATACCTTTTCACAGTCTGTTTTTCGTCTCATGGAAGCTGATTTTTCAGTCTCAAACGTGGAAATGGGAATCGGTCTAACATGGCTGCAAATTGTGTGGTCTCTTGGGGAGGGGGGAAAGCGTCACAGCAGAACTCGGAGCTTTCTCTTCCTACCCAGATGCTAGCTGTCTTGCTGGCAAAGGAGAGGGGAGGGCTTCTCGTCTTCCCTCCTGCCCCCCCCCCCGGCACCAAAAGCCATCATGCTTTCATGTTGCTAACAGCTGTATTCCAGATGAGTTTAAGACCTTGTCTTTCTTCTCTCACATCCTCATCCCATTGCCTCCATCTGGAAAATCACACAGGGTTTGAGGGACCTTCTGGCTCCTAAACTACAAGGGCCAGTTTGCGGCATGATACTTTCCCCAGCAGGGATCTATACTGGTGTAGGGAAACCATGTGTAAATTTGTCGTGTGTGCACAAAAGTGCACAAGTATGTGTGGCTGTATGGAAAACGTCGTGTCAGAATTGGCCCTCAGCCAACTCTTATCCTGTTTATCTTTTGAGAGAAAGCTCCAAACTCCACTCACCAAACACAATCACTGGTGTTTCTCACAGTGAACATGCGGCACATCCGTAACATGCATGTGTCGTTTATATACTGATATACATACACCAGAACCCCCAAGCATGTGCAATGGGAGATTTTAAAGAAAATCACATCTTTCATGTTTGCTCCCAGATGCTCTTGGCACTCACTCTCACACACACATCATATAATACTTTATAAATTCTATAAATCGGCCATGAATTCTATAAATCGGAAAAGGCCAACGAAACAGAAGGGCCAAGTTGAACGTGAGCATTTGTTGGCAGGAAATGGGAATGTGCAGGGAAAAGAGGCTTTGGGGAGGGGTAAGGGATTGTGGGCCAAGCAGGCCAAGAAGGTGGCCTGAATTTTGCATGTTTCGTTTTTTTATTTATTTGGATCTCTCGCTTCTTCCATCCAGTCTCGGATGCTGCAAATATCTAAGCAACATGCCACTGCTTTAAGGCAGCTGAGACCTAGGCTTTATCCCCCTCCACACAGGCATACTAATGCTGCAAGGGGGGCACGTCCCCTTTTCCGTCATGGCTGGGTCATCCTAGGGTCGTGTGGAGGTGACCCTTGCCACAACCCTAGACAATAGGACATTGTGAGGGCAGGGGGTGAACGAGAGAACACAGCTCCTTTTCCTGGAAGGGGGCAGAGGGGGCACCTTCATTATCAGGGCTGATGAGGCTCTGGAGGGTAAGCAAGGTTACATGAGTTGGGGGTGGTGGTGGCAGGAGATAATTGGAAGGGGGGGTCACAGGCTGCTTCCTTCCCCTTCAACAACCCCCCGCAAGCCCAGAGATAAAGAGCCTTTTTGTGGACGTACATGGCTGTTGTGTTTTCTGCATGAAAGCCGCCCTCGTTAGCGGTACTTTAAATAGCCTTTCAGAAAGACTAACGAAGCCTGGAAGTGGGGGGAGCAGACAAGGACAGGCCTTGCCATTGCCCCCTCCCTCCTGGAATGTGGGGTCAGAGGGGATCCTGAGAGCCATTAAGGCCATGGGGTGCCTGTGCTGTGAGGGGTGGACCGCAAAGGAGGCCTGCAGTCTTCATGTTTTGCCAGCGAAGCAAAGCCAAGTCAGATATGAGGCAGCTTACAAATTAAAGTTGAGGCAAATACTTGTATCCTGCCATCCCCCCCCTCCATGAAAGTCATATGTGGTGTTGTCCCACTTTATGTTCATAACAACCCTTCATTGTAGGAAAGTCAAAGCAAACGGCCCAAGTTTCGCCCAGTGAGCTAGATGTGGCTGCAGGTAGATTTGAAACCAGGTTGACCTGGTACAAATTAGCATTCATAAAGAGAAGAGTAGCTCTGAGCATATGCTCAGATTTCCAGAATGCTCTTTCCAGAAGACCTAGTCAGAAAGGGTTTGGGAGGAAGTTGTAAGGGCTTCAGGAATGATCCCTGACTGCTGAAACATGAAACGGAGCTCGCCAGCAAAGCCTCTCTCTGGCCTTCCTTGCTCCATATATGCTCCACATATACAGTCACCAGCTTTCTCACTCTCCAGCTCTGTCCCTGCTCTCTGATCCTCATTCACTCGGCCTGTGCTTCCCTCCCTCTTAACAGTGGTCTAACTGGGAGGTCACTACAGCATGGATCACTGAAGGCCAGGCTGACCCAGGCCCAGGAATGGCTGCAGCTGGTCAACCAGCCTAAGCTGGGCATAAGCTCCCCTTGCCTAAGTGGCTCCAATGACAAGTGGGAATCCAGGAGTGATCCCAGACTATGAACCTGTTCCTTCAGGGGGAAAGCCATGCCTCCCAGGATAGGTCATACACCTAATTCCTGGATACAGAAGCCATCCGCTCACAGCATCTCCATCTTTATTAGCCCCCACCCAGCCCTTCACCACTTCCAGACACCAGTCCAGCACCTTCACACTTCACAGATGGAATGGAGAGAGAGACCTCCAGACAGCAATACAGTGGTACCTTGGTTCTCAAATTTAATCCGTTCCGGAAGTCAGTTCCAAAACCAAAGCGTTCCAAAACCGAGGCATGCTTTCCCATAGAAAGTAATGCAAAATGGATTAATCCGTTCCAGACTTTTAAAAACTACCCCTAAAACAGCAATTTGACATGAATTTACTATCTAATGAGACTATTCATCCATAAAATGGAAGCAATGAACGCAGTCACACAATCAATCAATCAGTAGCTGAACTGGGTTCCACACAGTCACAAAAACGAAAGAGCCACAAAAATGCAAAATAGATAGCAAAAACAGACAGACCTCAGCATAACACTCAAAACAGAAGTGTGGCACTCAAAACGGAGCATGTTCTACTTTTGAAAAAAGTTCGCAAACCGGAACACTTACTTCTGGGTTTGCAGTGTTTGGGTTCCAAGTTGTTTTGAGTACCAAGGCGTTTGAGAACCAAAGTACTACTGTAATGTGGTAGCATGGGGGAAGCATCACAGGACCATTAATAAAGCAGAATAAATTTGCCACTAAAGCAGTGTTACTGTGCCAAAACCACGTTGCAGAATACACCGGCAACACAACACCCATCTGGAAGGGCTTGTAGTGTGTTAACCTTGTGGTTTTGTGCAGCTTGGTTGTGTTGCTTGTGTTTCTAAAAGGGAGGCGACTTTGAGAGCTGCGAGTGGCTAGTAAAGTGTGTTGCTTTTAAAGATATAAAATTGTGATATGACCCCTTTGTGTTTCAGAGGTGATATGGGTCTAGCCAGCAGGTAATGATGACCAGTGAAAGAGAGTAAGGGTGGGCAGGCCCATTGAAGTCTGGTGTGTCCCAGTTCTGTATTCCCCCTTCCAGCCCTGATCTCTCCATTCTTGTTTTCTCCTCCAGGGTACATCCCTAGCTACTTGGACAAAGATGAGCAGTGCGTTGTATGTGGAGACAAAGCCACGGGGTACCACTACCGATGTATTACCTGTGAAGGCTGCAAGGTAATGGAAACATGGGAAGGCCATCTGGCCCGAGCGGCTCACTAGAGGGTGAATTCTCTCCTTTGACTTGGTGCCTCTGCATGACCCCAGGCAGCTGCCAAGGACGGCACTGCCCAGGGCTTGGGTTTTTTGGGTGCTGCGACTGATGGGAAGCATTTTGGTCCTTTTCGCAGCAGGGGCCAGAGGAAGGCTGTGGGTGAGCCTGGTGCTAAGTGAGGGTCTGGAAGGTTTGAGCCAAATGTGTGAGCAGCAGTCGCTCAGAATTTCTGGGCCAAGCTTCACTGAGATATATAGAAGGATAAACTAGAGCAGGGGTCTGCAACCCGCGGCTCCGGAGCCGCATGTGGCTCTTTTACACCTTTGCTGCGGCTCCAGGGCGGATACTAGTGAGGGGAGGAGGCGCATTGTGCGCCCCGACACTCCCCACTGTGGCGGGCGCTGTACTGGCTGTGACATCGCATGGGGGCAGTGCGTGCGTTAGTCACGCACCGTCCCGACGTCACCTTCCCGCCCGCCCGCCCGCTACATTGTAAGGGGCATGTACGCTGGTCACTGCATTGAAAGGGGGCATGTACACTGGTCACTGTTTTGAAGGGGAGTGAAGAACACACACACAAAAAGGTAACTTGTTAATTTAACGTTTATTTCTATGAGGAGGAGTAATTCTGAGAGGTCAAACAAAGAAATAATAAAAAAGTGACAAAAAAGTTATTTTTATAATGACGAGTTTTGCGGCTCCCAGTTTTTTTTCTTCGGAAATGGGTCCAAGTGGCTCTTTTTGTCTTAAAGGTTGCAGACCCCTGAACTAGAGAGTGAAAAAGGAATTGATATGTCTTGGCAAACTGCAGTGTGGAATGGCTAAAGCCAGATTTTTACAGTGATGCGAGCTAGACAAATTAATATTTTCCGTGGTCTCTGGTTACATTTCTTAATTTGTTGACTCTTCTTCTGTTCCACATTTACCTTACTGATCTGTCAGCCTCCCTCACTGCCATCACCCTCCCCCAGGATTCTTTTCACCGCCTCTGTTGTGCTCTTTCTCCAAGGGACTTGGAGTGGGGCCTGTGTGGGGGTTTCCCAGCTTTCTCCTCACCAGGTTAGGCTGGCAGGTAATGATTTTTGCCCTGTGCATTTTATAGATGTGTAGGTGTTTGAACCTGCATCTCCTAGGTCTAGGGCCAACTACCTAGCTGCCACCACACCACAGTAATGACCGTATGTCACTAGCATGCTTGGGGCTGCATAGGACACAGTCGTGATAAACTTTTCTGCCCAAAGTGTCTGCAAGTCAGTACAGTCGTACCTTGGATCCCGAACGCTTTGCGAGTCGAATGTTTTGGCTCCCGAATGCCGCAAACCCGGAAGTGAGTGTTCTGGTTTGCAAATGTTCTTTGGAACGCGAATGTCTGATGCTACTTCCGATTGGCTGCAGGAGCTTCCTGCAGCCAATCAGAAGCTGTGCCTTGGTTTCTGAATGTTTTGGAAGTCGAACAGACTTCCAGAACAGATTCCATTCGACTTCCGAGGTACCACTGTATTAGGTGGACAAAACCAGAAGATCTGGAAGTAGAGAGCATGGATTCACAAAATAAGTGGGGATGGGGTAGAGTAGAATTAAAAGGCCCTTGAGGGACAGGTGAGATGTGCCTGTGGAGTGGATCTGGAAGGACTTTACTGGAGGAGAGGACCTTGACAGAACAGAGAGCAACAAGCAGTTGTTGCTGCAGGCAGAGTGCTCAGATTAATCAAAGGCAGGGAGATGGGAGAATGAGCCCAAGGGGCCTGGTTAAGAACAACCCAGCAGTTTTGGGAAAATTCAAATGGCACCCCACATTCCATAAATGCAACTCACCATGGCATCCTTTTGCGCAAGCCTCATTGCGGTGGGCAAGAATGCTGCCATTTATTTTGTTTTTTGTACAGCAGAACTTTCTGGTGGATTGTGTGCCTCAAGGGTCAGATCCTGTGTAAAGCCAGTGTGGTGTAGTGGTTAGCGTGCTGTGCTAGGTCTGTGAAGACACCGGCTCAATGTCTCCCCCTCCTCCCAATCCACAGTGCCCACTGGGTGACATTGGATCAGTCATACCCTCTCAGCCTGACCCACCTCACCATTGGTTGGTGAGAAGACAACATATGTGTCTATGTAGGGGAGAGTCATGCTTGCTAGCTTGAGCTCGTTGGAAGAAAGCCAGGTTACGAGTGTAGCTTAATTTAATGAAATACATGCACGTCTCGCTCAGCTGCCCTTAATGGTGTCTAAAACCTATGAACTGAGGTGGCCGCTTTGCTGTATGTACCTTGTGGGAGTGTCAACTCCAGTTGGCAAAAGAACTTGTGAGAAAAGGAGCAGCATATGGAGGAAGGAAACAGCAAAGAGAACGGGAAAATAGAATCCACGCTGAGAAATTGAAGGAGGTTGTGCCAAAAAAAGAGAGCGAGCGAGCGGGGAGAGTACTGTTTCTTCTGTAGTATTGACTTCCAGGCATTACTTTTGAGTGCTGATCTTGAGATTTCCCAGCGCAACATGTGGTTTTCCCAGGCGAGAGATTTGTTTTATTGCACTGTATTAACGTCAGTTTTGTGGTGCTGATTATGACTTAGTTAGGCACTGGGTACTGTTTGCAAAGAGGCACCCCTCATTCCAATGCCCCCCTCCTGTCATGTTCTCGGCACATGGCGAGCCTTCCTGGGTGATCTAAGGTCACTGGGCACTGGGAGGGGGGGTCTTAAAAGGGCACCAATGGCAGGGTAGAAGATTCTGGGGTTAATATAACAGCATGGCTGGATAACCAGTCATGCTGGGCCCCTAATGAGGGAGGACACGTTTTAGGACCAAACTTAAGTATGGTAAGTGTGTGTTTAGCAAATGAATAAATCACTCCCACTTGCCTATATGTAATAATAATAATAATAATAATAATAATAATAATAATAATAATAATAATTCTATTATTTATACCCCGCCCATCTGTCTGGGTTTCCCAGTGTGCAAATGAGTGTGCATTGGAGGGCGGGGTTAAAACCTCCCCCTCAACTCGGCTGCTTTAAATCCTTTCTCCCCAGCTCACTTCCACTATTGAACCCAGGCAGACAGGAAATAGCTTGGAAACAGTTGAGTGCAATAGTTTCCAATTAGTGGAACGTGACCAACAAACTGCTGCGCCCTGACCTAAAGTGGGTCTCTTGCCAGAAGCAGTCCCCCTGCCCCCCCCCCCCGCACACACATTCTTCTTTGAGAGAGAGGAAAGAAAGAGAGGACAACAAAACTAAACAAAAAGAGAAAAGGAAAGGCATGCAAGTGCAGTAAAAGCCGGCAGAGACAGCTCAAGACCTCTCTGTTCCTGAAGTGGAACATTCAAATGACAGAGATTTGAGCTGCCCCTGATTCTTACCTCAGAATCTACTGACTACCTCAGATTGCCAGCCCTTGGTGCAGGGCGGAGTGCAAGATGGGGTGCTCCTGGCTTTGAAAGAAGTTGAAAAACTAGTGGCAGCTTTGAGTCGCCGTTAAAGGTTGTACAGTGGTACCTCGGGTTACATACGCTTCAGGTTACATATGCTTCAGGCTACAGACTCTGCTAACCCAGAAATAGTACCTCAGGTTAAGAACTTTGCTTCAGGATGAGAACAGAAATTGTGCTCCGGTGGCAGCAGGAGGCCCCATTAGCTAAAGTGGTGCTTCAGGTTAAGAACAGTTTCAGGTTAAGAACGGACCTCCAGAACCAGTTAAGTACTTAACCCGAGGTACCACTGTATAGAGAGAGAGCTAGCAGATCCAACCCATGAGGCAGAACCTGCTGAGACGTTCTCCAACATACACCTAGACAGAAATGAATGGGAGCTGTAGGAGAGCACAATAGGGGGTGGAAAACACCCTTGTCAATTGTGCCCCATGTTGATGAATGGGAGGCCTTTGGGGCAGCCCCAGGACTTGTAGCTTAGAACCACAGAAGAAGAACATGGGAGCGCACCACCTCAACTTCTGCAATAGAAAATCACCCATTTGCCTGATGGACTTGCATTTCTAAGATGCAAGCCCTAATACGCTTGGCATTGGTGGTTAGAATGGGCAGGAGTCCCGTTTGATGTTGGAAGTGCCAATAGGGCTGTACCCCGTTGGTTAGAAAACAGGAGCCAAGTGGGTGGCTTGAAAAACGGAAGGCGCTCCTTCCTTCTCAGGACTGCCTGGTTCTGATTCCGCTCTTCCCCTCTGCAGGGCTTTTTCCGGCGGACCATCCAGAAGAATCTGCACCCGACATACTCCTGCAAGTACGATGCCTCCTGCGTCATCGACAAGATCACTCGCAACCAGTGCCAGCTTTGCCGATTCAAGAAGTGCATTGCCGTTGGCATGGCCATGGACTGTAAGGGCATTGCGCCCGCTATGGAGGGATGCGAGGGTTGGGGAAGACGAGGGAGGGAGCGGTTGCAACCGGGGATCCCATCACGGAAATAAATGTAGCCAAGGATGTGGGAGCAGGGAGGTGGCATGCGGCTTGTTCCAACATAGAGTTGTGTGGGACCATCTATTAATCCCAATGTAATTGGGGCCGTTGTTGCGGCATGAGAACCCCACGGGCCGGAGTAAGCGGCCTCAGAATTCCGTAGGCTGTCACAGGAGCCGGCCAATCAAATGGCTTCTTGTGAGGCCATTCAGCGCATTGGTTAGTGGGCTGCAGGATGCGACGGGCGCCTCACAGAGTTCTGATTGGCTGTGTGTGAGGCCCCACTGCCCACTCATGCCTCTCCATTCTTCGCGCCCCCTAGTGGTGCTGGATGACTCCAAGAGGGTAGCCAAGCGGAAGCTGATTGAAGAGAACCGGGAGAGGCGGCGCAAGGAAGAGATGATGAAATCCCTTCAGCACAGGCCGGAGCCAACCACGGAGGAGTGGGAGCTGATCCACATCGCCACGGAAGCGCACCGCAGCACCAACGCCCAAGGCAGCCACTGGAAGCAGAAGCGGAAATTCCTGGTAAATAGTGGAGGCGGGTGCGGCAGGCAGAGTCTTAACCAGGGGTTGCATGTATTAACCAGGGGTTGCATGATCCCGCACAATCTCTTCTTCTTATTCCTTGCTTTCTTTTTGGATTAACATTTCCTGGCTCTTCTTCCCCGGTTTCTGAGCATCCATATCTTCCCCCCAACCTTTGCGTTCTCGCGCACAGACATTGTGAAAATCTGGCAGAATAAAGGGTGCCAAATGAGCAGATAACAACAGGTATATCTTGTTTTGCATCAGGGCTGGGTTACGTGTCTGTGTGTGCATGCAAAGTCCATGTAGCTTTGCTTAACACTTTCCTTTACTTTGGGTTTTGTTCTTATTCTACCATGCGTAAGCTAGGTTCTGTAGAGAACAGGAAGTAGCATGGTTACTACCTAGGGAGCTAGCCATGCCTACGGGCCACTTCTCCTGCATGTCTTCCTAATCCTGTGGAAACAAATGCACAATTTTATGCTACGCAAATGGTTTAACACAAGCTGGAAGCACACATCTGGCCCAAGGTATGCTCGTGTTCTACCCGGCTTGTTATTTGCTACAGTGGCATACTTTGCATATACCGCTGAACCGTGGCTTTGTGCTTCATGAGGAACCCTGCAGCTTTCCCTGCTTTGGTCATGCTGCTGCAATGCTACTGGGACCAAGCCATGGTTTGAGTCCGTATTACATCCGAACCCAGGCTTATGGTTTGTCTCGCTCCAGACAAAGCACAAGCTTCGCAAGTCTGGGTGTGGACATAACACTATAACCGAAGTCAAGATGTTTTTGAGAAAACACCAACTTCCATGCAGTCTTCCAGGTTAAAAAACTATTACTATTACTAGTTATTGCTTGTACCCCCACCCATCTGGCTGGGTTGCCCCAGCCACTCTGAGCGGCTTCCAACAGAATATAAAGAACACACACTACACTCTCCTTCATACCTAAAGTAATACTAATAAAACCTGTGCATAGAGATCTAGCATGCCAGGAAGAAGGGTCTAGCCTGGCCTTTTCTTACATGCTTACAAAAATAAATGAATGCTGGATCGTTCAACTGTGTGGTCTCCTATTAATAGGGCAGAGAAGCAGGTTTCCCTTTATATTATTATTATTATTATTATTATTATTATTATTATTTCAACTAGGCCTTATTCACAACTGAATTTTGCTGTCTCGCAGCCACATAGTATCATATAATTTCCCCCTTCTTTTTTAAAAAACCACACTTTGATTAACATTCAATAGGCCCACAAGAGCCAGACAGTGACATTTTTACCATGAAGTACCAGTTCACGGGTGGCGCTGTGGGTAAAACCTCAGTGCCTAGGGCTTGCCGATCGCATGGTTGGCGGTTCGAATCCCCGCGGCGGGGTGAGCTCCCGTCTTTTGGTCCCAGCTCCTGCCCACCTAGCAGTTTGAAAGCACCCCTAAGTGCAAGTAGATAAATAGGTACCGCTTTATAGCGGGAAGGTAAACGGCGTTTCCGTGTGCTGTGCTGGTGCTGGCTCGCCAGAGCAGCTTCGTCATGCTGGCCACGGAAGTGTCTCCGGACAGCGCTGGCCCCCGGCCTCTTAAGTGAGATGGGCGCACAACCCTAGAGTCAGACACGACTGGCCCGTACGGGCAGGGGTACCTTTACCTTTACCTTTACCAGTTCACCACCCCAGATTACTATTTTTGTTTAAAACGCAGTTTTGCAGTGCAACCCTAGACATGCCTGTTCAGACGTAAGCCCCCCTCCTAAGAGGATGTCTTCTAAGAGAGAGCGTACAGAATTGCAGTAATACATGTATTTTAAACTTTTCACTTTTAAACCTCTTTTAAAATTGTTTAATAGCCTGTATTTTTATTTGAGCTAATTTTTTGGTGGCTAGGGTTATTTCCCTTCAGCAGGTCAATACACACACACACACACACACACACGCACACACACACAAAAATATGTGTGCAGGTATACAGTCATACCTCGGCTCCCAAACGCCTTGGGAGTCTAACGTTTCGGCTCTCGAATGATCGAAAACCAGAAGTGAGTGTTCTGGTTTTCAAACGTTCTCTAGGAAGCCAAATGTCCAATAGGGCTTCTGCAGCTTCCAGCTGGATGCAGAAGCTTCCTGCAGCCAATCAGAAGCCGCACTTTGGAAGTCGGATGTTTCAGAAGTTGGACGGACTTCCGGAACAGATTCTGTTCGACTTCCGAGGTACGACTGTATATCTGTAGTATAAAACCATACACAGTGGTGCACACTCCAGCCAAATTTCCGATAAACGGTTTTGAAGCCCCTTCTATTTCAGAAGGATATATGTAGGCATGTGCTAAACCCTCTAATTGAAATTGATTGGATTTAAAACTGCTTAACATTGGTGGTGCCCACTCTGAACAAAACGTATCGGTTTCCTTTTCCAGACTGCCATATGCATTAAATTTGACCTTTTTTTTTTAATGTGGTGAGACTCTAACCCATGCTTAGACTTAGCACTGGTAGTAAGCTCGGAAGTCAAAACATATGGCAATAAAATCCAAGATCTCAATAGTTTTAATTAAATAAAGGTTTCTCCTCCTCCCACAGCTTTAGCAAATGATTCAGGCCCTACAGAGGGACCTTTGAAGGGTTAAAGTGATTGAGCAAAGGGACACAGCTGTGACCTCTCAGCTCCCTCCAAGGGCAGATGGGCCGGAAACCCCCCAACCCAGCCCCCTCCCTTCCCCCTTGCCTTACAGAGTAGGGATTGCTGGTGTGGGGTGCCCTCTTCTGGCCACAGTCAGCTAGTGCCAGGGCAGGTCAGGACATAGAGGTCAAGGGAAGTGGGGCTTGAGGGGAGGGGGAGAAAGGAAATCAGAGGCCACAGGCAGGGTGGCTCTTGAAGAAACATTTCTCTCTCATAGTCCTTCTTCTCCCACCCACCAGGGAATTGGAAAAATCCCATACAGTATTTTGGTACTGAATTGAATGTACAAACATTATGCAAAATGATACAGTTGTTCAAATCTTTATTTTTTATTTCTTAATGCTTATTGTTATAAGATGCTTGTTATAATGAAAACCAATAAAAATATTAACACACACACACACACACACACACACACACTCCTAAGCTTTGCAATGACAGACAAACACGTTCCTAAATTAAGCTACAGTTTTGAAATTCAGTCTGGGCAATGGTCTGAAAGCAACACAAGTGCAGTTTTAGGTGTTCTCTTAAGGAACGGGGGAAACAAACTGCAAACCTCGTTTAAGTTCTGCAAAGGAAGAACAGGAGAGAAGTGTGGTGGGTTCCAATGCACCATTTTTACTGGTAAAAAAACCCCCCACACACCATAAAAGCTTCCCCAGCTCCCACATGGGTGGGTCACAGGCTCTAGCATGCCCTTAATGTTGATTAATGTCCTGCATTAAAAACAGAAGGGGTGCCTTGCTCCAGAAAGGGGGTGCGCACAGGGCTGCACCCACTCAGCAGGGACAACAGAACTTCAGGTGTCCTAGAGGATAATTGGAGGAATCCTTCAAGGGGAAGACGCCTGCAGGCCCTTGTGACAACAGGCGCTTAAGGTGCAAAGCAATTCTGTCTCCTCCCCGATTGCATTCTTTACCCCCTCGCTCCATACAAGTAAGTGGAGTGTGTTTTTCATTTACAGTGAACGCTTGGGTTGCGAACGTGATTCGTGCAGGATGCATGTTCACAATCCGCAGCGTTCGCAACCCACAGCAGTGCGTCTGTGCACGCACAGGTTGCGATTCGGCGCTTCTGCGCATGCGCGACCACTGAAACACGGAAGTAACCCGTTCCAGTACTTTTGGGTTTTGGCAGGTCTGTAACAAAAAAATGCAACCTGAAGCGTCTGTAACCTGAGGTATGACTGTACTTGCATGGACTAGGGTAAATCAGGAAAATATTCATGGGGACAGAACACAATTTTGTCCAGCGTAAACCCCCATTTTCCACTTGAGGAGTTCTTCTCTGTCCCCCCATCCCCCAGCAGAGAGACAACAGATTGCAAAGCAGGAGTAGCCAAAATGAATTTTAACAATACAGGAAAGTAGTTTGAGATTGCCTTAGACTAGAAATTGATCAACCTTTCGCAACTACCTTTCCTGTAAAAATTAATGAAAACCAAGCCATATTATAATTCACAGTTCTTTTGAATGCACGTTTTCACAAAATACACAACTTGTATGCGTTTTGCTGCAAAATAATCATTTCTGGGTGCGTTTTGGTACTTCTTTTGAGCGAAGAACTGCATCGCAAAATCTAGGGAAGCACGGAAACCTTAAAAATCGCTGCATTCTGATCCTCCCCCTCATCCTGGAAGTGCGAATAACTTAAAAATGAGGGCTGGATGAAATCCTGGAGCTTCCCTACCTTCAACACATGAGGCTGTGGCTTGCTCCAGATCTTGTCAGCACTGTTGACAGAACCCCAAAGTGAAATGTGCACTGACTCAGTGAGAGACATCAAGGTTATTCACTTTGAAAATGAAGCAGCAACTTGGTGGGAAACTGTGGGTTTTGGTGTGAGATACAGCAGTGAGCTTTTTCGTGTTGACGGACAGATTTGTAACCCAGAGAAACTTTTCTGGGCACTAGCATAATCTAGCACACGCTACTACAGCCTGTTCTAGAGGATGCAATAGAATGCTTCTTTCAAATCTAATTTCAGCAGGGCAGGGGACCCTGTGGTTGCCTATGGGTGCCAGGTTGTTGATATGCTAAAGTCTACCTTGCAAAGTTTTACGTTGCCAGGGTTGTGCGTCCTTCAGAACCAGAACGGTCAGTTCAACAAGAGGGAATTGCCTAATGGTACCATGTGCCTTAAAAAGAAGGCCGTGTTTCAATGTGTTTTTCCCATTAGTTCCCGGCAAGCCGCACATGCAGCACTCATCAACAGAAGATTCAGAACGCGTAGTTCTTCCTGTTGCAAAAGTAGAATCGGATTCTGGTGGTTTTAGAGAATGGAAGGTGGATTCGCCCCAAACTTTTGTTCTGCAGAGTCATGATTCTGCCTCTCTTCTCGCCCCACTCACAGCCCGAAGATATCGGTCAGTCACCTATGGCCTCCATGCCCGATGGGGACAAAGTGGACTTGGAGGCGTTCAGTGAGTTTACGAAGATCATCACCCCCGCCATCACCCGTGTGGTGGATTTTGCCAAAAAACTGCCCATGTTTTCAGAGGTAAGCGAGGTGGGTGGGTAGATTCCATCAGAGGGTTGGGGAGAAAGGAGTTTGGTGATAATCTCTTGAACATGCAGAGATCACAGGTCTTCCCATTACACTGATTAGTAAGGGGAAAGCCACAGGTGTGGAGCTAGCTTCTTGCTTCCTCCCACCATAATAATCTCCATGGTTTGCCACCAGAAGGAAATATTAAGGGGCAGATAGAGAGGTATGATGGGGTGCAAGCAAGCTTGTTACTGATTTGTCCAGTCAGGCTGAGGTGCTGATGACGGGTAGGCCCAAACCAAAAGTGACAGACAATTTTCATGACCGCCTCTGTCAGTGTCAGAAGGTGCTCTGTTCTTTCAGCAACCTTTCATAAATCAAAATGAAAAGGAAGTGTTGGTTCGGAATGCATTGACTTGGAATGGGCTTCCTGATTAGCTAGGATCACCTAAGTGACCAGTCTAGGTACTCTAAAATAGCTTGATTTGGTCTCTGTAATGTAAGCCGGGCATCTAGAAAAACCAGATTGGTTGTGTAGCATCATGATGGCATTGTGGCCACTATGTGATTCCTGGTTAGCTGGGATCACTTAACGAAGGTAAAAACCCTAAAAGGGAAAAATGGCTGTGAAGCTGTAATGTATTGGGCGACTAATGGCTGCAAAATGATGAACATTCTCAGAGGTAGGAGTTCGTTTCAAGAAACATTTCAGGATAGCTGTGTACATTCCAATTCCCACCCACCCAAACCATGCATATAATAAACCTGTAACCTGTAAACATGCAGCTGATGATATGGACCGTAGTCCACAAAAACTTGTGCCACAGGAAGTGTACTAAGGTGTCACAAGACTCTTCTTCCTTCAAACAAATGGCTTTTGAAGAGAACTGCCAAGTTCTTACCCTCTCCCAAGCAATTCCTGATTTCCCGCTGCTCCTCACCCTGCTTTGATTCATGCCCAGACTCTGGCCTTTCTCCTTCCATGATCTCTCCTTAGTGCACCTTTCCTTTTCTCCTCATAAACCCTCCTCGCTTTGCTCCTTTGTTGGGGGCAGTGGAAACATGCTAACTCCGTGGAGTCTGGAGCAAGGAGTGCAAAGGGCCCTCTTCTCTGTGAAGCACAGCCCTAGTAAGCCGGCTGCCACTGACCGCCATGCCTCTCCCTGCCCACAGCTGCCTTGTGAGGACCAGATCATCCTTCTGAAGGGCTGCTGCATGGAGATCATGTCACTGCGGGCGGCTGTGCGCTATGACCCCGAGAGCGAGACGCTGACGCTAAGTGGCGAGATGGCCGTCAAGCGGGAGCAGCTGAAGAACGGCGGCCTGGGCGTGGTGTCGGACGCCATCTTTGATCTGGGCAAGTCCCTCTCTGCCTTCAACCTGGACGACACCGAAGTGGCGCTGCTCCAGGCTGTGCTGCTCATGTCCTCAGGTACAGGATTCGGGATATACGCGGCCACCCCATCTGGCCCATAGCACCCCCAGTCTGCTCACTCTCAGCCATCAGGTGGGGAGGGTGGGAGCCTCTTCTTGGAGCCAATCAGAGGCTTTTCTCAAGCTTAATTTTGGCGGGTTTGTTGGATGGGGTCACAGCTGGGGGGGGGGGAAGAATGAATCCTCCACATATGCTGCAGCACTGCCAAAAATATAGAATTTTGGCTTTTTAAGAAGCCCATTCAACCACTCCAATTGAAGGGTTGGGGGTTTTTTAGTCGAATTGCTACACTGGGCTTGGGAGGATTGGAGCTGGTTGCAGCTGGAGGGGGAAGGGTTAACGCCTTCCTTGTGCCATGTGACCCACTGAACCCGCCCCCTGCTGCTGTTAAACTTGGGGGAAACCCTTACTGTCTGCTCCAATAGTAGGTTTCCTCCAAGCCTAATTACAGCACCTGGTGCTGTTTGTGTGAGTGCAGAAGGGGAAGGAAGGGTTAATCTTCCCTTCTGCAGCAGCAGTCCCCATGAAGATCTGGCAGTGAGGCTTGGGAAAAAGTCAAAATGCTTCTCCACCCCCACCCCAAGACTAACTGCTGGCTGTGGGAGGGAGGAGAGTAAAAATCTGCAGGCGACTGTGTGTATTGCATGTATGGATATGAAGTAGTGAGCATGCCTGCTTTGCCAAAACCTCCTTTTTGCCTTGATCACACCTGTTGCTTGACTAGAAGGTTGGTCCAGTAGGAATCTGGGCTTCCGCCCCAGGAGGGTTCCCCGCTTCTTGTCTGTGTTGACTCGCAGCAGCTGGGCAGGGTTTTGGACAGGCGTCTGCCTAGAAATGATGGGGATGAAACCCCAAGGCCTTTTTGCATGCGGAACACATCCTCTGCCGCTGTCTGAGCCCTTCCCTTAAAAGGCATAGACTTGGGCCCACCTATGAACATAGATGCCTGAGCCGCTACCGCAGGGCATATGTGGCATTTTGAGTGGGGTCTATTTGGGTATTGGGCAGGTCAGTGCAGGCATGGAGGAACAAGGAAAGGGGTGAAATAGTAGAGAATATGATAACCACTCAATGGGTTTGCCAGGAGGAGCGTAATTCAGCCACCTCTGAGGTCGATTAAATTGGTCTTGGAGCCAGTGGGTGTTAAGAAGGTGGGTTCAGGATCATTAATTGCAGGTGGGGTGCACTGAGCGGCCAGCTTGAATGTAGGGTTGCAGTTGGTCGGACAGTGTCATTTCACTTTTACAGTATTTTCCATGTATAAGACGCCCCCTACTTTTGGGGACCCCACATTTAGAAAATGGTCATATGCACTATCTGTGTATACAACGCCCTCAGATTTTTAACCTTATTTTAAAGTAAAAAAAACCCTAGTCTTATACATGGAAAAGTACGGTAATTTGTATACCGCCTTTCTATATTACTATACACAAGGAGGTTTTCAGCAGCAAAATACACAACAGAGAACGCATACGTTACATGATCTGATCCAATACTACAAAATCATAATAAAACATAACTTTAAAATGGAACAACTTATATCAAATAATAAAGTAATACTCGGTGATCTATTAGAACAGTAAAATGAACTCTCGAAACATCAGCAAATAATAATTAAACAGAAATTCACTCTTGACCATTGCAGTTTGTAACTACAAACTATGATCAACAAAAATAACTGCAAGTCACAGTGCCTAAAATACCACAAGGTGTACAAAACCATGTAAAAGGATCAAACTGAGAAGCAAAGGCACCCGGTGGGCTTCCTTGGACTTGCGTTCCTAACCTGAGATTTGGCTGGAGGAGCTGGCTGTTGAGTTGTCTGTAAGCAGCCACACTGGAATCCAGAGCCGGGATGGAAATTTCCAGCTCAGGGCCAGATTCGGGCCCGGCAAAAGCAAGCATACAGTGCGCAGTAAAATTCTGGAGCTCATTGGCCCTAAGGTGGCATTACAGCCAGCAGCTCAAACGTCTTTAGCCAGGGTGTGACATTTGTGGAGGATAAGCTGACATCTCTGTCAAAGGCATGTATGCACTCTGAATACCAGGCACTGGGAGTCCCAAGTGGGAGGAGGCTGCTGGGCTCATGCTCTGCTTGTGTGCTGCTTGCCATCAACATCTCGGGAGCCACTGTGGGGAAGTGGGAGGCTGGGCTAGGCAGGGCCTGGGCCTGGCGCCACGGGCACCCTTCTCACGCCCTCTCTATTCCCCCCTTTGCAGACCGCAGCGGGCTGATCTGCGTCGACAAGATTGAGAAATGCCAAGAGACATACCTGCTGGCATTTGAACACTACATCAACTATCGCAAACACAACATTCCCCACTTCTGGCCCAAGCTCCTCATGAAGGTGACCGACCTGCGCATGATTGGAGCTTGCCACGCAAGCCGCTTCCTGCACATGAAGGTGGAATGCCCCACGGAGCTCTTCCCCCCGCTCTTCCTCGAGGTCTTTGAGGATCAGGAAGTCTAAGGGGGGAAGGGGGGCAGACAGGGTGGCGTGGGAGAATTGGGGAGATGGGGCAGTTTGGGACTGGGGCGATGTCTGGACTTCTGGGCCGCGGGGCCCCCACCCCCAACCTCATCACCTCGGACACAACAGATTTTCTTTTTTTTTTGTTCTGTTTTGTTGTTTTCATTTTTCTTTTTTGTTTTGTTTTGTTTTTTCTAAATATTGCACGTCAGCGTCAGTGAATCACATGGAAGGGGAGGCAAGGCATCGTGGATGGGGGTCGGGCCACCAAAAAAAAGGTCGAAACTATACAACAACAACAACAACTACAAAAGAACCTTCGTTATACGGTAGACTTGTGCAGCAGCCAATACTTTTTTTTTGTCTAGGCAGACAAACACAAAAAAATTAAGTGGGCAATATGTTTCTCACTCACCCCCTGTTTATCTTTCTTCCTCCAATACCCTTTTCTCCCAAAGCTGTCTTTCCAGGGTGAGACATCTGTCTTAAAATTTTTGACACAATGTTAAGGAAATTAATCCATATTTTACTCCCCCCCCCCCAAAAAACCCCCCACCTCTTTGCCCTTCTCCTCATTCAGTAGCAGTTCCCCCAGCCCTGACAGCACTGGAACGAGTCAGCACCTCTTCTTTTGCCCTGATCAAACCTCTCTCGTTTAAACGGACTTGATTACCAATATATATAAATATATATATGTTTCTTTTGCACATAACAGTCCCAGGAAACGTCAGAGTGTGTTTGGTTGTTATATTCTTTTTCTTCTTCTTTTTTTTCTTTTAGAACTCTTAGCATTTAGTTACCCTCCCCAGGAGGCTAAAATATAAAATGCACTTTTTTTGTAAAAGAAATAAAAGATTTTTTTTTAAAAAAAGTTAAGAAAAGGAGCCGAGAGAGAGAGAGAGAGTGAGAGACAGAGAGAAATCCTATTAAATTATTGGAGGTCGGGTGGGGAGGGGACATTGCTGCAGGTGGTTTGGCAAAACACAGGCGATTAAGGAAAGACAAGAAAGAAACCCCAAATTGAGGCTTAAGGTCCGCACGGGAAGGACAAATGCACTTTGGAAATAGGCAAAGGCTCCCCCTCTCCACTCCTCCCCCTAGTGGGAAAAACAGGTGATTGAATAAGAGATCTATTATATTTTGCTTCGAATCGCACTGCAGGGCTGAACCGAAGAGGTGCCTGCTTTGCGTTCCAGTGCTGAGGGGGGGTCCAGGACACACCTCTGCCTTCCTCCCTGCCCCTGAAACTCACCCCCCCACCCCGCCCTAGGCTTCAGCCAATCTACCTCCATGTTGGGCAAGGTGGGCTGGTCTAACGTGGCCCCGCCCAGTCTTACACTGCCCCTCCCCAAGCTGAAAGTCCGCATGCAACGTTCCCACCGGGCTTCGGAAGGGCCCTTGCTCGTTCTTTTGCACACGCTTTCCCACGCCGCGTGGCGGTACACTTCTTGCTGCACTATAATAACCTTGCTGCCCTCCCTTACGCGCTCTGCTCTCTGGGGAAGCGGCGAGCCCGGGAGCCCGGCTCCTCAGCCCTCCGAGAGAGCCAAGTAAGGGTTGAGTCCTTTCCCCCCCTTTCTCTTTATTCGTCGTCGTTTTTGGGGGGTGTTTTGTTTTGTTTTGTTTTGCAAATGGCACTTATCAATACAGGAGAAAGGACGGCATCCCTGCAGAGGTAGCAGCGTTCCTTCCGCCACCCAGACACCTACAGGCCACTCTACTAGCATTAACAGATCTGGAGGGTTCCTAACCGAACGGGGGAAGGTGCCAAGTGTTTGGGTTTTTTTGCCCGCCACTTAAAGATTTCCCCCGCCCCGTAGCGTCCCCTGCCCCGTACACTCTTCAACCTTCAGGGCTGCTGTAGCACAGGTGAACTCATGCCCAGGGAAGGGTGGCAGGGCTGTGGGGAAAGGCCTTTCAAACTGGCTTCTCTGGGGCAGGGACATGGGGATAGCATTGCCTGATCCAATCTAGTCACCCCATCTTCTGGTGCGCTTATACCTCCTAACCACCCAGGGTGGTCGTGCCAGCCAACCCTTCACGCCATGGGCAGAACCAGGCCCCCTTCACCTCAGGAGGCAACAACCAGGTGGGAGGAAGCCCAGCTGGAAACCTGGGCGGATTTTGGAAAAAAAGAATTGGCCAAGCTGGCGCGAGGAACGCAAAAAAGGAACGCCTCAGGTTTCCGGTCTGGGTCTTGCCTCCGTCTGCCATTTTGACCTTCTTTCCTTCTCCTCCTCCTCCTCCTCCTTCTTCATTTTAGCATTCTGATTCTCTGTTTATTCCTGGTTGTTCGGCGAATGGGCAGGTCCTCTGAAGACCTGGGCAGCAGATAGTCTCAAAGGAGCATCGCTTTGAGGAGGGAGGACAGAGCGTGGCAGTGATAGGGCCAGGCTTCCCTCCCACTCCCCAAAGCAGACTTACCAGCCAGTTCCCATTGCCATAGCCACACCCACCCACCCAGGGCCTTTCACACAGCTCTCCTGCCTCTGGGTTGGCAGGGGGCAAGGGGGCAGCAGTTGGAGCTTCGGGGGCCGGATTCAGCCCTGGAACTTCCAGTTGCTGATCCCAGTTGCTCTACAGATTGGGAGAAGTGTTGTTGTTTTTTTTAAGGAGGGGAAAAAAAAGACTACCAGCTTCCCGCTTTCTTCTTCCTGTTTGTTTTCTGCCCTTAATGCAAACCAGACTGTGATCCCCTTATTTTGGCACTTAATGCTGTTAATGGGTCAGAACTCTTGCCTGAGCCACATAATTCTGTGATACATCCATCTCTTTGTAATCTGTCAGCCAATCCTCCCTCTCTCTTTCTCCCCCCCTTTTTTTGCAACTGTAATATTGGGGGAGTGGGGGGGGGAGATTGATAATCTTTTTCTTTGTCCCCCCCCCCACTCTCCCCTTCCTTTTCTTTCTCTCCTCTGTCACTTGGTTTCCGTTGGAAAAAAACAAAACCCTTTACCTCTTACCTCATTCAAGACGCCGTGGGGAACGTTTTTTAACGCGATGGGTTGGGTGCATGTCAGATGTACCATTTTGAAGGTTCAGGGGCGGCGCATGGAGAAACACAGCTCCAGTTTAAGCTAATATACAGAAAAAAATATATATATAAGTATGTATAATTTTTTTTTTAATTAAGAAGATAAAATCTTTGTACGGGTCTGTTCACATAAAAGGAAAAAAAAAGAAAAGAAAAAATCACGCAAACGAAATTGGGGTTGGAAGAAAAAAAAGTAGTCTTTTTGTTTTGTTTTGTTTTGTTTTAATCACCTATAAAGATGTGGGATATGTTTGGGGGAGGGGGGGCGCGTTGCTGCTGAGCCGATGGTATTGAATAGAGCTTAGAGTTCCAGGTTGCCGCCACAGCATGGCTGGTGATCTTAGAGGGCTGTGACTGGTCCATACAGACATAGGGACTTGGCATAGGACACAGGTCATCAGGAGTCCCAGTTCTCAGAAAGAAAGCCAATCCCTAGCCGATTACGGCTGCAAAGATAAGCTTGGAAAACCTGGCGAAATATCTCGGAGTGGGGCTAAGTGGAATTTCTCGTGAGGAGGGTAGGAGAGCACAAGACTCCATTGCAGAAGCGGAATACATTATGCAAAATAAGCACACATAATGCAGTTTTGCTCAATTATTCGGCTTTTCTTAGCACAGCACCCAGCTATTCTTGATGTGGGATTTAGACGTCCATTTGTTTTTAAAGCGCAGAGTAAACACAGTCCTAGTTGTATTCCCATCAACTGTCTCCCCAGGGGAATTGCAGCTGTGTCTATTGAAATTGTTTATCTTGGGGGCGTGCAGTTGCCAAATTCTTGGCCCGGAAGATGTGAGTTAATCTGTTGAAATGCGGGGTGGGGGCCCTCTGGTGGTTGGCTTCTTGGGAGTCAAAACATCTCCTAGTCCCTCACAGAGACTGGGACAGTCTTGCCCGAACCACCCACGAAGCCTAATGCCCATGCAATAATAATTAGAAAAGTATCCAAAGACGAGGGACTCCACAACCTGGTTAGCTGACTTTTTAGCCTGCCGTTTTCTCCTTGTACTTAAATTGCGACATAAAACTTCCTGTCCCCTGTGTGTGCACATACACAGAACAGCCCTATAAATAGAAGCTTAGATTCCTTCATGCTCAGTCTTGCCTGTCCACAAAAGACACTGAGAAGCAGCCAGCGCACATGAATAACTTAACTCTGCCCCTTCTTGCTGCAGACCCAGTAATTCTGCTCCTCCCCGATTTCTGCTCCACTAATTTTTAAAACCTGTTGTGGACCCCCCCCCAGACAACCAATCCTGCAAGCCTGTTATAAGCAAGCATTACAGAGGTCTTTTCGCACTTAAAACACTTCCCTTCTTGCATTAATATCTGTACCTTGCAATGAGCTTAAGAACGCTCTGCGTGTGTTTGTAGGTGTGTGTGTGCACCTGTCTGTCTGTCTGTCTGTCTGTCTGTGTGTCTGTCCCAAAACCTTTATGCAATTAAAGCTGCAGTCCTATGCAATTTACCCAGGATTAAGTCCCACTGAAACCGCCTGGACTTTCTGCTTAGTAAACACGCATAGGATTGATCTACTGGGCTCTGATCCTCTCTCAAAGGCTTCGGAGGAAGTCACAGTATCTCTGGAGCTTCTGAACAGGGAACCAAGAATCCATCTTATGAACATAGGAATCTGCCTTATACAAAGTCAGCCCTTTGCTCCATCTAATCCAGGCTTGCCCTAGCCTTACTAACGGCAGCCTTCCCAAGGCATCAAGAGAGGTCTTATCCAGATTTTGTACCCAGTGAAACACAATGCAGATCTGTGAAGAGTCTACTAGCAGTTTGGGTCCCCCCCTCCCCACGAATCAGACTATGACTGGAGCAGCAACAGCAAGGGCGTAGGCCAGATTGCCCATCAAAATCCCACCCCATTTCCCTGCAAAAGAAGGGGGAGGGGAAGACCCATGGTCCTATTGCTGGAGGCGACAGGGGTTGGACCTCCTTCCTGCAAGCATACTCTCTGCCCCTGAGCTATCAGCCTTCCTCCATAAGAGAACATTTGGCTGAGTTCCAACCAGAAGCCGCCAGTGTGCATCTTTGGCAGGTTTTTAAAGGCTGCGCAAAACACGCATGCAGCCATACCCACCCACGAATCTCTATACCCAGCTTCCTCTCCCCTTGATATTGCATCCTTTCAAACGCTCAAGAATTCCATGAATGGTTACTCCTGAATTGCTGTTTTCCTGCTATGCAAGAAAGCCTTCAGAGGGGCAGAATTAGAACACTCTGGACTCTCCTCTCCCCGCTCTTTTTGCATCCTTCCTCCCTGCATGGAGCTGTCCTCTTTCTCTCCCTCCGTCAGAATTCTCTACCAGCAGAAAGGGATGAATGGGATGGCAAGAAAAGCTCTGCTGTCTGGTCATGAATGAGCTGCAACAGCCGTTTCCACTGAACTGGATCTTGCTTCATAAACTGGGGGCCCATCAGTCCATCAATTGCACCCAATGCTCCACTGATGATGCTTCCTCACTCGCATCCTCCTGCCTCCTTCTTTCATTTTACCACGCATCCTCCAGAAAAAAACAAAACATGAAGCTTCCTCATGCTTAGTCACATCTACTCTGGCAACCAGCGGCTCTCCAAAGCTTCAGGCAGGAGTCTTCGCTACCAGAGATCCTTCCGTTGGAAACATGGGGAGATGAACCTTCATATGTTTGACATGGAGATCTGCCACTGATCCGCAGCCCTTCCCCAACTCAAACTTGATTTTCTTTTCCTTCAAAAATTAAATGAAGTCTGTATTACTGTAATGGTCAGTATTTCAAACCCAGAGCCTAAGGAGTGCAACAGATGTTTTCGCACATGTCTCAAAATGTTTGGTCTGGAACCTAGTCCCCCTAGGCCATTGAATGGCCTTCGAATGGATTTCCATCTCCATTGAAATGGGGGAAGGTGGCAAATGGAGCCCCCAACAGGGAGGTATTTTTCAGTATCTTCAGAGATTCCGATGATTGGCTGGCAGCCAGGCCCTGATCCTACATTCCTGATAAAGCTCAGAACGTGCTAAGAAAGCTGCAACTTTCACGAAGTTTTCTGTAACATATTCTGATAAAGGTGGGTTATTACTCCCACCCACTCCTGTCCCATTTCAAAACCATTCTAGCACCATGGCCAGAAGCCGCATCTCCCAGTCTGTTGAAAAAATATGTCTTTTCTTGGGCTTCATGCATCCTCATCAGTTGATGACTACGACAAAAAGCAATGGCTTGTTTTTGTGAATTGGTTACCACCAAGTAGAATATTCATGTCGCCTTGTCAATGATGCTTTTTCCTGAGTGAGCTGACACACTCGGCATCAAGTCGACATCGTGCATGTGTGAAACGCTCCTTGGGCTGGGGATTAACAAGAAATGAACATGGTTCATGGGAGATTTTGCTTACACACACACACACACACACACACACACACACACACACACACTCTGCTTTGTTCCAGTGTTGGCTGTAGTGGAAAACCTTTTAACGTTTAACCTGAGACAGAAGTGTGTGTAATGTTTAAACAACTATAAAGATATGCCTGGTTAATTGGGCAGCAGAATTACTATTATTATTAAAACATTTTCAATACAAGTACTGATAAAATTTGCAAATAGGAAGCTCCCTGTTAGCAGGTATTCCTTTTCTCTCACTTGGGTAGGAATATATGTTCCAATATGGGGTCTGCTGTTGACATTTATGCCGTATCCCTAAAAACATCTTGCTCCAGAAATAATTGCTCCCGTGGTCAATCACACATATGGGATCATCTGCACCTGTGTAGAGCAGCATTTTGGAAACTTACAGAGTTTCATGTAGTGTTCTAGCCCCTGCACTCAAAAGCAGGGAAACCCCTTATGCTACCACTGACCTGCGGGCAGGGAGAACACTTTCTTCCCTCAGTTATTTCTCTTCAGCCTATTCTTATTTTTCCACATTTCCACCCCCCCCAAATAAAATCAATGTAATCGGTAGACTAATCAACTGAAATGCAAGTGAATGAATTCAGTTTCTCGGGTTGTAGCCCCGTGTACATTTCAGACTGTTCTTTTCCAAGTGGCCCAACCCAAATGCCCTCAAAAATGGTTTGCACTGCAACTCCCACAATCCCAAGCCAGCAGACACACCAAACAATGACCCCTCTTTTAAAGCCACCTTAAACTCTCTGATAAATTTGCCACCAGACATAACTCTCGCAGCGTCTAGAGAGGAAACAGGAGTGTGTAACATTTGCAAACATTTCCCCACAATTCATCATATTGGAAATGGGAGTTTTACTGCTGCCGTTGTGTTTGCTTAAAGCACACACACAAAAACAGACAGACAAACACAGGGCTGCTGCTTACGAGTGTTGTTTGCAAAAATGATCTGCAGTATTTTGAGAGTCACAAGTGCTCTTAGGTTTCTCTTCAGTATGCAGCTACAGTGACCACATGCAAAAAGACCTTGGGTAGGAAAGGAAATTTTAGCCACAGCTTTTCCCACCCCACCAAAACAAAGCAAAACTCTTCAGTGCAGCTATTAAAGGTAACAGATGCCCTCTCGTCCATTGCATCTGTTCCACCCTACATGCAGCAGCAACACTACTGTTTCCATGTAAGGACACACATGCACAGTGTGCTCAGAACTTGTTTTGGGCATCAGAACTGCCATTTTGCTAGCCGTGCTCCCAGCTCCAGCCTTCAGTTTTGTGATTCTGGAGGTTAACATCCCTTCTGCTTTACCTTTTGCACGCAGGCGGAAATTCCAGCCAAAAGCATGCATTGGAAGACTTGGCACTTTCTGCTGTTTTGCTGCTCCATTATCAATCTTGAAAGCGTAACAAATCAAGATTTTTTGGATCCCTGGTTCATCTTCTGTGGTCAAGCCTAAATCACCCAAGTATACAGAAAAGCAAGTGACAAGTAGCTGCTCTTTCATCAACTTATTCACCAATCTACCTCCTCCATTTGGAAGAAAAGTCCCTCTACCCACCACTTCCTGAATGAGTGTGTGTGTGTGTTAGGGTCTGGTAGGAGGCAGCCCGTGACCCCCTTCTATGGGGGGGGCTGCGTTCAACAAAAATGGCTTCCGTACAGGTTCATATCTGTTGTGCACCCTCCGGAAGTGCTCCAGAGGAGACCAAAGGCTGCCTTCCCTGCTGCCACCAGCACTTCACCAGGCAGGGCAGCAGAATGGGCATTCAGCTGCCATGGGGCTCTGCAGAGATCGCCTTGAGTCTTGAGCAAGCTTTGAATGCCATACGAGGGCCATCCATTGGCACAAATCCTTCCTGTTTATTCATGTGGGAGCATTATTACCCTAACTCTGTGTGGCACGCTTGTGTGTATGTGTGTCCCAAGTACATGAGGGCAGGATATGGCTGTGTGTGTTGTGTGAGCCCAGATGTGTCCGTTTGTATGCACTGGGCCAGATATCTGAACATGTACTTGAGAGGTGTGTGCATGTAAATAAATGCCCAAGCTTGGGAGTGGCGTGTGTATGCAACTCGTGTGTGTGTGGTTGTGTGCGCGCTGAGAGAGTATCCTGATTTTCCATATGTATTCTGATTTTCTGTTGGGGGTGTGAACATGACTAGCATACATTTCTCCCCCCTATGTTGTGGGAACCGTGTGTGTGTGTATGTGTGTGTTTGCACACATTCAAGTATACCTCTTGCACATTTCTCCTTTCCGTTGCCCATCTGTGATTTCTGGCCCTGGACTATGTGCCCTCATCCCTTGGATCCCATATTCCTGCCATGTGGGTTGACTGCAGCCAAGTGTGTGTGTGCATTCAGGGGGTTGCGAGTGCCAGGGCTCTGGTCTTTTCCGATGGTATGTTTGGAACAATTGTGACAGGCAGCGAGGTCTGTTTTCCAGGGTGCTCAAGAGGTGACTGCGAGTTGCTTCTGTGTTCAAGTCCCTGGTTGTCTGGTTTGTATGTTTTTTGCCTAAGGCTTGCTTCCTATCCTGTGTGAGCATCAAAACAACCTCTGTACTTCTTCTTAAAACACTCCTGTCGTTTCCCCCTCACCTCCTCCACCTGATCTCACTTGTTTACCACCTTCTCAGAGGGGCTGAAGCACTTGCTATTCACCATTCCAGCTCTATGCCATCTTGACCCCGTCAGCCCCCCCTGCCCCTCATCCCCCTTCTTTCTGGAGGCCTTAATGCTATTCCTTTACCAGCCAGCAGGGGCGCACTTTCATACATCAAGCTGTGTATAGTCTGGTCTGTATCCTGTAAATCTTGTAAATATTTTATATATATAGCCCGTCTAGGCAAAGATCTCTATGTCTATGGAGGCGTGACGGGGAGCCTGTTTGCTCTCGTGTCAACAAGCCTGCAAAAGCAGCTAAAGACACCCCTGATTATCAGGAAGGGAGAAGGGGGCAGGGTATTAATTCTTCATTGCCTTATACCAAATAATGAAGTTTCCTTGCAAAGTAATATTTTGATCTCCCCAACACTCACTGCGCATATCCAGCTGCAGGAACTGGGAAACTCCACACCGGGGGCGGGGGTGTGTGGATTTTAAAGTCCTGAGAAAATAATGGTCGACATCCGTTCTGTCTTGGAGCAGAATCCCGGTGCAAATGTCTATGTTGGGGGTGGGGTGTGTGTGCACATGTGCTCGATTGCACCTGTAATGTGTGTGTGTGTGTATATATATATACATATACATATATATATAAATATAGTTCTATTAACCGTGTGTTACTAAACATGCGCAGATTCCCTATGCATACAAAGCGTTAACCCCCCCTGTGCACTTTGCACGATCTCGTGCCACGCAACACACATGCACAAACTGCTGCCCGTAACACCCCCCCCCCCAAAAAAATAATAATTTTGGTTTGGGTAGGGGGAAGAGATAACAGCCATCCATCTTTTAGCCCAGTGGACTCCCCTTCATTCATTCTCCTCTTCTGCTGATGGGGATCTCTACCCCTTTGAGGCTCCAAGAGGCACTGCTCCTCTTGGAAGCAGACATTTGTGACTTCTGCATAGCCCCTGGTGCTGTAACCCTGCTGTAGTTGGGTTTTACCTGCTCAGCAGCCTGGACTCATTTGGGTGACCTGTTTGACTACCTTCATCGCTTTGAATAACTTGGCAAACTAGCCGTGTCCCATCGGTCTTTTCCTTTAAGAATGCCCTGTCTCAAGCCCTTGAACATTTAAAGACGAGTGAGTGATTTAACACCATCTTTTGTGGCGGGGAGAGATGAAAGACAGCTGTTTCCCAAACCTGGGTCTCCAGCTGTTTTGGGACTACAATTCCCATCATCCCTGACCACTCGTCTTGCTAGCTAAGGGGTGATGGGAGTTGTAGTCCAAAAACAGCTGGAGACCCAAGTTTGGGAAACGCTGACCTAACACCTAGTTCATTCTCATATATATATATATATATATATATATATATATATATATATATGCACTCATCATTTGTTTGCCAGTGGCAAGAGGGGAGATCTGCATGCGAATGAACAATCTCAGATTGTCCCTATAGCTACAACTCTCCCGTCACTTGACCCCAGTTCAAACTTTGTCTGCAGACTCAATCCACACACACAGTTAAGCCAGCCAACTCATCCAGCGGTTCCCCAGAAAGGAGAAAAAAGGGGGCAGGTACACCCAGACTCCTTCAGGGGGGTTACTCAGGTCTTGAGGCAGTGGCATGGTAGCCAAAGAAAACCTTTCCACCCTGGGCATCTCCTTGGCTCTAGCTATTGAGGCCAATCTCTGGGCGAGGCAAGCGTCCCTCCGTAAGAACAACCAGTGTCGCTGACATCAGTGACCCCCCCTCAAAAAATGCCTCTGAAAGGGAAGTAGATAGCTTTTGCATACTTAAGTTTAAAAGGTGATGGGTGGAATCTGCACATTTTGAGTTTGTACCAGGGATATATGCAAGGCACCCCCATCTAAATGGGAGTTCTCTGAAGTTTCTGCAGTGCACCAAAACTCCCTACAGAGGGCATCACGAAACATCTCGTTATGGCTGCTGGGGCAAGATGGCGCTTGTGCCTCAACCCAACTCTTGGAGGAAGAGAACTCAGGGTTCATCCCATCTCATAACACCCAGTCCCCCTCAGGTGCCACTCATATACCATCATGCCAGTCCTTCCCTATCTTGCCAGGGGAAAGCAGCAAACAGCGCGGCTGCCCTCCTACTCCTCTGGCGGCTGCCAGGCTGCATCTCTGCTGATGGATGTCCAACCAGTCTTGAGAAGCTCAAGGCCTTTGTAGCAGGAGGTTTTGCTCCTCCAGGGGAGTAACACCCCACCATCATGTCCTCTGCCTCCCAGGCACTTGACGACTGTGACAATTTGTGGGGTTAGGAGCCAGTTTTCCCCACACCAGAGGCCTATTCAAGGGGGGAGGAGGAGAGACAAGACTTTTCCTGTACCACTTCTCAGTATTCCTTTTGTCAAGTACATACCTCATATAGTTCCTGCCGATGGTACCCTACGGATCTTTTCTGCGCCTCCCCCGGCCCCACCGGATTCTCATTAGTTCTGCAAGGATATTAACTCCAGGAGTTGCAATGACAGATTCAGACAAGAAGGTTTAGGGAGGAGAGGAAGTGAGTTTCCATTAAAGGGGGCACCCCCTCATATACTATGCATTGTGGTTTCCCCCCCTCGCAGTCTAGAGCAGGGAAAGAAACTGTGAGCAGGGAGTTATTAGTGAATGTACGTTTGGGACATGGGGTTTTCAGTGTGTTTCAGAAGGGGTGTTGGGTTGGGGGAGTCCAAGGGAGGGGAAAACCTGGTGGGGAAAATTGTGTCTCCCTCCACCTCATCTTTATTCCCTCTCCCTTCCCCTTTCTTCTTTTTTTTTGTGTCTGGGTAGCAGGAAGCTGCTGATGTAAAAAAAATACGACAATCACGATTTGTCTGTGACGTGCGATTTTGGAAAAAAGAAAAAAAAAACCCTGAAAAGTCGGGGGCGGGGAAAACAAACAAACCCTTTTTTGTGTTTTTGGTCAGGATTTTAAAGAAAGATATTTTTATGGTAATTGTCGCTGGTCTATTTTACTATATATTTATGTAATAAATATATGATTAAAAAAAACAAACAAACCTACCCTTAAAAAAAAATGACAAAAAAAAAAAAACAACCCTCACAGCCCCAACTGGTTTTTGGTGTCTCATTTATGGTGAGTAGCGATGGGCAAAAATTTATTCTTTAACTATCAAAACACAGAAGAATGTGGAGCTTGCTTGATATTTCTGTTTTGCAGGTAAAAATCGTAGGAGCCTTTGTTCTCAAGGCTTTCCCCCTCCCCTCCCAATTCACCATTTTAGTCATTAAAGCCCCCACACCTAAAAGGTCAGTAGAAACCCCTTTTTGCTAAACCAAAAACAACCACCCTCACCAAAGCAAAAATGCATCACCACATTTTGGGGGTGGTGGTGGGAAGATGGGTTCCATACCGATGACATGTGTAAGTGCCTCACATTATTGAAAAACCAGGCTGAGGGTAGATTGGCCGGTTACAGGGGATTTTTTTAAAAAAGATTTGAAAGAGGGTGTAAAAGTTACATGTAATGTGGATGGTCTTCCTCTTTTTCACCTGGTAACAAGGCCTTTCAGCTGGGAGGCTGTAGTGTTTCAAAAACTGGTTTGACCAGAGGTAGGAGTAGGACAAAATATGTGGGTGCCACACCAATGGAAACACATGGTTTTCCCTTAAACCACCATCTTGCCATATTTAAGCCCTGACAAAATAAGTGGGGCAGGACAGCCACCATTTTAAGCACCACAATTCACTTCTGGCTTGCGGGGGGCAGCCAATGTCTCCCTTGTGTATAGAGCTCCAATAGTCGCCTCTCTCTAGCCGAGGCAACTGGTTACCCCCAAACCTCCACCATACCTTCCCTTCCGACTCAGGAGAAGAGCGGGGGCGGACACACAAGGTGAACTCAGGAAGAACGTGGATCCAAGCCATTTTGGTTTTCAATATATTATTCCCGTGTGGCCAGCGCCACAGCAGGGAAGAATGCCGGTTCTATTCACACAACTCCAATATACAGAGATATATTTACAAAAGGCGGCTTGTGGCCGCTTGCTTCTGAGCAGGTGGGGGCAGCAGCTCCTATGCCGGTATAAATATAGTTTGCTGGGTCCAGGCCCAGAGAGAGCAGTCTGGTTAGTGCAACAACGCAGGGAGGGCAAGACGAGAGGGTGGTCCAGTAGTTATGTGCAAGGCCCTCCCCGTCTTCTACTGAGCATCAATGCGGAAGGAGAGCAGCTTCTCAGAGTGCATGTTGTTGAGGGTGCGCAGGTCGGGAAGCTTCAGCAGCAGCTTGGTGAAACGGGATGTTTCCTGGGGGTGGTTTTTGAGGACGAGGGCTCTCAGGGCACGGATAAGCATCTCCTGCAGCTGCTCCACTGATCCTGGGTTCTCAATGCCTGAACGATCTGCACAAGAGAGGGACGGGCAGTCAGTAACATGGTAACAGTGGCGTGCCCAGCACAACAGACACACCTGCCTGGTTTTCAGGTCTCTGATCTATCAAACCACATTTTCAGCCTCCCACAAGGTCACAGATTGCCTGGAGCCCAAGGAGCAGTGGTGCCAAAACCTGACATGCAAAAGATCCCAATCTCCTCGGAGCTCTGAATTATTTTTATTAAGAATCCTTCTCTCTTAAAGCACCACCACTGTTCACAGCATTTTGCAAGGTAACACGAGGAAAAAGAGACAGCTCCCCACTTCAAGGAGCTTACACTCCCAAGTTTGAACAATGGGGAAAAGAGGAGCCGAGGCAAAGGTGTCAGAGGAGAAATATGAAGATATGTAGTTAATTTAGGGGTTTGCTGCGGTTGCAGGGTGTTGGTGTTTCAAGGGTGGAGGTTCAGACTAAGGCAGTAAGATGAAGGCTTCAAGGAAAGAAAGCTTTCCAAAGGAGGAAGCAGGAAGAGCAAGGGAGACCACTGTGGATATTCTGGGAGAAGGTGCCAGGCATAAGGAGCAGAAAGGGGAAAAGGTGTTGAATTGTGTAGGTGTGTGCTTGGGTAGCCAAGGATGGTAGAGTAGGAGGCTTGAAGACCTTAGGACACAGGTGAAACAAGGACAGAATAACACAATGGATGGGTGTGACTGGAGAGCTTCAAGGAAAGGTAAGGACAAGGAAGCTTGTGATCCACGACTGCGATTCCCGCCTGCTCATGCCCAAGGACACCCACCTGCAGAGATCAGCACCACAGCCGTGAAGAGGCCAAGCTCTTCTTCAGAGAGTCCCAAGGCTCCAAGCTTCTCGCTGAACTCGAACATGGATGTCAGCAGGTCGCCCATCCCCATCCCCCACAGCTCCTCAAGGCTGTACTTGGTGCGACTCATGAATGTCACTGTCTGTTCCTTAACGTTGAAGAGGGACGCAAACCGAACCATCAGCACCTGGGGAAATGGTAGGAGAGACCTGTTAGAACACATCTGTGCCCACACAACACAGTCAAATGCCATCTGTATTCTTCCGAGTAAGAATGGACACTAGCTTTGAAAGAAGTGGGACTTCCTGAGTGAACTTAGTTAGGTTCAACTGCAAGGTTGTTGTTTTTCTTCTTAAGAACCAAAACAAACTGACAAGTTCTCAGAATGATTTTCACTTCTTCCCTTTGGGGTTTTTGAGTATGTCTGGGATCCAGCCTCCCAAAAGCAGATTACACCCCTTTAATTACTCCTAATGTCTTTATGTTTCAAAATGACGCCAGCAAATAATGTCCTTGATGCAGTCTCATTGTTATATATGGATAAATAAGGGTGTAGATTTGAGCTTCAGAATTTTAAAACAATCATGTCTCCCCATTATTTTCACCAGTGCAGAATTAACCAGTATTTAATGGATAAATATTATTCTCCACTTTTATAAGCCCTTCCTACATACATAAAATCGGTAACTGTTAACTAGCAAGGGTCTGAAGTAGTGGATGGAGATAATCCTACCTCAAATGTGCCAGCTTTGAGTAAGGAGACCTGGTCATGCTGCGTGAGCTCCCGGAAACCAGGGATGTGCTTTGCAAATTCCACAACCTCTCGTACAGCAGGTGTGAAGCTCATGGAGAAATCTTCCCAAATCTCCTGGCCTGTACGGCCACTGCGACCATGTGGGTGACAATTCATAGGACACGCCTGTTGGGATGGGGGGGAAAATGAGACACGTTAGATGAAGAGTAGAGGGCTGGAATCAGAGTCAATGGAAGCAGTTGCAAGCCCACATAATCACTGAGAATTGAGGACCCTTTGCCAATCTGTTGCCTTCCAATGCTTTGTAATATAAGTCCCATTAGCCCCAGGGAGTTTTAGTCCAGGTTAACAGGTGGAATAGAAGCTTCTAAACTTCCTTCTTTTGCTGCTCTTGTGCATTTGATGCCGCTACCCCCAGCCATAAGGAATGAGTTGTTCCTTTGCAGAATAACCAGGCAGATTGAGCTAATACTGATTTCTAGCCTGACAATACGTAGGAGTTAAGTTTCATACATGAAACGCCATAATCTTAACTGCAGTAGTTAACATCCCACCCATTGAAAACAGACTAAAAGAGAACGCCAACAGATTGAATTTTCAAGTCAGGATTGAGTCCACCACTACCTGAGCTAAGCAGATACATCTTGTAGGCTAAGTCTTTGCTTTAAAGCAGGAACAGAAGACCTGTGGCCCTCCAGATCCTGTTGGGACTACAACCCCCACAATCCTGGGCTATTGGCCATGCTAGCTGGAGCTGATGGGAGTTGGAGTTCAACAACATCTGGAGGCGCCACAGGTTCCCTACGCCTGGCTGCTTAAGACTTCCTAACTAATGTTCCTTCCCCCCCATTAAAAAAAAAACATTAATAGACTGAATTTTCGCATGCATAACCATAAATGAAGCTACAGTGAAATGTTGAACATATTATTAAAAAATATTGATTGCTTTTCACTGAAAGCTCCAAAAAATACAGTACATGATAGAGCGTGGCTGAGAAAAAGCTCATTTTGTGAGCCAAAGAATGTAAGAGATACAAAATATGTACAAGGAGCCCTGAGTAACACAAGTAGCACAGGCCTAACCCAACTGTGACTCAGATGGCAAGTTAAAATCAGGGCTTTCATCAGCCGGAACTCTCCAGAACTCGGTTCCGGCACCTTTCAGGTGGGAGCCATGGTCCTTATAAGAGAACAAGGGAGGTGTTTGTGGCAAGTTCCGGCACTCCTTTTCCTAGAAAAATAGCACTGGTTAAAATATATCCAAATGGCTGAGATGGCAGTGGGGAATATCCAAAATCGTAGCAATACAGTGGCTACAGCTAGTGAAGCTCCTGGTTCAAATCACATCTGATTTGCCTCAAGCAAAAGCCACGGGTTTTCCATCTGGGGTATTAAAACAAGCTGGCTATATAACAGCTAGAGAAAAGGCAGCTGGGGGCCGAACTGGTCGCTGAATAAGCCTTGGCTGGCAAACAAGAGAGCGCCTTGTGTGGTGCTGTGAGGAGGATGCGACACTCACCAAGAGGATATCTCTGGGCTCGCCTTGCTGGGGGCAGCCTTGGCCGACTGAGGGATCTGTCTCCCCGGAGGGATAGCCGGAAGGGCAAAACCGATGGCCGTTCATGTTGTTCTGGTGGCATGTGTTGCTTGGGGCGGAGCCAGAGTTCCAGTTGTCGTTTTGGTGGCAGGGCCCGTTGCCGTGGTAGCCACTGGACAGCCAGTTGCTCTCCCAACTCAGAGAGTTCTCGCTCCCCACGGGAGCCAGGGGCCCTGTGGCCAGTTTGTCGTGGGCATAAACAAAAATCTCCTTGTGGGCCTTGGACACCTGCGAGATGACGTCTTCCATGACTTCGCCAGGGCTCGGGGAGCGGGGCGGCGTCAGCTGCTGGGAGAACTGGGCGAAGCAAGGAGACGGCTGGGGAGGTGAGGCCGCGTGCTGCTGTGGGGATCGTGGCGCCAGCTGCGGCTGGTGGCACAGAAGGGGGCTGGCGGGCTGCTGGTGCCCCGTCGACAAGCCCTCGGGCGGGCACTGCGCACTGAGCTGGTTGTTAGCCATGTTGTTCATAGCGCTCTGCATCTCTGCCAGCATGCGTTGTTTCTCGCGTTTAGGGATGCGGCCGAAACGGACAGCTGTAGGGGAGGCAAACAGGGTGTGTCAGTACGGCAACTGAGGATATCACGTTTCCGAGCACAATTCAAGGTGTTGGTGCTGACCTTTAAAAACCCCTATGTGGCCTCGGCCCAGGATACTTGAAGGAGTTTCTCCACCCCCATCGTTCGGCCTGGACACTGAGGTCCAGCACCAAGGGCCTTCTGGTGGTTCCCTCCCTTCAAGAAGTGAAACTGAAGGGAACCAGGCAGAGGGCCTTCTCGGTGGTGGTACCCACCCTGTGGAACGCCCTCCCATCAGATATCAAGGAAATAAACAACTATTTGACTTTGAGAAGACATCCGAAGGTGGCCCTGTACAGGGAAGTTTTTAACAGTTGATGTTTTATTGTGTGTTGGGAGCCACCCAGAGTGGCTGAGGCAACCCAATCAGATGGGCATCATATAAATAATAATAAACAATTATTATTATTATTGTTATTGTTATTATTCCACAAATCAGAATCCTAACGAAACAAAGCCTGCAAGGGGTAAATAAAATGTCAAATCTCCAACCCTCGCATGGCAGGGAACTCACCATCGCGAGACATGCCAACTCCCAGACACTTCTTGAAGCGGCACTGCTGGCAACGATTCCGGTTGATGCGGACAATGTTGCAGGTTTCGTTCTTTAGGCACTTTTTGTACTGGATGTTTTGCTGAATGCTGCGCCGGAAGAAACCCTGAGTGGGGGACACAGAGGGAGAGAGAGCAAATTAGCACCTAGGCCTGACGAGTGAGCAGCTGTACTCAAAGCCAAACCGAGAGCAGCTGCTTTTCAGCCCAGTTCCCTTCAGGCTGTGAGCTGGAGACTGAAGACTTGAACTGGAAGCAGAACCAGCAGAAGGTGACTGCTCATCCATTGAGCAGGGAAGGGCAGAGAAGGCCGGGCTCCCAGTTTTAGCTATATTAGGCCCACCTGGCCAGCCCAGAGGCATGGTAAACAACTGCCAACCACAAGGGAAGGGCCCCAGCATGCAGAAGGCCCCAATCTCAAGCCCTGGCATCTCCAAGTAAGGCTAACCCTGGAAAGCTGCTGCCAGTCTGTGTAGACAATACTGGATAGATGGACCAAAGACTGTGACTGTATAAGGCAGATTCCCAAGTTCCCAGAGACCAGTGTGGCCCACTTCCATTCCCTTCTGAACCTGAAGAGCATTCTGAAGCCTGAACAGACATAGTCCTAAGGGGTGCTAGCTCAAGCAGCGGAGGCACAGTCTTTGCAGGCCAGTGGCTGCATGCTGCTGTAGTCCCTACTGGTCAGGGAGGTGGTGCAAGCACCTGAGCTGGCTTGCTCTCCCAGCACAAGGCTGTGTTGCAGGGATTAAATCCCCGTCTCCCACATCTCACTTAAGCTCCACTGCCCCATACCAGCATGGGAAAATGAGGGTTTTTCCTGTGTGGAGCTGCAAAATATCTCGGCGGTGGGCCTCGATCCAACCCCTTCCAGCTTTCATCAGCCAAATAAAAAGGCCAGAGAGAGATGCTCACCTTGCAGCCTTCGCAAGCATGGACACCGTAATGGAACCCAGACGCCACATCTCCGCAGACTTTACACAAGAGGACCATACCATTCAGCTCTGGAAGGAGAAAAGAGGAAGAGGGGCTGTGAGACTCCATACCCAAAGGCTGGATTTTTTTGGCTGCTTGGTTGCTACTCCCCAACCAACCCTTTGGGGGATAAAACCTTGGAGGCCTACAGTGCAGCCTTTGAAGAACCCAGGAGGAATAGTGGCTGGCAGAAAGGGCCAAACTGACCCGGGGAAGGTGGGCCTGGAGTTTGGACTTGGACTACATCTGCTGGCATAGTTGGCTGGACCAGCAAACACCCCAGGGCTTCCCACCCGTACCCAACTTCGCATTTGCACTCACTTGTGATGCTGCTGCTGGTGCTTTTGGCAGGGGAGATGCGCCTCCCGTCATCCATGGCCACTTGCAGCCCCACGGGGGAGCCTCCAGAGCTGTAGGAAGAGGATGATGACGACAAAGAGGAGGAGGAGGAGGAGGAAGGGGAAGCATCATCACGGAGCCCAGTGGAGCTGGTCCCATACAGGCGCCCCGAGTCTTGCACCAGAGACCCGGTGGGCGAAGGTGGGAAGTAGCTGGGGAAGGCAGGTTGCGAGGACAGCTGGCAGCTGCCGTTGGAGCTGTCGCTGCCACACAGAGAGACGGGGCTGGTGCGGCTTGGAGAAGACCCGTTGGAGCCAATGTAGCTGATGACGCCACCTGCAGAGGGTTAAAAAAAGGAAGAGGGTTGAGAATCCCACCTCACTACAGCCTTCGGTGTCCAGCTGCCCCAACTGATTGCTTGTGTTAGGCAACTTGAAGACATCATGTTGGAAACCTCGAGTTTCCTTTAAAGAAGAGCAAGTATCTGGACCTCACTGTGGCGGATGATATCCCGACCACACAGCTGCACCCTAAAGAGGCATTTGCAAAGGCAAGCAGATGTTTCGGTAGCCAAGAAAGGCAGCAGGCTTCAACTGGGGCAAAGTAGAACGAGAGAGAGAGAGGCTCTGACAACCTTCCTATGTTGTAACCAAGTTAAGTCTGTTGTGTTTTGAAACTGCGAATCCCTAGAGGGGGGCAGCATTGAAAAAAAGGGAGTCTGGAGTAGTTGGATGCTTTGTACAGCTCTGGCTGTCTCCGAAAAGAAAGAAGACTACGGCAAAGCTAGGAAAGTATTGTTATTGTTTTTTAAGGGCTGCAAAGCACTAGAAGTTGTAACTGCATTAAAAAGAACAGAGCCTGCCTGCAGGCTTGCACTCTAAGAGAAAAACAAGACCATTGCAAAGGCAGAAGGGAAGCAGGGAGAGAAGAGGCAGAAATCAGAAGTGGAAGGCTGGGGAGAGCGCCGAGAAATGGGACCCAGAGCAGCTGAAGAAAGGTTTGGGCATTTGGGGGCCTTTTATTTTAAGCTTTGTAAAAAGGACTACTAAAGTGGGACATGACAGAGGGTTATAAAATTAGGAGGAGGGTAGAGAGGAAAAGAGTTTTCTCCCATAATGCTAACAGAGAGCAAATGTGATGTATTGCTTCAGAGAGCAACTACTCAGGCTAATGAGCCAAGCTCCATGATGTGGAGGATAGCACAGCAAACGTACATATCCAGCAGATTTGGGCCAAAATTCATTCCCTGTTCCAAATATAGGATTTCTTTTTTAAAAAACTTTTTTTGCAGGAACAGTACCACAACCACCCTTCCCTGAGTCAAATGTACTAGGCGATATTCCATAAGAAAACCTTCTAACTGCATTGCTGGATCAGACCAAGGTGTTTCTAGTTCTCCTAGAAAGTACTCCACAGAGCGCCCCCATTTGCTCTCCACATTGTGGCCTTATATGCAAAGGGGTGCTGTCTCCAACCTTGGACAAAAAGGTGGTAATTTACTGTGAATGTGTGAGTTCTTAAAGGCACAAGATGGCATATGGGAGAGGGGGAAACCCTGGAACACTGGAGGAGCAATAGGTTAGGGGTGAAAGTAAACCTACTCGTGAGCAAAACACGACAGAGGGTGAGAACAAAGCTGCCCCGGTATGTGGGAGCTGACTCTTCCCAGCACACACCTGATAAAAGGTTTGCAAAGTCCAACCCCACATTACAGGCCAGTTTCAAGCTCTGAGCTGGTCTTGCCAAAATTCTTCCCTTGCAATCCAGCTCTCTCTCTCTCTCTCTCCCAGCTTTCAGTTGTTGACCTACATCTCAGAGCTGCAAAAGGAAAAAACACCAAGTGAGTGATGCAGCGAGTGGAGAGGGAGGGAGGAAGGCATGCGGCCAAGAAATTGTTGAAAATTGGGTGGAAGCCAAAAAAGCCATCATACACCCCACCCTGGAAGCTGGGGGGAGGTGGGTAAGCTGGGAAGGGCCGAATACTCCAGCCTGGAGATGGCTTGGGTTTTTGTTTTTTTCTATAGAAGAACTACCACTGCTCCAGGCTTTGTAGCTGGGCTACATGCCAGTGGCCAAACTGCTGTAGGAAAAGCCTCAAGCAAAGTAAAAACAAAGCCATCCGTGCCAGAGGGATTATAAACAAGGTCACGTGTGGAAGCCACGTTCAGTGCCCAGGCAGGCCTTTAACAACAAGCAGGGAGCCTTTATCTTGTTGACTGGTTACCACCAGCTAATGACCTTCCTTGCGTGTGGCCCAAGCACCTGGGACTGGTTGCTTAGCAGACATTAAAAGGAATCAGGACAAATAAAGCTGTAAATGGAGTTTCTCCCTCTCGCCCTTGTCAGGGATAGGAAAGAGAGCTGGATAATGATCCAAGTCAATTTCTGCCAGCAATCGAAACCGTACACACACACACACACACACACACACACCAAGAGAAGTCAACAAAGGATAAGCAATTGATTAAAATTAAAATTTAGCAGCCGTGCTTTGGATGGAGCTCTTGTCCTGTGGGACCACAGATCCCCTTCTACCACTTTTCGCTAAGGGTCCAGGGCAACCTGCTCAGGTCAAACACTTGTGATAACCGCCTTGCTCTTCTGCACATAGGAGAACTTTGCAATCCTGCCAAAATTAGGGCAAAGCTGGAGCTCAGTGACAAAGCGCCAACCGATGTGCCAGAAGGAACTCCACTCACTTTGGTGCCTATTCTAATCCCATGCCGTTCATACATCTCCCAATATCTCTCAAATGCTGTGCAACAGTTTGGCAGCTTATTAAAAGCAGGCTGTCCTTTCCTCTGCAGAACAAACGCTTAATCAGGAAAATCATCAAGGGCAAATAAGGGTAGGGATATTTCAAGCAGGCACCTTGATTTGAACTTGGGGTGAAGAGGCCTGAGAGCCAGCCCAACATCTGGCTTGCTAGGGCAGCAGTGATCATCCTGTCTGGGTTTTGAGCATGCGGCCCTTGCACGGGACCTTGTTAGTAATCTCTTCCTCAATGCTGATGATGGTGGTTGTTTTTCTTCCTTACTAGTAGCCTCTCCTAAATGACTTCACTTTCCTTCTTTTAAAAGGCGAGAAGCAGAGTTTGCAAATTGAGCAATTCAGGATGGGAAGGGTGGCGCAGGGAATCCTGCGAAGGAGGAAGGTATGCAAATCTTGCCGCCTTCTTCCCTCCCGGCTTGGAGTCCCTAGCTTCCGTGCAGCTATTAAATGCAGGTTGCGTCAGGGAAATGACTGCCCCAAGTGGGTCAGGGAGGATAAATAGAACTTGCTAGAAGGCACAGCGGGGGTGGAAGTTATGTGCGGACCAAGTTGGCAATCTTCCAGATGGGTGTGAAAAAAGGGAAAGGCGTATCTCGTCCGTTTGCAATGTGTCTTGTCAGTCTTCTCGAGACAAGGAGCCAGGAGTGGCTGGAGACACATGTGGCATCACTAAGTAAGCACACGTGGTCCTTGACACAAGGCCACATGCTACCCGTTTGCTCACCCCAAAGGGGAGGACACCTGATGCAAAAGGGGGGCAGGGGGGAACCTGCAGCAAAAGTAGCACTGAAGGTCCATATGCAAGCACCACCAAAAATAAAATTAGGCTGAGCTCAAAACCAACAAGGTCAATCAAAGGGAAAGGGATCTCCGTCACCCAGATCCCTGAACCACCTTGGGCCCACTAACTTACTAACCCAGCAATGGAATCAAAACTAACATGGTAGGTGTACATACAAACCATATCCACAAGAGATGGGGGAAAAACAAGCCCCTAGATCTTTAAAAAACACCATTAAAACCCACGCAATGCAGGTTGCTATTCTGTGAGGTCTTATTAGGGGGGGAATGACACACTGGGATTTATTTCTGAGTAAATATGCTTAGAAATGGGCAGCATGGCAATCAAGCCACTTGGCTCTGGGAGACTTTCCCATCTTCTAACATAGGAAACTCCCGACCCCGCAAATCCTACCCCACTTGAAAGTGTTGAAACCCAAAACACCAGATCTTTAAAAAGGAATTATCCCACTGCTAACCCACAGCAAATGCAGAAAGCCTTTCCTCATTCCTAAACACTTTCTCCTTTAAGGGAACCTCAAGACCTTATTATTGGATTAGACAAATACCATTCACTTAAACTGCCCAGGGTGCATTTTATTACACAGTTCTATTGTTAATACTTAATCAGTATCTACATCTAACAGAAATACAAATGTAGTACACACCAAAGCAAAGACCACAGGGAAAAAAATATTTGTGCCACCCAGTCTTCAAAATACTGGAAGCTTTTGGGTCCCCCACCATTCCTCCTCAGGCTGGAATGACTCCTCTGTAACTAGAACATTCATTTCCAGCATTTAAACACTAGTTAGAGAACATAAAGGTGGGGTTTTGGTACTTTTGGTACTTCCCTATTTTCTATCCAATGCTGTTAAAACACATGTGCACCAATAAATATTGCCTGCTTTCCACCACAAAAGAAAGGCACTCTGTATATGCACTGAGGCAAACTGGGGCACAAATGGAAGGCAATCTGCACATGCACTAAGGAACACGTGACCTTACACGATTTCCTTTTTCTTTTTCCTCAGAAAATTTTACGCTTTAATTGGCTGGGTGCAAGGCTGCAAGCTTTGCTGCCACCGGGCAAGCAGTAGCAAAGTGATCTGGCAGATGGCCGTGAAAATAGTAAGAGAAGCCTGATTTTTCCAGCCAAAGACGACACGCCAGGACGCAAAGACTGGTGAACGTGAGTGATTCGCCCACTCGGTTCTCATGCTCCGTTAAGTTGCCCGTCCAAGACTTTCGCACTCCCAAAAGCCCCATGAGGGTTACCTCCCGAGAGCTGAATAACTAGGAGGCGAGATCGGAAGGCTGGCAAGTCGGCCAGTTCACCTCCACGTGTCCCACTTGCACGTTGCCCGCTTCTATCCCGGCTTCACCCATCACGCTTTGCCCCGCCCCCTGCCCGCCCATTGGTTCCCATTTCCCCTCCCTGGCAAGGGATGGTCCATCCTTCAGCCGCGCCCTCTACGGCGAACTCGGAACGTTCGAGCTTCCCGGATGGTGACGTAGTTCCAGGGGAGGCGTATCTAATGAGCTAATGGGGCGAGCTCGGCCAATGGGAGGCGACCGGAGGCGGGGCCGATAGGGAAAACAAACGTTGCACGTGGCTGAGCCGGGTAAGGGGACACGTGAGAGGATGAATGGGGAAGCTTGAAGGGGGAATCCCAGGAAGGGTGGGATTCCAAAGCGGGGTGCGGGTGCTAGTAGTGTGACTCCAAAGTAGTGGGGGTGGAGGGGAAGAGAAATCCCTATAACCAATAAGGGATCACCAATTCTTTTTTGGGGGGGGGCAATATCAAAAGGAGATCTCTGGGCATCCCTTCCCCTTCCGAGGCTTCCTCCCAAGAAAACACCAGGTATGTGATGCTCACAGTGGGAGCAAGGCAGCCCCGATCCTCTCTCCCTACAACTGCCCTAATCCCACCCTCCCCAAAGGACAAGGTAGGGCGTTGCCTGCCGCTACTGGTAGCCCAGGCAAGACATTTGACTCTGCTCCCTCCCCCCACAAGGAGAAGGAAGCTTGACCTCTTTCCCTGAAACTGACACCTATAACTCCTTTCCCTTGCTCCCCTTGTCACCGATCCACCCTCCCCCAGGAGGAAACTACAGCAGAATGATGAGAAATCAACCTTTCCTAATTGGGTTGGGGGGGGGTGAAATAGAGAAGTCTGATGGGCTAAAAGAACGGGGGCAGGTAATAGGGGCACTCTTGTTTCTCCCAATTCCAAACTCATCACCTCTTTTCCTTGTGATTTGGGGGAATGCATTCAGGCAAGATCCTGAATGCTAGATACAGTCTGAGACTCTAAGGTTGTTTACACACTTCGTATCTCTATATCAGCAATTGCGGTATTTAGGGTGGGGAGATACGCTGCTTGGGAACTCAATGCCGCCGCCACCACCCCAACTCCAGCAGACGCCCCACGAGTAGCTGCAGAAGCGCTGGGCAGCAGGAGGACTGCTCCCTTCACTGCAGGTGCACGCGAAAGAGGCTGAAGCGCCAGTCCTCTGCGACGGGAGGTCGCCGCGAAGGGGAGGCTATGGGGCAAGTTTTAGGAGGGAGAATAGCACTGCATGACCCGTTCCCTAAAGAAGCCAGCCGCGAGAGGCTTACCTGGGGCGTTGTTGTTCGTATCCAAAGTGGCCATCCTGTTCAGTTGACAGCCGTCATTCATGTCGAGCGAAGAAGCGAGCCGAGATTCCGTGGGCGAGGAAGGAGCGAGGGGGAGCGAGAGGCTGCCCCTTTCTCCTCCTCGGACTTCTTCTGGTCCCCCCAAAGTTATGCTGCAAAAGCGGCTGGGAACCCAGTCACCTTGCACTGAACGCTGGTGGGAATGTGCCCTTTTAAAAATTGTCTTTAAAAGATTATATTTGCACTGAGAGCCGCAGTGCAAAAGTCGAAAGAGCGCGAGAGCTGCTGAGTCTGTGGGATACCTCGCAGCAGCCCGGGAGCTCCACTCTGCTGCTGCCTCTCCCTTTGCCTGCAAAATTTTACTCTGCCAGGGCTCACTCACTCTCTGGTCTCCCTCTCTGCCTGCGGCTGCGCAGATGCCAGCACGCGGCACTGGAGCATCCACCATGTGACTCCTAGGGAGAGCCTCGTGCCCCAGTGACACACTTTCTGCTGCTGCAGCAGCCGCCACAGCAGGCACATTGCGCTCGACTTCTTCGCTAGAGCGCAAGGGTTGCCGGGAGTTGTAGTTCGCATGGAGAGAGTCGTGCCTCCCCCCCGCTTTATGCGCGTGCGTGCGGGTATCTCTCTGTGTCTGCTGCATTCCTAAGGAGTGACTTCTCTCTCTCTCTCTCTCTCTCTCTCTCTCTCTCTCTCTCTCTCTCTCTCTCTCTCAGCTTTCCCTGATAGATCAAAAGAGGTTGAGGCTTAAAACACACACAGAGGAAGGGGGGGGAATATCCCTGAAAAACGTGATGCTTTAACGTGATGTTTGGAAAGAACCTAGTTCCTTTTGAGCCACAGCTGGCTGCCAATTTAGAGCTTGGCAAAGGATCGTGCAGGAACGGGAAAGAGGCGGGGGTGGGGAAAAGAAAGATTCAGTGCTTTTCAAAATAAGAGTGGATTCCCTCCAAGGGGAGCCAATAATGATCCCTCAATTCCTTCCAACCTTTCTCTCTCTCCCCCTCCTCGTCACCTTTGGAACTCATTTTTCTCTGCAATATAGAGAACCTATCTAAGTTTTCAAGCTGGTAGGTTTTTTAAAAAACAAACGAACCAGCCATTATATAGAATCTGTGATAAATGTTTGGTAATGCTCTTAGCTAGCGTTAATAAGGCGCTATAACCGCTATTTTGTACTGACAGTTCTGGTACATAAAGAATAGAAAATAAGGTGATGGGTTGTGAGTCCCAAGCCAAGTGATTATGAGTTGTACCAGATAAACTAGCCTTTTCTTAAAGGAAACAAAAAAGGCAGCTTTTCATGGGTATTAATATCAAGGCAGACAGGCTGCATCACATGTACTTGGGATTCGTCCAGCTGTTTCGTCTTCAGCAGTTCCCAGGCTACCTGTTGCTGCTTTTAATTCAATTAAGTTTGGCTGAGACTACAGCCGGAAGAATCTCATTTTGCATGCCACCATGATTAGACATTCCTAGATGTGGTGGCACCCACAGGGCTCAAGGGTATCTCCCCCTTCCCACCCATGAGGCAAGGTGAGGCAACTGCCTCAGGTGGCAGGATCCATAGGGGCAGCAGATTCAACCTCCAAGGAATCCATCGCCCGCTGCTGCTGCCGCCAAGACTCCTTGGAGGCCAGATCTTGAATCACAGAGTTGGATGGGACCCTGAGGATCATCTACAGGTAGTACAACTCCTTACAATGCAGGAATATGCACCTGTCCCTTACGGGGATCGAACCCACAACCTTGGTGTTATCAGCACCATGCTGATGGCAGCTCCCTACCGCCCACAATGCCACTTCTACAGCAGCCTCTTAGCAAATAGGAGGTGCTGATGGTCTCCTGCTCCCCTTGTTCATGATGTAGATCTTCACTCACGCCTCCTTCCCTGATGAAGGGCCCGCCAAGTTGGCACTGCTGTCACTGGGCATGAGCTTGTGCAGGAGAATTGTTTTCTCTCCCTTATGGACTGCTTGAAGCGACTGCCTTCCCTTGCCTGAAGGCAAGATCCACTCAGTATGAGGGGGTTGTTTGTTCACAGCAGGGATGGGGAACCTGTGGCCCTCCAGATGTTGTCAGACTCCACCTCTCATCAGCTCCAGCCAGCATAGCCAAAGGTGAGGGGAGTTGCACAACAACATCTGGACCTCGTACTTCAAAAATTGTTGTTAGCCTGCCCTGGGACCTCCTGGTGAAGAACGAGCAATAAATCTAAAATAATAATAATAATAATAATAATAATAATAATAGAAAATAGATGACATTGTCTGAATGTGCCAGGATTTAAGAGAAATTAGAAGCTTTCTTGATTTATATTCTTTATTGAAAAATGTAAAGTACCAAATTACAAGTGCACAGACTAAGATAAGACACATACACAAATAAGAAAAAACAATAAATAGTACCATGTAGAAAACAAGACAGAAAACAAGATACTGTGTACAGTGGTACCTTGGGTTAAGTACTTAATTCGTTGCGGAGGTCTGTTCTTAAGCTGAAACTGTTCTTAACCTGAAGCACCATTTTAGCTAATGGGGCCTCCTGCTGCCGCCGCGCCGCCAGAGCACGATTTCTGTTCTCATCCTGAAGCAAAGTTCTTAACCTGAGGTAATATTTCTGGGTTAGCAGAGTCTGTAACCTGAAGCGTGTGTAACCTGAGGTACCACTGTAGATTACAAAAAGGGGGGTGGAATTGTTATTGTAGTTAACCAGACCTTGACCTAACAGGGCATTTATAAAAATGAATTCCAAATATTGTTAAATTTGTCCACAACAAATTTAAAAAAGCTTGAAATTTAGATCAAGTGTGATATTTCAGCAAAGGCTTTTATATCTATTATTTCTATTCCCTGCCCTTAACCTTTTTTTCTTTTTTTTTGTCACTCTGAGGGAGACAGTACGGCTTTTTGTAACCTCTGGCCTGTGATCGTGAAGTTGCACATGTCTTTTCCAATAGTTGCATTATTTCCCATGTGCCGTCTGTAGGCTGGGCTGCTGCGACTCATATTTAGGTCACGTAGTGTGGACGGCTCTTCCTGGAGAGATGTTGCTCACCTCGGTGGGACAGTCTGGGGCAGTTGCCGAGTAAGAGAAGCCAGCGGCTGGAGAACAAGTCACTGATTGTGGTTAGCATGCTAAGCTCCGCCTGCTGTGGATACAGCTAAGGCTATGGCATGACATCTAAGGCTCAGGAAGCTGGCGGCTTTCTGGTTTCTTCATGCTCCGGATTCCTTTAGACACAAACCAGTTAAACGAGATATCCATATCCTAAGGGGTGTTTCAAATGCCACCTGCCAGGAAAAGTGTGACTTGCGGAAGGTAACACAATTCACATCCTCGTGAGATTTATATAGCGCAGTTCGAATATTGTTTGTATATATTTATTTAGTTATTACATTTGTAGATGTCACAGCATAAAAATACAGGCAATTCCCCATTTTTGCCATTCCTGTGCTCTTTTAGCGCTGTTTTTGCCTCTTTTTGTGCCACTTCTGGGTTCGCAGTGATGCGTGCCTGCATGCACGTAAATGGGGAGTTGCCTGTACAAGATACAGTGGTGCCTCGGGTTAAGTACTTAATTTGTTCCAGAGGTCCGTTCTTAACCTGAAACTGTTCTTAACCTGAAGCACCACTTTAGCTAATGGGGCCTCCCACTGCCACCACGCTGCCAGGGCATGATTTCTGTTCTCATCCTGAGGTAAAAGTTCTTCACCCAAGGTACGACTTCCAGGTTAGCGGAGTCTGTAACCTGAAGCGTATGTAACCTGAAGCGTATGTAACCCGAGGTACCACTGTATAAGGGTGGGCACACATTTGTTCTGGGTCCTCCTCTGTCCTCCTGCATGTGAGGGGAGCACCCTGTTGCAACAGCTTTAATAACAGCTTACTAGCTGCTTTGCTTCTCAATATTCTCTGGTTGGCCTATGTTATTTTCTCCTACGATAGGGAACCCACTTAATGACTCTATACGGGCTCTTGGATACCCCATAAGGGAAGAAGGGCAGATTTTGTTTACAACAGAACCTATAAATTAAGACCAGAGATCTCACACTTACTAAGCTCTGCACAATTATTAGCACGTTTATACATATCAAGACACAGGTGACACACTATTAGCATTGATTATGGTGTCATAACTATATAATTGCAAGAACATTCTGGAAACATGACAGGCACAAATTGACCAAGTGATTGTTACTTAAACTTCTCAGGCACTTAGGGAAACCCCTTCCCATGGAGAATTCCCACAGGTCTAGGCTGAAGCCCAGACTTGATGCTGCCTCAGCCAATGACCTATTTCCTAGGGGTGCCATATTTCAAAAAGTGATACAAAGAAGTTGTTGAGCTCCCCCCCCAAAAAAAAAACACTGCAAAAAAGCAGGGGGGTTTTAAGCTATTTTGAACTATTTTTTAGGAAACTCGGCAAGAACAACACTGTCAACATAGCTTGCCATATGTCTGGATTTCCCTCAACATTTTAAAATTTATTTTCATTTGCCGGTTTCCGCCTGGACACTGCTTACAACAACAGTATCTGTTTAGGGTGCTGGGAATTGTACCTCTGTGAGGAGGGAAGCCACAACTGTTGAAGTGATATAAATACACTTTAAGGGGATAGTTGTGGATATGTTTTGTGACCTGAAACATCCTTCTCTCTGGGCATGAGTTGAGGCCTACTCAGGAGTATGTGGGTGAGGTTGAACAGGAAATTGTTATTTGCTTAGTTTGGAGAGCTGACAGAAGAATCTGGAAGGAGAGACTGACAGGGTTTTTTTTGTTTCAGAATTGGATTGGGGCGTAGGCAAAAGTCTCTCCCCCCTTGTTAAACTATTTGCTGTGGTCATGGAGGATTGTTAAAGGCATTGTGGCATGTGTGCGTGTGCATTTTCCCCCCTCCTTGGTGATGTGTAGTATTTCTACCAGTATGCTACCTGCCTTAAATTGCTGGGCTGGGATGTTGCAGAAGCTCAGTAATGTAAATACATATGCTGGCATGAATATTTTTGGTGGGGGGAGCCATCCTGAGTGAATCAAACAGTGTTATACCAGCACAAATCCAAATACTCAGGATTAAAGAGTTTGCCAACTGTAGCTTCAGTGGAACATAGAGGCAAAAGGTTCCTTTTTATGTGGGACTCCATACCCTCCAACATTTATCCGATGAAAATAGGACGTCCCATTCCATAATGATAATTTTACTGTTTATACCTCACATATATTACTAGGTTGCCCCAGCTGCCCTGGGCAGCTTCCAACATACAGTGGTACCTCGGGTTAAGTACTTAATTTGTTCCAGAGGTCCGTTCTTAACCTGAAACTGTTCTTAACCTGAAGCACCACTTTAGCTAATGGGGCCTCCCGCTGCCGCCACGCGATTTCTGTTCTCATCCTGAGGTAAAGTTCTTAACCCGAGGTAATATTTCTGGGTTAGCTGAGTCTGTAACCTGAAGCATATGTAACCTGAAGCGTATGTAATCCGAGGTACCACTGTATATAAAAACATAATAAAACATTAAACATTTAAAAACTTCCCTATACAGGATTGCCCTCAGATGGCTCGGGGGTCGGATAGCTCCATACCCTCCAACATTTCTCCAGTGAAAATAGAGACATCCTAAGGAAAAGTGGGACATTCTGGGATCAAATCAGAAACCGGGACGGTTTCTCTAAATCAGGGACGCCCCTGGAAAATAGAGAGCTGCAATTCTATTGTCAAAAGTATTAATAAAGCTATAGGACCACCAGCAGCATGGTTGTTCTGGTTCTGGAAACTGGGCCAGTGGAAATAACGCATAATCCAATCACCTTTTTTAAAAAAAAACGGAGTATACAAAATCATCCATGTTAAACAACTACTTTGGGCTGATCCAGATGTTCAAAATAGTCTGCTGGCAGAGGCTATTATTCTATGGCTATGCCAATATATCTTCAGTGAGTGACTTTGCTGCCTGAAAGATATACACATTCATGTTTGTCATGTAATGGCTCGTATGTGTGAATGGACCATAACAGATAACTTTCATACCAAAAATGAGAATGCAATGAATCCAGACAGAATTGGATCTTAGTGCCAAGTACAGATAAGTTATGTTGGATATAATCCAATGCTTTCTTTCTCAGTGGAGTCACACACTGAAATTAAGGCTTCTTCTAGGTGTATTTATAAATAAATGCAGGTAGGTGTGCTTCATGCAGATGATTCCCATAACTGCAGCAGCTGAAAAATACCGTATGTTTCCACAATTGTGCAAGTAGTCAGTGGGAGGCTGTGCCTGCATACACAGCCCGGGACATATGTTAAGGTTCTTCCTGTAAATTGACCTTGGTTTCACGTAGACAGCTGAACCAGCTCAGATTCTGCATGTCTGAACTGGCTCTGACTAGCTATACAAGCTGCAAGATTTCAGACCTCCAGATACAGACTAAGGCCAGAAGGAGAAATATCGTATAGTTTGACATATTGCTTCACTTTTAAATGCGTTGACTCAATATAGTAAGTTGCTTCAACTATTCTTTATCTTTCTTTCTGTGTTCCATAAGATCACAGCTGGTCTGTTTCTAAAGCCCCCAAACTGTTGAGGAATCCTGTAAACATTATCAAGCTTACGGATCTTGAAGGACAGCTCTGGCAGCAAAAAATGTGGTATAGGAATTGCCAAATAAACAAGCAATGCTGAACAAATAAACAATTAAGGTGTGGGTGCTGATTTGCCAGTTCACACCAGACCGGAATGGTTGTAAACCGGCATTTGCTGAATCATTGAAAACCCTTAGTCATGTGAACACAATCTTGCTGAGTCAGAGCAATTTGCCACATAGAGCACAGGAAACAAGGGCAATAATGGGTTGAGCCATTAGCTTCCAGCTGGTTATACTCTGGGGACACCCTTTTGGCAAAATGAGGGATGTGCTTGCCGTGATTAAAATAGCTGCTGATGCTGTGTGCATTCTGTACATTTTCTAATGCTATTAAAAAACCCAAGCAAAACTATTGGCTATCAATACATATTGTTGTAGTGAGTTCCATAGTCAGTGATGTTGTGAAAGTGTCTTAAAATCCCATTGGTTTCCTTTTTAATTATGAAAAGGAAAATATAGTTGCCTCCCACTGATTCCCCCCCCCCCCAAAGTTTATTTCCACATGCCTCTGTAAATGCAATCCCATCTCTAGATGTGGGTAGGAGAGAGGTTTGTGAAGTAGTTACAGCAGAAAAGTGGTAGACAAGGAAAATGTAAAGAATCCCTTGCCCACCAGCTTCAAAAAGTGCTTTCCCCCAAGATGGTTTCTGTGACTGTTTGCATGAAGTGCGTAGCTTGGACTATATTACAGCACTAAAAGTGTGTGCAACCCTTTGGTTTACATGAGCAGTGGGATTAGAAAAGTGGATTAGATTAATTAGATTGAACGCAGTGATGAATAAGGGAGAGATCTTCTGCAGCTGGCTAGAATTTAGTGCATCCATTTAATGGAAGAATGCACTCGGATCTGAGAGTTTTGTGTCCCAGTCCAGCAAACACAGTGTGGGTAGACTGCTGTACTTGGATGTGCAGAAGAGGGATAGCTGTCTTTAGAGGGATAACTCAGTCGATAGAGCACAAGACTCAATCTCAGGGTTCGAGCCCCACATTGGGCAGAAGATTCCTGCATTGCAGGGGTTGGACTAGATGACCCTTGTGACCTCTACCAACTCTACACTTCTATGAATCTATAAGCCCTCCAGCAATGGACCACCTGAATTGGTTGACCAGTAAAAAACAACAACCTTCAAAAGCTATGGTGAGGCAAACCTTTATTAGGCCCAACCAAAATGTCACAATATAGAAAGCAAACTTTTGAATTCTCCCAAACCCCTTTATGAGGCTGGATGTTACAAATGGCATTGTGGGGGAGGGGGGAGCCAAGAAGTTCCCAGACACGGAAAAATGCACCTATCTGTGGCATATCTGTGGCTTCAGTGGCACATGGCCTGGGCTCAAGCACATGACAAGTCTAGCAAGTGAAGCCAATCCTAGTGCACTGGGATGGCCTTAGTGGGGGGAGGAAACTGCCTAATCTGGAACAACCTGCTTTCCTGCTGCTGTCACCTTGAGCCCTTCATGTAGCACCTAGTTAACACAGAGGATTTAAATAGGCTCTGAAGCATTGTCAGGAGGGCAGAACTCCGTATCTAATTTTGCGTTGCATCTAGGTTCCTGAAGAAACTAGTGTGTGTAGGGGGACTCCCCACTTTACTCTGCTTTTGTAGGAATGGATGGAATGCTGTGAATCCAGTTGGTGGAATGATGTGTTGCATCTCTTAGTCCAGAATTCATACACAGGAATGTGCAATGCTTTCTTAGAGTTTGAGGCTCCAAAGCGATACTAAGATCAAAGGTTCATGGATCCCTGCCCCTCAAGTACATAAATGTTTTCCAGGACTATTTTGAGCTATGAATCGGGCAGACCAGAGTGATTCAACCTTGGCCATAAAGGACTTTGTACAAACACTTGCATGACTTCCTATATAGCAACAAAATATTTTAACACCTCTTTGATTGCAAATGAAACAAAACAGCAACTAGCGGATCGGTTACAGGCTGCTGCAGCAACTTAGGAACCCAAAAATTGGGAGTCGTCATCGGGAACACTTGACACGAGCACCAGCAGTCATATTCCAAGCACAACTCAATAGCGTCGGGTGTGGCCTGGTGATAACTTGTGTTCACATGCCAGCTCGGCAACGAAGCTAAGCAGGTAACCTTGGGTCAGTCACTCTCAGTCTAATAACCCACCTGCAAGGCTATGCAGATACAATGGGGAAAATGAATCAGACACTTATAGGAAGGGTACGACATAAATGAAACAAACGATGGGTTGCCATCTGAACCGCCCCTTGCCACGAGGCAAGAGGTGCTGTAAAGTAACAGATGTAGCAGAAGCCGTAGAAATGTCAACAGACCAATTTGGAGTCTGTGGATGGGTTTCGCTTCCCACTCCCTCTCTCCATTGGCTCTTTGGCAAAATGTACAGTGGTGCCTCGCAAGACGAAATTAATTCGTTCTGCGAGTTTTTTGTTCTTGCGAATTTTTCGTCTTGCGAAGCACGGTTTCCCATAGGAATGCATTGAAAATCCAAAAGGAGACAAACTTGCAATACGTTTTCGTCTTGCGAAGCAAGCCCATGGGGAAATTCGTCTTGCGAAGCAACTCAAAAAACGAAAAACTCTTTCATCTTGCGAGTTTTTCATCTTGCGAGGCATTCGTCTTGCGAGGTACCACTGTACTGCTGACCAAGGCCTCCTGGCAATGGACAGAGGGGTTCTCAGTAGCACATCTACAGAAAACTTCCCAGTGGAGGCTGACCAAAGTTTGACCCTCAGCACCCTCAGACCTTCCTGTTTGGCCTAGTTTTGGGTGCCAGGTGTTGGAACTGGTCCAGGATAATTTGAGTTTTCAGCTTTTTCCTCTCCTGGTTTTACTGATGTACTGTAAATTTAAAAGTAGCATTAGTCGAAATTATTTGGGTGAAGCAGTCAGAAATATAAGCGAGCAAAAACAAAACAAAACAAAACCTCCACAGCAAACTTTTCAACAAATTTGGAGTCATTATTATTATTATTATTATTTAATCTTTATTTTGTAGTCACTCTGTGAGGTTTTTGCATTTCACAGAATAGATTGTTGCAGTTCAGAAGTGCACCTTGGTGAAGGCCACACAGTGAGTCATTGACTTGGGACCAGGTCACTTAGGGCCATGTCTCACCCGCTTAACTAAGACAAATGGGTCTGGGAGGAGAGAAGGGCGAAGCCAGCAAGTTTCTATGGATGCATGGACTAACCACAGGGTTGCAGTAACAGGAGGAAGTATCTAATTTCACCGCTGGTTAAGCAAGTCCTGGGACAATAAGGTTCCTCAGCAGTGGAAGGGGTAGTGGGGTAGGATTTAAAGCAGACTTTTGGAAATAATATACAGAGAAAATACTGTCTTGGAAAATAACGTTGTTTGTCGTTGGCGGGGTTCCTTCGTTCAGGGAAATGCTTAAAATGTGTAGATTATTATTTTTTTACTTCAAGGGAAAAGGTGCAAGGTTAATTGAGCACTGCAAATTGACAAGTTATTTTCTACCTTATTTTCCTCTTTCTGATGATATCCTGGCAGAGTACATCTTTTGGAAGGGTAGAAAAGTATGGCCCATATCCTTAATCCAGTGATACTTTGTTTTCTTTACCAAATAAAAATCAGTGTACTCTTCACGTTCATGGCTTTATAGTGGTGTCCATATTTCACCCTGAGTAGCTATTATCATGGAAAGTAGCTTGCAAGAATAAATTCCCTGTCTGAAGTAAGAATTCTTTCTGTGAGTGAAGGATGTTGGACACCACTTGCAAGACCATGTGAGGCCCAAACTGCATATTCCTTGGACTTGCGAGCACATAAGTAGGTGTTATACCTTGGCATATTCAATTGAAAAATAACCAAAATACTACTAAAATGTTTTTCTTTAGAACTACAGAATAGCAGGCATTGTGGAGGAAAGGCTACTAACAACTTTTTCTACTTTTTACCACCACATTTATTTACTGTAATGCTAGAATTTTATTTTATGCAGTGGATCTAAGTATGGCTTGCACTTGCACTCAGTAAAACATAAAACAAATTTGAACATAGTTAAATTCAAAACACAGTGACTCAGTCGCAAGTCAACAGCAAACACTTGTTTTATTTTTTTCTGCAATATAGTGCCCCCAAAGGAGCTAATGTTTCTAACAAGATAGTATCTGAACTGCAGCACTAGCTTTTACAGCGTGATGCCCCATCCACAAATGTAACATGCTGACGAAGTATATACCATTACCTCAATTTAAAGAATGCAACATCCTGCAGCAATGTTTTTTTAATCCCCTAATCTAAAACCAAAACCCAGTTACTCTACATTACGAAGTTAAATCTGAACCTTTGCTTTCCACAATGCTTCCTAGCAGAGCACAGAAAAATCTTGCATTTAAATCATACGTATACCTCTTGCAGAAATTTCTGCAATGCAGTGACTGTTAGAGGAAGAAATAGTAATCGACGTGTTTCTGTGACATACTACCCCAAACCTGAGCAAAGCTTTTTAAATTTTTTCCCCATGATCAAGTACTGCTCCGAAATTAAATTAAAGCAATAACGTGCTTCTCGCAGTGCAGTGCCAAAATCCTTACCAACTCCCCCAGCCCTCTGCAATGCAGCAGTCAAAATCCGGAGCAAAATCCCCCAACTGCAGTGTCCGCGTCTACTGCGAGCAACTACTGCGTCTCACACGGTCCGCTCCTAAGGCTGCCCCTTCAAATAATTTAACCTTCCACCGGGTATTTTGGGAGGCTGATGTATACGAGGTTTTTCTGGACACGGGTTGTCTCGGCTCCCCCAACGCTTTCTCTCTCCCTCCCCCCCCCCCCGCGATTTAGTGGGCCAGGCTACTCGTGTGAAAGGAGCCTCTTGCGCGTGCCAATACAGCACAAAAAAAAGTTGCGGGTGGTTTGGGAAGCCTCGCCGGGGAATCGAGGGACGGTCGCTGCCAAAGTGAGCTTCTTTTGCCCGGGGGAAGCCCCGATCCCCACGATCACCGCCGCCGCATACGTGGCGGGGGGAACCGGGGAACTTGGGCGCCGCCGGTTCCTCCCCGAGTCAGTTCTGCTTCCCGATTGCAGAGCGCGGAGGGAGGCGGCGGGGAAGGAGAGAGGAAAGGAGGGAGACACGGCGCTCCTCCCTCGCCCGCCCTCCTTCCCCGGGGCTGGGCTCCAGGCAGGCGGCGCCTGCAGCTCACAGCTGCCCCGCGTGAGACCCGGCCAAGCCCGGTGCTCCAGCCGCAGCAGGAGCGGGCCGAGCGAAGGGCGAGGAGCAGGCCCAGTCGCGTGCGAAGAAGCCGCGCTGCTTTCCCGCCTGCGGCCGCTGCTTGCATAAACAAGGCGGGCGGGATGCCAGAGGAGCTCCGCCGCGCTCGCCTGGGAAGGAGGGAGGGAAGGCACTGAAGGCCGGGGCAGCACCGAGAGAGAGAGACCAGAGGGTGGCCTGACCTGGACTCGAGGGCAACAGGCAGGCGGGGACGCTGCCTGGGTGACCTTGGCCACAAGTCACAGCCTCTGCGCCTGACTTGCTCGCCAGGGTTGCAGGGGAGGGTAGAAGGGAGGCGAAGGGGAAGCTTGCGCGCTCCTCCGCCTGGAGTTTTTTTGGGGGGAAATGTGGGCTATATCAGTGGAACGAAAGCAAAGCAAACAAACGCATCCCCGAAGTAAACCCGCCTCTGTCGCCTGCTTCCAGAGGGCTAGCTGTTGTTTTGTGGTTGACTTGGGCTGTGTGTATGCACCATAGGGGCATTCCAACTCCTAGGGGCCATGGCCCCTTCGCTCCCCCTCAGAACAAAATATTTGAGGGCGTCCAGCCGTGGGCATAGCCGGGGGGGGGGCGCGGGAGGGCAGTGCCGGATTTACCTATAAGCTAAACAAGCTGTAGCTTAGGGCTCCACACTCTTGGGGGCCCCAAAAAAATTTAAAGGAAAAAACACAATGGATGTACATTTCCAAAATATAAGATAAAAAACAAATAAAATAAAACCTACATGCAGCAACAGTGTTTTATGTTGTGTAGGCTCCTATTTGTTAGGTGTGAATGGCTTTAGATACCTGTTAGGTCCATAAATTACTATATAGCATATATTCAACACAAAAAACAGTGACAGTTGGTTGTTGACAAAGGACAGCTGGGCATCTAAAGGGCCCCATCAGTAGCTTAGGGCCTCATCAAACCTAAATCTGGCTGGGGGGGGGGACAGCTGCCCCCACCTAAATCAAGTAAATAATAAAAATGCTTAACTCACTGACCAATTGTGTTGCAGTTCTGCCCCTCCCCCATATAAAGCCTGCTCCCATAAAATAAAACATACGCCCCCAATTAACAGGCATTGCAGTTCAAATGGTGTGTATGCCCCATGCCCTGTGATCAATTAAGCGGGCTTGTTGGTTGCCCCCCCCCCAATCTTTATTCAATGCACACCTGGTCTGCACTATACCTCAAAGGGACATTCAGAGCACTTTTTTTTTTTTACCTCAAAAGAATTCTAGTTTCCCCCTCACAGAGCTGCAATTCCCAGTTACTCTTAACAAAACTATTGACACCCAGAATTCTTGGGGGAAAGCATGTGCTTCGGAGGTACAGTGTGTACGCAAGTCACTCATGTTGCTAGCAGTGGCGTTTCTCTGTGTGTGGTTCTCACGCTTGAATATTGGGCGCCCCATACCCTGATATGCAAGTTCCCTATACTGTATGCAAAGATTTTCCTTTGTTTTGAACGGAGGAGCAATCATGAGCCATGGCCTACAGTAAGTGTTAGAACTGCTTTGTAGGGCTACCCCTGCAAAGGGAAGGGAGCTAGGGGCCCAACTAGATTGTTTGTCAAGTGGCTTGGCCTTGTTGGATTGTGTGTGTGTGTTTATTTAAAAAAAAAACCCAAAAAGTTGATTGGGGGATGTTATTAACTCTGACCCACAGAAGGGACTGATCAGAAATGGGACCTGCTATTTACAATGCAAGGAAAGGTGAGTAAATTAGAATAGGAATAGAAGCCCTTTAAGACATTTTGGAATGATAAAATAGAACCTGTTTCCTTTGAATCAGAAGATTATCATCAGATTCTTCAATGTAATTTTAATCATTTGCAAACATGGGGTGCCTTGCTTTTGTGTGTGTTTATTGTAAGGTTTTTCTTCAGTGTTTTACGGTTTTTTGCATGTTGGTTTTGTAAAAAAATGTTCAGATGGTTCTGAAGAACCTGTGTAGAATGTTAATATATTTTCATAGTTTTAAATTCAGTTTCAGTTTAATGATTTATTTCGGAAGCCAAGCAGAAGTTTAAATTGTATGATCAAATCTAAGGTAACATTCACACCACACATTTAAAGCATTATACTGCTTTAAATGGTCATGGCTTCCTCCATGGGTGTAACGGAAGGGGGGGCAGGGGGCCAGCTGCCCCCCAGATCAAGTAAAACAATAGAAATAACTAACTGACCAATCACGTGGGTTCTGCCCCCCTAACAAAAGTCCTCACAATCTCTGAAAGAATGGTTAGTACAGCCATTAAAAGAAGTTTGTAATGAAATATTGGAAGGGAAAAGGGCACCAGAGTCGTGGAAGGAAGCATATATCACACTTATACCGAAAACAGAGTCTGAGAAGACACAGCTTAAGAACTACCGCCCCATATCTTTGCTTAATGTGGACTATAAAATTTTTGCAGACATTTTGGCTAAAAGATTAAAAAAGGTACTAGTAGAAGAAATTCATAAAGATCAAGCGGGCTTTCTCCCGGGCAGACACTTGTCTGACAATACGAGGAACATAATTAATATTCTAGAAAAATTACAAGTGAATATTAACACTAAAGCAGTTTTGATATTTGTGGACGCAGAGAAAGCCTTTGACAATATTTCCTGGAGTTTTATGAAGAAGAATTTACAGGGGATGGGGGTTGGTCAAGGTTTTGGAAATGATATAGGTGCAATTTACTCAGAAAAAAGGCTAAATTAATTGTGAATAATGTAGTGACAGAAGAATTTAAGACAGAGAAAGGAACACGACAAGGTTGCCCAATCTCCCCATTGCTTTTTATATCCGTCTTGGAGGTGCTCTTAAACATGATTAGAAGGGACCAAATGGTTAAAGGTATACAAGTCGGAGCTAAACAGTACAAATTGAAAGCATTTGCCGATGATTTGGTATTGACATTACAGGAGCCAGAATCTAGTACCAAAAGAGTACTGGAACTGATTCAAGAATTTGGTCAGGTAGCGGGTTTTAAGTTGAATAAGATGAAAACTAGGGTTCTAGAGAAAAATCTAACAGTGACTGAAAGAGAGAGGTTTCAGAAGGAGACAGGATTAACACTGGTTAAGAAAGTGAAATACCTAGGGGTCAATATGACCGCCAAAAATGTGAATTTATTTAAGGATAACTATGAAAAATGCTGGACGGAAGTGAAAAAGGATTTAGAAATATGGTCAAATCTGAAGTTATCATTGCTAGGCCGAATTGCTGTGATAAAAATGAATGTATTGCCAAGGATGCTGTTTTTGTTCCAAACATTGCAAATTTTGGATAAAATGGATTGCTTCAAGAAGTGGCAGAGAGATATTTCTAGATTTCTCTGGCAGGGCAAGAAGCCTCGAATAAAATTTAAGATATTAACCGATGCTAAAGAAAGAGGTGGATTTGCCCTGCCAGACTTTAAACTTTATTATGAATCAGCCGCGTTTTGCTGGCTGAGAGAATGGCTGCTTCTTGAAAATACTGACGTGCTGGACCTAGAAGGTTTTAACAATGTATTTGGGTGGCATGCATATTTATGGTATGATAAGGTTAAAGCACATAAAGCATTTAAAAACTATATTGTCAGAAAAGCACTGTTTAATGTCTGGATAAGATATAAGGACTTGCTTGAAAATAAAACCCCAAGGTGGATGTCACCAATGGAAGCGAAGGCTCAGAAAAAGCTCAATATGGAGGCCAATTGGCCGAAATATTGGGAAATTTTGGAACAAGAGGGAGACAGACTAAAATTGCAGAGTTTTGAAAAACTGAAAAATAGAGTGCGAGACTGGCTCCATTATTATCAAATAATGGAGGCGTACAATTTGGATTAAAAAATTGGCTTCCAGGTGGAAAAATCAAAATTGGAAACAGAACTGTTAGATCCCAAAATTAAGAACTTGTCAAGAATGTATAACTTGCTGTTGAAATGGAATACTCAGGATGAAACGGTGAAATCAACTATGATTAAATGGGCACAAGATGTAGGACATAATATTATGATGGCTGACTGGGAACAGTTATGGACCACAGGTATGAAGTTTACGGCATGTAATGCCCTAAGAGAGAATATAATGAAAATGATCTACAGGTGGTACATGACACCAGTCAAGCTTGCAAAAATATATCACTTGCCCGATAATAAATGTTGGAAATGTAAAGAGACTGAAGGTACATTTTTCACCTTTGGTGGACGTGCCCAAGGATTAAGACATTCTGGGAGATGATTTATAATGAAATGAAAAAGGTATTTAAATATACCTTCCTGAAGAAACCAGAGGCCTTTCTCCTGGGCATGGTCGGCCAATTGGTGCCAAAAAAGGATAGAACTTTCTTTATGTATGCCACAACAGCAGCAAGAATACTCATTGCGAAGTATTGGAAGACACAAGATCTACCCACCCGGGAAGAATGGCAGATGAAGGTGATGGACTACATGGAACTGGCAGAAATGACTGGCAGAATCCGAGACCAGGGAGAAGAGTTGGTGGAAGAAGATTGGAAGAAATTTAAAGTTTACTTACAGAAACATTGTAAAATTAAGGAATGTTAGAAGGATGTTGGAATGTAATGTGGTTTTAGCAGAGATGCTGTAAAGGATTAAGAAAAAACAGATTGTTAAATGGTGAAAGGAGGGAAAGCAAAGTTACATTATATTAAGATAAGATAGAGGACATAAACTGGAAAAGATGGAAAGGACTTGCTGAAATAGCTAATTGAACTAGAATACAAAAAAGGGAGGTGTGAGGAGGTCAAGGAAACAAGCAAATGAAAGATAAGTTATGGGAAGATTCATTGTGTTTTGTTTTGTTTTTTTCTTTTTTCTTTTTTATTGTGATGTGATGTTCTGTTTCTGCTTAGTATGCTGTTTTCTATTTTCTCTTTTTGTAACTTTTCAAATCTTAAGAAATATTTTTTTTAAAAAAAAAAAAAGTCCTCACAAAAGTCCTGCCCCACCCACAAAAATCCTGGCTATGTCCATAGCTTCCCCAAATAATTCTGGGAGCTGTAGTTTGTTAAGGGTGTTAGGTGTTCCCGATTAACTACACAGAGCTACAATTAACAGTGATTAGTGTTAACAGTCAATCCCTATTCATAGGGAACTCTAGGAGTTGTAGCACCACCCTAAACAAACTTCCAGTTCCCAGGAATCCTTGGAGGAAGCCATGACTTATTTAAAGTGGTATTGTGTTCCAAATGTATGGTGTGAATGTGGCCATCAATTATGAATTTAAAAAGTCAGCCACTAAAGTCCAAGCCATGTGCCAAACATCAATTTCTGGTTTGGCCATAGGATTAAATTAGGTAATGATCCGGCCAAAGTGAACCACTCTGAAATCTCACCGAGTTAAGTGGGACAGACTGACGTTGTTGCGTCATTTAGCCGCTGAGTTTTGCACAGTCACTTTCCCACTGGTTTGCAACACACATCTACTTCCCGTGCCATTGTTTGCACATTGAGCCAGGAATAACCTGGGGGAGGAGAGATTCTGCAAGAGATCAGATCTATGGAACTTTCTCTAGGGGTGATTCTCCCACGGTGCAATATGGAGCAAAGGCGAAATGATCTCTTTTTATGGCCTTTCAGAGCAGGAGATACACTTCTGTGCTAAAGCTGGAATTGGGAAACCGGGGCCTTCCAGATATTTCCGGACATCCGTTCTAGCCAGTGTGGGGAATGGCTGCAGTTCAGTAGTAAAGAATGCAGACGATTCCAAGTTCAATCAATGGGATCTGCAGGTAGGGCTTGGGGAGACCCTTGCATGGAAACCCTGGAGAGTCACCCCCAGTCACTGTAGAGTAGAAAAACATTTTATCAATTCATTTAATTTCTATACCGCCCTTCATCTGAGGATCATAGGGCAGTTTACAATACAAAACCACAAAAAGACGTAACATAGCAACCAAACAAACAAGAACACACAGTTTAAAAGGCCATAGATTGTTCAATTAGCCAAAGGCCTGAGAAACAGGAACGTTTTTGCCTGATGCCTAAAGATATGTATTGATGGTGCCAGGGGATGTTCTTCCTGGGAAGAGCATTCCACAAGTGGGGAGCCACCACTGAAAAGGCCCATTCTCATGTTGCCACCCTCTGGGCCTCTTACGGAGAAGGCACGCAAAGAAGGGCCTCATATTTTTTTTAAAATAACATTTTATTAATTTTCCAAAAAAAACCCCCACAAAAACAGTAACAATCTCAAATTAAATCAAAATAAATTGACTTCCCGCTAGTCCCTTCCTTGGTTCCATTGTTTATCAACGTACTGCATGTCCATTGTAAACCGTTGTATTACTTATCCATTCAAAATTAAATTACAAGTAGTATTAAAACCCTGCCAATGTATTAACTTGAGTACATTGCTTTTGAATATATGCAATAAGCTCCTTCCAATCTTCCTTAAATTTGCAATTGTCTCTTCCTCTTAGTTTCATTGTCAATTTTGCAAAATTTTCAGCTTATTCTATTAATTTAACTTGCCAATCTTCTTTAGCTGGGACACCTTCTTCTTTCCAATGTTGTGCTAATAATATTTGTGCGGCTGTAGTTGCATACATACGTAAATAAGTTCTTTGGTGATCTTAGTAAATCCACTCCGGTAATACCTAGTAGGAAATCTTCTGGTTTTTAAACAAAAGTTATTTTAAATATCTTCTTCATTTCATTACAAATCATTTCCCAATATTTCTTTACAATTTTACAATCCCACCACATATGGAAAAATGTCCCAAGAGGGACCTCAGATAATGATTGCAACTATAGTTGTTAAAAGAGGGATTGATTGTTAAACCACTCTGGGAATTGTACCTTGCTGAGGGGAATAGAGGTACTCTAGCAACTCTCAGCAGCTTTAACAAACCACAGCTCCCAGAATCCTTTGGATAAGACATGACCGTTTAAAGCGGCGTCACAATGCATTAAATTTTATGGTGTGACTGTGGCCTCTGTATAAGGCAATTTCCTATATTCCATAGCCAATAGTCATGGATGATGGGAGTCCTTACAATGCCAGGAAGCTTCCCAACCCTGTTCTAAAAGGAGAGGGATATTTGTGTGTGCCAACGTTTAAGTTTCAGGCAATCTGCTGAAATTAATTTGAAAGACTTCATTTGCTGAGTTCTGTGAACTTTGTAAACTGCTTTGTGTTTATTTTATTGGGGGGGGGGAGTTAAACTAGACTGGGGGGGGGTCAGGTGCTCATTTTATAATAAAAAATGGAAGTGCCGGTACTCTTACATTGTGGTGGGTGCCAGCACAAAATGGCTGTCATGGGCAGCAAAAAAAAGAGAGAGGTGTCATTACTCCATACTGGTGAGTTGGCTGAATGCAGCTGAGAGGAGGTGTGGTGGTGGTGGTGCATTAAAGAGCGCACTGAAATTGGGAGCTGGGGAGAAAAGCCTCGAGGCTCCCATAGGGTACTGGAGCAGTTTTGGAGACTGGAGTTCAGGAATATTTGTTCCTCTTAAATGGGAGTTTGGGCGAAAGCGGGGTTTCTGTGAGGTTCTTCAGAGCCAAGGTAGTGGTGGGTGGTTGTGTATGCTTGTACACAGGTTTTCCGGCGCTTGGTTGGAAGGTAGAACTGTATGGGGTGTGGTGTGGTATTATTGTAGGTGTTTGTGAAACTGAGGTAGCCTGGAATGTAGGGCAGTCTCTTTAAATAAAACAACAAGGTTATATTCCAACAGCACATACACACACACACACACACACACATTTTAAGCCTATGCACAGCACTGCAGTTTTCCCTGCAGAGAGATTTATTACCCTTCTTTCCAGAGAAAGCCAAGGGATTTGCTCCCCCCACCGTCCACCCCCATGCTATTTTTTGGTGCAGTCAGATTGGGTTTGCAAATGCAGTCACACATAGGCACAGAACAGCTGCAGAATACAAAACACCAATCAAGGTGTCTAGGCATTCGCTCACCCTCTTTGCCTGGATATATTTTTTTGGCACAGAGGCACTGCAGAAGTTTTTGAGAGAGGCGAGCTTTGTAGGTCGGCGTGAGTTTTGCTAGCTGCTCCTCCTAACCTAGAATTCACCTAACTTGGGCAGCATTCCACATTTCAGCTTTTTTACAGTGAAGTCCTTTGATGTTGTTTGGGGTTTTGTTTTTTGTTTTTTTTTTAAAAAATACGTAATCCCCAAGGAAGTTTATACAAAAACCAAGGTCATCTCATATGCCAGCAGCTGCGTTAGGGCAATTTGTCTTTTTGACCCTGACCGATTCGTGCCGCAGCCTGCTGCTCTCACTTGGGTAATTAAGATAAACTTGCACGTGTAGCAAAATGTTTGGACACAGTTATCAGTGTGCACTGCGGCTCGTGGTTTCCTTGCCCACAGGCATGCTGGCTTGAAGGAACTTGCTTGGCAGTTGATTAATAACCTATGAGCAATTGGCTCTGGAACTGGGTTGAGTAGATGATTCACCAGTATATTTTAGTTCAGCCTTCCCCAACCCAGTGCCCTGCACTTGTTTTGGACTAAAACTCCTGTTGGCCATAGGCAGCGTGGCCAATATTTGTAGTCCAAAACATCAGGAAGGCACCAGGTTTGGGAAGGCTATGTTTAGTTCAACATCTCTAGGATGCCAGCTTCTCAACCAGCTGCCATAGCTGTGTCTTCAACAGCGGCTTGGTACGCAGATGTTAGCTGGCAGTGGTGTTTATCTCCATGCCATAATGAGTTTGCCATGATTTTTGCTGCACACCAAACTGTTGCTAAGTGCACAAGAGCAGCTCAGGCATTTTCCCTTGGTCAGTTGGCAACTCTCTATTCATTTATTTTATAAATAACTATCAGTACAAGAGGGCAGGTCCCTGCCCCAAGGCGCTTACATTCTAAAATTTCAGCACGCAAGGGAAACAGAAGAGGCAGGAGTAAAGAGGAAAGCAATATGCAGTTGTTTTGGTTGCACGTGCTTCAATAGTCTTCAATACAATCTTGAGTTAACAGCAAGGGATGAAAACTAGCCAAATGTTTCCTGAAAAAGCTGGGCTTAAATGAGAGATTTAAAGGAAGGAACAGAGGTGATAACATGCAGGGTTCCTGGAAGGCAGTTCCAAACATACCAGGCACCATGAGAACACGATGTTAAACTACTGTAGATGGGTCTCTGAACTCATCCAGGAGGACCCATTGTACATCCTTATGGTCAAACTCCAATGGTAACCATCACCTTATTTCTGCCTCCTCACGTCTCATGCTAGAAGGGGCTATCTCACGCTAAGGCCACCCCAAGACATCTTGGGGCCAGAGGGGCAAAATCCAACAACATTACGCTGTTGTGCAATTCCCATTATTTCAGTTGGATTCCCTGCCGGATTGTGCTTTATGGGTCTCGACTGTCACTCACATCCATCTCCCTTAATGGTACCAAAAGCCCGCTCGCTGCCTGAGGCTGCTGTCACATAATATGACCAGCATTGTCCACAGTTCAACAAAAACCAGAATCACCATGCCATGACTTAATTTAATTGCCATTGGGGTTTGCATAGCACCTGAACACACCCACACAGCCAAAACTATGACCTGGTATCATAGTGATGCCAAATGATTGACAGGCAAGGTAGCTCCATCCACCTGTTACACTGGCTCCCACAGGGTGCGGTGGGAAAGACAGGGATGCAGCCTAATGGCTGGATCAAGTTCCTAGATTTAACACTAAATGGCAAACGAATGGCTGGACTTCAGTGTAATCACCCAAGAGCAAATGGCCAGTCTGTGGTTGTAAGAGAGACACCTGCCCAGCAACGCTTAACATTAGGAGAAGAGTTTTACAAGCTCCATTTTAAAAAACAAACAACCCAAAATACACCTTGGGATGGTGTCCCGGTTCGCCCGGAAAGTGAAATGCGACTGTATTACGAAAGGCAGGAGACTTAGGAAAGGAAGTGTACCAGCCAGATGAAGGGAAACAATGGTTATGGGAGCTGTTTCAAGACCAGGTTGGGAGCACAGGAAAAGGTGATGATGCAGGGGCCAAGGAAAGAGACAGTGGCCACAGAATCCTTAGTAAAGGTGGTAGATGAAGCAATAAGCAGAAGCCAAGGAGTCAAGTTGTTTTGATTCCTTTTAGTTTAGCTTTCCCTTTAAGGAGGCAGATCTCGCCATTGTTTTCGTGTTGTTTTTATTTTCAGAGTCTGCTTTATTGGATCAGGGCAAAGTCAAACAGGGTCCACCCTGCCTGGCAAAGCCACCTGCCATGTGCCTTTCCAGGGTGTTGTCTCCAGCCAGCAGGAGGCCTGCCTTTCTCCCACCATCCCATGTGAGTTGCTGTCTTCTGCTCCTTGTGTTTTCAAAAGCCGTATCCATCTGAGAAGGGCTGTTTGTTTAGAAAGCCTTGCCTCTCTCGGTCACGTGTGCCGCGCATGTGAGGCGCATTCCATTTTTAGCCACAACAACTTCTTCACTAGACAGCTCTGCTGCAGTGACATGTGCAGAGCCCGGGAGGGAGGAGACACGACACGTGTATGAGCAGGATCTGAGCCGTGCGGGGTGTGCTTGTGTGTGTAGTTTTCTGGCTACAGGAAATTCCTGTTACAAAGCAAGGCATGTTTTATTTTGCAGGCTGGGAGAGCGAGGAGGGATTTCTTTTTTTTAAAAAAAGAAGAAGGGCAGGCTCAATGAACCATAGGGTGAGGAGGAGGAGGAGGGACAAAAACAGCCACCCTAGACCAAGAGATCTGTTTGTTTGGGTTTTTCAAATATGTCACTAATCCCTTAGCAGATATTAAAGGGGAAGGGGAGGTGGGAGTTTGGGGAGGGGGAGCCCTCAATGCAGAAGAAACTGCAGCACAACCAAATGTGGGGTGTGTTTACATCTGCAGCGGATTTCAACGCCCTTTCTCCGTGAAAGAAGCAACAAAATGCACCAGGAGGGGGGGAGAAGAAGGCGGGCGTTGTTCCTTGCCATACACAGAACATGTAAAGTGAAATGTTCATTTGGACCAAAGAGATTAAAAGGCAAGGTGCAAGCTTTCAAGTCACAGAGCAGGGCTTTGCAGATTCAATTGGTTTTGAAGGGGAGGGGGAAAGTTTTCAGTTTCTGAGCATAGTATTTTAACCCTATACCTATGAACTGGTTTTTTCATATAAACAATAATAATAATAATACTGTTATTTATTTTCATGGTTCAGAAGATAAATTTTTGAGAAAACAATTGTTACAACAGTAAACAACAAGTAACTTGTCCCGATAAAATTACAGTGCAGACTTTTATCATGCCATATGTTAAAGTTTCATTTGATTACTCGTAAGAGATCACGTCACATTTTCCCTTGAGTGCTGGGTGGATTCCTGCCACAATCTGAACCATTTATGTATTCAAATAAACATTTGCCATATGTTATAAAAGGAATATGGATTGTGTTTGCCCTTTGCCGCTCCCACCTGGCATGTTAGTTTCTCAGCCAATGCTATTGACCATACTCTGTTATACCAAGAATCAATGTTCAGCCCATCACCGGTTTTCCAACGTCATCTGTGGACTGTTTTAGCCTGTGTCAAATATAGGGGCCTGAGTCACATCATTCCAACCCCAGTTCTGATTTAGCCGGGATGGCTTTTTATTTTATTCGGAAGTCGTTGATTTTGCAACCAGTGGCTGCTGGCAAGCAAATTTTCAAACTTTTATTCTTGGCAATCAACAGTATAGAAGTGCACAAGTGGCTGGCGATACCATTATCTTTTGCAGAGCCAGATTGGGCCGCTGTCAGCTTTTGACATCCACAAGCCCAACCAAGTGCATCTGAAAAGGCTACATGTCCCCAGGCTTAGCAGAAGCCTGTCCTATTGCTATGTAACCTTTATCTGTCTTGTCTTATTTTCTGGACCCAAGAAGACAACTGTGCATGCTGTACGAAGTTGGAGCAGACAAGTTGTTACAGAATCACTACACACAGGAAAACCACACAGGAAATAACAAGATTAATAAAACCACTTCAGTGTTCATTCACACAAGCGATAGAGGAAAAAATGCCCTCTGGGGCTGATATATGTCAGAGAATTCCCACATGTCAGTTCCGGCATTCCAGTGGAACTCTATGCTCGGAATGCAGAAGGCAGCCTATTCTGATGGTTAATTCTTTTGACCTGGAAAAGCCTTCGAAAGCTAAAATTATTTTTTCGTGCTTTCCCTTTCCCCAAGAGATAGGAAACTCCACAGGCAGCCCTTTACAGGGCTCATTCTCTGTGAGATATGTTTATGGTCATCTACAAATGCACATGTTGAGCAGAGGGCAGACACCCAGACAGAAAGGGCAAGTCTTTAAAGCAGCATCGATTTCCCCAAAGCAAAGCATAACCTCTTGCAAACTACTGGGGGGGGGGGAAATCAGATCCTCCCCTTTCTCATTGGCTACAATCAAAACCACCAAGCTGTTCCCTTCAGCCCTCTTCCAAGTACAGTGGTACCTCGGGTTACAGACACTTCAGGTTACAGACTCCGCTAACCCAGAAATAGTACCTCGGGTTAAGAACTTTGCTTCAGGATGAGGACAGAAATCGTGCGGCGGCAGCGGGAAGCCCCATTAGCTAAAGTGGTACCTCAGGTTAAGAACAGTTTCAGGTTAAGAACGGACCTCCAGAACGAATTAAGTTCTTAACCCAAGGTACTACTGCAGATGAAATGTCCAACAGCTAATAGCCACCAGAACTCAGATGTCATCATTGCTCATTAATCTAAAATATCCAGCTTTATGAGCAAAAGTGTACTTTAAGAGAAGATCATTTTGTGTTTGCATAAGCATTTATTTCTGGAATTCTGCTTGGAAATGCCCCAGGCATCAGAAGGGCTTATGCTTTATGCTATATGATATGGGTCAGGTGTAACAGATCCAAACATGAAGTCTCTTAATTGGGGCAAAGGGGGAATAATATTAGTGTGCGGACAAATAAGAAGCAGAGTAGTTTCCATAGGGCTGGAGCAGAATTGGGTATAACTGTTTGAAAGAGGAAGTGAAGAGCAATCATAAATTCCTGCATACCTTAACCAGCTCATGCATTACCTGCAATTTAGGGGAAGGGGCTTAAATTTGTCAAGTGAACCATTTTTAGGTGTATTTAGTCCAATCTGAAATTAATCCACTGGATGGAAGGAATATATATAAAGTTGCTTCCATTGATGGCTGAGAAATCAAATTAATATTTGGTTTCTGATCATTTTACTACCATTGTCATTTACATTTTGTTGCACTACCGCTACTCATGCAATTATTTAGCATTTAATTGGTGGTGAGTACAGAAATTGATTCATTTAAGATTTCGGCTCTGTTGCATGCAGTGGAGTTGAGGGTAATAACAAATTATAAAACAGAACCTGTAAATAAGTCCGGGGCAGCAGCTAACCTGTGGACAGAAGATGCTGTTATATTCCAAGCTCCATATGCCCCAAACCAACATGGCCAATGACCAAGGATGATAGGAGTTGTGGTCTAACAGCATCTGAAGTGACACCTGTTAGCATTGATGCAGTGCAGGGCTACTTAAGTATTGCTATTATTAGAGAAGAGTTCTGCTTCTGCTACCGAGTCCTTTTCCATTGAATTAGGTAAAGGTAAAGGTACCCCTGACCGTTGGTCCAGTTGCGGATGACTCTGGGGTTGCACGCTCATCTCGCTCTATAGGACAAGGGGGCCGGCGTTTGTCCTCAGACAGCTTCTGGGTCATATGGCCAACATGACTAAGCCGCTTCTGGCAAACCAGAGCAGCCCACGGAAACGCCGTTTACCTTCCCGCCAGAGCGGTACCTATTTATCTACTTGCACTTTGATGTGCTTTCAAACTGCTAGGTGGGCAGGAGCAGGGACCGAGCAATGGGAGCTCACCCCATCGCAGGGATTCGAACCGCCGACCTGATCGGCAAGCCCTAGGCTTTGTGGTTTAGACCACAGGGCCACCGCATCCCTCCACTGAATTAATGAACCATTATTTCCTAACAAATAAAAATGGTGGTGGGGGGACCAAGTCAAACACATTGCATGGACAACAGCGCAGCAGGGTTGCAGCAGTGTCTGATGCACAGCTCACCTTGGGACAAAAATGGAGGTGACATAGGTGCATACAGGCATGCGAGGGGAGAGCGACCGCAGCTGCACCAAGCTGACACCAGGAGCCACCTAGTGGCCAGAGGTCGTAATGTCTGTGAAGCATGCTGTGATGATTCTGTAAGCTGGCAAATACTGTACAGTGGTACCTTGGGTTAATAACTTAATTCGTTCCGGAGGTCCGTTCTTAACCTGAAACTGTTCTTAACCTGAGGTACCACTTTAGCTAATGGGGCCTCCCGCTGCCGCTGCACTGACGCAGCGCGATTTCTGTTCTCATCCTGAAGCAAAGTTCTTAACCTGAGGTACTATTTCTGGGTTAGCGGAGTCTGTAACCTGAAGCATCTGTAACCCGAGGTACCACTGTAAATGTAAAAGCCATGTAATGTAATGTAAATGTAAAATTGCAAATGTCCTGTGAACAAATAATTACTGTAGAATAGAGTTCCTTGCTGTCTCATTGTGGCAAATTCCAAAGGACTTTCACAGCAAAGCACAAAAGGCATCCTAAAGCCCAACAGATTCATCATGGCGTAAGCTTTTCTGGGCTGCGCATTCCATGAGACCTTAGGCTCACAGAATAGTAGAGCTGGAAAGGACCACGAGGGTCATCTAATCCAACCCCTTGCAATACAGGAATCTTTTGCACAATGCGGGACTCGAACCCACGAACCTGAGATTAAGAGTCTTACACTCTACCAACTGTGCTGTCCCGCCTTATGCCACAAAAAGATAAGGTCTGACTTTAAGGTGCTCCAAGATTCCTTTTTGTCTCCAGGGTTGTGTATGTGACAACGCTAGGGAGGCGGGGAGAAGGCTGGGGATGGGACTTCAATAGTGTCACCTAATGTACTACAACAAACAAACAAACAAAAAAGGTACAGGACCCCTGACAGTTAAGTCCTGTCACTAATGACCCTGGGGTTGCGATGCTCATCTCACTTTACAGGCCAAGGGAGCCGGCGTTTGTCTGCAGAGTTTTTCCAGGTCACGTGGCCAGGATGACTAAACCGCTTCTGGTGAAACCAGAGCAGTGCACGGAAAGTCCGTCTACCTTCCCGCTGGAGCGGTACCTATTCATCTACTTGCACTTTGACAAACCTAGGTTGAAGTAAATGGGTGAGGGAAGGCAGAAGACCCAACCAGGTTTGAGGTAAGAAAAGGTTAAGATTTAAAAAGGCTTCTTTGTTATAGATTTAACCCAAGGAATGCTGGGAGCTGTAGCTGTAGGAGAGAGCTGGGGGTTTCACATAGACTTTTCAGCCTTCATACATGGGTGAACACAGGAATTTCCCCTCTGGGGCAGTGAGTAAAGTTAGTTTTTCAAATAACTGGACAAAGAAGTATAAACTGCACTGGAAAACTGGTCAACTGTTTCTGGTAGATTTGGTGACTGAGCAGTGGCAAGACCTTGGTGGCCTTACCTTTCAGAAGCTACCTGCTCCATTGTTTCTCAACTGGTAAGGCCTTCTGTTCAATCTGTGCATAGAGCTGGCATCTAGATGCTGGCCTTCCACCCACAAATGAAGCCCTCCGTTCTTTTCTTGGCTATCTCTAGCTTTTAATGAATTGCACTGCTGCTGCCATCAACTTCACAGCTCCCTTACCATTTTAATATGCGCATGAGGCATAGACAACACTGCAATACAGTCTTGGGTTTGTTCTAGGTTACTCTGTAGGGTGGGCATAACCCATGCTCTCTCAGCTCTTTCCATATGAACCTACCTGGACCCTGAGATCATCTTCTGAGGCCCTCCTTTGTGTGTCCCCTCCTCAAGAGGTTTGGAGGGTGGCAACACGAGAATGGGGCCTTTTCTGCAGTGGCTCCTCGTCTGTGGAAGTTCGCTTGGCACCCTCATTATACACCTTTAGGCACCAGGCAAAAACATTCCTTTTTAACCTGGACTTTGGTTAATCTGATTTACATCCTTGGCCTTTTAAAATGTGTGTTTTTTATGGGGGGGTATTGAGTTGCTGTTTTTATTTTTATTAGGTATTTTGTGGTTTTGCTTTTATTCTGTGAAGCGCCCTGAGACCCCCAGGTATAGGGTGATATATAAATTCAGTACATTATCATCATCATCATCCAGTCCTGTTCTTTGCAATATAGGTGTAAGAGTTATCTGCATTGGCAATGACTGTGGTTTTTTTTTAATGTTTACCAGCTGAGAGGTGGGAGGACTTTTTGGGGGGGTAGTGGTGAAGAAATAAGACATGTGTTAAAAATATTATGTATCACCATCTTCATTGCTACCTTTTGTTTTTGGGTACCTTTTGTCCAGTACACAGCTATACTAAATCCTGGCTACCTGAATTGTTTTCTGCTGGGCAGCTATTATTACTCCACCAAGGAAGACAAGAAAGGAAAAAAAGGACTAAAAAAAAAGAACCCAGAAGTTCCTTCTAAAGACAGTGGGTGTTTCATTCTAGTTATCTCTTCATGTGTTTGGCTAGATCTGCTTTCCTAAACGTCAGTCATTGCTATGTCTTCATTTGTTGGTTGAAAACCCTGAAAGACAGGAAGAGGTAAGTTTCTCACAAAACAAATCGGCAAATGTGCCTGCGCGTTTTGTCTCATATCTTGTGTTCTACAAGTTGTAAAATCTTCCTGCTTGCACTAGTAGCTCTCCTGGCAAACACCCTTGGTACCACAAGATGTCAGTTCCCAACATTTCTTTGGAGGGGAAGCCATTACAGTTAAACTGGAATTGTAGCTACACTTCAGGGTGGTTTGTGGGCCTTCATGCCCTGAGATAGAAGGGAAGACGAATCTGACAATGGTTTGGAATCTTTTAACATTAACGGAATCTTCAGAACAGGTGGGCAGAGGCAGTTCTGCCACCCTCAAACATAGCAAAATTTTACATTTCTTGTTGTCACCTGCTCCTAAACCCCAAATAGTGTGTGAAAGAGGATAAGATTCTTGGAAGTGTGAGGTCAACCAGATGTACGCTTGACCCTTGCCCTTCCTGGCTTATTAAGTAGTCAGAGTATCATGTGTCAAGTGCATTGTAGTCAGAAAGTCTGTCTGGATGGGTGAGGATAGTGGTCAGTGAATGCGTCAGTGGGACCTGATAAAACAAGTGCCGTGGGTCCAAGCAAGAATTCCCCAAAGCTACCTTCTGTATGTGCCCTGAAAATGGAAGCAAAACTATCACATCACCATGCCCCTAAGTCACAGTGGAGTTAAAGCTGGGTTTGAAACTGATTGTATTTCTCTCTCTCTCTCTCTCTCTCTCTCTCTCTCTCTCTCTCTGTGCGTGTGTGTAGTCCACATGACATCCTCCTCATCTAAGTGGCAGCCCACACTTTCCCCAGCCTAAATTCAGATTTTACCAATCAGTGCATATGGGAAGAAACTCCAATATAAAATTGCATGTTGCTGTGGACGTACCAGAAACCCAATGTGTGGGTGGTGGTGGTTTCTTTAATTGTGTGAGGACATTTCACTGGGTTTTGTCCATCACCAGACCACCTGCTTCCATTTTGTTCCCACCAGCACAAAGGAAAAGATAAAGCCTGATTTTTCTTGCTGGTTCTTGACTATACAGGCAAACCCCCCCCCCATTTGCACAATTTCAATATGCATGTGACTCTGCGCACGTGCATCGTGCTGAACCCAGAAGTGACCCAAAAATGGGGCAGAGGTGGAACAGAGTGTTTGCAGGCTTTTTCAATAGCGTTTCAAATATATGTGATTTCACTGATTCATGTGGTGCCTTGGAATGTAACCCCCACGTAAATGGGGGGTCGCATATATGTGTGTGTTTAATTTTAATAAAATTATTGTCCCCCCCCCTTTCTAGCTGTTCTTATTTTATCTGTAAGCTACCTTGAGGTGAGGTATAATAATAATAACGGCATTGTATTTTAATTTTAAAAACAACTTTTTGTGCACAACTGCTCTTACACAAAACAGCTGTATTAAAAATAAAACCTGACCTTTCTGCTACAGGAGTATTACCACCAGACTCTTGGGGAGCTGGATCTTTGATTCACCACTGTGTTGGATAACAAAACAAAACAAAACAAAACAAAAAATTCTATTAGGAAATTGCTCTGTGGCACCAAAAGGCTCTCTGTGCCCCACCAGTGGCAGACCTTGGGGTCTCAAATTTCAGTGGTGTCATATGCTACACCAAAATTCAGTGCCTCCTGCCTCTCGCACTCCATTCTAAATCATAGTTGTGATGTCCCCTGTTGTGCCCCTGAGGCTCCACGCCCAGCGCAACTGAACCGGTCATGCTCCCCTAAATCCACCTGTGTCCCCACCTCTTTGTCTTTCTACCTTGCAGAGATGAGGTGGCTTTAATTTAATTTATTTTAAAAAACAGGTTGGCTAGGTGCACTGCAGAGCTAAGTGATAGCTGAGAGGCATTTGGGGGGAAAGGAGGATAGTGTAAGGCAGGCTGGAGTCTCAGCTAGCACTTAGCTCTTAAAAAGGGTCACACCATATATTTAAAGCACTCTTATATCATTTTTAATAGTCATGGCTTCCCCCAAAGAATTCTGGGAACCAGATGCTGAGAGTTGTTAGGAGACTTCCCACTGAGCTACAATTTCCAGCAACCCTAACAAACAACAGTTCCTAGAATTTTCCAGGAGAAGCCATGACTATCAAAGTGGTTTAAGAGGGTTGTAAGTTTATGGTGTGGGACGCGGTGGCGCTGTGGGTTAAACCACAGAGCCTAGGACTTGCCGATCAGAAGGTCGGCGGTTCGAATCCCCGCGACAGGGTGAGCTCCCGTTGCTCGGTCCTTACGGTGTTTCCATGCACTGCTCTGATTTGCCAGAAGCGGCTTAGTCATGCTGGCCACATGACCCAGAAGCTGTACGCTGGCTCCCTTGGCCAATAAAGCAAGATGAGCGCCGCAACCCCAGAGTCGGTCACGACTGGACCTAATGGTCAGGGGTCCCTTTACCTTTTAAGTTTATGGTGTAGATTTGTGTCGTCACCTGGTAAGGGTGTGTTTTTTAGAGGGGAGAGAGGAGTAACCATTGTGATGACCTGCGGCCTAAGCTGAGACAGCTGATATAACCGTTTTGTAGTTTTCTATCGTTTCCAGCTATCTCAATACTGATATACGGTAATGATGATATTTAAACCTCATAATGGAAGAATTATTTGGAAACTGGTATTAGTTGACCAGCCCCCATGTAGAAAATGGAACACCTACAGCTCATTCAGAGTCTTTGGACAGCTTTAATGTTGAGTTACATGGTGCATCCAATCTAGCAGCCAGTTAAACACTGGGGCCTGGATTTATAACTGAGGATATAATTTGAATAATTTTAGGGGATTTATTTACGACTTCATTACTTAACAGAATGATAAACTGTTAATATTCTTTTTGTCCCTGTTCCTACTCTGGCAACACTTATTACAGGACCTAATTATGTCATCCACAAACATCAGGGGGTCAATTCACCTGTTCAATGCAATCAGCTGCCAGAAATGCCCTTCTTCATTCTACATAAGATAAACAGACCAGACTCGTTGCAAAAGAACAAGCTCTGGAATATACCAGGGAGCCAAATGAACTCGACAAAGCAGGAGATGGCGCTCAAGAGCAATGGTTGTTCCAGAGGTCAGCCTGGGCTTTGACAGGAGTGCCAAGAAATCCCTCTGAGCTGTCTGGAAACTCACTGGATCCGAGGGCAGACCATCCTAATAGGTTCCCTGCCTCTGCAGAGAGGGGAAAGTGCTGAAAGCCTAAATCTCAACAGGAAGTGATTTGACCATGACAGTGGACTGGTGTCAATATCCCCCAATTTCAGATTACCCTCTAACTGCCCAGTCAAAAAAACAAGGTCCAGGCAGGGAGACTGGTGGGTGGGAAGCCAGCAGAATCCCTAATCTATCCCGATTGCCCAATACTAGGCACACACACTCTAGATCCGCACCCCAAACAGGACAGAGAACCTGGAGAGAGGAAGAGAATCTCTATAAACCACAGCAACTCCCCCTCCTTGCCCCTCAAGTCTGCCCAGAGTACCCAGGTGGGCACAGCTGGCTGAGACCAACTTCACCCTGCTCACCCACCCAGGTCTCAGTGATACAGACCGCATTGGCTTCCTCACCCACAATCCAGTCATGGATGAGGGAGATCGTATTCCAAGCTGACCTGGCATTCAGCAACAGCCATGTACAGACCCAAGGGCTGGCTGACAGGACAACCACAATTCCCCAGGTTGAAGGAGGAAGGGCTGGCACACCACCAATTGCCTGTGCCATGTGCCCCTTACCCAGCTTGCCCCACCTCCTATACCATACCTCCCCCTGCTCTGAACTACTGCAGTTGCCCCCTTGCTCTTGCCAGCTCCTCTCTCCCTGGCACATTTTTTCAAGTGAAAACAAAACCAAACAAAATCCACACAGTCATGCATTAACGCATGGCTTCCTCCAAAGAATCCTGGGTATTATAGTTTCTTCCTCACAGTGCTACAACTCCCAGCACACTTAAAGTGCAGTGCCCATGATTTGTTGGGGAAAGTAATAGGTGCTTTTAATGTGTTGGATGTGCCAGTCTAAGCCAATGAATGGAGACCAATATTGGATTTGCTAGTCTAAAGGTGTCTCAAGACTCTTGTTTACGTTTTGTGATATTGCATATTTAGTAATTCAGAACATAGCCTTTACTGCAAACACTTTATATAAGGTTAACTGAGGTTTCACTGTATGTTTTGAGCGCGAATTACCCAGTGTTCCCTGCTTGCCTTCTCACCAATCAACATATACTATTTTCTAAGAGCGCCTACAGATGAATTGGTGTACGGGTGTGTTTTTTTTTTTATGCTGAAAATGTCCCTTTTTGTTTTTTAAACTTCGTGCCCCCCCCGCCCGCCTCCTCCACTTCACGCGCCCTTCCTCGCAGGCGAGCAACTCGCCCCTCCCCCCTCCCGAGGCGCCTCTCCCTCGCCTTCCATACCCTCCCGATGGCGGTTGGCGCATGCGCACTTGACGGGAGGCGGCCCAGGCCATGGCGGCCGTTTAAAGGTAACCGATTGAGCCAGAACCGGAGCGGCGGGTTTTTGCGCCGAGAGGTCCCTCTCCCTCCCTCTACCGAGCCCCGTCGCCATACCAAAGTGTGACGAGACTCAAGATTCAGGCCTGACGGGAGGAGGCGGAAGGGCGGGGGAAGGCCTAGAATTCCCGCCGCCTCCCCTTGTGAGCTCCGAGGCCCCACATTCCCCCCTCCCACCGCCGCCGCCACCATAATTTGGAGGGACGCGAGGAAAGACTCCCTAGATAGAAGCGGGGGGAGCCAAATCACGCGGCCGCCACCCCCACCCGCCTTCTGAAAGGAACCTTCCACCCGCCACTGTATGCTATCCCTCTTCTCTGATTTAGCGCCGAGGGAAGTTCCAATCAAGTCAGAGGGGGGGCGCCGTCCCCGTAATCCTCTCCGTCCCCATTGATTTTAGCCCCCTGCAGCAAGGGCTGGAGGTGAGGGAGCCCAGAGCTCTCCCTCCCCATATCCGCTAAAGAGGGGACCCTCCTCTCTCTTGCCCCAGAGGGTACTGAGGAAAACACAAGCAGAGAGGTTTCGGAGGAAACCCAGTTGGCTCCCAGCTACTGTATAGGAAAAGCCCCAGGATGTACTGAGCGGTGGCGGAGACCGGGACTCACCGGCTTGTTTTGGGGCTCCCCTCAACTCTGGCACAGAGGGACTAGAAAGCCTTTTCGGGAGTGAGCTGGTGGATAGAGAGCGCGCATAGGGGGGCCCTATTCCTCTTTGGGGGCTGCATAGTTGAGAGCTGGGTTAGACAGGCCATAGAGAAGCCTCCCCTTGGTTTTATAATTATTGCTGGGAGACTTCGCGTGGGGGGGATAGAACCCCCCCATGAATGTCTTGTTTGAGGGGAAGCCCCCCCCCGCCCGCCAAAGGTTGCCAGTCTGTCCAATAATCCTAATAGAGTCCAACGGAAGGATCTGAAGCATAGCCCGTCCACGTGTCCCTTTTTTATCCAGGGAGAGCAGGGAGCTGTTACTCCAAATCATTGCCGGGGACCCGCGAAGCACCCCTGTCACTTGCAGGTTAACCCATCGGCGGCCTAGGCAGAAAACAAGTTGCTTTGCACCTAAGGGCCCTTTGTTGGGAGGGGGGTGGCTTTTCCGCACCCCCACGACACCGGCGGCGGGGGGTTCAGTATCTGAACCTGTTAGCAAGGTGGAGGAGAGAGGGCCCCGTTTCTCCCTTTCCCTGTATAGCAGGGAGTGGCGCCCAGTTTCCCGCTTCCCCCACCCCAGAGTTTTGGGACTTGGGGAGGAGAAGAGAAGAACCGAGATGATCCTTGCAGCAGCTTCGGCAGCGAGAGGAGAAGGGTCGGTGAGTCAGTGAGACCGGCCGGGGGAAAGTGGTGCAGCAAGAAAGGGGGGCGATGGGTCTCGGTGGGGCGGGCGACGGCGGCGCCCCCCGAGGGGTCCAGGTGGGGGATCCGGGCCGGAGAGGGGAAGAAGAAGAGGAGGGAGGAGGCGCCGCCGCCGCCGCGGCAGAACCCGGAGCCTGAAGGCGCCCCTCGTCGCTATGAGATCCACCGTGTACAAAGCCACCGCGGCGGCAGCAACGACGACGACGGGGCCGGCCTTGCTGGAGCCTGGCCCGGAGGAAGAGGAGGAGCCGCCGCCGCCGCCTCATCTCCGCCAGCCTCCGCCTCCCCCGCAAAACCAGATCCCCGTGCCGGCCCCAGCGGCGGCAGCAGCGGCGGGCCCCAAGGGCCGGGCCATCGTTCCGGCGGCTGCGGCGGCCGCGGCCCCAGGACAGCAGCAGCAGGAAGGCGGCGGGGGCTGCTGCTGGGGTGGCCTGGTCCCCTCGCCGTGCCCGGTCGGCAGCACTCGGCAGGCGGGCGTGGGCGATGCCGCCGGCAGCTCCCGCCCCTCCAAGTACCAGGCGGTGCTGCCCGGACACACCGCTGCTGCTGCCGCCGCCACCAGCGCCGCCGCCAAGGACAGCAAGCGAGGCGGCGGCGGCCCTCACGCCGGGCCTGGAGGGGCTCCGGCGTCACTTTCTCCCTCTCCTACGCCGCCGCCGCTACCACCGCCGCCGCCGGTTTCCGCCACGGCCGAGCCTGGACAGCCTCCTCCAGCCCCAACAGCGGTGCCGGCGGCGGCGGCGGGAGGATCTCCGGCCTCTTCCGAGCCCGGCGGCAAGTGGAAAAGCAGCGGCTGCAGCAGCACCGGGAGCGGCGGTGGGGGAAGCAGCCTTTGGAAGAGCCCCATGGGGGCCGGCGGGGGTGCCTCCTGCCAGACGGCCTGCCTCAAGCAGATCCTGCTTCTCCAACTGGACCTTATCGAGCAGCAGCAGCAACAGTTGCAGGCCAAGGAAAAGGAGATCGAGGAACTCAAGGCCGAGAAGGACACAGTGAGTTGGGGGCCGGGACAGAAGGGGTTAACGTTCATCAGGTTGGAGGGAGCGCGGGAGGCAGCAGGGATCTGACGAACGATGCGGCGCTTCAGGGGTTAATAGGTAAGCGATGGGTTGGGTGTTCGCTGGTTTTCTAAGGGTTAATGGGGAGTGCATGCATGGTTGAGAGTGTTGTTAACAGTGGGAGGGGTCAATGCAAATTTCGCAGAGGCATATGGGGGCTAATCGAAGGGATGCAGGTGCTCAGTGGGAGTGAGTGTGATGGGGTAGGCTTAACTGTCGCTAGCAGTTTCAGGAGAAATCGGTGTGTGTGTGACTTTGAAACCTGATCTGAGAAGGATTTCATGTAGATGTGTGCAGTACAGTAGATACGTTCAGTAGGAGGAGATGAATCAAGAAAAATAACGAGGAGTTAGGCTTAATTAACTAGAGGTGATCAAAAGGCCCTGCAGTCCAGTCCCTATGCAGCAACACTCCTCACTGATCATTTCTCTCCAGAAGTGGGCCGGGTGAAACGTGGCCCATGTAAGGGTTAATGTGGAAAGGAATGATCCTGAAGTGACTGGGTGCTTGCATGTTGAGGGTTAATGGGTGCAAGAAATCAAATGATTTCTAATGCTATTGGAACAGGGTCTAAAATGGTAGGGGTTAAAGGTGGAAACCAAACAAAGGTTTAGTACACACTTAAAGTGTGGGGTGTAAATGTCTATAGGCCAATAGTAGAACTGTAGTACTGGAAGGCCAATAGAAGGTGCGATTAACTCTTTAGAGTTAATATTCAAGGACAGTTGAAGGCCCTTAGCAATTAATGGTACTAAAAAGTAGTGTGCAGCAGCCAAAGTACTAAGGTATTGGCACCATGAGAGTCAAGAACCAGGAAGGGGTTGACAACCTAGGGGTTAAGCTGAAAGGTCTGCTTGGTAGCTTGGTTAGCTTAAAGGTGGAGTTAAGGGCACTGGCACAAGGTGGGAGTAGATTTGGGAATGTTGCAGTTTTCAATGAGTTAATCAGGTTAGACTAGAGAGTGTGTGGCTCATGGGGCCCCAAGACTGGAAGAGTGCTGTGGCAACAGCAGGGTTAACTCAAAGCATCAGACATGTGCTGTGTGCTACAAATAGGGTTAATTTAAAGGGGCCCTAGCTTGGGGCTGTGGCTGCCATATTTGGGGGAAGAGGAAAGCAGCTTAAGCAAAACAATCAGCTGCAGTGTGTACCATGTGGACAGTAAGGTGGGGGGAGGTCTCTAACTGGTGTGTTTTTAAAGGAATATTTCAGGTTTGGGTTTAGCATCCCATCTCGGTTCATCTAAAAATGTTGTCAACCCCGTCTTCTTTCACAGAAGCACCAACCCACTTTTTTATTATGATTACTGCAAAATGCTTATTGTGTTGTACTCCTGCAAGGTGCTTCTTTCCACCCTTGCCCTGCCATTGTGCCCCCCTAGCCAGGGTATCCCATATCTGGCAAGGTTGTGCCAAACCCTACTGTTGAGAGTCCTTGACCCTTGCAACAAGAGCTTCTCTTACGGAGAGTGTTGCTCATGTAGAGATCACATCTGTAAGGGAGGGGATATTCAATGCGAGCATGAGGGGAGGCGATGCTGTATAGCCCCCTTATCTGTCTATGCCATAAGAGCTGAATGAGGCATAGTTTGAAGATTGGGGGAGACCCTCTGGATCAGCTGCAAATGAAGGTTAGTTGAGTGGCTTTTTTATGTCAGCTATCTGTAGCAAAAGCAGTTTAGTGCATAATGTTCATTTCTAAACTGTAGTCCCAGAAGCTGTTTAGTGTGTTTTCTTTCCCCATCCTCACATTGCCACAAAGGTCTTGTAATCCTGGCCTGTATGCATGGCACGTCTGCAGCCTAAAAATAGCCCCCTCTTCCTGGTTCCTGCAGCTGCTGCTGCAACCATTATTGTGAAGGAAAGTACCCCCCCTCCACTTTTTAGGCATGATCGTCAGAGTCTGCGTATAAAATGTATGTGTGTAGTGTTGTTTCTGGTTGCAGGAAGTGGCGGCAGTTTTACTGTCTGTAACAGAAAGATGTGATCCAACACAGATAGCGTTAAAAAAAACCCCATCTCCCATCAGGCCTGTGCTAAGTTAACCAATATGGAGGTGCTGGCTGCCTTCTTGCCGTCAAAGAATGTGATGATGGCAGACAGAGTACTTTGCATGCTCCTGCAAAGGCTTAAAAAAAGAAATCAAGCCCTCACATAACAAACACCCTGAAGAGCTAGAACACACACAAAACAGATAAATGCAAAGCTTGTGAGTCAAGCTGATACCAAAACTGCTTGGGTCGGTTGTTGTTGCATCTGCTGACTGCAGATTTACAAAGTACCTGCAGTGGTTCTCTCCCTCACCCCTACCAGCCCCCCCTTTCCTCTTAAGGAGTAATGCCAGAACCCCTAAGAGTGTCAGTTCAGTATTTTGGTTTCACATGTACAAATTATATGAATGCTCTTTGCTTTTTACCATCCAGAGTGATTTTAGTTTCTTATATGCTATGTGCAGCATTAATATCTAAAATGGAGGCTTTTATAAGTCTTACTTTAAAATTGAGAGACTCTGAATCACTCGGTGCTCCTGTTAAGAATTCATTGTGGGTTTTTGATGTGTTCTTTCTATTTACATTTAAACAAAAAACAAAATCCTAGTACAAAGCTACCCTCACATAACTCTTACTACAAAAGTTGTACTTAGTGTTGACGCTGAGCTAAGTGGTACAGAGAATTAAATGATGTGGATGTCTGCGTACCGGAAAGGGTACAAAGGAAAACTGAGAAGTGGGGCTATGATAGAAAGAGCTGAAGAGGATGTACTTTGTAGCCCTCCTCAGATAGGGAGCTGAGGCTAAGGAGGGTGACTAACCAAAAGCTTAATGCTGAATCCATGGCTGAGCTGAGTTTGTATCAAAGTCTTCAAGCAGCAATGCTGTACCCTCCTATCATGAATAACAGCATTCTGCCATATTTTTGTGCAACTGCTTTAGGAATTATCCAATCCTTGTTGGCTGCAGAGCTTGAGATATATGTTAATTGCAACCCTTTGAGATTTGTTCATAGTAAGTGGCTTGAGAACCATGGGGACATGATCTGCTCCCAGTTTAATGAATGTGAGCTAGGAAGAAGTAGTAAACATTATTTTGTATTTTTAGCAAGGAAGTGCGGTTCTCAGGGATATGCATACTGTATGGCATAGGCAAGTGGCACACTATACCTATGGGAGTCTAAAATATACTTAAAGAGACTGCTGCTCCACAGCTCTGAAACTATTAATATCCCAACATGTGCATATTTCTCAAGGTAGAACGTGTGTGCAGGTTGTGTTCACATTAACAAAGGGAAATAACGTAAGCTGTACTTGCAAGGACAATTCAGATTTATTTATTTCATTATTGCCCCACCTTTCCTCTTAAAGAGAATCCAGGGTGGCATACATACAAACAAACTTGATAAAATAAAATACATTAGAAAACTCAAAGACTCTAGTAAAACAACAATACATACCAGCAAGTGGAGATTTTAAAAAAGACTCTACTGTCACCCTCACCTTTACAGGAGCACTCATTTCACCTCCAACTCGTCCTTTAAGTGATCTGGAGTGGGTACCTCAAAATTTTCTGGTGTTCTGTGTTCCCAGTGTAAATCCTCTCTGTCCATGTAGTGGAAGCAGCTACCATAGAGTTCTGTCATAATGAGGAAGTAGCTATTTTCCCTGTGGTCAACAGATGCAGCCTAACAAAGAGGTATAGAATTGCCAGTAAAACAGAGTACCCTCAGTTGTCTTTAATTGAAAAAGGGTTGGATGTGTTTGGCAACCCCCACTTTAGAAAACAGTATCATGGGCAATAAACATGTCCAATAGGTTCCAAGACTGTTGTGTTTGGAATTAAAGATCAGCACTCAATGGTAAGCATTGCAAGATTAAACGAATACTGGAACTTGCATAGAACTGTCCCGATCGGTTTGTTCCCATCATATGCTAAAGTAAGGGTGAGGTTTAGTGATTGGAAATATGTTTAGCTGATGGACTGCTACCTTTAACATCCATATTGCACTGTTGCATTCTCAGCTCTTTGCTCGAATTGAGCGTATGGAAAGGAGGATGCAGCTGGTGAAGAAGGACAATGAGCGCGAGAAACACAAGATACTTCAAGGGTACGAGACAGAGGAGAAGGTTGAGTCTGAAGTACCAGAGAAGTTGCCCATAGAATGCCAACCACCAGAACTTCTGGAGACGTCACAACCACTGCCTTTGAAGCATTTTCCATATGGGAGGAATGGGAAGGGTCACAAACGGTAAATCAGAGTTGCTGTATGTTTTCCTAGATTACCAGTGTGCGCACACTGTAGCCCGCTTCACCTTAAAATGCCACCACTGAGATAATAAAAGGCCATCACTGACATAATTGTATTCACTGCTTCTGTACTTATATACATCTGTATTTCCACTTGTGCCTATGTTGCAGATTTTAGACTAGCTTCAATCCTGTTCAAGTGGTTCGCACCCACAGAATTTTAGGCACTGTAATTCTGTGAAGAGGCTAAGGATGTTTAACAGAAGTTTCAACATCCTGCAAAAGTACAATTTCCAGTGTTATCTGGGGGAAGCTTCAATAATTAAACCAGGTTTCAAGCCTATTAACATTTGTAACAAAAAATGCTCTCAGTTACCACTATCTCTTAAGTAGCATTTTTCTTAGTGGTTTTCCATATAGGCAGAATAGTACTGGCTGTTGGCTTGCAATCTCTGTTTCTTGTTTATGCAATTCTTTAGTGTGATGCCATCATATCTGCAGCCTGGCAGAAATCACAGAATAGCACTCACCCCATTTGTCATGATCCCAAGCGGTGGTGCCTTGATGGTCATGCATAATTTGCTCTGTGATACAGCTTGGAAGCTTGTCTTGAGTCCATTTATCAATCTTTTTTAAAATAAAGCAGAGACATGGGGAATCATTGATACTCCATGTCTGACATACTTTGTATTTATGTTGGTATTTTGTTACAAACCCACCCCCCCACCCCGAAATCGGTATGATGAAGAGTGGGTTTATAAATTAAACAGTATAAACATATTTGAAATGGTTTCTGTATGCTAAACTGGTTGTCAATAGGAACTGGTGGGTCCTCTGCAACATTTTCAGTATTTTCTTTGCTAAACCTGTCCCCTCTTACTTTTGCAGGAAGTCTGCCTTTGGAAGTGCCGAGAGGAAAACTCCAGTGAAGAAGCTGGTGGCCGAATTCTCAAAAGTCAAGTGTAAAACGCCAAAGGCTTCCCCATTGAAAGAGGAACCCAGCAGTTCATTAACTGAATCAATTAGCAGACGTGAGCTGCGAAGTCAGGAGACTCCTGAGAAAACCCGGTCATTAGCGGACACTCCACTGAAATCATTGGCACCTTTGAGAGGATCCGGGTGCCATTCAAAAGACAAGGGTTCCTCCAGTGAAACAGAAGACTTGCCGTACCTTTCCACCACTGAAATGTACTTATGCCGGTGGCACCAGCCACCTCCTTCACCGTTGCGAGAGACTTCTCCCAAGAAGGAGGAGATTGTAGCAAGTAAGAGGCTTGCTTGTGCCTTTGTGGTGGTTGGCCTGATGTGGGTTGGAGGGGGCGTGGAACTCATTCATTTGGGGTTTTGTTTAAGAGTCTTTCGAACCCTCGAAGATAGCCAGGTTGTGGCACTCCATTTCTGAGTGATGCTGTTTTAGGTTCTGAACCTCTGGTTGGAGTACAGAAGCTTTTGAAACCCACATCGATCTAGAACAGGTGTGGGCAATGTGTGAAGAAGATCAGCCACCCTGTCTAATGACCTGTGGTGACATTTCTGGAAAACCATGAAATTTGTGGCTTACCTGTGCTCATAGTGAATGCTGTAACCACCTGCTTTTGCCAGCAAGCTGCTCCGTTTCATGTCTTCTGTAATGGGGAGCAGTCTGCGTAGAAATGATAGGAAGTGTATTAGTCAACTTGTTGTCTGATGAAGACTAGATAAACTGACACAAGATGGTTCTGGGCCAGGAGATATGCAGTTGCTGGAGTGACCCAAGATATCTGGTATGGCTGGAGTGTTCCAAAATAATAATTTGGACCTCATTCTGTCTTTGTTTCCGTTGCATGGCTTATATACATTTTGGCCTATGTTTCAAAGGAGCCCTTTTATACACAGTTAAAGGTCCACATATAGACCTGCTGATTTTGTGGTAGTTCTTGCTGCTGCAGCAGCCAGAGTCTATGATGAAAACTGCTGTTCAGTTTTTAAATCAGCTTGCCTATCTACAACTAGCAGTAATCACCGTAAAAAAGGGTGGGGGAGGTAGGGGTGAGTAGAAATGAGAGAACGATGAAAGAAAGGACAGTTATGCATATGATTGAAATGCAAAAAAATGGCATCACTTTACAGGTTGGATCTAAAGATTGGGCCTGTAAAGTTACATCATCAAATGGGCAAAGGCAAATAGATTTGCATGTATAGTTTTCTTATGGGGGTATTTGCTAGTCTTCTGGATTGCAATCAAAATGTTTAATGAATTTAAAAGATGAATTGCCATGTTTATGCACTAACGGTATGCTAAGAAGCCACACGATGTTTGTTTAATGCCGTTTTTACTAAAAAGTCACATTCTAAAGTAAATGCTGTATGTCTAGTAGAGGACATAAGTCAGCCAAGTGTCTTTATTTTTGCATTGAAACAGAGAACTTGAGTTCTGCGCTCTGAATCAGTTATGCAAATGTATTTCCTTGAAATATCACTACTTATAAGCTTCAATATAAATTAGAGGTTTGTACACTCTTTATGGAGAGCAGTGCTGGTGGTGGAAGAGGAATAGGTAAGTGATGAGCGTTGCCTATGTGACGGGAGGCCATGAAGAACAGGTATTTAGTCATAAGTGATCTGCCAAGACCCGGGTGCACAAGCTCTACCATCTCAACACCTTTCCTAGTTTTCAGATTCTTCCTTGCTCCAGTCAAAATCCTGCAAGTACAGAAGGACAGCAAGCTACCCAACCCTGTGTGTAGACGCTGCATCAATAAAATAAGACCTCCATATCTATCCTGAGTTTGGTGCTTGGAATCCAATGTGCAGTGAATGTTGACTTGCATCTGTTTATTTATAGGCTTTTATATATTTGTTTGTGTAAGTTGCATAACTGTTTTCTTTCACCCTATCTGGCAAGGAGAGGCATGTGGTTGACAAGGTCATGGGCCAGAAAAACCTTGTAGGGGAGCGGGGCAGTAGAGGATCAAAAGAAAAGGGAGTGCTTTGGAGAGTCCATATTTGTGAAAGGGCTGGAATTTCTATAGTTAGAAGCCTCTAAACTCCTAAGACAGTTGCAGTTCCCAGGTTTCCTAGAGGGAAGCCATGGCAGTTAAGCTGGTTTACCTTTATAGTGCAACCAACTGAAAAACCTTATTTGGTGTCTGAGGCTTTAAACTTGCTGCTGTCTAACCATGAGGGCTATAACAGGCTCTCAGTAGTTAGCCTGGAACAGTGGGTGAAATGACTCCAGAATAGTATCTTACTGGGCACGTCCCCATTTCAAGAGAAGGGACTTAATCCTTCGCCCCTGCACTTCCCTACCACCAGAGTAGCAGATGGCAAGAATCTTTTGACCTTGGGCTGGTGTATGTATGTTGGGTGTGCAAGCAGTAATTGTTAGATAATTTCCTGATGTGTTACATTCTCCTCAGCAAATTGCAGATTCTTTCCATAATCAGCCCTCCATATGGTTTGCTACTTCTGAGATTTAGATGGAGGAAAGAATAAAGGCAAACATGCTTGATGATAGTCTTTATTCAGTCACTTCTTCAACATACAACTCTTCTTCCTCATGTGCCATGAAGTCATTGTGAAGAATGCCTGTGGCAAAAGGATAAATGCACAGGCTGTGTTTCTCTACTCACTTTCTTCCAGAGTAGCCATTTTGCTCTAGCATTTTTCTTTGGTGGATGAGTTTTCTCTGAGCAAGATAACTCTTAACAGAAAAGAATAGGCTACCTTAAGCAGTCTCCTCCATCTCCGACGGTTGCACAATATTTATTTTCTTCTGAGATTCACATCCCACCTTCAATTGTAGAACCCAAGGTGGTGTCCATGCGGTTCCCAGAGGCTCAGCCACCCAGACCCTGACCAGGCCCAGACGCTGCTTAGGTTTAGCAAGATGGAGGCTTTATGTGCTTTCAGATCACATTCTGGAATTCATTTGTTGTCGGACTTGGAGGTTTCTTCGCACAGGAAAATTGCCCATTTTTATCAAACTCTTTTGAGTGGGGTCCTGGTCAACGTGTATTTTACAGATACTACAAAAGGCAAGGTCTCACATTTGAGGCTTTGTTTTCTTCATTTTTCTCAGCAAGCGGCCAGCTTTTTTACAAACTCTTTTACCAGGCAGGGCTCTTTCGAATAGGGAAAACAAACTTTCTTGCACCTTCTTATTCACCATGATTCTTGTCTGGGGTGATGGAGTATGACTCTTCTTGAAGCTCCCCAACCCTAGCTATAAAGATTCCCAGTTCCTCACAATAACAGTAAGAATAACAATAAATAATATTTTTTTATTGCTTATATCCTACCATCTGGCTGGGTTTCCCCAGCCTTGGGCAGCTTACAGAATACATAAAACCAAAGACTTGCAAGACCTCTTGGTCTGAGGTCAGTTTTCTGATGCCAATTCCCCCTGTTTTACCAGCTTGAGCCTGGGCTGAACCGAGCTGTCTTGCTGTTCTGTTTTTCTTGTATTTTTATGTTATAACAAACAAGGTACATTTCTCAGAGAAGCTGTGAAGCCATTTCCTTCTGAAGGTTGAAATATATTTTTTCCCCTCACAGCAGATTACAGAAACACATTCTACTTCTCAGCTGCTGCTTACTAAAATCCAAGTGGCTTCTGCAGAATAAATAAGAAGAGCCTCAAGGTCTAACTAGCTTTCCACACCTTCTTATGCCTTAGAGTTGCATGTTTGACCTGTTATTGCTGTCTTGTAGTATAGAGGGATTTGGAGAATGCTTCTTATAGGACCAGCCTTTATTAAGATAAGTGCCTAAAATCATAAGAATTGTTCTTCTAGTTTGGTTCAAAAGTCCACCTGGTCCAGCAACTTGTCTCCAACAGCAGCCAACCTGTTGCTACTGAGAAACTTACCAGCCAGGTATTATGAAAATAGTGCCCCTATTACATGCCTCCAGTAACCTCAAGTATAATAAAGGCTTCATTCTTGGTTATCAGTGGTAACCTTTTGTCCTTCATGAATCTAAATTATTTTTAAAGTCATCTCTCCTGTGCAACATCTTTCAGCAGGGCTTAGAAGCTTCTCAGCGATCCTCCAAGTAGAGCTAGGGCTGTTTTAAACTCCAATTAAAGAGCTTGTTTCAGTAAACCAGGCATGGGAGACCTGTTTTTTTACTCGGCCATAGGCTCGAGTGGCTTTGATGCACAGTCAGCAGTGCAGCCTTGAAAGTAGGCTTCCTTCAGGATGCTAGTCTGAAAGACTTCCTGAGAGCTGCCATTCAACTTTGCAAGTTTGGTGGAAGATATGGTGTTGGTTTAAGAGAGCAGATGAACGCAAGCTCTTGAAATAGTCGCTTGTCCTGTCACTTGTGGCAAATAATCAGCTCTAGGAAGCTTTTGTAGACTTGAGGAGAGCTAATTCTGTTCTTTCAGGCCACAGATATACTAACATGATGACTAACATTGCAATGTGTGATATTTAATGGGTTAGTAACTTCTGTGGAATTAATTGGTGAGGCTAAACGAAAGCTAGCTGATGCTAAACTCTGTTTAACTTCGTAGCAGTGAGGTTAATGTTGTCACAGATGTTCATCTCTCCACAGAAACATTTCTTTAAAATCAGCTGTTTTGACACTTCTCCTCCTTTTATAGTTCCATCCTGGAGGGACCACATGGTAGAGCCTCTGAGAGACCTGAATACTTCAGAACTTTTAGAGGTATGTTGCTGAATAAATAGCGTTACCAGCCACCAATGAGCTTCTCCAGAAGCTGACCAACTGTCCCCTACAACTAGGAGGAAAGGCATTTTTGAAATTAGCTGACATATCCAACTTTTGCACCCCGGTAATTTGCAGGGGTTTTGCCACAAGGCAGCATGGGTATTGCATTTAGCTTGTATGCTGGGGAAGAAAAATGGGCAAATAGGTCTTTTCACCATGGGGAAGCAACCAGTATCATGGCTGGTTTAAATGCTTTCATCCAGGAAATGAAAAGAAAGAGGACCTTCAACAGCTGATTGAGAATCAGTGTCCCTGAAAAGGCACAGCAGATAATGTTAATGCGCTGTGTGTGTGTGTGTGTGTGTGTGTGTATGCGTGTGTTAATTTTTCCATTTATTAAACCCTTCACAGAACTTGGATGACAGCGTCTTCTCCAAACGGCATGCAAAGTTGGAATTGGATGAAAAGAGGAGGAAAAGGTGAGAGAGAATATCATTTACTAGTTTATTTAGTGCTTAATTTCCAAGGTTAATTTCTAAGTAGTTTGCAAGTATAAAACCAATTACAAAAGATATAAACACAACAAAACAATTTCCTGAAAACATCCACAATGAAATAAACATGCATAGTTAAAATGTACAATAAAACCAGCCCGTTACAATATCTGAATCGCCTGGTTTCACTTGTAGTCTTTACACTGCATTTTGAGGGCTTTTGGGATGGGAGATAACAGCTATGTCGTGGAAGGGGTGTGCAGTAAGAGATTTGTTGATTCTCTTGTTGTAATAGCACTGTTTGGCCTTCTCCCCCCTCAGCTGTCATCTGGGGGCGGCTATTCCATCCGACTGCCTTAGTGGGAGAGATAGGAAGCAATGTTCCTTTCATCAGCTTGCTGGAGGCCTAGCTCCATCAGACACCTGCCCTTGAACTGTGCCAGCTGGCTAATACAGGAACAGCTGCTTAGAAATTGGTGCCTGATTGTTGATTTTGATTTTCCTCTCCCCTCCCTGTCCCTTTTCTCTTGAGTGTTGTGTTTTTTAGACTGTCAGCCAATGGGTAGGGACTGTCTTGTTTTTGATTGTATGTAAACTGCTCTGGAAGCCCCCTACCCTTTTTTTTTTTTTTGCCAGAGAGCAGAATAAAATCCTCTAAATACAAGGAATTGACATAACTCATTGAAATGTGTAGGCAGTCAGTTTGAGCACAAAGCACCTTTTCACACTAGTTGTAGTTAGCCTATGGAACTCCAGGCCACAGGATATTCTGCCAGTTTGCTTTAAAAAAGAAAAAGAAAAAAAAGATTAGAATAGTGGAAGATAGTTTGCTGCTATCCATAATCAAAACGTCTTCAAGTACAAGTTTAAAACACCTTGTTTTACTCCTTTCTCTTCTCCCTTCCCTAGGTGGGATATTCAGCGTATCCGGGAGCAAAGAATTTTGCAGCGACTACAACTCAGAATGTATAAAAAGAAAGGAATTCAGGAATCTGAGCCTGAAGTTACCTCATTTTTCCCAGAGTCAGATGATGGTGAGTGGCTTTAAATATGGTATTGCAGGTGTCCTTTTCTCCCACCTGCAAAAGCTTGATTGAGAAGGATTGGCACAACCCTGTTGTAAAAGTAGAAATCCAAAATGTGAGTGGCTATTGCAATTAGATAGTTTACCTTCTCTTCTCTTTTCATCCTAGTTGAAAGCTTGCTGATCACCCCTTACTTGCCTGTTGTAGCATTTGGCCGACCGTTACCAAAATTAAACCCACAGTAAGTATACCCATATGCTTACATTAAAGGAGAAAATATTTTATGGAAATGGGTGGACTTAAATTGTGGGCTTCTTGTCTGAGGGGGTGATCTTGTTTCTGCCTAACGTGATAGAGTGTTTCGCTATTTATAGACAAACTTTGATTTCAAAGTGATTTCACAGTTTTGCAATTGAGTGAGCACTAAAAGGACTATGATTTGCAATCTGCTTATTGTGAGGTTTATGGTATTGATGGAACATGTTAAACACACTCCAGCAGGGTTGCCTATTTTCAGACCCAGAAACTCATCCAGGGTGCCAGTCACAAAATGGCTGCCAGGGCGTGGCATCACACAAAATGGCTGCTACATCTAAAAGGGGGAAGACCACAAAATGGTGTGGGTATGCCTCTTTAACACTTCTACTCTTAAATTTTATGCTGGGTCTTACCAGCTTTTAGGCTAAAAATGATTTTACTGGTCATACTTCTTGGTTCTGTGCATTTTTGCTGAAATCTTTAGAACCATGGCTTTGTAATATTCTGTCCCCTAAGACTGCAGAAGTCAGGTACTGAAAATAGTTGATAAAATGTGACAATTATTTCACTGGATGGCTGATAGAAACTTGATTTTCATGGTATTCTTTCAAATGTCCTGCTTTCTAATTCCATTCGCAAGTTCAACTCAAGGCTTTTTCACTTCTTGACATGTTTTGTAGTAATAATTTAAAAAGAATGCTACACATGAAGAACAACATTTCAGGAACTGTTGTTCAGTCTTTTATATTCTTTAAAATACCATGCAAAATATGTGCAGATTGGCTACTCTGTGGCTTACACTTATTTCCAGTGTGTCTATAAATGACTGACATGTGCTTATTGCCAGCTCCTCACATAGGACTAGAAACTTGAGCTGCCAGATCTTTCCGTTCACCATAATTAACTGTTTTCCATGGGCCACTTTGTTCCACAGGAATTTTGAACTGCCGTGGCTGGATGAGCGAAGCCGTTGCCGGCTGGAGATGCAGAAGAAACAGACTCCTCACCGGACATGCAGAAAATAGGCATGTCCAACTAGGAGAAAACTCTGCCTTGATGGTAGGCTTGTGCTATTTGCAGCAAATGGCAGAGAACCTATATGTTCTGTCATGTCACTCTTTCCCCGTGATGTATATTCTTGTTTACTATAAATAATTTTTACGCTCACATATAGTTTTATTTTCTCCCCCACCCCACCCCCATAAACTTCTTCACTGGTTTTCCATTTTTTCCTTTGTCTGGCAGAAAGTACTGGAGGCTTGTGTTGGGACAGCAAGGTTGGCAGCTTACAATGCACTTCAGTTTATCTCTATTGGATAATTAACAGCCATTTAAAAACTGAAAGGTGGACAAGCATTAAAAAAATACAATGAAACTCTTCTCATTTGTAAGTTCTCGAGCATGCAAAGCCCACCCCTTCTTTTACAAACTAATAAAGCCTTTTGAAATATTTAGCCTGCTGGTTAACGACCTTGAACATTTGTGTGGGTGGGAGACACATTACCCATTAAGATATATTGGACAAACATTGATGTTTCTTCTTGTCCTGGTGCTTGTAATTGCTGTTCTAAAAAGGCTCTGCATATGGTTCTATACATTTCCTCCCACCTCGTTTGGTTTTTCATGTTCTACTGTTATGATATGGCTAGTTAATATATTTTCAATGGGTATAAACAACCCTTGTTCATACCTTCTGCTTCTGATTACAGGACAGCAGGTTATTAAACTTGACATTTTATTACTTATAGTAAAGGGCTCCATACCTTGACAACTATGTCACACTGTTAGTTCTGTTGGAACAGTTAGGTATAAACCAGGGTTGACAGTGCAATGTCAGATTGTCTCCAGACTTTTCCTGGTTTGTTTTACCAGCAGGCTCTTTATTTCTTAGTTTTCTTCTGTTATATACAGTGTGGCTAAATTGTAGGCTATTTTTATATATAAAAGAAACAAAATTTTGCACAATTCTAGTTTCTTATTGGAAATTCTCATTGGCAGTTCTGCCAGATTTGCTAATAAATGAGGCATGGAGAATTGAGTAGATAATGACCCGTGGCACTGCCAAGCAGCACAAACGGCATCTCAAAATAGTCCACCCCAGCTTCACCAAAAATCCCAGACTTTGCCTCTTACCTGGTATATGATGGAAGGACTTTGTTGCTTAGCAACCACCATGTACTTCCATCCCCAGATCCGGCAAAGCAACTGCTACTGGAGGGAAGGGCAACAATGAGAGAGGCAAAAGGATTTTATCCTCTTGCCATACATAAAGTGATTAATCCCCCCAATATCTCTTGAAAACGATGGTTTCCTCTCCCTGCCTGAAGTCCATTGCAACATAAGTTTATATGTATCTTAGGGAAGGTTAAAGTCTGTTAGAGAAGTGGTTGTGCCTGTATTCTTCACTACAGCAACTCCCATTTGTTTACATTGAGTTAAATCAAAGTAACAGCTGAACCCTTGTGTCTGTTTGAAGCTTGTTTAGCATCTTTTAAGTAAGATTCCAGCTCCTGAAGATGAAACATTCATCCCCTCCAGAGAACAGGGAATTCCTTTATAATTCCACATTCTCATCTGCCTGATCCATGCAATTGCAGGAAGCTGCCTGGGTATGTGTGATATGCACACATGCTCAGATGAGCAGTGAAGCTACCTTTTACTTCTTTGCATTGAATGAAACTTCTGTATAAATAGAAAGCAAGCTCTGGGTCTCAGTTTCATTGCTTGTTGCAGATCCCAGTGCAGGATGATGTCCAATGCTTTTGCACACTAAGGACATCATTGAAGGGTAAATGCTTATCTAACACATTTGTTTTTCTATCACATCTTTCAAATACTTCTAGTAGTTGCTGTTCCACTTCTGGGTTACGTTCCCCGGGAATTCAGAAGGATACCTTCCCCCCCCCCTCAGAGTAGCACGCTCAATGTGAACATAGTTAAAGAGGTCATGAGTGTGGCTTAAACTTCAAAATGAGAAAAACAGATCCTGTCTTTTGCCAAGTAATCCGTGTAGTTGAGGTAGTGCACAATGCTTGCCTAATTTTATTTTAAATAAGGCTGTATTTGAATCTTTTGCTCTCTTTTAGCATGCCAGCATGCATCCTTATTTTTATTTCTTTTTTGCACCCTGCAGTTACAAGCCTGGATGTTAAAAAAAAGAAGCCTCAAGTATAGGCTTCTTGAAGGCACTGATTTCAGACTTGATCCTGCCAACACTTGGGCCTACTTTCTGCTCTCAAGTAAGCACAAGCAGTTTGCAAGATTGTGTCTTAGGTCTATATCCCATTGGGGGAGGGGATAACTGCTTTTGCTTAGCCCAGAAAACATCTATTATCAGAAGTGCCACAGTGTGTGTTTCTGAAATACAACAGCAAAATATTCCCTAGTCAGTAGTGTGCTGGTTTACAGTACAAGAAGAATCCCACTTATATAATAACACATGCAATTTAGATCTAAGAGGATGGGTAGGTGTGTGGAAGTAGGTAGGGGTTGTACAAAGCATTTGCAGTGGATGTTAGTTGGGAGTGGAGGGAATAGCCTTCCCTATAGGGGATACAGCACTGTGAAATTTGTATTTGCCCTTGCAAATTAGATCTGATACTTGGTTTAGGACAAAACATTACTTTTAACCAAGCTTATGGTAGTTCAAAAAAAAAAGTGTCTGTAATCCCTTCCTTTGTTTTCTGCCCTTTGACATGTGGTTGTCTGCAAATGCATCCTTTTTGATACCATTTTAAATATGTAAAATCAGTTGTCTTGTAAATATCTTATAAAGGAAAAAAAGTTTGTAAATACCAAATTTGTGGCTGTTAATGTTTGGGGTTTTTGTTTTTTAAAAACTTTTTGCTTCAGTTCATTTAGGTTTAACAGTGTTAACAGGGAGTATTAAGAGAAATTCTGCTTGTATGTTTAAACAAAATTGAAACAAATCATTTTTTTTTTTTACAATAAAATGGAAAGAATATTGATGCTTTTGTCATGCATTATGCATTGTTTAATGGATTGGGTAAAACCTTTGAGTGTCAGAATCTGCCTTTATGGTCACATTCTGTTATATACTAGAAGCAGAAAGGGAAATACATGCCTTATAGCCCAGTCTTATGCACATTTACTTGGAAATACATCTCACTGACTGCAGTAAGACATACTCCCAAGTGAGTGTGTATGAGACTTCAGCCCTTTCTTGTTCAGTGCCAGCTCAGTCCAGTGTGCAGCTGCTGTGAAAAAGATGAATTCTGTATTATTGAGAAAGGGATTAGAGATAAAATGTGCCAATGCTGTAATGCTGTTATACAAATCTCTTGTAAGATCTCACTTGGAATAACTGGGTACAGTTCTGGTTGCCTCGCCTCAAAATGGATATTGTAGAGCTGGAGAATGTTCAGAAAAAGATGACCAAATGATCAAGGAGATGGAGCAACTCCCCTATGAGGAAAAAGTTACAGCATTTGGGCTTTTAGTTTAGGAAAAAAGGTGAGTAAGGGAATATATGATAGAGATGTATAACATGATGTGTGGTGTCAAGGAAATTTTTCTTCCTCATAATACTAGAGCCATCCAGTGAAGTTGAATGGTGGATGATTCAGAAAAGAAAAGAGAGTACTATGGAATTTGTGACCAGAAGATGCAGTGAAGGCTTTTAACGAGGATTAGACAACTTAATGGATGATAAGGCTATGTTCTGCCTCCACCGTAGGAGAAACTGAATGTTAGTTGTTTAGGAAGGACAGTTGGGAAGAGTGCTGTATGCTCAGCTTTCCCTTGCGTTGGCTGCTGTGAAAACAGGATGCCTTACTAGGTGACCCTTGATAGAAAAAGAACTTGCACGTCCATGAGCTAGTTGGAGCAATTTGATTTGCTGTAAATCAACTTCAGACGTGCAGTTCGCTGTTAGGTGTATGCAGACTGTATCCTAAACTGGCAGGTATTGGGTAGAAAGATGTTTGAACAGTGGGATGAAAAGGCAGCAAATGCAAGTCATAGCACTAGGCCTGTCACACTCTCATATAGAGTCAAAGTATACAAAAAAGTAGCTCCTGGGGGCGGTGCTGTATTCTTACAATACTATACTGTTTTAAGTAGCTTTGGGTTGCCCGGGCATTATAAAGCAACTAACACATTTTAATAATAATAATATATGCCCAGCACATTTTAACACTTATGAGCAGGACAGTAATTTCCCAAAATGGGAAAAGTGCAGCTTTTTTTTTGTATATGTCAATGGGAATGCCCTAAACTGCTTTATATGATGGGTGTGCTCTTTTATTAAGTCTTTGTTGGAAGTATGATTATTTTTTGAGATCAGATGTAGTTCCTTGGGGAATGTAATGTTTGTTTTTATTTGGGCAACTGCTACCCCACCCATCAGCAGGACTGCTCCCAGGGTGGCTAACAAAGCATGGAAACAATTAAAATCAAATCAAACATAACAAAAGTGAAAACATAGATCAAAAGGCCTGTTAAAAAAACAAACAAATCTGGTGCCAGAAAACACGAGAGTTGGCTTTAAGCTAGCCTCTCTGAGGAAATCATTTTAAAAGAAAAACCTCTTGTAGATACAGTACAGTACTTCGTCTACCCTCAAAATGGATGACGTTAATGGATGCATAGCTTCAATATTCTTAGGTCGATTTTCGTATGTTGTCATTGTTAAATGTCAGAATTGTCTCCCCCTACTTCCTTGTGTAAATACTGACCTGTTTGCCCCTTCTGCTGTTTACCTAGGGCAATGCTAGTATTGGTGGAGGATATGGAGGGGGCTGAGCTTCCATTGCTGTTATCGCTAGTTTAGTTTGCCTTGTAATGGGGGGGGGGGGGGCGAACGCCAGAATCCGTAGTTGGCGGCTATATTTTATTAGGGCAACCAAAAGTGCAAGTAAGTGTGACAAGCTTTCGCGTTCTCCAGAACCTTTCATCAGGGCAGTTGCTACACAATGTGCCAGGTGGTGAAGATTTTATTTTTTCTGAAGTACAAAAAAAAAACCCAAAACACTGCGGATTGTTTCGAAGCTTATTTCTGAGTCTTGCACCTCCTTTCTGAGCCCACCCTAACCTTGCCTTAACTGGTCTTGCATCATTCCTCACCCCACCCCGCTATAGACTCGTCGCTTTATTCCCTTAGGTCCCCTGTACAACGCCTTCCCACAACCGCTTTACTACTGCAGGGAGAAAGGGGTGACGTCACCGTCGCAATGGGAAAACGTAATGGCAGAAGAAGCGCCGTTCCTGGCGGATTACGACCCCCCCTCTTTTTTTTTTTTTAATGCAGCAGCCCGCGAGGGCATGGAGCACGTGATGCTGTTGCTGGGCTGTCCTCTCCGCCCGCCATTGGAGAGCCGCCTGCTGGTGACGTCGCCTTCCGCGGCCCCTTGATTGGGCGCGAATTTTCTTCCCCTCTTAAAACCCCTTCCTCTCTTTACTTTTTTTTTTGGTTGTTGTTCCTTTCCCGCCGCCGCTTCGACCGCAAAGGAGCCTGGGTAGCTCGAGGGGGGGGGAAGCGCAGAGCAGCGCGGGCATGTCGCTCTGCATGTCGGGAGCTGCAGTCCTTCCGCGGCCTCGCGCCTCGCCTCCTCGTTTTCCCGTCATTCCCTTTGCGCCGCTGCTGCCGCCGCCTACTTCCCCCTCATAAACGTTTCGCTTCTTATTTCTTTCTCGGCTACTGTTAAGATGGCGGACCGTCGGAGGCAGCGCGCCTCGCAGGACAGCAGCGAGGACGAGGAGTCCGACTCGCCGCCCGGCAGCGCGGCCCCTTCCCCGCGGGGCGCCCACCGCTCTGGCCTGGCCGTGGCGGGAGGGGGCGGCGGCGGCGGCGCTGCTGTTGACGCCGTGAGCGCGGAGGCGCCGGTGACGGTGGGAGGCAGCCCGGCCGACTCGGAGTGTGTGAGTGTGGAAGGGAGCCTGGTGGGAAGAGGAAAAAGGGGGCGGGGGCGGGGAGAGAAGCTGCTTGGACTTTCTCCTCTGGCTGCACCCGGCTCTTGTCGGGGCCCGCTTTCACCGCGGGCCTGGACCCCGGAACTACCGGCGACATTAAAGCAAAAACGGCAGTGTACCTGCGAATGCACAGAGCGGTCCTTGGTTGTTGATTTTTTTAAAAATCTGAACGCTTGCCGTTGAGTAGCCGTAGCTCGTATCCGGTTGTCCTACGCTCAAACGATGTGGTTTTTTGGTTTTAAGTATATCGTTCTCCGTTTCGGGGTTGTTGTTTTTTTTAATTGTTATGTAAAGATTGCTTTTAATGCCTCCCTTAGTTACAAAAGTGTTTCCGAGCACATTTAATCGGATTTTTCCTCAGCAAGCTAGTTCTTGGGTCTTTGGCCAGGATTCAAGAATTTGGAGGCCAACGGATGTGCTTATCAGTCGAGCCTTAGTCCCGGTTATCTTTGTGGTTTTCCATCTGGGAACTTAAAACTGTTAGTTGTGTCTATGAGATGAAAATGTGCACTGTATTCCCTCGGTCTGTAGTCATATTTTTAGAACCTGGGTATTTTTAGAACCTCTTCTCCCCCGCTAAGCCTTTTCAAAGACCAGGGTGTCATCAACCACTTTTGTTTCTTGGAGTAACATTAATGTTAAGTGTGACATTTGAGGTTTTTAGCTAACAAGCTCCAATAGTCTTGGTAAGCAAACTTTGCTGTGATGTTTTGAAAGCTATAAAAACAACAATATGGTGATTGAAGCTGCTAAGGTTATTAGTCCGTTTGCAAAGTAATGGTGGGGTTGGTGGTGGTGTCCAAATGGAGATAAAACTGAAGAGTTTGAAGCAGACAGCATTTGAAAGAGCTTTTAGGAATTAAGACACACCCTTTGCTGGATGGCCACATTAGGATTTACAGATGGCATGCACTTTGTTTTATTGAATTGGCTGCTTGTTTGATAGATCCACCAGGTCTTTGCCTAATTTATTTTGTTCGTACTGAAATACCAGATTGGTTCTCAGTTCTGATTTCTGTTTTCCCCTGAATTAAGGTGGAATCAACAACTAACAGCTGCAGTCTTGTTGTCATAGTGCAATGAAATAGTATGTATCCAGTGTGCTAAAATGTTGTACAGTGATTCCAAGCTTGGAATACCTAGTTTAGATTGCCAGTTGGGACACATCTACTGTGGTTGGGTGGGAATTGCACATCCTTCTGGATAGCATTTAGCAGCTGCCATGTTTTTCGTTTGCTTTCCTGACTCCCTTGTTCTTTTGAAGGTATGGCTTTCAAAGTTTGAAGCAGACCACCTCTGTAAGAAGACCTAAATGGTTGTGCGGGGAGACACAAGAAATAAAGAACAATAGAAAGAGGGTAGCATCATGTAACATGATCAAGCCTGAAAACATGAATGAGTAAAGGAAGTAGACTTAGTAAGCAGAAATTGTAGGTCCCAGCATGTTCCCCACATTAACAGCCCTTCCTTGGGGCTCTTTCTCTTTGCAAAGGAAGTTGTTGACAGTCTGTTGTCTGTAATACAGTGGACCTTGGTTCTTGAACCAAGAGAGCCAGTGTGGTGTAGTGGTTAAGAGCGGTAGTCTCCTAATCTGGGGAACCGGGTTCGCGTCTCCGCTCCTCCACATGCAGCTGCTGGGTGACCTTGGGCCAGTCACACTTCTCTGAAGTCTCTCAGCCCCACTCACCTCACAGAGTGCTTGTTGTGGAGGAGGAAGGGAAAGGAGAATGTTAGCCGCTTTGAGACTCCTTCAAGGGAGTGAAAGGCGGGATATCAAACCCAAACTCTTCTTCTTCTTCTTCTTCTTGAACGGCTTAGTTGTCAAACAAATCAGCTTCCAAATGCCGCAAACCCGGAAGTAAGTGTTCCGGTTTGCAAACGTTTTTCGGAAGCTGAACATCTGAAGCGACTTCCACTTGAGCGCAGGAAGGTCCTGCAGCCAATCAGAAGCCTTGGTTTTCGAATGTCTTCAGGAGTCAAACGGACTACCTGAACGGATTAAGTTTGAGAACCAAGGTACCACTGTGGGCTTGTCCTTGCTTTCTAAAGGTATGCTCACACCAGGCAATTCTTTTCCCAGCAGAGTAGGGAAAGGGCACCTTTCTGCCTCTGGAGAATGCCCTGCTCTTCTTCTCAGCAGGTGCATCATCTGCATGCATAAGTTGCAGTGGAAGAGCTATTTCTCTTGCCTGTCCAGTTGAGACACAAACCCAATTTTTTATTTATGAGATCGGTTGGTAGGCAGGGTTCCGGCTTGTTGCTAAACTGAGCACTCCTGCAGTCAGTGTGTTTTGAGACCGTGCAGTACATCCATAAGAAGTGAGTCCCCCTTTAAATGAGAAAATCACATTCCCATAGCCAAATCTGACCAAATAAGTGACTCCTTCAGAGATTTGGTGTGTAAAGCACTAGCTTTTTCCAGACAACATCTGAAGAAAATACGTCCTAAAGAACCCTAGGTAGCTGTTATTGTTAACACAAGCAATAAAAGGAAAAGAGGTGAATTAAAGCAAAAAGAAAAATAGAATTGGGCCAAGAGAAACAACATTTTCTGAGGCTGCATAAATGTAATGTATTTAAGTGTACTGGATCTTGGCTACTAGCTACATCCCCCACCTGGCAAGACCCACATAAAATAACTGAACAATATTATTGCTGCTGTTTGCTTATATGATAGAGAATGTTGCAGTTTCATTAAAATATTCAGTTTTGTGTTCCTTCATCACCTAGAGTTCTTAACATATGTGTATTGCAATAAGCATTTTCATTTGTGTTCTTATTGAGGGTTATGCTGTTTTTCTTTATGGTAATATTTCTTTCTCTTAAAACAGGAAAGTGAAGACGGCATAGAAGGAGATGGTAAGTGATGTTCTCTCTTTTAGTTTGAGTGATTGTGAATGGTGAGGCGTAGTGTAGATTTGGTTAGGGAATATTCTTAGAATTAATGCTTATTGTAATAGCATTTTTTAAAACAACCAAGCAGCATATACATTTTCTTTAAAAAAAAATCAAGTTGTAATTCTACAAGGAAGATGTTCCAGACACAAGCCCTTATGCTTATGGTACTTTGGCCTGTAGGTAAATTCAGACATCTTTTGTTAGAAATGGACCTCATCATAGATGAATGGGTGGTAAGGTTTTCTACCAGAGTTTTGTTTGGCTGTTTGTATTAATGAAAACACAGTGTGATGTTCCTCCCCCCCATACATTTTAATGGCTTGGATATCTTATAAAGTGGTAAGACTTCCCCACATTTACCACTTGATAAAATGGTTTTCTGTATTTGTAATCTATGACATTTGTCATTGACTGAGGAGTGCATTCCATTTCCTCTACACACCAAGCTTATAGAATGTGGCCAGAGCTGCCTTATTAAAGAACAGCTCAAGGGTTCCCATATCCACCATCACTTTGTGAACATGTGGACAGTGAAAATTCCCCTGCTTCACTGGCCACAGACTCTGTGGCAGTGAAGGAGCCATATATATATATATATATATATATATATATATATATGCACTTCATTAGGATGTGAAGTCTTAATGCACTGTCCTAGAAACTTCAACGCAAGGTTGAATTTTGAGGAGGGATTTGAAGACGGGGGGAATTTCAGCATTATGTAAGTGTTCAGAAGAAGCTGGAAACATAAGAAGCAGCAAAGCAAAAAAGTGATTATTTTACAGAAGCATAAGGCCAACAGATGATTGAGGGTGGTGGATTTTGAGGAGCTAAGAACATAGGTAGGAGGATGTGGTGGTGGCGGCAGAGGGATGAGGTGGGGCAAGGCCATAGTGGACTTTCAAGGTAACAGCAAGAACAGTTGAGAAAACATTGTAGGGATTAAGGAAAGGCTTACATGTCATGTAAGCGTTGAATAATTTTGGTGCAGAATTCTGAATTTAGGCAAGAGGGATGAAGTGACATTGGAATGCCACAGAGGAGATGGTTGCAGTAGTTATGAGAAATGGCTTGAATGTGAACAAGAGCTTTTTACTAAGAGGGCAGAGAAGCATGACCAGTGTATTTATAGTGTTTTAGATTGAGAAGCACTATGTCTTGTTGGTGAACGGAATGTGAAAAGAAAAGAAAAATAAGTGTGTGCATCAAAGATTAAACAAGTGTTGTGTCTGTTAAGTTGTGTGGATGATGACTTTGTCAATGGATCGAGAGAGTATATGAGAAGAGAATGGTATGGGAAGATGAGAAATTTGGTCGTCTACATAACAAATTTTAAAGGGTTTGTCTAACCGCAAACAACTCTTCTTTATATTTAGCTGTTCTTTCTGACTATGAAAGTGCTGACGACTCAGAGGTGAGTTACATTTTTACTGACAATTTCAAATATGTCTGTTGCCATTTTTCTGGTGTACAGTATTAACATGCCAATGAACTTTTATTTAGAAAAGGAACCTTCAGGAATCTGGACCCTTGGATGAATTGGAATGTGTAATTGTTATCTCATTTACCATGGAAAAGCAGTCCACTTCTGCGTTTTGAAATTTATTATATGTTATCTATCCTCTGTATTCAAAGCTTACCTTGGGGGTTTTAGACCTAGAAGCATGTGCCTTGGATGCCTGTTTATCTTCTGCTGGTGTTGGGGAAGCCATCAGGTTCCAAATGGTGGTTCACTTACATTAAACCATAGTTATAAACAAACTGTGGTTTTGTGTGAGCGTGAGGAACACAGAACTGAAAAGTTCTTATTGTGCTCCTCCCTTATTCCTGAACTGCTGGAAACAAGCCAAAGTCTGGCTTTGTCATGGCAACTGAACTTGGGTTTGTGGTTTGTTTCTCCCAAACTACGAGCAGTAAGCCAACAACAAATGTTGGCTATTGCTCATGGTTCATTTCTCTTTAAACAAACCACAAGCCCATGTTCAGACATCACAACAAGATGGAATTTGGCTTGTTTCCTGCCACTTTAGCAGGGGCAGAGAAGGAGTGCTGTGAGAACTCTTCAAATTAAACCATAGATTGTGTTTACTAATAGATTGACTTGCAGAGCAAAACAGTTTGTATAAGCCTGTTCAGACAAAACAGTGTCCTGGAGGAAAAGATTTTTTGTAAAAAAAGAAAAATTCTTTAAATTGCTAGGCACCTGCACCAATTGAATCACATTGGATGTTTGTTTCAGGCTGAGGAGGGGGAATACAGTGAGGAGGAGACATCCAAAGTGGACCTGAAGCAGGAGAGTAATGAAACTAATGAGCTGACAAGAAAATCAGACAAAGGGGATGAAAAACCAGAATCGAAAGGCACTGTGGCAGGCGAGAGGCAGAGTGGGGATGGCCAGGTAAGTCTTACTAAATGCTGAGTATAGGTACTAACCATTTAAACGAAAAGGTGCCTTTGTATTTACTTTTCAAGAAATAAATACTTAGTTTCATAACGTTCTAAAAGAAGCTTCCTGCATTTTTGTGTAATAGGCTAGTGTTAGGGAAATCAATAAAGGCATCAAATTTTAAACTGCTTTGCCTTTTTCCCACTTACACAAATGCAGTTAGTTATTTTCACCACTAGAACACGTTCCTACATTCTTTCTACACAGTCTCTAGCCATTGGTGTTGTCATAATCATCCAGTGTTCTGTACAGCTGATATTTCTAACGTATAACAAATCAGTACATACATAAGGATACCTGACTGAATCATACCTGGAGTAGACCCATTGAAACAAATGACTTAACTAAAGTCTTCATTAGGTCTGTTCTGAATATAGCTAACATTGGACATTGTCCTTTTTCTTTTTTCTTTCTTTTTTCAATATTCCAATAGTGACATCACTTAGGAGAAATAGCAGCAGATCTAGTTGTACTTTATATCCTGAAAATTTCTCCATTATAGATAGATAGATAGATAGATAGATAGATAGATAGATATAAATCTTTTCCCAACATTTTTCAGCTGGCAAACAATTTCATTGCAAATGATAGAAATCTTCTCTCACATTTTCAGCAGTTCAACATACAATTCTTACTTTTCTTGCCATTAAGGGAACAGTATCTTGCAACAATTCTCTCTTAATATTCATACACAAAGAAAAAGTGCTGTTGAAAAGTCTCTCTCTAAGTGTATAGGTGTATACTAAGTGTATAAGTGTATACTCCAGATGTTGAGTCTACTTCACCATAAATGCACTTGTCCACACTTCTCAGCATCATGCTAAGCGGATTGCTGTCCATGCAGGCCCTTCTGCTTGCCTAATCTGCAGCACAGGGAGAGGAGGAAGTCATGCTGTGCTAGCGGAAACCACAGGCTTCGGCCAGCAGGGCTTGTTAGTTGAATCCCACTCAGCACTTTGAAGAACATTTTCTTATTTACTGGTTTTGCTTTATCAGTTAGGTAATACAGGTTTCTTTTCCTTTATTCCGGAGTACTTGCATGGTTTTTGGAGAGTTGTTTTATGGAGAATACTATCTTTATTCTCAGACAGCTGTTCTACATATGTTATCAGTTTTATCTTCTGTGATAACATTTGACCAAAACATTGGATGAAGAGGATGGGTTCTGGAACACTTTGGTGGGTTTCTGTGTAGGCAGAAGACCAAGAGGCGCTTGCTTTCCTTTTTCTTGTAGGAAAGCACTGAACCAATTGAGAACAAGGTGGGCAAAAAGCTTCCTAAGCACCTGGATGATGACGAGGACCGGAAGAACCCTGCATACATACCTCGCAAAGGTCTTTTCTTTGAGCATGACCTTCGTGGGCAAACTCAGGAAGAGGAAGTCCGGTAGGTGATGTGGGCAGCGAGTGAAGCGAGGTGGGTTTGCAGAGCAAGGGGTGCTCTTGGTCAGGAAGGGTTAGAAAGTTGAAAGAATGACTGCTCACAGAGAAAATAATACAAGCTAATACAGAAAACTTTTTTAAAAAAAACTATGTGCTATCGCCAATGTGGGACCATTTCTTAATGTTGCGGTTACAAGAACCTTGAGTGGCTTTGAGCAGCCATCTACTGGCGCGTAGACCCTCAGGAAGCATTATTTGCTTTACATAGTCATTTGACTGTTTCTTCTGAGTCCCATGTTTCTCCTGGGACAGACTTTATTGGTTGGGGTACCCTGGTTTTGATATTCCCTCCCTTGATGCCCAGTTGACTTTTATTTTAGTGGCGTTTTAGCTAAATGAAGACCTTTCTGTTTTGTCAGAATTTTGCCTGATTTGAGTTTTCTCCCTGCACTCGGTGCGTTTATACAACTCTGGTTTTAGTTTTTATTTGTATTCCACTGTATTAAGATCAGTACATTTTCTTGTTCCTGCCAAAGACCATAACAAATGCATTCTCCAACAAGCCAATACAATAATACAAAGATAATTCAATTTCAAACCTGGCAACAAAAGTAGGAATAGGAACATAAATTAGATCTTAACATCTGTTGCAGTACATTTTAAAATCTATGGTTTTGGACCCCTTCTGAGGTCCTGTGTTGCTAGAAAGAAGGGATAGAGCCGCTTTCTATAAATATAAACATTAAAGCCTCACTGATTCTTTCCCTCTTGTCACGCAAGGCCTAAGGGCCGCCAGCGCAAGCTGTGGAAAGATGAGGGACGGTGGGAGCATGACAAGTTCCGGGAAGACGAGCAGGCACCGAAAACAAGGCAGGAGCTGATTGCTCTTTATGGGTATGATATCCGCTCAACACACAACCCTGATGACATCAAGCCCAGGAGAGTGCGCAAACCAAGGTGAGGTAACAAAGACAAGTGTATGTACTTGTTGTATTATAGTACCGGACCGGGGGGGAGGGGATGGTGTGGTGGTGCAGGAACATTAATGATGTGGAACTCAGTTCTGTGCCCTGAATAGCTTGAGGAATGTGCTTCTGACCTGTAGCATCTTATCTCCATTCAGATTTGGGAGTCCACCACAGAGAGAGCCAGATTGGGCCAATGAACGGCCTAGTAAGCCGCCACGGCACCAGAGCCTAGAAAGTACTCCCGTGCCGCCCAGGACATTCATCAATAGGAACTCCGCAGGGACAGGACGGATGCCCCCACCAAGGACTTTCCCAAGACCCGGTGGCTACAAAGAGACCCGTCCATGCTACCGGGCTGTGGATGTGAACAGCCAGCACGCGCCTCGCTTCAGTGAGCAGTCAAAGCACGAGAGCAATTACCGTTCCAGGCGTTTGGAGCCCCTCCCACCACGAGAGCCTTCTCCTGAAGTAGAGATTCCGCACATTCGCAACAGCCCTGTTAAAAAGGAAGAAGTGGTTTCAGAAAGCCCAGCAGCTCCTGCAGATGTTCTGCAGCCACCACCAGATAGGCCAGTGGAGAAGAAGTCCTACTCCCGGGCAAGGAGGACTCGGACCAAAGCAGGCGAGACGGGGAAGTTGGCCGAGGAAGTCCCGCTTCCATTGGGGTTGACTCCTGCACCGCTGAAAACTACTGAGGTTATACCATCCCCTTCGCCAGCAAAGACTGGTAACTGGGAGGTGCCTGTTGAAGCCAGCCTAGATGGGCTCGAGCAAGACATAACCCAGTTAAATATAACAGAACAGAACTGGAGCCCAGGGCAGCCCCAGTTCATACAACCTCAGGGTAAGTGGCTGGCTGATGAACTGAAGCAGAGGGGGACTAGCTTTATTTACTTGATATGTTTATAATCCACCCCCATAGAGCAGTTTAGAAAGAACAGTAAATCTAAGTTCTGACTCATCATAAAACAGTTAAAACATCACTCTAGCCAAATATGTATGTGGTTATTTCAAACTGCTATGTGGTTCCTTTGCTGTTCTCTTTATTTCCTAGAATTTTGTTTTCTTCCCTGCCCTGCCTCAACATTTTCCTTTGTCCTCCTCCTAAACCTCGCCTTCTTAAGCCCCAGTCTTCACTTTCTACTTATGTTCACCTTCCTTGCTTCCCTTAGTTTGCTGCCTTCTTAAGGCCCTGGCTCTTGTTTTCCTAAGTCCAAGTTGCTTCTGTCCACCCCTATTTGTCTAGATGCTTTTCTTTAGGATCTGAGCAGCTCAATCTATGGTAAGCAGAGTCTTTTAGGATCAGAGATCAGCAATAACCAAAAGCTCTTATTGCATCTCTGTGACATTGGGACATATCCACTCACTGGCAGAAGTCCCAACATCATTAAAAAAATTCAAACATAACTTAAATCCCAATTGTTCATTTTTAGCCACTAAGTATTTGCCTAAACTGAAGGTCCGAGAGGATGCAGGAGTTCCATGACTGTTCTGCGAAAGCTCCTCTTTCTGTGCTGATTTGTCCTGGAAATAATATCCTTCAGTTATTCTGAGAAATCACATTAAGATAAAGCAGAAAAAGCAGTTTCACAGTTCTGTAGGGTTTGGACTGGTGAGGACTTCGTATGTCAAACCTCCTCCAGTGTTTACACATCATGCTTGCAGTTTCTGAACACTGCCTACGCTTTCAAAATTCAACTTTTTTTAACTATGAAGGCTGCAAAGTTTGCTTTTAAACACACAGGGATAGTTTTCCATCAGACTCTGCATTGTCTTGATGAGGAGAGAAGTATATGAGCAGGCATAGGGACTCTGTACAGCTCCGTTGTATGTGAAGTGCTCTTTAATGCACTGTTGAATAGAAAAGAAGAAAAGCTGGGGTTCACAGGATGTTGGCCTAAGTAGGGAAGTACCCACTGTAGGCTCAGCCAACTCAACCCAGGGTCCGCTGTGATAGCGTATGAGGTTGGTTGGAACTAAGGAGGTCTCTGACCAGTGCTCAAAGGGGTGACCAGCTGGGAAATGCATGTACACCACCTTGGGTTCCATGGCAGAAGAAAAGTGGGATATAAGTGTAAGAAAATAAACTTCTCGTTGAGGCAGAGGTGGTAGGTTCTGCAGCAGTTGGTGCCATCTACCAATGTGGACATCCTGTTATGAGCCCTTGTGTTCTGTAACGTAGCCCCAAATCTACTTCATTCAAAGATTTGTAGTATGGTTGCGAGGGACCAGATACAGTTCATTTGAAGAGACATATAGGCCTGCCACTTGGCCATCCCTTCTTTTATAAAAAATGGCACCTGAACTTCCATTTCTTTCTGGACCTTATTGCACATCTGAACATTTCCTCTGGCATTATTTGGTATCAAATATTTTTCATTATTAGTACAAAAGGTTAGGGTCTTAGGAGCTGACTGCATTGGTTATTCCGCTTTGCAATGCAGTCAAGCCATGAAGTCTTCTAGATCTGCGGCCGTAATGAGTCATAGGTGACATAGTGACCTTACACATGCTGAAATTTTGTGCTCTTTGGACTTTCCCTCTACCACGTTTTTCTCTCTCCCTCTTCCCTCTCCCCTCCTTGCTGCACCCATTGGAAAACATGGCAACCAGTCCTGCTCACACGTGGGTACTTGCCACTTTCTGACTTGTATACCAACTTACACAAATATAATTTTCATGTCACTTAATGCCACTTCAGATGTAATATTTAGTTCATGAATTCATCAAAGAGTCAGGAGATGAGAGAGCATGCACAAGAGCTTGTCCTTGGAAATAGAAATATTTGCTTTATCTGCAGAATTTGGTCATTCTTTGTGGGGATTCGTGGGTTTCTGTAGGGCAGATTTTGAATAGGTCTAGACATGCTTCTGTCTATCCAAATATTATCATGCCAGATTTCATTTGAGTGCTTTCCAGCACTCCTTTTTCTTATTTAATGTACCTTGGAATGCTCAGAGTAAAACAGATTACCTGAGCAGGTTGCCTATACACAATAGCAGCCACAGCTGCTCCATGCACACTTCCTCAAAATTGACTAGCACAGGCATGATCTTACTCTACTCAGGCATGACAGCTGAATCTCTCTTCAATGTTCATTCCTATCGCACTTGTATTATAAGGATTCTAAATAGTGCGATAAACTGTAGATAACCACAAAAGCTATCAAAACACTTGCAACAAATAATATCAGACTGGAACCAGTAAAGTGCAGTGTTGGTTTACAGAAACATACAAGTTTTGTAATTATCTGCAGTGATTATGAACAGACTTATCTCAAGTCTTAACTCATCTCCTGTGAATTCTGCTTGGAGGAGTGAAAGGGCCCGCCTTGACTTCAGAGTGAGGTGCGGGAGAATAAGCTAGGGGAATAGATTGCAAGACAGGAAGACTATCTGCAGGTACTGTTACATATTTTTAAAACTTGTTTTCTGTCATGAAGGCTTATTCTCTGTTTTAAAAGAAGCTGAGGTTTGCAGGATGTGACAGTACTGGTGTTGCGAGTGAAATCTGTAGGTACATGGAATATACCCAGCTGATGTTCCTTCCTGACGTACAGTATTAGAGACAATAAGTTGCATGCGCATCTTCCTGCTCTCTCTGCATCTTAGGAAGTAATATCTGTTCTCATTTTCATCTTTCCTCAGGATCCTCCTTAACCTGCTGCCTCTTCCTGGTTTCTTTCTAATGTTAAGTGTAAAGTAGTAATCAGTCTTGTTGCTGTTTTTCCTTTTACTCCCTTCCCAATAGGTATTCCTAACCAGATGCACATTGGAGCAGCCCCACCCCCTCAGTTCAACAGGATGGAGGAGATGGTAAAGTCCCGGGTCTTTTTCCTGCTTTTCAAGTGGTGGGTCTGACTGGCTACCAGAGGATAGGCTGAGGACCTAGAATTCTCTGTAGAGAGTCCCTGCAGCATTTGGGGGAAAGTTACATAACTTGAGTCTGGCTGAGCCCGTGTAGTGGGTTGAATTTGAACTGATTGGGTATTTTTTACAGAGAAATGGGGGATAGGCTGTTGCCATAAAGGGAAAGGGCCAAAAGCAGAAAAGGTGTTGAGCACCACCCAGTACCTCTAGGAATTGGCAGAGTAAGGTGTAAGCGGTAAAGTACCCGGTTAGCTGCTGCTTTTCATTTAACTCTGAGGACTAGACGCCTAAAGTGAGCTTCGATTCTCAGGATTCTGAAGAAGTCTCGCTTTAAGGAGAGATAAGTTCTGAACAGGCCTTAAAAATGGGAACATCCCAATTTGCATGGGCAGGAGCAGGGTGTTTCATTGTGACATTCTTATATGAACTGTGACTACTCTTGTGCTTTTTCAGGGTGTTCAGGCAGGCCGTGCAAAGCGTTACTCATCGCAGCGTCAGAGGCCTGTCCCAGAGCCTGCTCCACCTGTGCACATAAGCATAATGGAAGGGCACTACTATGACACACGTGAGTGCATGCTGCTGCTTAAAAATCTCTGGGTTCCCTATGTTTTGTACTACTATAAAACTCAAGTGGGTTGCAGATGATTTATTCAGCCTTCCATCTACAGTGTTGTAAGTGCTCCCTCAAGTAAAAGTAGATTAATTTGTACCAGAATAACATGGAAATATGAATTACTAATTAATCAGCATGAAAATAACAAAGCACTTTAAAAATTCCTGGATGAGGGGAATCTGAAGCTGAGTCTCCCCAGTCCAAAGAGGAAATTTCCATTTTACTTTTGTGCAGACACCACTTCCATTAATAAGGAGCATCTCCTTATTCACCCCTGAACTATCTCTAAAAGCTGATGTGGCTAAACAGTTCTTTGTATGATTTCACATGTTCTTCCCCCTGCCCTCATGGAAACCGGCTTCTTTTTACTGGGATCCCAGTGTGTTTACTGTTAAACTACCAATGTGTATGGAATAAAGGTCGTATTTGATGGTCTCTCATTACAGTACAGTTCCAGGGACCGATCTACACCCACAGCGAGAATCCTGCCCCGCTGCCTCCCCAAGGGGTGATTGTTCAGCCAGAAATGCATCTCTCCCATCCAGGTAGGGAATTGCTTCTCGCATCTCCTCCTGTCCAGGCATTTCTCTCCAACGCAAGCCCGTGTGAGCTCTGTGAGGCAGAAATGGGGAGAAAAGATAATGGAGCAGTCATATAGGGTTGATTGTTACCTTAAGCCTAAAACCTGGAATATTGGATCAAAACTGTTTCCCTCTTCTCTCCCCCTCACTCGTTGCTTTATAGTACCAAATGGCATCCTTGGTACAAAGCCTTCTCTGTTCCGTGAAAAAAATTGGCACCACGCTGAAGCTTTGGATTCCATCTGTGCCATTCTGCTGCATTTGAAACCCTGTTGCAGATGTGTGTTAGAAGACAAAAATCTAAATTAGGTTTAGCTAATGCAGCGATGGGATGGAGAGATTGTTTTGCTGATCCTTCTGTGCAGATACGATGGGGGGCAGGTGGGCAGATGTCATAAACTTGTTAGTTGTCACCCAAAGCATCTTCAAGTGATTTACATTGGGAAAGAAATACATAAACACATTATGCCATCAGGAGGGGGGGGGAGGATCGTATAATATTATTTTTTCCATACAACATACTGTATTTGGGAAAGAAACAGAAAACCAGTCCCCTGTGATAGAAAATATTGGCAGCACACTAACAACGAACAAAACAGTGCTCCTACCCACTAACCAACATGAAAGAAAAGTTCCATACCAGCACTTCCCCTCCCTAGCCCCAAAATCATTCATGTCAGCCCAGTAATTTTTTAAAATCACACCCCACCCAGAACTCTTGGGTCATAATGAGCTGCTGCTTATTGGGAGTGGGGGATGGATCCTCCAGGGATGGTCTGGCACTTCCCCTCCTGCCATTATCAGGGGTCCAAAAAACAGACCTGCCTCATCGTGTTTTAATAGCATACAGATTTGCCACAGATTTGTTACGGCCATATCTATACTCAAAAGAGCTAAGAAATTATATTAGAAGATTACTGATTCACTTTTTGGAAGAGGAGGGCATTCTGAATCAGGTACTTGTTCCCATCAGATTCTGGAGACACTGTTTTTTTTTTTACTTCTTGCTGCTCTGGGGGAAGCCTTGCCCACTTCATATCCTGTCTTAGGCAAGAGAGAAGGTTTCTTCTGCAAGTCTCTTCTCACGGCTGGCATAATTATTTGAATCCTTCCTTTTTATCTTCCCACGGCTGCCATTTCCTTCTGGGTAGGAAAAACAAAATGAAGGAGAGAACATTTGAGCTTAATTGGATTTAAAAGGAGGGATTTTCTGACCATCTGCAAATCACTGGGATTTTACCCTCCAGGATCAATCCTCACAAGCACAGCACAGGGGCATTGCACAGAGATGCTGCAGAGGACTTGTCTGTGCCATCGGATGGGCACATGAATCCTTCCAGCAAAACGTTTCACTTAATGGAGCAGATTGTAATCCGCTTCAGCACCCTTTCCGTCTTGCGTTCTTGATTTCAGAAGCAACTGTCGATGACTCTTCTTCTCTTCTTTCTCTGCCAGGGTTACATCCACACCAGACACCAGCACCTTTGACCAACCCTGGTTTATATCCTCCTCCTGTCTCCATGTCGCCGGGACAGCAGCCGCCGCCTCCCCCACCGCAACAACTGCTAGCGCCGACCTACTTCTCCCCTCCCCCTGGAGTGATGAATTTTGGCAATCCCAGTTACCCCTACCCTCCAGGACCACTTCCGCCACCACCACCTCCCCATCTGTATTCCAATGCTCAAGTAAGTTTGTTCTCATCTGGGCTTTAAGTCTTTAAACACCGAGATCCAAAGCGGCAGGTGGCAGAGAAACAAAGCATCGCTGGGCACAGGCTCCCCTCCTATCTGAGCAGGCTTTTGTCCTGTCATTAGGGCTCAGGCAAAGCGAGAAGTGTATACAGCACGTGGTACACTGACTGCTGCTCACTGTTGTAGCAGATGCACACTGGGTACTTCTGGGTATTCCTCTTGCTAGTAATTGCGTTGTCAGAGGCAGCTAATCCAAGCTGAGCAAATGCAAAAGTATCTTTGATAGAACAGATTTCATGCTGTGGAGGCAAGACCAAACAAGTCTTACAAGCCACGGAACATGACATTGCCGTTCCGTGTTTCCTTTGGCATTGGCCTAAAAGTCTGGGCATTTATAACTTACCTGTTTATCTATTAAATTTATATACTGCCCTTCATCAGTAGATCTAAGGGTGGTTCACAACACAAGCATACAAGATACATAATGCATAATAACAAGAACAACCCTCCCCCCCAAAAAAAAGAGCTGAATAACCCCCACCCAGTGTTAGAAACTCAAATATATAATCTAATTGACAAATGGCACCTTAAACCTAGATTACAGTTGCCAGAGCGGAATGTCTAGGCAACTTTCTTTGCAGTGAGTATTATTTATTTGTTTGTTTGTTTGTTTATTTCATTTCTATACTGCTTTATATTTTAAAGGAAAAAAATCTCAGAAGTGGTTTACAACACATCAAATAAAACAATCCAGAATAAAACGTATTCAAGCTTCAAGGAGAAGATCCTTCTCTAAGTGACTCTTGGCTTTCTCCATATTTATTTATTTACCTACTTAATTTGTAGAGCTGCCCCATAGCAGAAGTACTATAGGAAGCCAGCATGGTGCAGTGGTTATGTGTCGGATAGGACCGGGGTGATCAGGGTTCAGATCCCCTCTCAGTCAAGAAGCTCACTAAGTAACTTGTTTTGTAGTTGGTTGATGCTGTGGTTTTTGTTTATTTACTGTACCCTGCCCAGAGATCAAGCTTGGATGAAAGGGGGGGGGGCTTCTTTTTCTGTTCATTTTTTCCTTAAATATCGGCTTCCTAAAATTGGACAAACAGTGTTTCTTTTTAACTTTTTCAGATGTGTTTCTGTGATTGATTTATGTGTGTGTACTTTGTATTTAAATTAGTGTGTGTGTGTGCATGCGTGTGCATGCGCAGCTATGATGTATAAACAATACTGTGGATGTTATAACAATATAATATGTAATATTATCAAACACTTTAGACTAGGCTTCCTCAACCTCGGCCCTCCAGATGTTTTGAGACTGCAGTTCCCATCATCCCTGACCACTGGTCCTGCTAGCTAGGGATCATGGGAGTTGTAGGTCAAAAACATCTGGAGGGCCGAGGTTGAGGAAGTCTGCTTTAGACCAACCCAATGGTTTCCTTTTATTTTGGTTTGTAGGCCCAGTCTCAGGTGTATGGAGGGGTCACCTATTATAACACAGTCCAGCAGCAAGTACAGCCCAAACCTTCACCACCCCGAAGAACTTCGCAGCCTGTCACTATCAAGCCACCACCTCCTGAGGTATCACTTACCCTCCCCTGATTCACTCTGTGTGATCATTTGTGATCCCTAGAGAGGGAGTTCACCATTCATAAGACCCTCCTTGAGCCACAAGAGTGGTTTGTGAAAGTGCGGGATCTCTGCTTTTGTGTTGTTCTGATATGTTGCAAACTCTAGATTCTCGTTGCAGGTTGTAAACAGGGCTCCAGTTAACATTTCTAAACGCTATTGAAGGTGAGCTTAGATGTTAAGATCAAGGTGTCATTGGGACCCTGTTTAACAAAAATGAACATTCCTGCTGATAAACCCAAACTAAAAATTCCATCTTTTTAATGGCAGCTTTACTATATGAGAAGTTACTTCACAATAAAGCTGGTTGCATTTTCTGTGTGATAAGGGTGGGGGGGAAATGCACCATTATTTACTTGATTTAAAATAACTCCTTTTGGTTGCCTCTTTGTTTCTGGGTCAGTGAAAAGGCTGTTGGTATCACTCCTCCACCACAAAAAACATATGCTGGAAAAATTAACAAATAGCTGTAAAAATAATTAAAGTGCAAGTGTCAAGTACATAAGAAAAAGTACCAAGTGGGAGAGACATTGTGTCTCTCGCTCTTTTAGGAAATACTGATCTAGAGCAGTGGTTCCCAATTAGCTAAGTACTGCAGACCCCCTGTTTTTCAAAAGCCAAGTGATGGATCTCCCACTTTTGAAAATGTTGAGGAAAATATGTGTGTTAACAGTAGCCAGTTAACTTCTGGCTGGTGACGTTAACTGTACAGGCCTCACTCTCCCTTGAGCAAAATAATCCTGTGACTGGGTGGGACCACTTCAGACTGTGGATGGTTGCAATGCGTTTTCATACAAAACCATTCTCCATATAAACAACTAGTATGCCAAGGGACAGCCTGAGCAGCACCCGCTTTCCCCTGATCGTTCTAGTTATGGAGGAATTTTCTTATTTTTTTTTCATATTGAAGAGGATTCTACCTTGTCAGCTGCACCACCCGCAATCTGAAATGGTACAGCTCAGGTCAGGCACAGTGAGAACAGTGAAAAGAGTGTCAGCAAGGGAATATGACTAATTCAAATCATACACATCCTAAAGCTGCGTATTCTCAGGATAATCTTCCTGAATGAATGACCCCCGAAGGGGAGCTTTTGACAGTGAGTGTTTTCCTTTAAATAACTATTCTAAAGAGAATCCCCTTGGCTATCTAGTTCAGGACTGGGCAGATTTCAGGCTTGCCCAGTTTACTTAGTTCTTTAGTAGAACGTGAGATCAGCAAATTGAAGCCTGATGCACAAGACATACACAATAATTCTGAACTCAGGAATTTGTTCTGAATACCAAAACTGAACAGAGTTTAAAGTCCCTTGACACAAGAATGCACTCTTGGTATCCCTCTCTGCTTTCTTCATTTCTGCAATATAATTGGTACTGTTAAACAATTGGGAGTAAAAAAGGCCAAAGAATCATAGAATCGCCCAGAAATCTGACAGTTGATCCTGACTGACCTTCTAGCCACTCCCAAGTGATTTTAATCTCCTGGTGTGTCGGTAAAAAGCCATGTCGTTATAAGGTACAACAAACAACAAGTTTGTGTAAATAGTGAGAAGATTTGTGGGTAGCCATTGGAAATGGAACAGTTTGGGCAGAAGGAGATGTTCTGGGGAGTGATCAAGACATTGATACCACAGTAAACCATGGCCTGCACTAACCATAGTTTAGAACCCAGTCAATGGTTTTAGCTTCCATATGAAAGAAGCAATCTCATGGTATAAAAGGGCAAACTAGAGACAGATGGAACAGGCATAAGGGTGGGGTTAATGCTCTTTCTTGGCCTGGGGTAGAATTGTTCAGGCATGGCAATGCTAGTTCCTAAGCCTTATTAATGCCAGGTCTGCTTTCTTTCCCCCTCTTGTTTCTGTCTAGGACAGCAGAAATGAGAAATCCAAAGAAAGGAACAACACTTAAGAACGCTGCACTTTGCTGGTTTCAGTAGAGTACCAGAGCTGGCACCTGTGGCAGGCAGAAGATGGCTCCTTTGTGTGAGCTTCTCCTCTCCTTTCCATTGGTAATAGGTGATGTACATGGATGCAGGCCCTTCTGCTGTGCCAGACCATGCCAGTATCTTGATCAGGGGCCAGATTGCCCACCAGGAGGGCATCAGCGAAACCACATATCTTTACAGTCTCTCCCTCTCTCTCTCTCTCTCTCTCTCATATCTTGGGACAAAGAGACTGTACAAACATTGTTGGATGTAAGATTTCTCTGCTCACTGAGAGCAAAACCGTTCTCAACATTCTTTTCCCTTCTTCGTTTGAATGTTTTTAGGTGTCAAAACTAAAACTACCCAACTCTTTCTTAACGTTAATTTGAAGAACCTGACTTACTTTGTTTCTATTCTGTTTAATTGGTCTTGTTAACGTTACTTGAGTTGTGTGGCTTATCTTCTCCTTGGCTGACTTTTTCCAATAATATGATTTTAAAAATAAGTCATAATAGTTGTGCAAACTCTTGTTATTTTCTTGGATTAAAATTATAGAGCAATCTGGAAAAGGGTTGCCTTGTCTGAAAGCAGTAGTTGTCTTTTCTGTTGCCACTTTTTTTTTTTTAAGGAGAAAGTATTTAATTTAGAATGAGCCCCAGTGAGCATTTGTCTGCCGATCATTTAATCGTGAGCTGTTCTGACCCCCACAGTGCCAGGAAAAACAATGTACCTCCAAGTGGAGGAGGGTAACCAGGCCTATATGTGTGGTTGGTAGCCTGTAAACATCATTATTTGACCTGACCTCATGTGTCCTTCAGAAGGTGCAAGAGGCCTTCGTCCGCCTCCTGAAACAACACTGAACCTCCTTTGGAGCTCTTGAAGTGACGGCCTGCAGGCTTTCACCCTGTTTGCCTGCACTTTGCAGCTTAGATTTTGCCTGCCGGGCTGCATGGCTTTCACTAAACGCCCTGCACTTCCTACATATTTCTAATTCACTTGCAAAACTGCACTAGGAGGACAAAGCTTAAGTGGTCAGCCTGTAGCCACTTGTGCTGGAGCAATATGCCCAGTACTAGCTGGACCCTGGCACGATGAGCCATCCCCAGCCGGTCTGCTTTTTCATGCATGTGTAGCTTCCTACTTGAAATATCAGGGTCTGTGTTTCCTTTTAATTTGATAACCCTTCTAATTTAATTTTCAACAAGTACAGCTGGCATTTGAAGGAAAATCCCTGTATGTTCTAAGTGTATTTGCTTTTCCTCTGCCTTAAGGTTTGAAATGTATCCGTTTAACATATCGGTTTTGAAATATTAGACCTAATGACACTGTGATAGCTATTTTTTGTTAATAAATTTGTTTTGTTCCTGTTCCTGGCATTCTTTTTTTGCAAATTGTTTTGTAGCTATTTGATGGTAGTAAAACACGGGGGGGGGGGGCACAGCTCAGTAGCAGAGCATCTGCTTTGCATTTAGGTGATTTCAGATTCAATCCCCAACATCTCTAGGTAAGGGGCTGAGAACATACACGGTCTCAGACCCAGCCAGTCAGTATAGACAGTACTGAGTTAGATGGATCAGTGGTCTTGATTCTGTATAAAACAACTTCCTATGATCCTGTGGTGGTAACTTAACTTGGTTGTTGTCTTTTACTTTGTGTATTTTAAAACCAGATTTCCATATACCACCGTATGACCTGAAACTGAATAAATGAAAATATATATTGACGTATTTGGTTTGTTGTAATTCAGCTTCCAAAGTTCAGCTCTTCTAAGAATCCGGCAACAGCCAGGGGTTGGCAAAGAGGAAATAGAGATTTAGGTATGGTTAAGTGAAGATTACTTTGGGGAAGAGTTGTTTATAACTTTGTGATGTCCTGGACTTGGAAGCTTTTCTCTTACTATTTGAAAAACCCGCCTAACTGCTTTCTGAGCCTTCTGCTCCATGGGCTACTTCCTATCTGCACACTATTCTCTAAAACTCAAGGAGAGATCCTTGCTGTCTTGTATAAAATAATAATAATAATAATAAATAATAATAATTTATTACGGCCGTAGGCCCATACAGATAAAAACAAGACATAAATAACAGCCTGTGCACATGGGAAAAAACAGCCGCTAAAACACTACTATAACAATAAACTACTATAAGATGGAATGGCATACTACGCCTTAATTAGCTTGTGGTGCTCCTTGGCAACGCTTTTGGGTAAGGACAGCGACCAGGAACCTAGCCACTTTCAGGGTCGTATGGGCATCCTTATCCTGCAAGATTTGGGCAAGGTGGAATTTTGGTGGAGTACCCTCTAATTTCTGTATGATTGATCCCAACAAATTTGCCCGTGGCACCTTAAATAAGGGGCAAGTGAACATAATGTGCTGAAGCGACTCCGGCATCTCCTTATCACATTCGCACATGGCGGAGGTTTGGCCCTTTGAGAATCTATGTCTCAGGACATTGGAGGGAAAAACATTAAACCTCGCTTTGGTGAAGGCCAGCCTATGGGCAACAGTCGAAAGGGAGGAGAGGTATGATGGAACGCAGCAAGTTAAAGTGATACCAATGTTCTGGGGCGAACAAACACCTCCCCCCAGCATATAATTTTGCTGTAAATCGATGTCATCCAGTCTTTGGCGGATCAGTCTTTGAGCAGTGATTTGATCTAGTTTTAGGGAATCTAAGGGAGAGATTCCATAGCTCAGGAGTTTGGCATGAATTCTACTGGTCCAAAGGCTGGAGAATTCATCTCGCCATAAGCATTGGGCAAGGTAATGGTCTGGTAATCTATGCCACAATGATAACCAATAATTGAAGACTTGCTTCCACAGGCAAGTTTCTAAGGATGCGATCCTCAATTCTAGACGCATGGCTGCGTTGCTTACGCACAGGGGGAGCATTAGGAGCCGACGTAGGAATTGGTTTTGCAAAGTCTCAAGAGGAGCAAGGTCTGTCATCACGACCCAGAGCGGGGCAGCATAAGCAAGCACGGGAACCACTTTTGCCTTGAACACCTTTAGGGCCGAGGGAACATGCAAAGCTCCGTCCGAAAAGAAAAATCGGAGGAGCGCATATGACAGAGTTTTGGCCTTATTAAGTAGGTGTTGAATATGTGCTTTCCACCCCAAATTGTATTGAAAAATAACTCCTAGGTATTGAAATTTTAGGACTTGCTCTATTTTTGCTCCACCAAGCTTCCATTCGTATAATCTCCGACTTCTGGCGAAAATCAGAATCTTAGATTTAGCATGATTGATGGTTAATTGGTTGAGTTGACAATACGTGGCAAAGATCTTCAGAGCTCTGGATAGTCCAACACGTGTATAAGATAGAATTACCGCGTCGTCCGCATATAAAAGGAGTGGACAGCGGTAATCCGCTAGTCTAGGCGCATGTGTACTTGGAGATGAGTTGACTAGGGGTGCTCGCATGTCGCTGATGAATAGATTGAATAGGCAGGGGGCCAATATACATCCTTGGCGCACTCCCTTGTTTATTGGTATCGAATTTGTGAGGTCGCCCGCAGGAGTAAGTCTCACTCTGGCAAGGGTACCTTCGTGGAGCTGACTTATAAGCCATAAGAGCCTTCTATCGATGCCCTGTTTATGCAAGTTTCTCCCAAAGAATATTTCTAGGAACGCTGTCGAAGGCTGCCTTAAGATCTAAGAAGGCAGCACACAGGTAGCCCCGGGAGGGGAGGAGTACTTCCGTGCCAGATGGTAAAGAACTATCGCATGATCAGTTGTAGAGCGTTTAATTCTGAATCCTGCTTGTTCGTGGCCAATCTGGTTAGTCTCATCTACCCATCGCGATAGTTTCGTCAGCAAAAAGCTGGCATAAATTTTCCCTATGATCGAAAGGAGGCTGATGTTACGGTAATTTTCCGGCTCCATTGGAGAACCTTTTTTATGAATTGGTACTATAATGGCTTGTATAAAAAAAATTGAGTGTTCAGCATTTAGGAACACAGTAATTACAGTGGAGGGGTTGGGATATCTTTGAAAGGGCTGCTACTTCCACTCACTCACCTCATGGAAATCAGACTTAACAGCTGCTAGCACGTGAGAGCCTTCTCTAGTTCTAGCCCAGCCTAGCTCCAAGGGAGAGCCCCTCTGAAGTTTTAAAATTTTCTATTTCTGTTCTCTTCCTCCTTCATTTCCCATTTGGAGAGGTAGGGTGGAAAGAAAGGTGGTTTTAAAAAGTTGCTGAGTGCATTTAAACAGACCACAAACTACTGCCGCTATTACGTTTTCCATCCTGGCATTCTCAGTCGACGTTTTACAGGAACCCTCCAAAAGGGGCAAGCAGGAACCTACATGGAAACTAGAGCCCAGGGAACAAAGTTTTTTGGCAGTGCAGCTGTTTCAAGGCCAAGCCCAGGGAGAGATGCCTGAAGGATGGTGTGCCTCAGCAGAGCAGGGCTGCCATCACAAGCACACAACCACCCTGTCTGGGGATCCAGGCAAGGAAGAGGTAAGTGGAGATCAAGTAGCATCAGACCCCAGAATGCTACAACAGATGCCTGGCTTTCCTTAGGTGCCCTTCTCCCCTGCCAGGTAGGGATCAAGGCAATCTAATTTCCATACTATTAATTATGGAAACCAGGTTATGGCCTGTGAAGTTCATGCTGCCTCTTCCCCACCTCAGATTGTATATATGGTACTTAGAAAAGTACATATTTAACTCAGAGCTAAATGGAAGCCATTATATACTGTAAGACATCTGAGGATGCAATCTGTTTCTTGAGTGTAAGCCCCACTGAAGATAGTGAGACTTACTTTTGGGTAAATGTATGTAGAATTCCACTGTTTAATAAAGCAACCTTCAACTCACATTTGCTACAACATACACAACTCGACTACGTAGTTTATATTTTTCTTAAGCATGCACATGACTTACATTATTTATCAATATATGCCCATTTTGTCAACCCTTGGGTGGCAAATTTTATATCTATCCTGACAGTATTGCAGAAAAATAATAAGCTAAGAAGCTTTATGCAAACTTTTCTCTACCCGCTGAGAGCATAAATGGTTGTTCTTCCTTGTGTGCTGTACTTTATGGTTGGGAGCTAGGAGCATCATGAAAGGAAGGGAGATCCAGGATTAGGAGTGATAGGGATAAGAGGGGGACTGGGGATTGGAGGAAGGATGTGGGAATGGGGATGGACAACCATAGGTTTACTTCTGGAATAGTTCAAAATAATAAGAGGGGTCCCTCACACTGTCCTCCTTGACAGCATGATCTCCAGAAAGGTAGTCTAGCTTCTGCCTCCAGCTGAAAGCTTCATCCCAAAAACACCTAGCACATTTATAGGATCTTGCAAAACTGAAGCAGTGACATGACCTTCTGACAGGCATGAAACTGATGTCAACCATTAAAAATAGATATATTGAAATTATTGTTGAAATGTCTTTTAATTTTTAGTATCTGTAACATGGTCAACTCTTGTTCATTTTCTCACTGATGTGCCTTGTTTCTTGCCCAAATTCATAATTATAGGATACAATTCACCATTTAAGGTTTTATTATGATGCTAGTAAAATTACAGACCATTTCCTCCCTTGAGAGTCCATATTTCCTTAATAAACAATATTGTGTGATTTCCACAATCGGGACCAGCAGGACAGAGGTGGCTTCCCACAGCACACATTAGGGTGTCTGGAATGGGTGTGGAAGGAAACAGCTATTACCGTACTCTATGTTATGCCAAGGCACCCACCCCACAGTGAGGTGTGACTGGCACCCACTAAGCCTTTTCAAAAATCAAAATGCCCACTAGTCCAAACAAATTGACAACCTCTGAGCCAGGCCACTAAGATAGTAGTATAGATGTGCTTTCAATTCTTTAGGACACTCTTTGTGGGGAAGAAACTTTCAAGATCTACACAGCTGAGGTGGATCATAGTCTGCATTTATCTGTTTTAAGAAGCACCTGCTTCTGCTGTGTTGGGGGGGCAGGGAAGTTCACCAGGAGCGCTGCTACCTCAGCTGCATTCAGTAGCAATAATCCACTACTAGACATTTGCAGGGAAGCCATCAGCATTGGTGTTACGTATTGCGATGAGCTGAGTGCCTTTGCTTCTTCTAAAGCTGCCTTTAGTACTTCAGTCGTGTAGCTCACCTTGGGAGATGGTTTCAAAGAAGGATGGATACAGGTTTGAAACATACCATATGAGGATATCCTCCTCCACTGTAGGGAAATGTAAGTCCAACATTCTAAGTTCCTTTTTTACAGCAGATAGATGAGTACCCTGCTTAACCTGAAGGTTTCATTTATTGCTACTGGGAAGACTTGAGACAAGGGGGTGTCTCCGGCTCTCACAGTTTCAGACCTATGCTATTCGGATCTGGGAACCTGTTCTCTGTCTTGCCTCTTGCCTGTTACTTCTGCTGTTCAAGGTTGCTAGCGGGGAGAGTTTGAGGATTTCCAAGGTCATTGCTTGTTTCTGTGTTACATCCCCAAACTGGGGATGGCTCTGTGCCCCACAGGATGGTTGAAGTCAAGTCCAATTTGCACAGCCCTGCCTATTGGAACGAGTGGGAGCAACACTGCTCATCCCCCTCCAAAAATAAATAAAACAGTCAAATTGGCACATTACAGTTTATTAACGTGGCCCATCCACGTGCTAAGAGATGTAGTGAATATGCACACTATATAAAGCCACCAAGCCATTTTGCACTAAGTAACCAAGCCAGCAGGGAGCAGTATAATTCTCACAAAATCCTTTTGT